TGGAGTGAGTACTGAGTGATCCATTGAGAACAGGTTCTGCATTCACCAGCTGTAGCTTTGAAGTGATCAAGGTGGCCAGTTAATATATTTCATTAAGTTAGAAGAGGACCTTTTTTTTAGATAACAAATGTGCAACAGCTAGTGGCAGGCCTTTTATAGGCTACATATACTATAATATGAAGCTAGTCCCTAGGTGCAGCGAGCACCTATGCGTGCTGCTGAATAGGGTTCTGGCTATTTTATTGGTGAAAAATCAACCCTGATTGAATGTAATAATAATTTGGAACGTTACGAGACAAAAATGAAGGTCTTTATTAGCGTAACAGAAAAGAGTATTTTGTCTCTTTTCTATCATAGAATAGATGTTGATATTCTTTATGGGATTCTGGGACTAAATAAAGAATTACAAACGATCCCTATAATTGACATATACTATGCCGCTTTACTTTGCACTTTTGTTGGTCGTGTTGTTATAGATTGTGGATGGTTCCCCGATGCTTTCTTTCATTTAGCGCGTGCATACATCTCTGGTGTTCCCGTGCGCTATTAGGCACACAACGATGAGCTCAGTAATTAGGGTCCTCTAATGTGTAGTTTGCTTCGGTAGATATACAAACAATCATACTATCATACTATCATAGTCATTGCTACGATGCATAGCGTGGCGTGTTATTACTCTCTTTCTTTCTCTTTCTTCTATGTCTTTATCTCTGTCCTTCTTTATTGAGAGCTCAAGCGCCCTCGGCACTAAATTTTGTTTATCAAACCTCAGTTTATTTTGTGGAATGTATACCCTCACGCATTTGTAACCCGACAGATCATTTACCTTTTGATGCCCTGGGTCGTCTGTAGCACGCAGTGTCGCATACTCAGCAGTACATGTAGATGCTTACTGTATTTAGGACTAGCTTCATATTATACAATCAAAGGTTGGCCAAAAAAATAAAATTTTGAAGAAAAGCACTGTCTTCAATCCTATTTTTCGCCGTTTCCCCTCGGCATAAACTGCCCAAAAGCTTCAGTGATAATCCACATTGGTCTCATTAATAAATACGTAAATTTCCATCTTGCTTGTTGAAGTATTTTTGTATATCGTAAATGAGCTGTTTGTCAGAGATTCAAAATAAAAAAAAATAAATAGCCCACTTTGACCAGACTTCCTTTCGGGTGACTGCAGAGCGGAATAGAGCGTGAATAATATTTTGTAGATAGATAGTAAACAGTAGAAAAGTAAGTGAGAATAAGATATGGGTGCACACACCACACCCATGGGGTATTTATTCATTTTCTGGTAGAGGGGCCTGAACTAGATAACTCCGTATCTATCTGTAAGATGACATCGATTCGTTCTAAAAAATTCATATCAAAGATTTATCGCGTCTATGTGTAACGCGTTATTGCCACTAATTTCTACTGCTAATCTTTTTAGTGAATTAGTGTTTTTTACTCAGTATTTTTCCTAACTTGGTCATCATAATATTACATACTGTGGAATATACAACAGAGCGCGATGAGTATCACAGCTCCCACGGCGCTGCAACTTCCAACAGTAATAACTCAAGACTCCTCTCTACTCTAGACTCAACTTCGCTTATTTCCTTCGAAATAAAAAGCTAGAATGTAGTGTGTAGGATACACGTTGCCGCTTATAGATGAAATAAAGACCTCGTGCAGTGCAAACAAGGTGTGCACGGGGGTCGTACAAATAACCATCTAAATTTTAACAAGGATGCTTAAAAAATGGGATTAATCTATTTGGCAGCCTAGTTGCCGAATATTATTTGGCAGCCCATTGCCAAATATAGTCAACTTTCAAGACTCTCTTTGGCAGCCCAGTTGCCAAATAACATTCATTATTTACTTGGCAGCCTACCCAGCGTTATTTGGCCTCTAACTATTTTTTTTTTTTTTCATTCCTAGGAACCGTATATGTATATAACGCTCGTACTTCAAATTAATAAAGCTCCCGTCTTCTACGTCATAGTTATGTGTAGTGACATTGTCTTGTCTCATTGAAAACTAATGACTTTTTTTTTTCAAGTAGGTCGCTCATACAGTTTTGGAGGTGCCATTTGGAGATCAATGCCTATGAGAGGTTTTCGCTCGGAGCAAACGCGTCTCACCTGCTACCTAGACGTCTTCAATAAATCATTCCCTAACCGTGTACATTGAAGGCTGTTTTGTGAAGATGTCATCGCCGCTGCCCTTAGTACCTCCGGTGGCATTAGCTGTGCAAGGCAATGTATCCACAGAACGCTGCCTGTTTTACCACTGATGTTATGACCCTGTTATCAAAAAAAAAAAAGAAAAAAAAAAAGAAAAAAAAAAAGAAAAAGTAATGTATTTGGCAGCTCAGCTGCCACCCAAGAGTGCGAAGTTAAGTGGCAGCCCCCAGAAGTAGGCTGCCAAATAGAGGCAAAAATTACTATATTTGGTATGGGCTGCCAAATAGATTAATCCTAAAAAATGAACCAGCAATGTGCTTGTTCAAATAATAACCCTCCAGCTTGGATCACTGCACCGTGCAAATAAAGGGCAATAAAATGGTGAAGAGAGTGGGATTCGAACCCACGCCTACGAATAGACCGCGGCCTTAACGCGGCGCCTTAGACCAACTCGGCCATCTCTCCATATAAACTACGGGTAACTAATAATATATAAATCCAATACCAGAGACCCACGTGACTCACCGGATACACTTAGTCAGATGTGCGAACCCTTGGCGTAGCCGTAAAGCTTAGGAACGGCCGGTAGAAAATTTATAGAGTCTATTTCTAATAAATCCTCACAACTTCGTGGGCCCCAGTTATCAAAAAAAAAAAAAAAAAAAAAAAAAAAATCGGAAGGACTGAGATTTCTTTACTTTTTTTCCGTGAAGAAGCAAGGAGACGCCGGACCCAGAACACAAGGAGATACATGACCTCGTGGGTCCTTGTTATCAAAAAAAAAAAAAAAAAACCCAGAACACAAGGAGATATGAGGGCTTGAGCGAGCATGCTCTGTTAAGGAGAGCAAAAGTTGACCTGGATTCCAACGGGACACTGTGCTTAAAAGCGATTCCTGAAGTCAACAGAGGCCTAGCCAGGGACACAAATGGAGTTATCATTAGTGCAGAATATCCAACGCCAAAGGGAACGGTACAATACCTAGTCGGGTAATGTCATTTATACGGATTGATCTCTCAAAGACATTGGCACTGAAAGAGTAAATATGGCATTCGGTGTAGTAGTCCAGACACAAGAGGGCGATTTTTACACTGCGCTATCTGGTAGATTAGCAGGCAACGCATCCTCGACAAAGGCAGAGCTAGCTGGTTTATTGGCAGGAATACTTATCAGCCCACGAAACAGACCTATGACAATCCGATTTGATAACAGCACAGTTGTGACTCAATTCCGAGCATTGGTCCGAGGCAGAGTGGACAGCACGTTGCGGCAACGTATTAGATCACCGTATGCAGTATGGTGGGCAGCTATACACAACGCATTTATTCAACAAGGATCGAAAGTCACGGTTGAGTGGGTCAAGGACATGCCGGCAATAGAGGGAACGAAGAAGCGAACGAAGCAGCAAAACATGGACATTATGGCGAGCTATGGGATATCAACATAACAGAGCATCCTGGCATGCAAAGTTCAACGGTGTACCGGCGGAAGATGACTGAAGGCAGATCCTTAAGTTACAGTCAACAACTCGCATACATTACATTTGGATCGCTCAGAACAGGACGCAGGAGCATGTTAAGGGTTGGACAAAAATCGATTGGCGGGGCACTATGAACATTGTTCATGATAGCAACCTACCAAAAGGACTCTTCACCAGCCCAGTGAACTGCCAAAAGCGAGCGCACAGGATCAAAAAACTCCATGGAGTCCTGCCTACACAATTATATGCGAGACACTGGAGACCAGATCTTTATGAAGACGGCAGCTGCAGAGTGTGCGGGACAGGGGAAGAAGAGACATCGCACATCTGGGGATGTCCAAGGACGATGGAGACTCAGGCCGAGAAGTGGAAGGAGATAATCCGAAATGTGAATGTGATAGGGGAGAGGACATGGAGGAAAGAGTTGAAAGTGGTACAGGAGCAAGCACAAAGGGCAAGAGAGAGAGGTGTAGGCCAAGGATAAAAGAGCCAACTTTTACTGCGGCAGAGGACTACATTTGGGGAACTCTAGAGATACATATCGATGGTGTGCGAGAAGTACGATGTCATGGTGATAGGAATGGCGATGATGAGGACGAGGAAGAGATGGGGCACAGACCAGATTGGTCTGTGCAGGACCTTTACCATGGACTTACGCCCAAGTCCATTGCTCAGAGTTGGAAAGCTGGCTTCAAGACAACAACAAGGATAGCTACATACATGGCAGGGCGCTTCGTCAAGGCCATAGAAGAATTCGGTCATACAGAATCTGGGATAAACGGTGTAAAGCCACCGTTGAATGGGAAAAGGCTCGTGGAATCACTGCTATGAGCAAACGCGCCAGAGGACGCAACTGTGTTGGGAAGCACAGACGTAGTAGCAATGATTTCTTCGACCCTTCCCTCAGACAGAGACGGAAACTGAATGTGAGAGAGATCTACAAAATTGCGGATGACCAAGTCCAGGACAGTTACCTTGGGAAAACCAAACTGAACAGGATGGAGCGGCTAGGTGGAATGAAGTTTTTGGTAACTATGGATGGCGGATAATTTGTCGCGTTGCGCAAAAGGCCATGTCGGAAAGGCGGACTTTGAGTACCAATCATGGCGGTCAAGGTTTATGAAATCATGGATGCAGCGGCTCTCGCCGTTTGTGCAGTAATAACTGTTTATTGACTATAGTTTCTGGGGTATTTTGTTCATAAGAGTAGAAAATAAATGCCATGCCCCCGAGGGCCCTTGTTATAAAAAAAAAAGGGAAAAAAGTTTTTTTGTTATCAAAAAAAGTTATCGACGCATTCCAGTTGCTATACATCCATCAAGGGCTCAAGGCAGATAACGATTGCAATTTTTTTTACGATGCTATTTCATAAATTTATTTAAAATGCTAGATATTATCATATAGATGGGCGTAACAATGGATGAGAATTAAAGGAAAAGTCTATGTTATGTACGAGTTAGAGAAAATATGAACGATTGTGACATGAAAATATTTAAAAAAAGGTGAAGTCCTTTTTTTTTTTCTTTAAAAAAAATAAATAAATAAATGATGATTATAATTGTTCGTATGCCTTAAGTCATGAGATGTTAGTGCTTGGGAAGAGGCAAAAACTTGAGATTGGGACGATTGGAATTGATAGTGCCGGTAATCATGCGTAGTAACCAAGTTGGCGTAAAACGCAGCACAATGTTTCGTGCGACATCCGCTTTGAAGCCCTGTTTAATTCAAGGATTCATTAAGACGGTCCACATATTAATAAGTAATTCCATATCTCCATTTTTTGACCATTTTATAGAGGATATTTATGATTTACCTGTTCGTAAATGAGATCCGCAAACTCTCGTGAACTATCCGAGGCGACCTTGGCAGTCTCGGCCCGCATATCAACATATCGCTGAAAAATCGTAGTAAAACTCGACGTGGTGTTGGAGGTAAGGTCATAGAACATGTTAACCAGGCAAGCACAGTCAAGGATTGCTTGTGATGCGCCTTGGCCAAAGAAAGGAACGATCTGGTAGGGAAGGATATTATGAATGGAAAGAGGACGTATTAATTGATAATATCTACTACAAACATACATTAACTTTGATTATATGTTTTTCATTTTGTTACCTTATGACAAGCTAGAAAATGTATATAATGACAATGGGACAGCAAAAAAAAAAAAGACAAATAGTCAGTAATAAACAACTATCATTAGGTGACGATGGATACTGATTTTTTTTTTTTTTTTTTTTTTTTTCCTGCTTCCATGTTGTTGGAGAAAACTTACCATCACCAACAAGGACTACGCGACCGTTGTACCAAGTGCGGTACATCTTCTCTTCCAAGAGAACTTTCGAAACTAGGCCCTTGGGCGTAGACTCAATCAAGTCCATGACTGATCCACCGTATGGACATTTGAAATTACGGACATCCTCGCAAATTTCAACTGCTGTCTCGGGATACCAGTCGCGACCGCTTCGAGAGCCACTTCCATGACTACTATGGTCCCCATCGTCATTCTGAATCAAATGAGGGTCTGGACCGCCTACACACCAGGCCAGTCTGTTTCCTTGTAATGGTAAGATCCACATCTTGTATGGGACAGAAAACATCCCAATTTAAATTTATGATTATAGTTTAATAAAGGAAAAGGAATGCATGTTGTTAAGGTTAGAGACATAGAACATGCGAGAGATTATAGACCTAAGTTTCTCATCGGCGCATGTGGTTACGAAGAACTGAATTTGTTATTATTCAACCTCAGCTCTACGGAGGAAACTCATCCCCATACTCCAGCATAGATTTGAGAAGCATTTCTTTATGCGCTGCAACGTGAGGTAGACGAAGCGGAGGATTAAGGAAAGAAAGAGGAAGGAGGGAAAAGAAGGAGGGAAAGAAAGGAAAAGAATGGAAAGAATGGGGAGTAAGGGAGGAAGGGAAGGAGAGTACAACACATCAAGAACGAAGCAGCTTGTGTGGGGTGTATGTAAGAAGGTGTAGGATGTGTATGAGTGCACGTGCTGTACGGAGGAGGGACCTGTTTGAGCATATCCGAATGCAAAAAGGTTTTGAGCTGAAGTACAGAATGTAGGCAGCAAATGTTGACACAGTGCATGTTGGTGTGCAGGGCGCGTGCGTTAGAAAGTTAGAGCAGGAGCTTTGGAGTATTTACTTACAGAAGTATGTTGATCCTTGCCAAGTAGGACTTTGACTTCGCACGAGTCATCCAAGAGCACTGGATACTTTGCAGGGTCGAGTGGAGATGTCATGCCTTGGCATTCAGACAAATAAATAAATATCAACAGTTAAGAATATCGATCCGATTGCAAATCAGAAACATCGTTATTAGACAAGAAGATGGTACAAATTATTATTATTATTAGTATTGTAACTATTATTGCTCATGTACAGCAAATAAACCGAAGAACGTGGGCTGATTATCTTAATCCACATTGTCAAAGTTTTTTTTTTTTTTTTTTTTGTTCAAGATAGGAGTGGATGGACTTACCTACGACGCATTGTTTATCAAAGTGTAATGGCTTGGTGTCAGACTCTGGCAAAATCCCACGCTCTTTCAGTTTCTTGTACATAATCTGGCGGGTTGCGCTGTAAGCGCCGTCTGCTCCGACGACAATATGACCCACATAAGTCGTCTCGTCCATGCAGGTCACTGTGACATCTTGCTGGGTTTCAGTAATATCGATAACGCGCTTGCCTGTTGTCAGCTTCCCAGGCGGGATTTTTGAAAGGAGATATTCGTGCAGATCTGGTCTATTTTTTAAAAACACGATGATAAAGATTTAGGTTGAGTATTGATGAAACATTCGTTATTATATTGGCACATCACCTTAACAACGCACTAACCTGCTCATTACCATCGCTTGATGGTGATGCCTAAAAGTCCAAAAAAAAAAAAAAAAGTTTTAGAATGTATTATAAACAGTCATGATCAAAAGAGAGAATTAGAAGGCGGGAATGGATCTAACCTTCGTTTGTTGGTTCGAGTGTCAATGCGTCCCATTTTGCGACCATTGGCAGAGAGAACGGAAATACCTCTGAGTGGTTTAGACATTTTCTGCATATCTTCGAGCAAACCAAGCTGAGCCATCAGATCCATGATGACGGGGTGGAGTGAAATGGAGGTGCCAAGTGGACGAAGTCTTGAGGCCTGCTCCAGGATATGATAGTCGATCCCAGCCTGATCGAGCATGATCCCCATGACTAGACCAGCTAAACCACCTCCAACAATGATGACACGCAAACCAGGAGGAGGAGGGGTCATTATTGTGAACGAAACGAAAAAAGAGAAAGTCTGAGGAAGTGTTCCGTATGGAGTGTTACTGCGTGTGAGAGACTATAGCAGTGAAGGTGGTGAAAGTGAGTGAAAGTGAGTGAAAGTGAGAGGATAGATTGTCTTTGAAAGAATAATAGACGTAAATGAAGGCCACGGGGGATTGTTCAATTAAATAAAAGATAAATACAAAGATTGATGTGTAAACGACAGCTGGGCGAAGATTCGGCAAATGAAAGAACTAATGGATCTGCAAATGTACAAAAAAAAAAAAAACCAACAAAATCAAAAAGACCAAAGAACAATGAAGAATAAGGACAAGTTGAAGAGAAGAGAAAAAAAGGAAAAAAGGAAAAGGACAGACTTTCTGGTTTTAATATTCTTATTGCCCTAATTGCCATTTTGGTGTGGTTTTTGTTTGCCATGTGTACCAAAATAGGCCCTGAAAAACAGACGATCCGCAAATTGCCGCTTTTCTTTAATAGTAGTACATTATTCTTTACATAAAATGGTTAGAATCATAAAAATAACAGGAATGGTTTTAAAAACATTATTGATGATGGGAAAAGGATATTCATGTATTGTATATTTATTCAGGTACCATGTGCAAGTAAAAATATGCCATGCCTATGCAACGCTACCTTTACTTACGCCTTTCTTTTTTTATTATTTATTAATTGAACTTGAACCCCATCATATATATATACATATAATATATATATATATATTTTATTACACATCGATCGATGCATCTGAGCATTGAATGATTTCTACGATATATATTGCATAAACCCGGTCCACGTTTGAGGATATCCTTCTATTGAACCTATCAACTTGCCTCCAGGTTAAAACCATTGCAACTTTTACCCCTGCTCTCTTGCTCTTCTTTTGTTCCTTTGTAATTACTCTTGCTTTTAATCTTTTCCTTCTTCTTCTTCTCTTCTTTTTCTATTTCTTTCTCATCCCCAAACCCACTCGAAACATGGACCCACACAAAAATATAAAACAACAAACTTTCAATTTGTTGACAACATTTATGGTCCTATTGTTTGGCTTGCAGGGTCTCATAACCTTTTTCCTTTGCTTCCATTGTAAATTATGGATACATCGGGTATGAGCTCATTGTGCTTGTTTCTCAAACGTCTAATAAACAATCAGTCAGCCGAAGAAACATGTTGCTACACAAACGTTTGATCTTTGCATTAGGTTTAGCCTTCAAAGAAAACATGTCACTTTTTTCACCATATTTGTTCATGAATCATTGCGGGGCAAAATGAAAGCTGAATCCATACTTGCTTTTCGTTTGAATGCGGCGGTAACTGTTGAAGCTTGAAATAAACTACGTGAGGGCTATTCTATGTATGCAAGTAATTTCAGTCTAGATTGGTCATAGTAACACTGGGTAAAAAGCATGCTTGAGCTCGATCGCTGTTCAATCGATCGCCAATGATAGAATTGACTAGAAACTGGGGTACATAGTTCAAGAATATATACCGCAACATCGTTCCTGTCCAGCCCTGTCGACTCATAATTTTTCCGAATACATGAGAGCCTTGGACAGCTTTCAGGGCATCAGATCGGCGGTCGCTTTCGTAGGATCGGAGTCTGACTGCAAGATCCTCTAAAGGACATGAAGAGGTTGCAGTCAAAGCACCAGAAGCGGTGGTATCAGAGGCATTTTGGTCCACCAACCGAGAATAGGCGTAAAATAGATTCGCCAAATTTACGGCATCGTATCCAGCCTGTACAAACGGCTGACCGCCACAGACCAACGCCTGTCATTGTTATTAAACCCCGACCCCGATGTCATGGATCCATCGTTTTAGGAAGCAAAAATATACACATGTATATATATATAAATATATATATATGTATATTTACGGGTGTATTGTAAGTATATATATATGTATATATATATATATAATACGTTTTTTTTTTTTTTTTTTTAAATGGAAAAAAAAATAAAAAGGAAAAAAAAGTACATTTAGTGGACCCAAAACATAGTTCGGTGATCCAGTTTATAGAGGCATCGTTACAAACCTTATGACACGCTGTGGGCCGACGTAGAAAAAGTCAGCAAGTCGAAAAAGTAACGTTATCATGTTGAAGCGGTCAAGGTTTAAGTACGTAATAGCGGTATTTAAAAGGTTTAAATGAGCAAAATACAAAATATAATGACAAATTGAGTATCACCTTCCATGTCAAAAAAAAAAAGAGGAAAAACCGTCAATGACGAGCCATGCATTGCAACATCAATGGGGGTTCGATACGCAGGTAGACGCTTGTTTGTTTTTGTTTGTTCGTTTGTTTACCAGCTTACCGTCACCCATGAGTGCAATTTTGCCATGTGTCCATGTAAAATGAAATCCCTCTTCGCGTGGAAGTGAGAGCATCGTTCCTTCGGGTGTTAAATCAAACAATTCACCCATTAAAGTGTTCTCTAAGGGACTCTGCAATGCGCGGAACTTTTCGCACGTCATCTGAATGGTCTCTTTCATATCACTCCAGTCTTCTACCTCAGGGCAATCAATGGGCCCGGGTAGTTCCTCATCTAGCAACCAGCACAGTCTGTTCCTGGTCATTGGGACACACCAGCACTAAATGGATAAAATTTTAATTTTAGACTAAACTAAACTAGACTAGGCAGCATAGCAGAGTAGAGCATGGAACACCACGTAGAGCACAGCAGAAACAAAAAGTAAAAAAGTCTTACCGAAAAGGGTCTGCTACCTTTCGACACCAGCACTTGGATTTCAGAATACTCTGCTTTGACCACAGGAAATCGATCTGGATCTAATGGTTGAGTCATTCCGACAAGGGATCGATACTGATACTGCAATGGCTTATGATCTTGGGCAGGTAGTCTACCGCATTCTTTCAACTGTCGATAGAGGCTCAACCGCACATTGCTATATGCACCATCTGCGCCAATGATGATTCCCTGATAGCTCGAACCATCTGTGCAAACACAGGTTGCTTTTGAATCACGAGTGCTATTGATAACAATGTTTTCGACTTGTTTTCCAAAGAGCAGTTTCTCCTTAGGAAGTTGACCCACCAGGTGGTTATACAGTTCTGGCCTAGAGATAACTAGTGTGTAGTAACCATATCTGCAAAAGCTTTGGATAAGCTATTCACGCCAAGTACATTTGCATACTTAAAAAAAAGAGGTCCAACAATTTGAGTACCTCGAAAACGAAACGGTCTTGTCAATTGCGCCCAGCTTATTGCATAAGATTTTGCCTTTTTGCTCTTGGTTAGCTTCATAAACAGAGATATGACTGACTGGTTTCGCAAGCTGTTTCAATGCATCAAGTAGGCCGAGCTGTTGGAGCAGCGGTTGGATTTGAGATGTGATGGGGATCACGCCTCCACCTTCAAGAGGCATTGTTGAGGTAGTCATACGTTCTAGGATTAGATAGTCCAGAGAGGCCTTTTCGAGTAAAAAGGCCAAGAGTAAACCACCCAGCCCAGCTCCAACGATAATAATTTTATCCATTGAGTGGGATGTTGTGATTCAATGAGAAGAATGAACGAGAGGCATCAGCCATCGTATTCACTGAGGAAACGCATTTCCGTAGTCAACTTTGATCTAATCTTTTATTCAGTTGGCGGTGGCTTGCTCATGGTGAAATATAGAAATATTTTGGATCACCGGCATCAACCGCCTTGTGGGTTTGATAATCAATTAAATTATGGGTGTGGATCCATGTTGGGTAATAAATACGAAAGACCGCTATCTATTTCAGAATAAGAGGAGGTTCAGGGTGGGAACATACACAGGTTTTCAAAAAGGTACCATCTTTTTTGAAAGTTGCAGTTTAATAATTTTAATAATAAATTCAAAGGAAACTCTTTCTACCGTTTCTTTTTTAGTTCAGGCAACATTGCAAAAAACTAACATTGAAAGATCAGATCAAGAGAGAGGGTAATCAGCTTGAGTCGCTTTCTCTTTTTTTTTTTTTTTTTTTTTTTTTGCTTCTTTTTTTTTGTATCCATTTCTCACTCAAATGTCTTTTGCGGTTGCTGGTGCTGTTGCTTGCGCTGCTCGTCAAGCTTCTAATTCAGCCATTAGTGTGACACGAACATTCCGCCATTCAATATTCCCACAGTCTCATGCTCATTTCTCTTTTCATTTATATTCTTCTAGTCATTCCATCACTTCATCCTCCCTAGCACGCTTGACCTCTTCATCCTTCACTACTATGGCTACTACTGGTGCCATCACTACTAACGCTCCGACAGGCAGGTCTTCTGACACTTTCAACGCCACAAAAAAAAAAAAAAAAAAAAAAAAAAAAAACATACTCACGTCTTTTCATGCATTTTCTTTAACCCTGTCCTAGGAGAAATCCCAGTCTTTGATTCTATCGCTGCCTTCCGTGCATGGCGCAAGGGGTTGGCTCGTCAGGAGAAGACCGTGGGCTTTGTTCCTACAATGGGAGCACTGCATGAAGGTCATTTGAGTCTTGGTATGTACTTTTATTACTTTTGTGCACAACAGTTGATCGGATTGAAAAAAGTGCTGCGCGCTAATGCTTCATTTTCCACGCGGCAAATCATGTGTTGTAAAATTTTGTTCATTTATCGTAGTGGAGACTGCAAGCAAAGAGTGTGACGCTGTTGTCGTTTCTATCTTTGTGAATCCTGCCCAGTTTGCACCCCATGAAGATCTGGATCGGTACCCCCGCACGTTTGATACAGATTATGCCTCTTTGGTCTCTACAAAGTCATGCGCTGCTATCTTATTGCCAAAGGTCAGTGAGATGTATCCAGCTGGTATCACCCTTGATCGTTCGCAACAACGCGGTGCATTTGTCGAAGTCCAGGGCTTGTCTCATCAGATGGAGGGCATCCCTCGCCCTCATTTCTTCCGTGGGGTCGCTACAGTTGTCGCAAAGCTCTTCAATATTGTCCAACCTGATCGTGCCTTCTTTGGTCAAAAGGATGCTCAACAATGTGTGGTCTTACGTGCCATGATCAGAGACTTATTAATGCCTATTCGAATGCGTTCTGTACCCACATGTCGTGAGGCAGATGGCCTAGCTATGTCCTCCCGTAATCGTTATCTAACTCCAGAAATGAGAGAGGTTGCTACTGTACTCTACAAGGCGATTTCAGCTGCCAAGGAAGCCATTGTCAAGAATGGAGCTCAGGAACGTACCGCTATTCTGCAGCCCGCGTACAGGATCATTGAGCAAGTCAGTCAGCAAGTCAAAGCTCAGGGTTTGCCTTTTGAGGTACGATTGGATTATCTATCTCTGGTCGATGTCGAAACTTTGAGTGAGCTTGAGATTTTGGGCAAGAACCAAGCAGCCATTTTGTCAGGAGCTGTTTATATTGGCACCACGCGTTTGATCGATAATACTTTGATTAACACAGAAGAGCTATAACATGAAGGAGTGCTTTAGACCGATAGACAGTAATGCTTTAAGAAGTTGAAGAAAACAATGCATATAATCTCAACGAAGGAATAAATAAAGCATGCTTTAACTACTTTCACCACGCTCTTGATGAAATCTTAGAGGCAATCCTCAAGTGCGTGCTCATAGTTAAACACTAGCTGCTTCGTTTGCACTTTCACGCTCTACAACCCTTCATTTAGCACAACTTTTACAGTTATAAATGTTGCTGATCCTTTCTGCCTTGTTCAATTGTCAATGGTACTAAAACCATTAGTCAATGTTATTATCACCTTGTTTTTATCCCAGAACTTGCCGATTCATGCTCTCACTCACTTTTTACCACTGTTGTCACTCATTCATCCAGCTCCACTAATGATATCAACCCATGGACCCGTACTCTTGCATCGCTATATGTCTATGAGAAGGCAGAGAGCTCTGATAATTCTACGCTTGTTACTTAAAAAAGCGTCGAACTAACTTTCTCTACCTCTACTGCACTTCCAAAGGTGTTTGAAATACGATGTTTCTTTCTGTGCATCTACCAAAAGTTCTTTCCACAAATTCCATATTCAAAGATGTACCAATGAATCTCTGAATTGAGGATGCCTGGGGCCTGCCCTCTCTTTATTTGTGTGACATGGATTTAGCGCAGGAAAAATATGTGATTTTCAGCAGAGCATTTCATGGCACACTGTCCAACGAAAGTGGCTAAAAAAGTTCTGACCAGAACAGCCACCACCCTTGACATCGAACATCAAGGCAGAGATGTTTTAATGGATTCACGCATTGATCCTAGATTTCGCCAGGCAACATGTCACAGGAGCAAAGGCGAAAGCGCAGATTACCGACGACTCTAACTAGCAACAGCAGGAGCAATGGAGGCACATCTTCGACATCCCAATCACGTCTTAATGTTTCGGTATTCAGCTCTGACTCGGATACAGCCAACGGGACTGATGACAATAGTAACCATAGTGGCAAGAAGCGCTTTAGACAGGGTTATTTTACTCATAAGCCAAGCTCATCATCTAAGCTTTCATCCTCTGAGTCTGCATCCAACGTAGTACCAGTAGAGTTCGTGATTGAAGGTGTAGGTTTCTTTTGCCACCTTCTGAGCTCTCTCATAAAAGGTGCAGCTTTTTAATTCAATCACATCTAATGGTCAGAATTTCTTATTGTTTTGTGCTCAGATCAAGGTTAAATTCCCTTTCGCTCCTTATGAATCACAGCGGGAAATGATGAGCAAGGTATAAGCGAGAAAAATGACAGTGAAATACTTCACACTGCCCTGCCCGTTTTCCAAACAAAGGCTTTAACATGTAATGAACATCTCTATAAATGCTATCTTTTGAGTGACAGATTGTTAAGGCACTTCAGACGGAGGAAAATGCACTGCTTGAAAGCCCTACAGGTAGGATGGATCTTATTCATGTCAAATGCACCCGTGGGCCACAGATATTGCTAAAAAAGAGCCCTTACTAAAAATCATATTCAGGCTCCGGTAAATCATTGGCGCTACTTTGTGGGGCCCTTGCTTGGTTAGAATCTGAAAAGGGAAAGCGAATGGCAATCAGAGCAAAGGCAAAGCAAATGGAACTCAAAGCAAAGCAGGGGGAAATCGTTGAATCACCATATTTTACGGATGAAAAATATTTAGACACCAATACTTCCAGTACTTTTTTGGATTCGACAGCGTCTTATAATCCGTCAGGTTGTGGGCCTTGCGCTGCGTCCTGTGGATCTTCAATGATATTAGGAGAAGCGAATGATGGCCAATTACCCGATTCCAATTTGATAATTGATCCACAGCCATCAACAGAACCCAAAGCTATACCGTATATAAAATGCAGTGCTACAATTCAGGATGACGAGGCTTTTAAGCCTACAAGAAAAGATAGTGTAGCTAAGGGTCTAAAAGACGTGATAGAAATCCAATATGAAAAAGCTGAAGAGCCGTCTAGATCAATTACCTCAACTGGGGATAAGCATCCAGGAAATAGCACACACGGTTACAGAAATATACCAAAGATATACTTTGGAAGTCGAACGTAAGTTTGTTGGGAATATTCAAATAGTATTGATGCTTGAAATTTTCAACTGTGTCAATGGCTCCTAAAATGGGGTCTTTTTTAGACACAAACAAATTACTCAATTAGTCAAAGAGCTAAAATCGAACACGGTATATCGACCAAGTAAGACATTTCCTGGTTGATTACTTTGCAACATCGTCTATATGGCCAATGAGATGGATATGCGAATGAAAGAAAACAAATGAAAATGGCCTTACTCTTTGTAAAAAAAATAAATGAAAACATTTAGAGATGGTCGTTTTGGGAAGTCGAAACCACTATTGCATCAATCCACATCTAAAGAAAGTAACAAACAAGAATGATGCATGCCAAGAGCTTCTTGATAGTGTTACTGGTGAAGGTTGCTATCAAAAGTCCCGAGCAGGTGAATTAGCCATGAAATTCACTGAACGCAAAGGCGGTCAAAACAAAATATGGGATATGGAGGATCTTGTGAAAACAGGGAAGAGCCTTCGAGGTAAACATTTCTCCTATTCATTAAAAAAAAAAAGGAAAAAAAAAACAAAAATTGGCAATTAACTTTATTATTACTATTTTTGTTATTTCCTCCTTTGAAAAACAGCATGTCCTTACTTCGCCGCGAGGTCAATGGCTGTAGATGCAGAGCTCGTGTTCTGCCCCTATGGCTATCTGATCGATCCTCGTAAGTCCTATAAGAAATCTGTGCCTCTCCAGTTTCCAGTTAGTTTGCAGCATATTAACGTTTTTTTTTTGTTCATGATAGAAATCCGTAGAGCCATGGAGATTAATCTCGACGAAAGCATAGTGATCCTGGATGAGGCTCACAATATCGAGGACGCGGCAAGAGAAGCAGGAGGCCTAGAAGTTGTGGACAGTGACTTGACGGCAGCCGCAATGCAATTCGGAGATATGGTCAAGCGTAATAACCTTGTCGATTGGTGCTTACCACTCCGGAATGTAAGTGGCATCGGAATCTCTATACTTCATATTTATGTTCTCACCTTAATGATGACAAATGTGCATCTCATTATTTGTTCTTCTGCTGAAATGCCTTAATATCTTTCAATCACGCAGCTCGCGGAAATGTTTTTATCTATGCTGAATGACCAAGTCAAGTTTAGTATTAGAGAGTATGAACAATCCACAGAAATGTAAGTAACTTGGCTTGAAACCTTTTTTTTTTATATTTTTTTATAAAAGAAATATATAAACTCTGATACTGGCAGTTAAATGATTAAAAACTAGTTGGACAGGTCAAGAGATGCTTGCGAATCTCGACAGGCGCGGTGTCAGCAGACATACTATTCATGTTTATGACCGAGCATGCCAAGGGTTGTCCAAAGCTCTTAAAGAGCAGAAGGACCAACTTAAAGAGCTGAATAAGCGAAATAATAATACTTCCAGGGAAATTGAAGGAGGAAAGCCCAAATTTGATCCAGAAGCTTACATTGCTATTTCTCCAAGAACTTTGCGTGTGATGGAAGGGATTATAACGGTACTTATGCGACTAATGGATCCGGATCTGGATTGTGTAGACGACTATAAAGTCGTACTAGTAGAGTCTGTAGCTCGCCGCGATCCAAGCGCAGATAATGGAAGTGCAGATGATGCAGAAAGTTCGGATGAAGCAGAAAGGGGTGGAGGCTCTTCCACCAAAGGAAAGAGGAAACCAGCTCAAAGAAAGACCCAGACCAGTTTACTGAAAGGGAAAATTGCAGCAAAAATAAGAGAGCTCAAATTTTGGTGCATGAATCCTGGCCTCATATTCCAGCCGATCTCCTCGAAAGTACGATCGATTATCCTTACTAGTGGCACGCTTTCACCTATGGACACCTTTGCCTCCGAGCTCCAAACATCTTTCAAGATCCAACTAGAGGCAGGTCACATCATTCAAAAGTCGCAAGTATGGGCAGGAGCACTCCCGCTTGGACCAAATGGTGTCAAGATGGATGGTACCTACCGCTCTGCAAGCAGTTACCCATACCAAGATGAGCTTGGGCGCGTTATAGAGCGAATCATCACCATAACGCCTCACGGAGTCCTTTGCTTCCTATCCTCCTATAGCCTTTTGGATAACCTGATGGCTCGTTGGCGTGCAACCGGACAGTACGACCGCTTATGCGCTATCAAAAAGGTGATACAGGAGCCGAGGAAAGCACCAAACAAAATTTTTGACAAAACACTCAGAGGATTTTATGCACACATTGCGAGTCATGTAGAAAAAGGATCCAATGGGGGCGCCATCATGTTTGCAGTTTTTCGAGGTAAATGCTCCGAAGGGATCGATTTTACAGACTCCAACTGTCGGGCTGTACTAGCAGTGAGCATCCCTTTCCCAGGGCTTCATGACCTCAAGATCAAGTTAAAGAAAGAGTATAACGATAGTCAATCCCGACGGTATCGTGAACACACTCAGTTGATGCATCATCAATCTTTGCAGAGCCTGGATCATTCCAGTGGCAATTCTGCACAGAGCGCTCAGCTTGCAGCAATGATTGCTAAACGCAATCAAGGCCGGCCATTGCTTAATGGCAATCGCTGGTATGAGATCCAGGCTTTTCGAGCATACAATCAGGCTATTGGTCGCTGTATTCGACACCGACGAGACTGGGGTGCCATGGTGTTATTGGACCATCGTTTTAGTCAGCTTTCCAACCAGCAGTGTCTATCTAAATGGGTACGCCCGCTTGTCAGGACTTTTTGGGATTTTGAGCAAGGAGTTAATGATATGATGACATGGATAAAGCCCCTATGTTCTGACGGAGTTGTTATACTAGAAGAGGTTGTTAGAGAAGTAACTACGCTTATTGAACAAGCACCAGGGCAGGATAGACAAGAAGCATGTCATGCTGTCCAAGTCACCGATGATCTTTCGATAGATAGCTCGAGGCAGGAAGGGAACGACAGGAGAGAAGAGGCAATCGTCAATTCGGAAGTTAAATCCATTCAACTGGGCGAACGGGAAGGAAAACCAGAGGGAGATATTTCAACATGTGAAGACACTGTGGGTCATATAACAACGGACCTAGAGGCAAAGTTACATGAACCAAAGAATGAGGATGTTGATTATGGGGGTCCTGCTGGCCAGGACGGATCGGATATTAATGATTGGAATAATGAATGGGCGCTTGATCCAGCCGATGGCCTGTTAGATGGTGCTAACGATAACAGGCGCAGTCAAATGCAGAAGCAACTTTGCAGTGATGATATTTACCACGCGGTGTCTGAGGCACAGCAGCATGGGGCGGATGACGACTGGGGCTCTGATCTTGAAGCAGATGTCACTGCAGAGTTGGATGCTGGTTTCGAGAGCGAAAGCGAAAGCGAAACGCAGCAGAGGTCTAATGAATCTGATGACTTTCAAAACCTCGATGAAGGCGATAACATGCAAGCCCATGAGGCTGTATCAGACATGAGTACTACCGCTAAACGCAATTCTTCTGAGACTCCAGGCATGTCTATCACCGAAGCGACTGCGCTTATGCCAGTGTCTATTTCATCCACGAATATTGATGCCGAGAGTCGTGCCCCTTCGTCACAAAGTGTAGATAGCACACATCCCCATCCTAAAGCGTCGTCTCCTTTGTATTCTGCATTTTCATCAGTACGATCTCTACCTGTTTGGCCATCCGAATTTCCTTATGAGCTAGACGTGTCAAATTCGCTGACTAAGAAGTCCATGGTCCTATCTGGATTAGGATCCGATATTGATCTTCGTGTAGTTTGTAAGGTATGCAGTGGACCTTTGTTGTCTTGCTCTGAGCGTCCCAAGATCAAGATAGTGCATAAATCAATGGCCAATGAGATGGTGATGAACCGTAAGCGAGAAATCCAGGATGGATTGTTATTTGCACAATCTATGAACCAACAGACATCAGTCGTTACAAATGATTATATTCCTAATACCAATGGTACATCAGGAATGAGGTCACTAATTCCTGCGCTCAAGCGGTCTATTAGTAATCAAAGTTTGGAAGGTGTTGTCTCATTGGCTGCGGAGCCTTCTGCAGGGACAATGATCCTAGTGATTTCAAAGTCAAATGTCAAGGAAGATTCTGAGACACAGCTTAGCATGGATGAGTTGGATTGTATATGGCGTCCAGAGGATGGCCTATTTTACCGGCGGATTGTATGCGCTCAATGTAACCGTGGCTGTTCATCTATGTCCATTGGTGAAGCTCACTCTCATCTTACCATTGTAAAAACTGCTTCGGGAAATCGCGTCATTCCAGGATGGAAGGGAGTTATTGTGGTGGGTCGCAGCGATGATAGCATTGCAGAAAAGGGTAGTGCAGATGAGTTAGGCACAGTTTGGTTGACTCCAGGGGAGACAAGAATATTGTAATAAGCAGCTTCTTCTTCAATCGATATTCGGTAATACGTGCTTCCATTTATGCAATAAAGTAGTTCATTGAATGCTGTATAGTACGATACGTCTATTTTAACACAGCACAACATTTCGCAGCGGATTCTTTTCCATATCATTCGTTTGGTTTACTTCTTGTGTTGCGTCAGCTCCACAACGAAAATGCCACTAGCCATGTAGTCGTTTTTTCTGGAGTACGTTTGCATGAAAATGGGCAAAACCCTATATAGGCTTGCAGCCACAGGAGTTAGTGTCAGTATTAGGAGGTTTTTGTTCTCATCTGGCATGGTTTTCAATGGACATGAAACTGGAAATAAAAATTGAGAAATAGGGCTTGCGGCAATTATTACTGGGCAAAGGGATGGATGGATATTCTGAGCAGTCAAGGTTTATTAGCGCATTTGGATTAATGATAACGGTGATAGTGGCAGTAAGTGCAATAAATGAGAATATTAGACGAGTGATTAGAGAATGTAAACCACAGAAGAAACAAATTTAAATGGAGAGGAAGATCTAGTCAAGCGGCGAGCTGGAGAACCGGGAAGAAGAGCTGACCGGAAATTGTACAGCTATTATCGCAAACGAAAAGAAGATCAATAGAAAGACGGAAAAGGAATAATAGAAGAATAAAGTAGAGACAAGACGGATGACCTGGTAAAAAATCTACATAAAGGGTTCAGCGCTCGCAAATGGAGCAAGACACGCCTGCTGAATAAGATGAGAGAGAAGAGAATGTAAATATGTATGGAGTGAGTGTGGATCCCCAGAAAAAAATATCTTTTAGCCATTAACATGTCTCTTTATCCAAGGTAAACCATACCCAAAGTGATATGCAGAACCGCGCATTTTCGTTCACCATATGTTAGCAATGCTTGGTAATGGGCCATCCAAACGTTTACTCGAGCCCTTTTCCCCATTATGTAGCACAGGTCAACTACCGAGAAACTTAATGCAATACCTGGTGCATGTACATTGTTGATTAGCCATCTCTGTCTTAAAAAATTACAATACTGGCTGATAGTTTGAAGGCTATGGTATAACGCAGTTAAGCGTTCCGAATTCATACCATCTTTCCGATCAACTTAAAGCTTGTTGGCACTTCTAGGGTGCACACACTCAAATAGGTTCTACACAAACGTGCGCGGGTGAGGCAGGAGAGGGAAAGAGAATCCCGTATTTAAAGAAGCTAAGGAAGGAGCCAAGCAAAGACGAAAGAGGAAATGGCGATGAAGTGACCCTTCTATTGCAGTGCACAGCCAGTTAGACCTTTTCGATGCCTCCTTGCTCCACTCACCTTTCTCTATAGAAAAGGCTGCAACAAGGTCAAAAAAGAAAAGGAAGAAACGCCATGTCATGAAAATGACAAGCGATAACTTTTGACCTATTAGAAGAAATCCAAGAAAGACGCGTCTTGATTGAGGAAACCAGTCACAAGATCGCTGGACAATGCCCTCTCTTATTCCTTTTTCCTTTGATTAAACTCGTTGGAAACATTGAGCTAGGACAGTAGATCGACGACATTACGCTTTGGAAGATTTACTAATTCAGCATGGATCCCTCTCAAGGCATGTGTGCATGCTCTGATGCATGATTCAACTGCTATCAAACCAGGCCAATCCATAATGCGAAGAACACATAACTATTCGTAGCCTCAATACTGATTGTTATTATTTTTAATTTTCCTCATCATGGTAGTGATCCCAACGTTCTATCTCCATTCTATGCACCGATGGACGACAGATGAAATTACTAGCCTAAGAGATACGGTTCAGTACGAATTAACTAGGGATTGATAAGCTGCATATTTACGCTCTTTTTTTATTCTTTGTCTAAAACTCATTTTCCACAACTATCTTTCCTTGATCCATCACTCCTTTTTTCTTCCAACAAAGTCACATAGCCCAGCAAAACGCGTCAACTATCAAATATGATCACATCAACTTCGTAAGTCTGCCGGGGCAACTTCCTAGAAAGAAAGAAATGAGTCGGTTTTGATCATATTTTACACATTCGGGCTAACAAAATTGCTTGCAAATTTATCTTAAAATGTACCACTAGATGTTCGTGATCAACGGCGCAAACCCAAGCATGCAAAAGCAAGCGTAAGCATAGCTACTTCGCAGCTTTCCCTCTACTTGTTTACTGTGGCTACTAATGTTGTTTTGTTTTATATATAATCGATGTAGGATGGTAGCCTTAAGTGATTTGCTCGCCAGCAAGGTAGACTTGATATAGTGGTCGTGCGGAATGTATAGAATGCGAGATAGTCAGCTCACTCATTACCTTTATTTCTCATGCATCATCTAGTGTCCTGTGCCACCAAACTATCCACTAAAGCCCTTTCGTGATATACCTCAAGATTTATCCACACCCGCAGCTTCATCAACTTCCACAGACGGGTCCTCAGAATTGCTAATTGACCTCGATGCTCTATCTGTGTCTGTGCCATCTATCAAAGCTGATGAAAAACCTAGGCATACTATGGAATTTCGGGTTGATGACAGGGTTGATAATCCTTTTGAAATGTATTACGCGGATAAGAGACAAAAACTTGATCTCCCAACAGTGCTCGCCGAAACCTATTTCTGCACTGCCGAAGTGGTTGCAGATGGGCGCGTAAGTGAAGTTGCGCAACTGGGGCTACGAAAAGTACGTTTGAAAGATTAAGTCTAATCTTGGGTTTTTTCTTGCTTTATGGTACAACCAATTACAATAGATTGTCAAAATTACAGGCGATGCAGTTGCCAATGTCAATATGGTCTACCAACAGCTGCAGCTGGCTCAAGAATATTTTCTCCGTGCCCCATTTCGCCTTGACAAAGCCACGCTTGTTTACGGGAGCAACCGCGATGAGTTTCGTCTTTTCTTTTTTCCAGTTGAGGAGCATACTTACTATTCAAAGATATTAGCTTATTTGCCTTCATCTCTGTCACAGATGAGCCCCAAGCAAATGTGTGTCATTGAAAAGGCTGTTTATGACGCGTCTCGTGCCACTTGGGTTCTAGCCAACAATGTCAGATTACCTTCTCGTGCTCCCAATATGCAACCAAAGCTGCAATCCAACAATGCCACTAGCGGCGGCACCCAGTCTGGAAGGGGGTCACCTCAGCAGCCTTTGAATAGAGGATCACCATCCCGAGACCAGCAAAACCAATCCTCATCGCCCTCACCTTCTCGTAATTCCTATTCTCGTGCATCTGAATCGCAAGAGACGGGAAGCCTGTCAACCGGCTCTAGTGGCTCTGGGGCAATGAAAGGCCGTAACACATTTGAGAAGGAGGTGCCCACACCATGGTCGTCCTGGAAAGAGTCATCGCCAACGGTTGGGGCTCCAGCTCAATCTTCTACCCAAGTGGCTTGGGGTGGATTAAATGCAAGTAGGCCGCCATCAATGCGACCGTCTTCCTCCAGTCAAGGAGTCGTTCGCCCAGCACCGCAGTTGGAATGGGCGGCGACCGCTTTCGAAACTCGAGATGAAGATGATTTCCCTTCATTATCCGGCCCTTCAAAGGCGGCTCCCAAGCCAGCTTCCAAGTCTGGTATGCCCAAATTGCCGCCCGTACGTCAAGTGGGGTCTCCTGGTCTCGGTTTCAACGCACCAAAGCCACAGCCTCAACGAGGTACAACCGAATCAAATGCAAACCAACCAACCAGCAGATCAGTAAATGGTAATCTTGTTTTTGGAGAGCGAGAACTTGAATTCCTCGAGAATCTCCCTGACTCCAGACCAAAAGAAAGCGATAGTAAGGGATTAGAGCAGGCCAGGTTGCGGGACCCATCTAAGGAAAGAAAGGATGCCCAGAGGACTTTACGCGTTTTGCCACAATTGCAAGCATCACCAGTTCAGTCTAATCCAGGTTCACATGCACCTTTAAACACATTCAACTACGAGATCAGGCGATACAATATGCGCCGACTCACAGAGTCCATCTGGAACGGCCTGAAGGAGCTGCGAGGGCAACGCAAGGAAATGCGACTTGTCGGGCGAATTGGATGTGTTATGTATCCCACTAAGTCTGGACCTAATAAGTTCTGGGAATATACACAGCTTGAAAACCTCATTTCTCAACATCGTGAGCTTCGCCCCATATTTTCCCCAATGTAAGTTTAAGCGAGTTAAGGATAACACACTTTATGCCTTAAGGCATAATATAAATAATAGACGTAATAGGGATGCATGGGAAATACGTTATGCTTTACGCCCATAAATTTTATATCCATTAACATCCATCTTGGTTCATCTCATTGACTAAATAGTGTTACAACCATCAATGACAATGTGAATAATCTTTACGGGCTTTTAGGGTCACCTAAGTCAGAATCTGCTTCTTTCGAGATTGAATGTGATACAAGAACCAACCCAACATCAAAGTATACTCGTACGTTGGTGACCATTCCTTCGACTATAGCCACTTTAGAACGCGTGGTGACCCCCTGGGAGACATATGGTGAGGTGACTTGGAACGCAATGGACAAACACATGGACTTTGCGATTGCCCTTGAAGCGCGCGAAGGGGTTAGTTATAACACAAAAACCGCTCTCGGACGAACGGACGTCAAGCCTTTCAGTGTTTTCCGCAAGAAGCTTTCAATTGGGTAGGCGTTTGAAGTTGAGTTAGAATGCTATGCATACACGATTTGTATATTCATTTTCGTGCTATGTAGTATATTAACAATCTGTATGCATTTATGCTTGTATTTAATAGCACTCACAATAGCCACATTACCTGTCACAATGTCAAGGATTTCCTTACGGTCCGTGCTATCAACTTTAGAGACACCCGAACATATGAAAAAATGGGAGATTATGTAACCGTGATCCATCGCATTGAAGAATTGAACTTGATCAGAGCCGAAGGTCTTGACACTGTTACAGGCAGAACGGGAGGATCTGGCAAGAAGTGGTTTGAATTTGAGGTAATAGAGAACATTCCTTGTTGATGCATCATATTGTTGTTATTGTTTATGACTCCTATATCCACAATGATTGGACTAACAGGAAGAGATGTTGGCTTGTATGTTTTAGGTGTACGATGAGACGATTAACCACAAGCTCGTCTCCAATCTGACTATGATCCCAGGAACAGTTGCTGACTGGACTGTTGAAGATATCCTTGGGACAGATCCCAACAACTCTGACAAGCTGGCATATTTGGTCAAGGGTATGATGACTCTGGTTGACCATTGTCATGAAAAATTTGATCATTAAACAAAAAAAAAAAAAACCAATAGCTTGTGGGCTACGAACTAGAAGAAAACTAGCTGTATTTATTATAATGATGTCTATGGTACAATAGTCTATGCATAGCATTTCTTTCAACCTTGACTTGGATCCTGTAAATGAGGCTGAAGTTGTTGTTGCTGTTGCTGTTGTTGCTGTTGCTGCTGTTGCTGCTGCTGGTGAAGCATCTGTTGCTGTTGAAGCAATTGCTGATGCTGCTGCTGCAGTTGAAATCGTTGCTGAAATGTAAGTGGTGATCCGAATGGTGCTCCTGGAAGACCTTGCATCATGTTGGGGGTTCCTGCTGTTTGACCTGGTATTCCCATTGTCTGAATCGGGCTATTGTTGATATTTACTAGCGAGTGTACATATGCAACAAATGGTTATAAAATAAATAACAATTGTCAATGAGAGTGTTGGGTGAGGCATAGTTGATTAGACATTCATATACAAATATATTCTACCTGGTCCAGCTTGCGACGAAGCTTGTTGGTGCTGAAAAGCAAGTTGTTGCTGCTGTTGCTGCTGTTGCTGAGCTTGTTGGGCTTGTTGCTGTAAGATCCTATTCCTTTGCTGCTGTATGAGTTGCGCCTGCATCAAGAACTGCTGCTGCTCTGGACTGATTGCACCGATCGGGTTTGCCGGCGACATGAGGTTAGGGGAGTTCACAACACCTTGTTGTAACTGTTGGAGCTGCTGCTGCTGTTGTTGAAGAGTAGCCGGCATTCCTACTGTCAGGTTCGGGATGGGTACTTTCAAGAAAAGCAGTCCGACTAAGCTGAGTCGCTTTTCGTTGTAGATCAGAACCAACCCAGCATTCGGCCCAATTTGTGGGAACCGGACAGTTGCAACAGCCTTCTTAAGACCCAAGTTCTTGAGCAGTACATCAAAAATAGAACTGTTTTCCATTGAGCTTCCTGCTGCTGGATAAATGTGAATGATCGGTAAGCTGTGCGTCTCCGCTAATTTTTGTAACTCAGAAGTCTTTGCAGGCATCTGACCCGTTATCAAGAGCTTTTTGGGCCACAACGAAAATGAACTACAGGGAAAAAATACAGACGTTATCAATTGCCATTAGCCATTAACCACTAGCCTAGTGGATAATAAACAAATATATTAGTGAGCTTACTATTCTTCCTCAAGTGACTTATCAAGCTTTTTTCCGCCAAAGGTAGAGATCGAACAAACGTATTCACGAGATGGGCTGTTAGGCGGGCTGATAATCCAAGCTAATTCACCGGACCAGATCGGATCACTTCCCAGCCCAAAGTGACGTTGTTGCTGCTGCTGTGCTTGTTGGAGTTGAAGCTGATGCTGATGATGCAAACTTTGAAGCTGTTGCTGCTGAGGCAATATATGAGGTTGAGGTTGTCCAATAGGCGGCTGTACCCCAGGTTGCTGATGTTGCTGCTGAGGTGGCGGTTGTTGCTGCGGTTGTTGTATTTGTTGTCCATCTTGTAGTAAGGTCATGGGTCCTGGTTGGAGTTGTGGGGTGTTTTGCTGTTGCTGCTGCTGCTGCTGCTGCTGCTGCTGTTGTTGTTGTTGTTGCATCTGCTGTGCTCTTTGCTGTAAGAACATGTTTTGTAACTGCTGTTGCTGTTGTTGCTGCTGCTGCTGTTGCTGTTGTTGTTGCTGCTGCTGCTGTTGTTGCTGTTGTTGCTGCTGCTGCTGCTGCTGCTGTTGTTGCTGCTGTTGCTGCTGTTGTTGAGGCACTTGCTGCTGCTGAGGCACTTGCTGCTGTTGGGCCTGAGATGACTGCTGTTGTATCTGCTGAAGAGCCTGTTGTCGCTGCTGTAATTGTATTAACTGCTGCTGTTGTTGAGGTGTCAAAGCAACACCTGCGGCTCTTTGCTGTATAATTCGCAATGCATGTAGTTTTGTGGTTGGAATGTTAGGAGGTAAGCCTGGAGGTGGGCGTTGCTGTGAAGGCTGCTGTTGAGGTTGTTGGGGTTGTTGTTGATTTTGCTGCTGATGTTGTTGTTGGGACTGCTGCGGTTGTTGTTGGACAGCTGGAGCCACTACGGGAGATCCACTAGGGATGCTGGCCACCGGTGATCCTATATTTCGTTGGAGTGGAGACCCAATCACAGCAGATTTAGCGGCCAATGGAGATCCAATTCCAGAAGTCACCCCTGGGATCTGCAATTGCTGGTTTGATTGTTGGGGCTGCTGAAGAGATTGCAATGGCTGCGCTTTCAAGTGCTGCTGCTGTTGCTGATATAAATTGTACTCCTGGCTTGTAGGGACTGCAGCTGGCTTTACTGGACTTGCATTCACGCCAATACCTCCTGACGTTGGAGGTATATGATTTGGAAAATTTACTTGTTGCTGTTGCTGTTGCTGTTGCTGTTGCTGTTGCTGCTGCTGCTGCTGCTGCTGCTGCTGCTGTTGTTGTTGTTGTTGTTGTTGTTGTTGTTGTTGTTGTTGTAGTAACAGCTGGCGCTGAATCTGCTGCTGCTGCTGCTGCTGTGCTTGTCTCTGTGCCTGTGCTAAATGCACTGCTTGTTGAGCTTGCTGCTGCTGAGCTTGCTGGGCAGCCAACTGAGCAGCGTGTTGTACAGCAATTTGCGCAGCTTGCTGCTGAGCTATCTGAGCCTGTTGCTGCTTGATGACGGGTGACATCTGCTGCTTGATGAGTGGTGACATTTGTTGCGACTGCTGTGGTTGTTGGGGCGGTTGTGACTGAGATTGCTGCTGTAGTTGTTGTGCTTGTTGCGCTTGTTGCGCTTGCTGTGCTTGGACCGCTTGGGCTGCAAGTTGCTGGCGTTGAAGTTGTATTGCTTTGATTGCTTGCAGGTGTTGAGGAGTCATCTGAGGAGACATAGTAGGGATTTGTCCGGATGTTGTCTGCGACGAAGCAGGGGGCTGTTGCAGAGGCTGCGAAAGTTGCGTAAGTTGTGGAGGCTGTGGCGATTGCTGTTGCTGTTGCTGTTGTAATACTTGCTGCTGCTGCTGCTGCTGCTGCTGCTGTTGGGGCGCTTGTGGATGAGGGGAGCTCTTTGGCGGTATCGGAACACGCGTCTTTGGTAACGCAGGACTTACTACTGTCGTACTATCATCAGCATTCGTTTCTGGTATTGATATGGCCCCTACGTGAGTGTCCGCACCCGTCTTGGTTCCTTGGTCCTGTGAAGACTTTTTCGGATCATCTAGTGGCGGTACAGTTGCAGTTGGAGTATGACCATCATCCACCTTAGTCCTTTTGGCAGAATTCCCTGAAAGACTTGGGGAGTTCTCTGTAGCGGCTGGCGAGCTCGCAGAGGTCTCTCTTTTAAGATCCATGGACTCTGGAGGCCCGTTTATACTGCCACGTTTCAGCCCTGCATTTGGACCCAAGTGATTGTCTGGCGGAATGGGTGCAGAGGGTAGTTGAAATCCTGCTAATTTGACAACATGGGCTGGAGACGCTTTCGGGATTGCATCATTAATTTCAGTAGACGTGTGAGGGTTAACCTGGTTGGAGGAAGTTAATGATATCAGTGTAGACTGTTAATAAATGAGCAATTTTCCAACTTAGAAATGATAAAGAGTACACAAGTCGCCGGATTTCACCTTTTTAACCAGATCTAGCAACTCGCTGTGTTCTGACGGTGAGATCAGTGATAGTGATATCGAGCGCTATTGATTTTTTTTTTTTTTTTTTTTTTTTTTTTGCAAATTTATCCATGTGTTCCTCAGTTAAATTAGCTTTGTGCTTCATTATTCTTCGCCAGATTTGAAATTGATTACAACTAACCCTGTGTAATTCCTGAGCGGCACTCTCCAGATCAAAGTTGTCATATCGCTCGCTAGAATTGCATCGGCAACCAGTCATATGCGGAGCGCTGTCGGCGACAAGAATGAGGTGACGTTCCGGATCTATACTGTCGGTTGTACGATATTCATCGTGTTGGTCAAACATCTATAACGCCGAAACAGATTCAGAATGGAACAAGGGGACATTAGGGTGTATCGTACGATAGTCATTTCATGAAAGCGATAGCCATTTTTTCTTAAACGTACCTCGAGCGCTGCTACAAGTCCCTCAGTCACAGCATTACGAAAGACTCCACCATATTCAAACTTGATACCTTTTAGTTCACGCAGGAATGACAAGGAATCATTCGTAAAGTAACGAGTATCGACCGTTAATGCAGAACTTGGTTGATAGTCACCATAAACTATCAATCCGCAGCGTACAAGAGGCTATACAAAGGGAGCAGGGTGTACTCTTAGTCAGCCAAGTTTACTGTAGTTACTGCAAAACGAGTAATTGAATATGCTGCTGTTGCTCCAATTGATGCTTTCACTGCTTCCCGTTGGATATCCAATAACTGCGAATATTGTTATGAAGTCTTACTGCATCTTTCGGGCGAGGCTGGTTTGTTTCAGGATCAGTAGGAGGTGTACGGAAGTGTCTATCAATCATACAACAGGAGCATTGAAATACGGTGTTTAATAAAGCCCAGCATGCAAAATTGTGTGATGGGGAAGCTGTTACATTATTTACAATAGATCTGCTTCGACAATGATCTCCTTACCTTAGAATAGGTTCAATGTACGCAATGAGGATCGAGTCAAATTTCAGTCCCATTCTGGCTGAGTTCTCGATGACAAACACGCACAGGATTTCGTGTCTCTGCAATAGAGGTCCTGGTGTCGATACATTATGAAGGGGCATTGGTGATGCACTCGCTCCAGGTGATGCCATGCCAAAGGCAGGCGATGCAGCAGTTGGTCCTGCCGAGGGTGTGTGAGCATTAGCTGCCAACATGACTGGAGGTTTAAAAAAAGGGAGCCAGGTTGTTTATTTGTGCCTCTCTGGTCTTTGTTTTTGCGTACAATAAACTACTAAATGGTGAGCAAATAGGCAAATGGCAATATGTGTTAACAGTCAATAGCCAATCAAGACGTGCAAATGAAGGGAAGAAAGGGACTACACAGGAGAAATGGCGGAAATGGCCACGAGAGATGCGGATGATATGAAGGAAAAAGGAAAAAGCAAAAAAAGAGCACATGTAGTTGGACGATGAGCAACAGGTTTTTATCTGTCTTGAAGTATTGCGCGGCACTTAAATTGAGCTTGCTTATAAGAACGGATTTGCATTGTCTTGACAAGACTCGCTGCCACTGAGTGCAAATGTCTTATTATCCAATGTCATATTGCCCATTAGGTCTTCAAACAGAGGCCGTCGAATGGTTTGTATTTTGAATATTTGTGTCCGCTCAACCTCGGCTAGCACACTTGGCTCCAGCACATCTGTTCCTTGGCCCTGCCGCACTTTAACTCGCGTATAAGCCTCCACTGGCCGCCTACATGACAACCGGATCCTACAGCCGGTGTATTTCATTTCCGGTCGCTGACATGGGTTCATGGGAGGACTGTCTGGTAACTCTACATAGAGCGGGATCACATTTTCATGAACCCATTCTAGCGAATACCCTGAGCGCTCAAAGATTCGGTCAATCCAATGCATGCGCGTTTTAAGTGCCACAGCTTTTGGCCGCTCCTCTCTGTCTTTAGTCACAATAAATATCACCTTCCCTGCAATGTCCGTCGGTACTCCATATATCTCGGACTCAGACTGATCCAATACGCAAATAGGCTCTAAAAGGCCAATGTGTGAAGGATAAGCTGTAGAGATAGAAGCTAAGATACTGTCCAGTCGTCTGAACTCCTCCGCAAATAATTGCACACACTGCTCCTTGAGTTCCTCTGAGCTATGGTAACTCGCCGGGGGAAATCTGGCCTGCAGGAGAGCCCATGAGTCGTCAACAATATACAAACTTTGAAGCTTAGTGGACGCATTCTGAACCTGAATATCTGCCAAATGTTTCCTGTCATAAAGATCCATGTGAAATGGTGCCGCAAGCATCGCTCTGACATGCAGATCAGACTTGAGCGACATGACCACAGCTAAAACATTGGACTGCAACGGATTTATCTTATGAGTATTGCTCATGTCTGTATGTTCAGATGTATCTCGTGGTGATCCCGGAACGTCATTCGCATTGCCAGAGTCAACAATTTCCGGTAGTACGCGCACAATTTCAGACAACAGCTCTGCGTGATATTTGAGTATGGGGCAAAATAGATCTATAATATAGCATTGAAAATCCATCAAAACAACGAAGCAGCTAAGTGAGAACTGCATTGAGTGTAAATGAATGCATTATGATACCTGAGTATAAAATAACAAGGTGTCGCCGCGATCTGTCGACCTCAGATAACTGATCAAGTTTTGAGTAAATCTTTGCCATCAATGTACTGCAATTTTGTGCTGTCAATCCTGCTTTCAAGTCAACCAGGTCTGACTCGAAAGGATGTTTATCTGGCTGCTGTATATCTGAATACTGTAGTATGCCACTGGAGACTATATTCTTCTGTTCTTGTTGGACCAGAAAGGAGCTGAAGTCGGGATTACATTCATTGTAACTCCCACAAGGTTGGGCAGAAGAGAGAATAGGAGGCATGAGTTGAATGTCTTCGGGATTATTCCCCGATTTTCAATGTAAGCTTCAATCCTGTAAGATTTCTTTTTTGTTTACGTGTTAATTAAAATAGAAATGACAAAGATTCGGTGCCACCAAGTTTTTTTTTTTTTTTATGGCTTAAATTTTTTGTGGAGATGTGGAGAACAGAGACAGTTTATTTAGTTCTTTCATGGTTTTTCATTTGTGCCAGAACCCGAACTGCTGGTACATGGTTGTTTAGATTGTTCTGCGTTCGGGGTGTCGTCATCCAGTGCTGTGGTCTCAAACAAAACAGTATCTTGAGTTGGATGCACTTTGAATGTAGTTGATGGCCCTGAGGGTATTGGTGGAAAAGCGATAGGTGTACCTGCTGAAGGCGTCGGACCCAAAAATGTCTTTTGACTTAGTCCGGGGAGGTTAGCACCATTACTTGCTGCTGCATGAAGCCGCATATCCAGCGCTTTCAATGCCAACGCTCTAAAATAGATATTCGGAGGAGCAAAAGGCTTGTTAGGAAAAAAGGAAGGACCATCATCTAGATGATGTAAAAACCGCTTCACTATAAACTTGGTTTCCCTTTCTTTCAGTTCGTACCTCCGACGTTCTGCTTCGACGCGAAGACTGGCAGGCTGTGTCATAGGAAGGATCATACCCGACATTTGCGAGTTTTCAAGATTCTGTTCTAAACTGCCTCCAAACCCTAATGGTGAACATACACGAAACCGTACCAGGATCCCAAATACAAGGCTTGATAGGACTTTGACTGGAGGTCTAAAATGTAAAGATTGCAAAGGCGATTAATCCTTTGAAGAAACACACGAATGAAGAAAAAAGAGTCCATGTCCCATTAACCCTTATGAATAGCTCATTCCTATTAAAACATACTGAGCAGCCTCAGGAAAAAAAGAAGCAAAAGAAAATGTCTCGCTTCGGTCGCCTTGAATACCATCCTGAGTTTTGAAGAATCGTGAGTACACCCAGGAGATATAGAGGCCATAAATAGCCAGTATGAGTTGAATCTGACTGTGAGTAATAAGGCTTTCAAACACCATGAACCCTGCAAAAAGTATAGGCAATGTCTATCATAATGATGACGCACAGCGAGAATAGGTTATCATAAGTTATGTCAAATCCCTTTGTCTTATGCCTTTGAAGACAACAACCTTGTAGAAATCTACCTTGACGCGAACCGAAAAGACGCCCCAAACGGTGACCAGATGCTCAGGAACAAGCTGCTTGAACCCAACCAGGAAGCCTGCCATAACAGCGGTCAGTCCATAGGCTTGGGTTTCGTATCTTTCAATAAAAAAAAAAAAAAAAAAAAAAAAAAAAGGTACCTTAGTATGCAAGCGATACAACTAATCGCTGACAGATAAATGATCATTGATCTCATGCTTACAGAAGATCCTCGTTACCGCGGATAATATACACGAATAGACAGGTGAAGTAGAGGGCAAGCATACTGCCTATACTAGTGACAGCTAAGAACTTGAAGAACTCACGCGAGCCCCATGCTCTTTCTAGATACTTACCACTCCCTAACAGGACTGCAGTATTGATTGCAAACTGAAGCATGCAATGAAAAACAAAAAGGTTTGTGCGTAAGTATATTTTAAACCTGGTCATTTATCCCTCCTTTTCTCTCCAAAAAAAAAAAAAAAAAAAAAAAGAAAAGAAAACGCGCAACATCGTATCACGAAAGGTTTCGATCCTGGACATTCCATTATGATTCTGGACTTAGATATTCTTTCAAAATCTGCTACCCTTGATCATTTTGACTGTTGCCACACTCTCAGTAAAACAACGCGTTCCAAGCGCTTTTATGAACTTCAACTATAGTATCTTGGAGATGTCGTCTGTACTATTCTTATCCTGATAAACATATGCGCTCTACTATGGTCGGCTAATAACATTACCTGAATTATGCTCTTTTCAAAAAATGATGCTGTAGCAAATGTCCAAAATCGATACGGTGCCCTATCATGATAATGACAAATAAAAAATTTGTCATGACACATGTTTGATGCTTTATTCAAAAGCTTGATATAACAATCATGAAAACAATGATAGACAAGCAGACAAACGCATACAAGGCAGGCACCATGGCTATCAATGGGACGAACGATGAATCTGCATATGAGGTAGGTTGGTCTAAAGTGTCTGAGGTGCCTGTACTAGAGTCGATAGACGTGTAGCGAGCGAATAGCATGTCTCTAAAGCGCATGGTGAACCCTAAGGCTGTCAGAACCGTCATGGCTGTAGAGACGCTTTTTGTTAGTGGCGGCACATTAGAGAAGGTTGACCTCCAGCTGGCCGATGCAGCAGTGGAGGACATGGTAATAGAGGTGACAGATGCTGAGAAAGTGAATAACGGTGAATTAAATTGGTGATATCACATGACTGCATTTAGCTCATTGTCTCTCACTCTTGACTCACTCTGTGGCAATCTTGGACACAGTTCAGACAAAAGCAAAAGCCACGAATTTAAAAAATGGAAGCTGCGGTTGGTGCTACAAGGATCTTGACATGACCATTTTCAAATTGGGTCTTTTTTGTTTCTTTTATCCTCTTACTTCTTTTGTTTTTTATTTTCTGATATTGTCTTTTCTTCTTCTTCTTCTTCTTCTTCTTCTTCTTGTCCTATTCTTTTTTCATTCTTCCCATCTGTCCATCATATCTCCCCTTTCCCTCAACTCCTTACTTTTCCACTTATACAACTGTATGTTTGTTATCTGCTATGTATTATTTTTTGTAGTAATAATGGTTTTTTGCTTTTGTTGCTGTTTGTGCTTTGTTTTTGCAGTGCTAGTTTTGGTTTTCTCCATATTTCTTTGTTTCCAGTTCTTTTGACTCTTTCTTTTATTTATCCTATTGATATTATAGACATATAAAAACACACCATGACCTTCCGTCCTGACTACTGGACTGCCAACAAAGTCCGTGAGACCTTCATCTCTTTTTTCCGTGATCAGCACCAACACACATTTGTCCCAAGCTCATCCACCATCCCTCACGATGATCCCACTTTACTCTTTGCCAATGCAGGCATGAACCAGGTACATTTCAAATGGTTTATGTTTTGAATTGATCAGTTTAATGTGAGAAAAATCAGTCACAGTTTAGTAATAGAACCATGTGCTGATTTTTTTTGCTTCGGCAGTACAAACCCATCTTTTTGGGAACTATCGATCCCAACACAGAATTTGGAAAGCTTACACGCGCCGTTAACTCGCAAAAGTGCATTCGTGCTGGTTAGTTGACGATTTTTATATTTTGTTATTATTATGATTGGTTCAGCATTCATTTATTTTATCTTTCATGGCTCTGACTTTTAACATTTATCAATATTATAGGTGGAAAACATAATGATCTCGAAGATGTCGGCAAGGATACTTATCATCACACCTATTTTGAAATGTTGGGCAATTGGTCGTTTGGTGATTATTTTAAGGTAGATTTACTTTATTTTCCTATTGTGATCTTGTGGATCTTGCCGGCATATAAGGTCGCCGAAGAATCTTGCACTTACCAGTCATATCGTATAACTGTACACATATGTCTTATGATAGAAAGAGGCAATTGATATGGCCTGGACACTGTTGACTGAGGTCTATGGCTTACCCAAAGACCGCCTTTATGTTACTTACTTTGGAGGCGATGAAAAACAGGGATTGAGCCCCGATCTCGAAGCCAAGGAGCTTTGGCTTCAGGTCGGTGTTCCCGAAAACCGTATTCTCCCGGGCAGCGCTAAGGATAATTTTTGGGGTAATTATTTCGGCAGAGTGGCGCTGATCTATTGGAATTTAAGGATTGTGATGATTTAGTGCCTCGTTTGTTTTATCCTTTCCAACCTGCTAATCCTTTTTAAAATGTATTCCGCTATTTGACTTTTTATAGAGATGGGTGAGCAGGGTCCATGTGGCCCTTGCTCAGAGATCCACTTTGATCGTATTGGGGGCCGTGATGTGGCCCACTTAGTTAATGAAGATGATCCCAACGTAATTGAAGTTTGGAATCTCGTATTTATGTCTTTCAACCGCGAGTCTGATGGCTCATTACGCCCCCTTCCCAACAAACATATCGATACTGGAATGGGTTTCGAGCGCTTGGTTTCTATTCTTCAGAATAAAAGCTCCAATTATGACACCGACGTCTTCCAACCAATTTTCAGAGCTATCCAGAACGTCACCGGTGCTCGCCCTTACACAGGTTTATTAGGCGCTGAAGACAAGGATGGGATTGACATGGCCTATAGAGTGATTGCAGATCACGTCCGCACTTTGACCTTCTCCATCTCGGACGGCGGTGTGCCCAGTAACGAAGGACGTGGCTATGTTTTGAGACGTATTTTACGTCGTGGTTCTCGCTATGCTCGTAGAAAATTCGGCGTCCAGATTGGCTCCTTCTTTTCTTCGCTTGTGGATACAATCGTTTCTGAGTTTGTATGCCATCTTGATCTTTCACGTTGGCTTTCTATTTGTAAATTTTGGTTTCTCTTTTTCTCATAACCTGAACTTACATTAATATTTGGTTAAAATACTATAGGGTGATTCCTTTCCCGAAATTCGTTCACGCATTGATGATGTCAAGGAAATTTTGAACGAGGAGGAAGAAGCTTTTTCGCGTACTCTGGATCGCGGTGAGAAGCTCTTTGATGGATACCTTCAAAAGGCTATCGACGCTAAGGCTACTTATCTTTCTGGTGCTGACGTCTGGCGTCTCTACGATACATATGGGTTCCCCGTTGATCTGACTCGCTTGATGGCAGAGGAAAACGGTATCTCTGTGAATGAGGAGGAGTTTTCTAAGCAGCAGGAAGCTGCCAAAGCCCTAAGCAGAGCCGGTAAGGGTTCTGGCGCTGGTGCTAAAGAGGTTGTTGCCTTTGATGTCCATGACATTGCTTCTGTTGAAGCCAAGGAAACTGTCCCCAAAACCGATGACTCGTTCAAGTATCAATCTGGCAATGTCAATGCTCACATCAAGCTTATCTATCGCAACCACGAGTTCCCTGAAGATACATCTGCTATTGAGGATCAAAAGTCTTTCGGTATTCTCTTGGATCGTACAAACATGTACGCAGAACAAGGAGGTCAGGAATACGACACCGGTAGTATTACTGTAGATGGTAAAGCTGAGTTTGTTGTTGAGAACGTTCAGGTCTATGGTGGCTATGTTTTGCACACCGGATATCTCAAGTACGGCACTCTTCATGTTGGCGATGAGGTTGTTGTCCAGTTTGACGAGCTTCGCCGCTGGCCAATTCGCAACAATCATACTGGAACACATATCCTCAACTTCGCTCTTCGTGAGATTTTGGGCAATATTGTAGATCAGAAGGGCTCTTTGGTTGCGCCTGAAAAGCTTCGCTTCGATTTCACCTCTAAGAATGGAATGACACCTCAACAGATTCATGAAGCCGATTTGATGGCCAGCGACTTTATCAAGCGTAATCTTGTTGTATATTCTCAGGAAGTGCCTCTGAATATTGCCCGGCAGATCACAGGACTTCGTGCTGTATTCGGTGAAGTTTATCCCGATCCAGTCCGTGTTGTTAGCATTGGTTATGATGTGAACGAGATCTTGAAGGATGTTACAAATGAAAAGTGGGCCAAGACCAGTGTTGAGTTCTGCGGTGGAACGTAAGTTATCTTTTTGAAAATAGATATCATCTGTGGCGGTCACCTGGATTAAACAAAGCTTTCTAATACAATTTTTCTTCTTTTAATCACTATTTTGATGCTGAATAGGCACGTCGCTAAGACTGCTGACATCAAGCATTTTGTCATTATTGAGGAAAGCGGTATTGCAAAGGGTATACGACGGATTGTTGCTGTGACTGGAGAGGAGGCTTACCAGGCCGAGAGGGTCGCCAATGAATTTGAGCAAAAGCTGAATCACGTTGGCTCAGGTGCACTTTCTAGTTCAGCTTTGGAGCAGCAGCTCAAGGTCCTGGCTAAGGAATTGGATGAGATTGTGATTTCAGCCTATAGAAAATCGATTTTTAAGGAACGTTTCGCTGGTATCAAGAAAGCCTTCGATGATGCTGACAAGGCCCGTAAGGCCAAGCAGGTTAAAGATGCTGTAGAGCAGTGCAAGCAGCATTTTGAAACCGATCCCAAATCTAAGGTTTTTGTGGCCCTACTGGACGTTGGCTCGAACGCCAAGGCGACTGCAGCTGTGGTAACACATGTCAAGGCACAGCTCAAGGATAAGGCTGCATATGTGTTCTCAGTAGATGAAACCAACGGCAAGGTGTCTCACGCATGTGTTGTAGGTCAAGATATTCTGAATAGCGGGAACGATCTCAAAGCAACTGAATGGGCAGATGTGGTAGTTAAGATTGTAGGAGGACGTAAGGGTGGGAAAGATGATTCTGCTCAAGGCGCTGGGGAGCATGCAGACAAGGTGCAGGAGGCCATTGACGAGGCCAGAAAATATGCCGAATCGAAATTGAACTAAAATCGGGATGCTGGCTGTCATATTTTCTCATTCTCATTTTTACGCATTTTTCTCCTTTATATTTTATCATTCCAAAACGACATCAGTCTCAGATTCGTTTGTAATAAATCACTTGTAAGATCCATGATTTCCTTGCATGGCATGAATGATTATTTTACGTTTCGGTTAGTCAAAATAATTTCGCTTTTGTGCACTTTTTTTCACTAGACATTTTTTTTCACTGGTGGACTTAACCAGTGCGATACATTGTTAGTCTACAAGTAGCGAAATGGTGAATCCTAATATAAAAATATCCTGGTGTGCCCTTGGTGCACCATACCAACGGTGAGGATTTTCATAGTGGTGCACTGCACTAAAAAACATCTTACACCAGTGAAAAGTACTGATGGTTTATTTATTTCAGATTGGCTTCCGCCACAAAAAAAAATATATATATTAAACTGGTTTAAAAAAATATAAAAATAAAAAATATATTACAGCTTGGCTTGCTTCTGTCCAAAGAAACCAATCTTCTCTTGTGTGTCCTTCATCATGGTGTCAAGCTTGAGAGCAAGCATGATAGCACCTTTGACCTTGATCTTGCCGGTCATAAAAGCCTTTTGACCATTGGTCTTGCCCATAAAGAGATCAACAAAGTCCTTGTCCTTCATTTCAAGCACGATATCAGGCTTGAGACCTTCAATCTTACCCTTTTTCATCTGACCGATACCATTCTTCATATCCATCGTCCAAACAGCCGTGTCACCTTTGCTGTTCTTAACATTAAATAAGAAGACACCCTTGACCCTGGCCACCTCGGCCTTGCGCTCCTCATCCGATAGCACCTGGAGATACTCATATATCTGAAGAATAAGGAAGCTGGATTCAAATCCATCGTAACCAAGATCACCCTCCGCGCCTTTTGGAGGGCCCATGCCGAGGGAACGGAAGATCACATCGAGTTTCATAGCCATCATCATGGGACCTTTCAATCCAATTCTATCGGTGATGAAAGCACGTGCGCCCGAAAGATCTCCGACAGCTAACGCAACCATGTCCTCGTCTGTGAGAAAGAGTGTAATGTCAGGAGTACTAGGAGCAGGGCCTTCGTTGATGACACCTTTGTTCTTGACCTCAGCATGCCAAATCTTGACTTCTGCATTTGGCGACTTGTCCTTCTTGATGTGGAACTCAAAGATACCGTTAACCTGCTTGACTAGATCTTGGCGCTCCGAGGGTGAGAATGCATCCAGAGCTTCGTTAAGGCGAGCAAAAATCTCTGTAGATTGATAGGTGGACATTTTATGTTTGTGGTTGCGTAATTGATTGATTGATTCTTGTATCTGCGTTGTAGCTGTTGGCTGTTGGTGGATGATACGGCTTGGCAAGGGTTGGGTTTCGTGTTTTTGAATGGAGCACAATGAGGAGTGAATGAAAGAGATGAGGTGGAAGAATGGGTCTATTTTATAATGTGCACCCCGACGAAAAAAAAAAAATAAATCCGCGTGTGCCTTTCAATATTCAGGTGTGAAAGTCGTGAATAAGTTGAATGTGGGGCAAATGTCTCCGGCAGAGCAGAGAAATAAGGTTAGTACAGAGTTGTGGGGAAAGGAATTTCGGTTAACAGCGAGTTGTATCTCTTTACCCACCTTCTCTTTTTTTTTACTTCTGTTATTCTTCAAGTTTATGAGAACTTCTACCTTGTGTCTTGGTATCCTAAGCATGTGTACAGTATCCTTTCGGGAGCCAAGAAAAAAAGTATTGGAAATTTAACAAGAAAGCGGTTTTACAAAGACATCCAAACCTGTCATTCGATGCTCATTGGCTGACCGCAGCCGACCGCGGCTCAACTGTGCATGTGTACAAAGATGAGATGTTTCATAAAAATACTATGCTGTTGTCTAGAACTGGGATATCTCTCACAACTTTTCTACTACTACAGCACGTGAAAAGCATGATCAAGCACATGGTTCGTGCCCTTTGAACAGTCCTTCATCTTCAATGCAGGCTAGAAATACAAAACAATTCTTGATCATCAAAGTCTTTTTTTTTTTTTTTTTTTTTTTTTTTTTTGCAGCCAAGCATCACGTTTCATAGAAAACGATATTTTCAGTTAATACCCTTCGCTTTACAAATCAGATCATAACAATTGTACAGATTAGACATAAATGAAATGATACGATACGGTTTTCCACTAGAAGATTCAAGTCTTACACAAGGTTGGAATCTGTTAAAGTGGGACCTCATAATGTTTCTTCGAAAGGATAAAATAGCGTATAAAAACAAATAGAATTCAAGCCATCTTGACCATTAAGTAACCAACAAATATATGCAGCAACCTGCGCCATTATCAACACCGCTTCCCTTGGCACTAAAGCGATATTTCATTCTGACACTTCATCCACTCAGGTTTTTTCGCTTCTAATCTCCTTTAATATTTATCTCTCAATCCAATTTAGAAACTTAGTATCCTCTTAACAAAGTAGAAAAAAGGTAAAAGGACCCGAGGAACACTGACCTAACCTTGATTGCAGGGATATATACATTATTTATTCAGATGGTGATGGTACTCGCCATGCGTGAAAAGCATTGTATCCTAAAGTTTCATTGATGGACAACCATATTAGGACTCACTCGAAAATTACTGAAAGTAAAAAAAAGTGTCCTCTTTGAATATTTACATAAATCCAGGACTTCCACCTGAGCTCGTCGGGGCCATAAACAACCGACTAGGATGAAAGGCTGTTTTGAAGACGCGTTTTTCTATGTTTACAAGCGTTATAATGCTAGCCAATTGGCTCCAAAAGACTCTAATTGGCCAAATTTTAATTCTTACCATGTACTTTCAATTGACTGGCCAACATCTCGGTGCTCATTCTTCCATCAAATACCCAGATTTTGTTCTTGGATTCAATCTGCTGAATCAGTTCGAGTTCGGAGCTCCGCCATAGGCTAGCATATCGCTATCAGCCCGAGATAACGTCATCACCTGACCGAACAGAATACGGAAGCCAAGCTGGTCCTAACGTTGATAAAATGGTGCTACCGGATCCTGAGATTGTCATCAATGCCCTGCTTCTCCTCGAGCTGCCCTCCGAATCTTCCTGAAGTGTTCTTTTTCAGCCGCTTACCCTCCATCAACGTATAGAACAAGGTTGAGCCTAGCTTTAAGGTTCAGCAGGTACTGTTTGAGGATCATATATGCTTGATCTAGTGGGTTGTTGGAGCAGGCATTCTTGAAAGCAGAAAAAACGAGAGACATCAATTCTTCCTATTCGGCTAGCTATGGCTGTCGTTATCGTCGCCGGGTCGAGTCCTGAAGAGTCACGGATAAAAAGGAATCACGCTTTCAGACCCACTGTCGTCGAAGAATGCAGAAGAAAAGTGGAGAAGACAAGAGAATCTTTTTATGCACGATGACATCAATATCCCTGAAATAATTTCAATTGGTTGTTGCCCAGTTTGCTGTCATCCAAAAGAGGTCTAAACCCTGTTAAATAGTGCCTGAACTAGACAACTAAACCACTTTCTTGGTTCTTCTCTGTTTTTACTAGCTTCTTTAGTCATTGCCATTGCCATTGCCATTGCCAGATCTATTTTTTTTTAATTTTTTTTATTATTATATTATATTATATTATATTTTATTTTATTTTATTTTATTTTATTTTATTTTATTTTATTTTATTTTATTTTTTTGCAATGTTTCCAAGAATGAGTACTAATGACCGCACACTGTTTAAAACAATTTGTGCTGACTTTGAAGACATTCATCCAAGTGATCTACATGGCATTTCAAGACTTTTGGGTGCACAGTACTTATGCGAATCTAACGGCCCACACCGTCAGCAATATGTCAAAGGCATCGTCTGGGGTGCTAGTCTTCGTCTATTCGTTTCACTTCATGTCCAACTCACCGAATCCATCCTGACCCTCACTGGTACACGGAGACCGATCCATGTCCATTTTCTCTATCTCGCTGCATCTCCACAGACGTACATCACTGACGATGCATTAAGGACCATGGGTATTGAAGACATGGTTGTAGTAGGTGTGAATCATGGACAATCAAGCACAGGTTCTCTGCGATTGCCTCTCAAGATTAATGGATATCCTCTTCTTGTTGCACGATCTCCCTCTGATGCTCATTTTTCCCATCTCAATATCCTCGGTCAGGACTTCGTCCAGGTCACAGGGGCTGACGTTTTTTTCGGTGGTGACATTCCCCGATTCGAAATATCCTTCTTCTAAATTCCCTTAATTACTTTTGGCATTGCGTTCATCTTCCTCCTATAATTTTACAAAAGAGAGAGTAAAAAAAAAGGTTCAAGTATAAAAAACCTTGTCACAAGTCCTGAATTCATCATTATGATCTGGCTAGTACCTGCAGTTGAAACCGTAGGTCCCAATAACCGTTGATTTCTTTATCACTCTTTTTCATCGCTGCTTGTGATACTGTCCATTTATGGACAACACGCATTCACTCTTGGACGATTGACTACAACGGTGTCTCGCAGTTTAAAAGTAAAAAGAGGTCGTGGAGTTGCAACCATGAATCATAAACGATTCACAAAAATGAATTTTGTTGCAGATACACAAAACAATGACTGATACCTTTTTGTTCATATCTTCAGTTTATTGTGTTCCCATACTCTCCATATGATAAAACAAAAAAACGCGAACCACAGGGAACTACAATAAGCTGAATCTCACCGTACTACGTATCCTGCCTGGACATTTTACTGAACATTTTAGATACGCAGATTGCTGAGGATATTGGCGATATTGCTGGTATTCCAGATGATCAGCTTGCCATCGACACCTGAGGTCGTGTACTGCTCCAGGTTTTCGCGACTTCCAGCATAAAACCGAATAGAGTTGATGGTGTTTTGATGATGACTGTGGATCTCAGTGTCGCTTGAGGTGGTCGATTGAGCTCGGCTGTCCATGCGACGGAACGTGTCTCTGGCCGTGAAACCTACATCTGCCTTCTTGACTGCAGAATCCAACGAGACCGAGAAAGCCCTTTTAATAAGGAACAAAGATACATTTAGCTATATGATAAAGTATGGAATACACAACCATTATATCAAGCTGTACAAAAAAAACACATACCACTGCTGACCCTTGTTCTCAAACAAATGAGGAGCGCAATCGTGTCCTGCAGCAACAATCTGGTTTTCGTTCAACCAAAGAACGGACACATATGGCAGATAAGGGGCGCGGATAGTTTGCACAGAACCAGTAGCAGGGCTAACCACCGTGATACTCGAGTCATGGCCGGTGAATGCGAGGGAATCACCACTGGGTGAGAAGGCTACACCGTGGATCCAACCTCCCGTACCACTTGAAAATTCCCCACAGACAGTATTGAATGGAAGCTTCTCACCCCATGGTGAAGGAGCAGGCCTAAATAATGCAATGTAATAAGAGTGAGTAGATTGATAGTTGATCAACAACGCAATATGACTGGGGAGCATTTGAAAATTGAACATACTTTTTATCAACACCTTTGATGAAAGCAGAGAAAACTCGAGCCTAAAAATAAAGATAGAGCAGTTGTTGTGATCAGTTCCATTCTTGGACTAGACTAGATTTGATTTCTTTCTCGTTCTTCGCTTATAATAGCTAACTATATACATTAGATTTTTACCTTCATGTCAGCACACCCAGCAGCGAGAAGCACATTGTTCGGGTGCCAATCCAGGCTAAGAACTGTGCTACGAATTGGCTTCTTAATGTGCTTGCCAACCCACCAATCATTGTCTTCCTCAAAGTAACAGACACTGATGCAGCGCGAGCCCGAGGCAACTGCAAACTTGTCCTCTTCAGGCGACCAACGAGTAAAAGTTGCAGCGCGATTGATGCGTAAAAGTACTAAAGTGGGTTTCCACTGTTGCGAAGCCTGGTCGAGGGTCCAGACATAGGCATTTCTGTCTTGGGAGCAGGTAACAATTCTGTTAGACTTTGGCGCCCAGTCAACTGACGTTACGGGTTTGTCGTGCTCCTCCAAGGTCCAGGCAAGAGTCCAGCCGGAACCAGACTTGCGGAAAATACTGACCACATTGGTGTTGAAACTTACAGCGAGCTCTATAGCAGAAAAAAAATAAAATCAAATTAAAAAGATTGAGAATGGTTGCCAATTTTTTTAAAAAAGGATGACTAAAAGCTATAGTTACCAGTGCGATCATGATTAAAAGCATGGCAAGAGATGGGGCCGAGATTGAATTCAATGATGACAGGTTGGTCGGTTGACATTTTATGCGTTTCTATATTTCCACTTCAAGGGAAAGGTCCAAGATGCGCGAGATGTGTAGCGAGATAAGGAGAGGCTGCGGGGAGCGATATGGTAAGATAGACGTCGGACGCTAGCAGTCGACGACGCACAGGGCAAGAAGAAAAGGTGAAGAATAAAGAATGATGACAACAAATGGGAATAAGAGAATTTGAAGACGTGTCGCCTTCATCTTTTTACCAAGACCATAAATCATATGATCCATATCACTTCCGCACGTGAGGATGGTTAAGACTTCAAAAAAAAAACAGCCTTCTTTTTCTTTTACCTCTTTCTCTCTCTCCTTTGCACGTTGACATGGATGCTGTTGTTGATTATCATCGCCGACGTATTAAGGCGTTACTACGCACAACACAAGTTCCAAATACGGATGCGGGATCACACGTCGATCATGTAGTGGCAGGCAAGTCCAACATAGCAATGGAACAACTATCATTTTTTAAAAAAAAAAAGCTGGCATTGTCTCACGTTTCTGCACCGTGTAGCTATCAGGACATTCCGAATCCCAGAGCTATGTCGATTAATCCTCGAATGTACTCCGAAGAGATATTGGACAATACTTTGTTTGGTCTCCAAGGATTTTTTGCAAGGAGTTCAACCTCTCATCTGGAAAGCACTTTCCTGCAACAAACGCACAGATGTCGAAAAGATTCACCTTCACGTCTACAAATATGCTGAACTAGTGAAAGTACTCGATCTTTCTGACCTACGGCAACCCGAGCTATCGATGATGCTTCAACCGTTCCTTGAAGTGGCTGTATACCGAGTGTTAGGGATCGTATCATTAAAGTTACATGATACAGAGTTGACCACACCACAGCTTGTGCATATTCTAGTATATCTCCCCAGTTTGCGCACGATTGACATCACTGCTTGTCTATTGGACCAACACCCCTTGAATATTCTTTCAAGAAACATACATCTCGAATCCATTGCTTTCACTCACGACATTATGCAACCTCATGGCAAAGAACTTGAAGCAGACATCTTTCAGACTTGGAAGAATCTTAGGCACTTAAGCATCAAGGGATCTGCCTCAAACGAGACAATGACATCTAATATCTTTTTTCAAGAAAGACTCCATACAGCTAGCCTACATCTAATATCCCTTAAACTTGCTGAAATGAATGGCTGGACGCATTCAATGCTTGCCAGAGTTCTTCAAAATGGCCAAATGCTGACGAGGCTATGTCTAGCAGAATGCGACGTTCAAGGCGGTAGTTTGGTGAGCTTGTCCTCCCACCTTGGGGCTCTACAGACATTAGAGATAAAGAATTGCCCACGGATCTATTCGGCCCACTGCACTTCACTCTTAAAAGCATGCCCTCGTATCCGACATGTTGACTTTTCAATGCAGTCACTTGGTTCCGATATATTTTATCACCTCGCACGTAATGCCCCTGCATTGACATCGCTAATCTTGCGAGGATGCGCGTTCAAGGCTGTAGATCTGAAGCAGGTTATGGATCATTGTGCTCACCTCCAACGGTTGGTCATAGAAGTCTTGCCAGGAGTAGGATTGTTAGGTGATTTATTTGGGGGCCAGTCATGGGGTTGCTTAGACATCCAAGAGATTTTTATCTCAAGTGTAAGATGGCCACCCTTTAGTTTCACAGCTGAACATTCTAAAGCTGTGGCTTTGATGAATATGTGGACCATGATCTCAAAGCTACGACATCTGCGTATTTTAAGTCTGACCGATATAGGTGGCGAACCGCGCTTTTCCATGAACGACGGTCTGTCTCAGTTGGCAAAGCTGGAAAAGTTGGCGCTGACAGACATCGGACCGTGGAAATATACTGACGTCCTCTTGATTGCCGAGGCGTTCCCTTGGCTAGAAGAGTTCAGGTACTCGGCTAGAGATATGAGCACTGATCTCTGGGCATGGTTCAAACGCAACCGTCCTGATGTGAAATTGATTGGGGACCCGCTTCCAAAGCGATGCAGACTGGAAACACCCGTAAACCATCACCATTAGCAATTGATGATGTACTTGTGAGTAAATCCATGAGATTTTATTTTAAGACATGCGTATGAATGTGTCATGCACGCTTTTTTGTCAAAAAGGGATATAAACCTCGAATTCTTCCCCCTCTCTCCACACATTTCCTCAATCGTCAACTACCACAGCATTCCCACACTTAAATTTCCCTGCACCTTACACACTCTCATAGTCATTTGACCTGTCCAACAACATGGAACATCATACTTCTGTAAGTATCTTTTTGTTTATTGCAGCTGCATATTGTTGCTAATAGCAATTATGATTATATTCCCACGCTTTTGCAATTTTACTTTCATCAAAATAACTATCATATTTTTTTTCTGGTAATCTTCCTGACGCTACCCCATTCGATCCAGGAATCCAAAGAATCCCAGGGTCAGGTAAGCGCTGGCACTGCTATCCTCTCATCCAGCGCAAAGCTCCTCCAGAGCTTCAACCCGCTCGGTGGTATCTGTGAATCTCTTTGCGGACTGCATTTGTTTCCGTAAGTTGTGATAAATAACCACGATTTAAGCACCAATATACCTTTTTCTTATTTTTTCTTTTGTATTTGATTGAAATGTTTCTTACATATCTGTCTTTTTTCTTTTCCTCTCCTTCGCTTGATACACGATACGTTTTACCGACTTTTTATGCTTATCACATTTGGCTGTTTTGCCTCGGATAGAAACGACCCTAAGCGTCAATACATCGCATATCACTATTGCCATATGATCGACGAAGATCGTCGGCAGTGCTTGATTTATGATAGTGATTCCGAAACTGCAAAGTTAGTGGGTGTCGAGTATGTCATTTCAGAAAAATTATTCAAGAGTAAGTAAAGCATGCATGCTTCCTGAGCACCTCCATTTTTAATCCAAAGACTTAGCAAAGTTTTGTAATTTTATTCGCTTTTGGAAATTAGCCCTCGATGAGAATGAGAAGAAATTCTGGCACTCGCACAAATTTGAGGTCGAGAGTGGTATGCTCGTTGTGAACGCCAAGGGCATGGTGCCAGCGGTAGTGGCCAAGACGGCCGAGATGCCTGTGATGCAGGGTTTGGTCAATACCTACGGTAAAGCCATTCAGACATGGCCTGTTGATGACAATGGTGAATGCTCCTGTCGAGTCCCTACTGGCCCTCCTCAGATCCTGGCATCATTTACTTCGGATGACCAAATCAGGCAGGATATCCTTGATAAGCGTGACAAAGAACTAGGCATCTCGACCACAGAAAAGCGCAAAGAACGCGAGGGCAAGATCCAGGGAAATCCCGTCGTAGAAGGTGCTGATCAATGGACCAAGGGTAAAGCCTGGCAGATCTACGATGAGGGGGCTCACGGTTCTGTGAGGGTGTAAGGCGCAGATGGAAGTAGAAAGTGTTTCTCTCTCACCATAAACACGACTAAGCTAAGCAACTAGCTGCTTGGAAAATAACCTTAGTCTACAGTCTTTTGCTAGTATAACTTAGTGCACAATCTGAATAAAGAAAACATCTCTTACACAACAACATGGGTTTATTGGTATTTATTCATGCAACACAAGCGCTACTCCATATATTCTATAGGAGAATATGGTATAGAGTGGGTATTAACTGCGCTAAAAGACGTCATCATCGGTATGGTGCTTACAGATAGTTGGCCATAATCTTGTCCAGAAATCGAATGATGAAGTGACTGTTGATGATGAAAAGCTTGGACCTGTTCTTGCTGAGCTTGAGCTTGAGCTTGAGCTTGAGCTTGGGCACGAACGTGCGCTTGAGCTTGGGCTTGGATCTGTGCAGCATGCGCCAAAAATGCGCTTGATGCTGTTAAACCAGGCCCTTTCCCGTTCTCATAGCGTGATCGACGACGAATGACATTGCGCTTCAAAGATATGGGTCGGTGGACATGATGGAGTTTATAGTATAGACCACACGCATTGCAAAGGATTTCGCCCGCGTCATCCTTGCGCCAGAGTGGTGTCAATGTCGTTTTGCAGTTGGTACATATCGGCTGAATACCTGCAGCTGAAGTTGAAGATTCGTGTTGTGTTGAGTCCATAGATCCCTGGCCGTCTGTAGCTGTCGTTGCATGGTGTCCAGGATGCTGACTGGGTACCACTGGCTGGTGATCAGGGCCGCCTGCAGTCCCGAGTCCGTTCAATGTACCTTTGATACCTCCACTGAGTCCTGGTTGCGTCTGTTGAAGATGCTTGGGTCGATGGATGGCATGCAATTTATGGTATAGCCCACATGCATTACAGAGCGGCTCGTTGTCAGCAGATCTACGCCAAAGTGGTGTTACAGTCACTCCGCAGTTCTGGCAACGAACACCCATACCAGCAGCAGCGCGGATAGTTGACTTTGAGGGTTTACGGGGCTTGGCTACCTTAGTCGCCACAAGGAGTGTACCTACTTGTGGTAGAGATTGAGCTTGATGCTGAGACGCTGAATGCGATCCATCTGCTGACGCTATCGGAGACAGCTGTTTGTCACTACCCAAACGCTGAACTGGAGAAGATGGGCCTTCGGACATGGTTGATGTGGCTGGTGAGCGCGCAGACTTTACTGCCGGGCGGCTTAGAAATGCCAGTTCACCCATGGGTGATGTTGGAGTTAATGGTGATAAAGGTCTTGTTTGAAGCTGAGGCTGCAATGGGCGTATCGTCGATGGAGATTGAGCCACGGGGGAGGAAGGCTGTTCATGCCTTGGACCGAAAGAAGAGGGTGTAGAGGAAGGTGTTTCTGGAGGGGAGATCAGGCCTTCTTGCAGTTGTGTCACACTTTTAGGCTTGAGTGGCGATTGCGTACAGATCGGGCGTAAAGGCTGTTGGAGAAAGCCCGGCCGAAGTTGCTGAATCGATTGTGGTTGCTGTTGCTGCTGCTGCTGCTGTTGTACCCGTTGCTGATACAATGTTGCATTGGGAAGGACGATAGTCTGAATCGAGCTCGGATGACCGGTCAGCGCTTGTGTGGCAGCCGTCAGGTAGGAAGTAGGGCTTGAGGGCCATGCAGAGAAGATATTGGAGTCTTGTTCAATCTGGTAATCTTGAAGAGGCGTAATCTCAAACGGATTGCTGTTGAAAGAGGCACGCACACCATTAGCATTCATGTGGATAGAGTCACCCATAGAGATAGGCAACCAACCGTTATTAGATTGGAGAGTATTAATGTTGGTGACAGCGTTCTTGTTGTCCGGCAGCAAAGACGCGTTCATGGGCATAGTATTACATGAGGGTACAGAAATAGGTGAGTCCAGCGACATTGGCGTAGGTGTTGTAATGGGTGAAGACGAAAAGGGTGAAAAAACAGAAAGTGGAGTGTTTAGTGATGCCGAAAACCCCGTAGAGGTAGCAGGTATGGATAGAAGAAACTCCTGTGGTGAAGTGGTAAACAAGGAGTATGGAGCCATGGTTGCTACGGGAGCGGTAGTAGCACCCGAAGCCGAAGAAGTTATACCATAGTCGTCAGGCGTGAAGGGCAGCTCCAGAACACTGGAAGTCATAGTATCCACGGCGTAGTTGATCATGGAGCGGAGTGGCAAAAGTGACAGTTTGAAAGAGTGCGTCTATGTCTGTGACTGTGTCTTTGCGCCGTGGGAGGATTAGGTGTGAGAAGTGTGGTCGTAGAGATGAAAGATATAACTGCGTGGAGAAAAAAGTCGAAGGAGAGAGGGAAAAGCAGGAACAAGAAGGAGACAAAGATGTTAGGGATGGGAAGGAAGAAAAGGAGGAGAGAGGAGAAGGGAAATGGAACAAATGGGATGGAAGTGTGGGAGAGAAGGAAGAGTAAGTGTGGAGATTATATTAAAGAGAAAAAATAAAAAATAAAAAGTTTGGGGGAAAGCGAGGTCTTCACAATCATTATATTTATACGGTAATTACCAGGGACAGTTGAGTAAAATGTATTAAATATGAATGTGTATAAAATTGAACATACATTGTATATTATATAAATATTTATATACATTTTGTTGCTTGCATTGCATCGCAAGGATAGATTTATATAGCAGGGATTTGCATGGGAAACAGCTGCTCACTTTCTCTCTCGGCCCATGAATGGCACCACGGGGGCACAATGCTCTTCCCTCCCTTTGCCTCTGTCTCCGCCCAATCCTCTAGGTCATTCCAAAGGTTAATGAACCTGTCTAACTTAACGATGCTTGCTATTATTTGTTTAATGTTGTTTTATGCTGTTGTTTTGGACCCTTATTTATGAGTATGTCAATAACAAATAATAGTATTTACAGACATTAAATGTATAATTAAGTGCTCTATTGATTGCATGAATGAAAAAGAACGAACGAAAAAGTATCAAAAACAGGATAAAAGGGTTGAGTAATGAACATTCGAAATTCTTGTAACATTTATATATATACCTCCTTAGAATCGTGCTTCTGGACAGTCAGTTAAGCCAAAAACGGATGCATAGAATGCAATGCAAGGTAGGGGTCAGCTTTGCCTTCAGAAGTCGAACCAAGTCTCAAGGTTAAGTCGTTTTTTAAAAAAAAAAAATTCATTTTGTGTTTGTTCCTTCTTTCTTTCTTTTCTTTTCTTGTGTGCATTTTTTACGCCTGTTTCTTTGTCAACAGGTTTTGAATGTTTGTTATTTTGTTTGTTTGTTTGTTTGTTTGTTCGTTTGTTTGTGCCACGCTTCTCAAAACAACCACTTAAGTAACCTTATTATGCCCTGTTTATTGAACATGTGCTGATTGAATTACTTTTACAATACTGATCGAGATAACAAAGTCAATCCATCTTTTGCCTTGTCTGACGAGTAATGAGAATGCAGTATTATTATTTAATGACAATTTGCAATATCACTTATTTTTTATCCTTCATACAAATAAAGGGGTCTAGATACTTACTTTTATTCTTACGCGCCATTGGTACTCCGTATCAGCATGACCATGGAGCGTGGAGAAGCTCATTCCATCATTCCATAGATGTGTACATGAATGAATGTATGATGGAAAAACAAGCTGGCTCCAAACAACTATTTTTTTTTTCATTTTTTGGTACCAGTCACTGTAACACTGCCAATCCTGGAGGCTTTTGACTCTTTCGCCCTTGTTTATACAAAATAGCTTGAGAGGCATGTGTATATGGCTAGAAAATATGTCCAACGTTACAATGAGTAAACCTACTATATATTAAACTATATATTAAAAGACTACTCAGTAGGTACCATCGCCACTACAAATAAAGTAAATTGTGCAGCGTCGAATTACTCAAGACGAATGACAGATATGAATAAATGGACCTTGAAGAGGGACTCCTTGAAGTTTGCCAAAAAAAGAAGTAAAAAAAGGCAGGCGAAGCGCCAGTAGTCGTACCTACATAAGCTATGTTGCACTGAAAGGAAGCCTTGTCAATTTGTAATAAAGGACAATCGCCATCAGTACGGGTCTGTGGACCTATATCAGATCTGCATAGATATCGTATCGGAAGTTTAAATGTCGAAAGTGTATATATCAACTAATAATAGGAAGACATGGAATAAAGACGACTTGATTCCGGACAAAAGACGTTGGAAATCTAGAAATCTGTTCCCATCCATCGTTGACATATTATTAATGTGCTAGGGCTAAGGCCGATTCATTCGAATGAAAAAAAAAAAAAAAAAAAAAAAAAAAAAAAAAAAAACGCACGTACACGATCATTTTTAGGTAGGTCTCTGCAACGCTCTTACTTCTCCATTGATGAATCATAGTTTTTATGTCGGAAGCGAGCACTCCTTTTGCCAACCCTAAGGAGGCGGACTAAAGTTTCCATTTTGATTCAGAGTGTGTCTGCCAAAAATATACAATACTCTCTAATATAAGTCCAACTGAGATGTATATGTATAAAGGCGCGTGCATAGTGTGTGACTGATAAATCTTAATAAAGGCATAGTCCGTGGAGGCGTTACACGAGGGTTTTCTTATCTGTAGCCAATAAGAATCTTCGATCACATAAATCATTCACCATCCCAAATTGGTAGAACAAAAGAAATGGCTAGAAGAGAGATATTCGATATGCACATCAAATGATGATAATATCAAGAAGACAGAGAAAAAAAGGCTAGTTGTTGCTGAAGAACCAATCTGAGAGCAAGGATTTCTTTTTTTTTTTTTTTTTTTTTTTTTTTTTTTTTTTTTTTCAAAAAAAAAAGTTCCTCATTTCCATAAATCATGTATAAATGTTCTAATTATTTTATAAATAAAATAAAATAAAATAAAATAAAATAAAATAAAATAAAATAAAATAAAATAAAATAAAATAAAATAAAATAAAATAAAATAAAATAAAATAAAATAAAATAAAATAAAATAAAATAAAATAAAATAAAATAAAAAACAAAAAAACGGTTATTTCGTAATTTATTTTGTAATTTGTGGGGCGGAGATTGGTATCTATGGATTCCTGCGTCATTCTATGGAGAAGTTTTTTTTTTTTCCTTTTCTTTTCGAGGAACAATGCACGATAAATGAAGCAGGAAATTGTATTGTGAGCCATAATACCCTTTGTTGAAAAGAGCGCGAGATAACGAAGCCCTTGCATATTTTGAATCCCTTCCTCATATTCTGTGCCTTTGAAGTTTTTATTTGTTTTGGTGTACACCAGTAATGAAGATGTCTGGCATGTACTCGAAAATAAGAAATTCGTTGTTTGATATAAGCTTTAAGTTTGCCAAGGTGCTGCCGGTGAGCTGCCAGCCCCTTGCATTTTGATAATCTTCTTCTGCTCTCGCTGCAGCAAAAAAAAAAAAAAAAAAAAAAAAAAAATAACTGTAATGGTTATTTTGTTTGATTTAAAAAGAATAGATTGGTTTGGAAATCTCACGCGCGTTTCTTTGCGTTACTATTAGCACATCGCCTTGTAAAGCTTCGGTAATTCCGAGCTACTTCTCACTAATAATAATAGCAAAAGATTAGCTATAAGTCTAATACATATTGGCTTATGAACCACACTCAAATATACTCTTCAATGCAATATTCGATCAAAATATCATGAAGTCTTAAGCTTGATTCTAATGCACGAATGGAAAGAGCTTGACATCTCCAAAAACTGGGATTCTGACTCCACAAAACTACAAAGCCCATGACTCAGGGGTGAATACTTGTTCTGGACACAGGAAGGAAGGCTACAGTTAGGTCTGGCCTCGCCTTAACTCGCTTCATCAAGCGCGTTTCGGCAGAAGTGGAAGGAATCAATACGAATCAATACGATTTTTTTTTTCTTTTTTTCGTCTCAAAACAAAGTTTTGGTAAACCACCGATGCCCAGACATGTCCTTTAGGTCGCGGTGAAAAACATGGCTTGCTTCTCCGGCCTTTCAAGCTAAACCCCGCTTCACTTCAGGCTGAATCATGCATTCTTTTTTCCTTCTCGAAGCTAGGCTAGTTTTCATTCGCTCATTTGTGCAAGGAAAGCGCGCTTTCTTTTTAGCCCTTTATGCAGCTCATAACTCAGATATATCTACATGGTTTTTGTTGTTACAAGTCCGCATTAATTAAGGCTTCCTCCCTGTAAATCAACTTGTCAACGAAGTATTCGTAATGATTAATTAAAATGTATAGATATATGACCTATTTAACCACTCATTGACAAATAATGAGTACGTGAACACTATTAGGTGGCATTGCAGTTTTGTTTTTGTTTGTGAGTCATTCAATAGTGAATATTACTCAGTAGGTACGGTATAGATTAATATATGATATTCTCATTTCCTAAGGATTATGAAGTGGGCTCAGGCTCAGGCTTAATCATACCCCTTGCATGGTCCCTGAAAGAATGATTTGTTGGCCACGTTACCATCCTGTTGCCCATTGTTTATTTTTCTAGAGTTTAGGGATATATATAATCCTACATGGTTCAGTTTCAAGGATGTAGACTTGGGAATATGGCAGCAATAACTTTATAAATAATAACTTATTCTCTCATTAGTCTGGCTTGATTCATCGGAATTTTTTGTCTAATCAGCCAACCTTCAAGCCCGATGAAATTAGCATATATGTTGACACCCTTTCGCGCTTAAGCGTCTACACTCAGCGATGTCTAATGTAATGCTGTCGTATAAAGCGACACAAAGGCTTCTCTACTTCTTGTAGGAAAAAAGGGAATTGCGCCCTAGAAAATAACATTGAGCAAAGGCTCATTTGTTTGACATTGTTGGATTTGAAGAGCACTTGTTGTGCCAACCTCTATATCTCTAAATTGTGTTTCTCTCATTTCCCTGTCGAAAAAATTAATAACAATAGACAAACCAAACGTGGAGCCTGACCGTAAACAGGAGGAGCAGACAATCAAAGCAAACCCGTATCAATGCTATCGAAACCAGGAGCACCCCAGATTTTGGCTTTCGAAATGAATTGGTAACTTTACATGCACGCCATATAAATGTTAATCAACATGATTGCAGTGAGCATCTTTTTGATGCAAGGGTCATGAGTGATCAGCTCATAAATTAATCTGTGTTCATGTAGCATGTCCATGTGCTTTGTAGCCTTTCCTTGCATACCAGTATCTTTTTTGTGAATGAATAACTGCATATACATGCATAATAACCGTGTGTATGTGATGATGTTCGAATGTAACAACTAAGGTTCCTGGTTTCCATCTTCAAGAGATTAAGCGCCTCAATATGTTTCACGCAATTTTAATAGATGAATATTGATTAGTCTCGTCTTCAAATACTGTTTAGAATAAGTCTAGTTTATTACTTCATGTGGTAGTTGTCCAAGGAGCTTTGTAGATGTTTTAATGTTCAAATATATACGTTCCTGGCTTTCATTTTTCGAGATATGAAGCGCCTCATGTTTATGGCGCAATACTGCGCAGGCTAGTTGTTTACTTACGCTTTTAATAGATAAGCCTTGGTTACTCTCCTCTTTGATGACTACATCAGAGAATCTATACGCCTCACACGAGAGTAATCTTACAGCTCGAGACAGCTCAAGAGAACTACTGCCTTTGACAGAAAGTCCAGAATAACAATTGACGAGTCATAAATGAGACTCTCAGGTAATTAGGTATATATTAGAGCTCACAAAGAAAAGCGTGAGGGCAATGGGGTCACGTTGTCCATGCACACAGGGTCATACAAACTGGCAAAATCAACGAGATGACTGGAGCGAGGAAATTAAAAGTTCTATTCGTTTTGTTAATATGTCTTTGTCCTTGACTTTAAAAATTGGGAACTACACATTTTAATTCCGCTCAAAATCCATTATGTACATGTACATGTATAAATGTACAGAGCTTTTTTATGTATTGATATTAATTATCTTCAATATTATCTAAACGTACATGTAGTTTACTTTAAAACAAAACTTTGAGCCACAGTCAAGGAACCATGTAGACATATTCCTCATCACTCATCATTCAGCCGAAAACTAAACCTACGGAAACGGAGGCAAGCCTGGAGCCTGTGTACAGCAAGAGCCCTTTGTCACACTTGCCCCACGGACTCTGTTTTTATTTTTTGTTCAGTTCAAGTGTATAGACTAATATATAAATATATATATATATATGTATACACATGATGATATATATATATATCGTTGTTGAGGATATACATGCATGTCGTTTCGCCGTCGCGCCTCGAAAATCGAAGAAACCAGTAAAGCCTTTTTTCTTCTCTCGAAACTTTTCCCAGGATGCAAATTCTCAGGAGTTCAATCTGCATTACGCAATTTCGTCACGTCTTTATTGGCTGTCCAAATCTTCCCCACAATTTAAAGTCAGTTTTAGTAAATGAGCGTTCTGCATATCCTGTCAGAACTTTGTCCATTAATCCATTAATAGCGGCATTTCATTAATTAAGTCGCTTATTTTAAAAACAAGTCAACAGCTTGTATGGAACAACAGCTGTACCAGTATCCAAGCTGTTGACCTGTTTTTAAAATAAGAAATTCAATATGAAATGCTGCTAGTAGCGGACAAAGTATATGTTGTATAAATACACTCCACTCTCATTGGAAGCACGCACCAAACTAGACCTGCCTCTACTTGCTGTTTACTGTGTCTAAAAGAATGGAGCTCTCCTCTTTTTCAGTAACGAGTCCAGTTAGCCAATGTTTGCATACTGAATATGCAGAGAAAACAAGCATTGGCCCCACCATGATCCTTACAAACTCTTTGGCGTTGCGCTGATCAGAATTAAAAAATATTTCTCACAATACCATCGCACTTGGGTGTGGAAATAAATTCATTGCAGACAACATTCTCTACTGCTCCTGGCAGGTGCTATTTGACCTCTTGTCTAGCAGAAAGAGGAGGGAATGTCAATCTTCGATCGTGGGAAGTATCTTCAAAATGTCCAAAGACAACGGTTCACTCTCTCTAATGATTAACAGACTTGTGAAAAAATGAGAGCCATGTAGCAAACAGAAGCACTGCCCCGCCCCCCTTACTTCTCCTCATTGCATCCTTCTACATTTCCATCATCAGATCGTCATGTCAGATCAGTCAAACATAAAGGACACTCATTGCAAGAAGAAAGACGAGAACGTCTTTAAGCATGCATGGTACCACGTCGAGGAAGCTCTGCATCTCCGTTCACATCCTCCTGCGGAAGATATCCCACCTCCAGGTGCGTTTTTTATTCTTTTTTTTACATATTACTAGTTAGTGGTGTTTTACCATGATTGATGCTTCATTCTTTTCACACCATAATATATCCATTATGTTGGCTAGTTCCACCAAAAGATGAGAAGTGGCTCGTCATAACTATCGACAAGTCCGTTCCACAAGGCCAGGAGCCCGACCGCAGCTTCTGGGACAAACTTTTCCGGAAACAGCAAAATTCTCAACAAGCCCTGGAAGAAGAGGAGGCAGTATCTATCAGTATACCTGCAGATGCTGCCCTACAACATTTGGGAGTTCAAAGCGATGACAAAGATCTTCAAGAAAAGAAAAACTACTTTGAACGGATGGCAGCCAAAGTTAAAGAGAAGTTTGATGAGGATGACGATAACTCGGACTCAGACTCGGATTCGGATTCGGACAAAGAGGATAAGGGGCGCCCAAAGACTGAGCAAGAAAAACAGGAGCTCAAGCAACGCAGGAAACTTGCACCCAAGGTCGATCCTAAGGAGATGAAGGAGGCTCATCGTGCTATCTATGGTCAGACAAGTGTAGATGAAAAAGCAGAGGAAGAGGCAGAGAAGAGGTTGTTTGGTTCTTGGTGGGGATGCCATCCTCGCCGGTCGTGGGCGGAGAGGAAGCTAGCCAAGCAACAGGAGGCAGAACGCGAGCAGCAACGTGTCCTTGCTGAACTTGCAGCCAAGAGAAAGGCAGAGCAGGATGCAGCGGATGCAGCAGCTAGAGCAGCAGAGGAAGCTGCCAGGGCATCTAGAAGGAGGTGGTGGCAGTTAAAAGCCCCTGAGACGGACGAGCAAAAAGCTCAGAAAGCAAAGGAAAAGGAACGGAAGGAGCGCAAGTCGACCACTCGTAAGCGTCAGGCCATTGCAGCCGCTGGTAAGTGATATTTGGCGGGCTAATTGGTATTAAAATTGGCGTTGTCTTACAACAACAAGCATTGACATTCTTGTCACTCTTCAATACTATGTATCGAACCTATCCAGCTGCGTATGAGGCTATGAAGGAGTATCAAGAGCGCCAGGCAAAGGAGGGCAAGGAAGTGTCCCATGGAGAAATGAAAGCCATTCTTGCAGGCATGGCTATGGCCGAGTGCGTCAAGCTTTTCGAATCACGCCATGATGATGACGATGATGATGATGATAAGGACGATATGGTTGCTGATGCAGGCTCGAAAGTCCTGAAGCTCTTTGAGCTCATGAACTAATGCCCTATATCACGTTAAAAAGTCAGAACACATTTATAAAAAAAAATCTCCCCTTTTATCATGAGCCAGAGCCTGTTATAAATATTGGAGTTAAAAGCAAATAGAACAGAATATTGGATGCAAGAGGGAACGTAATCAATTGAATATGAGGTTTATTTGAATCCGTAAGATGTAACAAGGACCTATTCCTCGGCGAGAGAGAAAAACTCCAGTATCCCCTCATCATATACATATGGTCATGAAAACACTACTTATCCCCGAGGTACACGTTTGCCAGTCCTGTGTGTTTTTTTTTTTTTTTTTTTTTTTTTTTGAACAAGAAACAGAAAAAACTTGTGTGAATGAGAAATAACAGGTAATGTGATCAATGCATTGTTAAAGTGACTGAGTTTACACAGCCAAGGCAGGATCCTTACCGCTTGCCTGCAGCTCCACCATACGACATTCGCTCTATTTCGCCCATAAACTCGGGACTCTGGAAGCCGTGCTGATCTCCCATTTCATAATCCATCATTGCTGTACTAGCCCCAGCTAGCTTACGGTGCTTTCCAGACCCTGATGGTGCATTTTCGTTTTTGATTCTTTCTAGCTCTTTCTCAAACGCTTCTCTGGCTTGTTTCTCTCGCTCATAATTCTGCTGGACTTGGGTCATCTTCGCACTTAATGCCTTTAATAGAGCTTCGGACGTTTTTGTCCTGTTCCATGAAAGTAAATGAAATTGATACTCATCAGTACTTCAGATCTAAACTATGAAACAGGATAACATAATCTCTGCTTTGAGAGCCATACCAATCTTCCAGCACTTTGAGCATAACCTGGGCTTGACCAGGACGCAAATCCCTGCCCATAGCAGAGTGAACCTCAACCAGCTTCAGTTTCTGGTCTAGATTGGCATTAATCACATTCTGATAAATTGCATCCATGATCAAGTCTTCTAACTGGCGGACGTTGTCAATCTCGAGGTACTCCAAGAGATCCTTGTATGGAATAGCCTACACGTATGAAGGCAATTAAGATGAATGAATAAATTCTCGCCATATATCAGTCTCTCAAAGGCATATGTTGTAGTGCATACTCTCGTTCGTTCGGACAATGTAACGATTGATAGCTGTTGTAACTTTGTCCTTTGGGTATCGGAGATCTCTGGCAAGCTATCCTTATTCTCTAATATATGGGTATTAAGTTATGGCAAATACATCCATATATTAGTCAGGTGGATACCAACTTGATTCCTAAGGGTTCGAAAAGCGCAGTCCTGCAAGTAAACCCTTACGCTGATAGTCCTGAAAGGTCCCGAACGAGAAAATCTCAAGTAATCTGTAGTAGCGGGAATGTTCTGGATTCGCTTTTAGCTAGACATCAAAGTCAATAGTCAAAAGATGAGTCGCTGTCTTTTCAGATGCGCCAAGCATACTAGCAAGTTGCGCTGCATGCAAACAAAATTCAGTGTCCATAATCATACATCTACCACGTTTGGCATATCAAGAAGCTCGCCAAAGACCATCACACCTGGCGCAGCCAACGCGTCTTTAATAAGTTGGACACAGCCTACGCCCTTGGCAGACTTTGAAAGAGCTAAATAGGGCTCCAGTCGCTGCCCAAAGAGAGACTTGAATGACTCTCCAGAGGCAGGAGTTTCTGTTGTCGTTGAGGTTGCCATAGTTTGGAAGTGTACAAGTCGTAAAATATGTGAGCGATGCTTTCAATGAGCTAATGGGCTAATGAGCTAGATCTCCCCTATAGTAGTGATTATCTCTTCGTGAGTGGGGGGGGGGGGGGGGAGGGTTTTCCGCTTCCTTGGTTTGTCTTTAATGCACGTTTGGTTTGCAATGTTGGCGCTGCTTGCGTGTTGGATGTGAGGAAATATGGAGGGGGGATGAACAATGAATGAACGCGTTTCATTTGCATGTTTCGGTGACTGCCTAAATAATTTACGGGGTAGCCCACTTTTTTAAAAATTAAAGTTTAAAATAGCAGGTTTCACTTCAGTCCTGGCTTAATACAAAGTTTACATGATCGTTCTTCGGCTCAATTCTTTGTCTTTCGAGCAGACACAACATATTTATGAAGGGGAATCCCAGAACTTTGGAGACGATGGTACGTGCCTGCCACATGACATTCGATGGAGAAATACATTATTTGTCCGGCCCACAATGGCCTTGCATCTAGTTAGTGATCCGGTTGCAAATGTGGATGCAATATCTTTAAACTTTGGTATACAAGCCTTTCACCACTGCACTGACTTGACGATGCTCCACTGCAGCCCTTGTCTTCTTTTTTACACTTTGTCTCCATCTGCTTGGCCGGCGCTATGGGCGTATTAAATTTGACGGTGTCTTGAATAGACAAACCTCTCCATGAAGCGCCTCGCCTCCATAAAAAACGTTCCTGGGCTCCTTGATTTCTTAAAGATAGTCGTTATGCTGCCAAGTTTATTGGCTCCCATACTTTTCCTTGGATTTGTAACAATAATAAGCTTTTGCATGTCCATGCATTGCATAAAATACTCCTTTTGTTCCACAACGAATGACGAACACTATGAATCCGAGCCGAAACTATTGTGATCGTAACAAGAGAATTTGCTCTTTAATCTCCTTTTGATCAGTAATATCAATAAACCCAGTGAAAACAAAACATCAAAACGATCGACGCCCGCTCAAGCGCCTGTGCTTCCCACATGAGAGGACAAGAAAAAAAAATATAAAAAGACTTTGGTTACATTGACTATTCCCTATCATCCCTCTTACCTTTCTATTAATTGAGTTCTCTACACCATGGACAACGTCGTTAAGAACATATTGCGAACATCAGAAGCATCACCTACACTCAAAACCGTTCTGAGGTCTTTGTCACGACGGAATATGTCTCGCTTGCTTGGTGTTTACATCCTTTGGGTCATCTTCAAATACAGAAGCACCGCTATTGGTACGAGGCCCCGCTATGACCTAAAAGGTCCTAGGGGATGGCCGCTGGTTGGAAATATGTTTCTTATGCTTTCTATTCCTCGAAACCAAATATCGCAAAAGAACGAGCAACTGCATGCCAAGTATGGAACAACCTGGGCCTACACCGTCCCCAAGCTAGGACGTATTATTCAGTTCTCTGATCCTGATGTACTGGAACATGTCCTCAAAACCAACTTTTGGGCGTATGAGAAAGGGCCGCTGGTCCAAGAGACATTAAGCGACCTTCTGGGGACAGGCATCTTTGGTGTTGATGGCGAACACTGGAGATGGCAGCGCAAGATGGCAAGCCATATCTTCAATGTAAAGGCCTTTCGAACGGTAAATACAATTAGCTCACATCCCCTTTATATTTGGTTCCTGACATTGCCCATCTATTTCAGCTATTGAGCTCTCAGCACTCTCAACTTTGGAAAATGTCATTCATAGTACACAAGCAGCGTATTTGTAAAAGAAGCCAATATTGCCATTGAGTACTTGGACAAGATTGCGGATGAGGGACGGACTGTCGACATGCACAACCTTTTCCATCTCTTCACCTTGGATTCATTTGGGGAGTGAGTTGCTCTATAAAAGACTACAGCGCCTTCATATTTGCAATAGATGGGTGTTGAATATTGAAAATAACTCTTGATATCATCATCTTTTTAGGATATCATTCAGCCAAACGTTTGGTTGCCTGAACAGGCCCGAACAAGAAGTAGAATTCGCTTCAGCGTTTGATCGCCTAAATACAGTTGTTTTCAACAGGCTGTTCGAAGGTGCTTGGGAGCTCCATGAGTGGGCTACAGGGCTGAATAAACAAGTCGCCAGAGACAAGAAGATTGTGAACGATTTTGCTATGAACATCATCAACCACCGTCGCAAGAATGGTTATAACAAGCCGGACAAAGACCTATTACAGTTATTCATGGACATGGATACTGAGGATGGCAAACCACTATCGGATGAAATGCTCTGTTGCTTGGTCCTTAATTTCATCATGTGAGTTCGTGATGTCCATTTGGATAATTGAACAAACATGAACATATTTGTCTATTTCTTTTATGTATTAACACTTGCTTCTCTGCTTTCGCCAGCGCTGGACGGGACACAACAGCGCAAGCACTCTCATGGATGTTCTATCTTCTTCATCGATCAAATACTGATCCAACAATCCTCTCGAAATTGGTCAAGGAAGTTGACGACAAACTTTCCGGTGGCATACCTACATATGAGGCTTACAAAACGATGAGATACTCTGAAGCATGGTAAGCCCTTTTTTAATTTATACATGTACTTAAAAAAATGTCATCGATTGGATGCAGAGCACAGCGCGACCTTTTTCTTTTATGCATCCTTAAGCTAATGGTTTCAATGGACTGTTTATCTCTATCTTTTCATAGCTTATACGAAGGTAAGCGGATTATCTTTATTATTATTATTGTTTAAGTAAGAAAATTAGTCAGATAAAACTAATTCTGTATGTCTAAACGGATTCATAGCTCTGCGTCTCTATCCAAGCGTACCAAGGAACATTAAAGTTGCCGTGCAGGATGATGTTTGGCCAGGTAAGAGAGGCTTTACATGTTCGTCTAAAATTCATCTTTGTCATCAAGATTGTTTATATTTTATTTATCTAATTAATTTGTCTGTGAGGTAGATGGTACCAAAGTATATAAAGGCGAGTTTGTGTGTTGGTCATCGTGGGCCATGGGCCGATCGACCGCTAGTTGGGGCCATGATGCAAGAGAATATAACCCAGAACGTTGGTTGACTGGAGAGAAACCATCGCCAACAAAATTCCCCAGCTTTCATGCAGGACCTCGCACATGGTAAAAAAGATTGATTTTGCCATAATTCTATGGGTTTCGCAGCATTGATCTATTAATCTTAATATCATCAATTCGGTGTTGATTGTGCTAAATAGCCTTGGACAGCAGTTCGCGACCCTAGAAGCCGTAACCATTATGTCGATGCTCTTCCAAAGATTTAATTTTGAGTTGGTAGACCCCATCACCGAGCCAGAATACGTACCCGGTTTGACATTAGCTATGGCGAAAGGTCTGCCTATGCGCGTTAAACGCCGTGCGGATACAGCTTTTGCCCTTTGAGAAGAGTTTAATATAGAGATATATATCTTTTAGCGAAATTAGCGTACATTAACAATGATTGTTCAATGTCTAGTTGCAATCTTGGAATAAAAAGGATTACGCGTTGATAATGATGTATGCTCCATGCGATCAGATTGACTTGATAAGGAAAGGAATGAACGTACAAGGGTACAGGTGCTGTGTTCTTATGACTAACAGAATGGCCGGAGGACTGTTCTCACAGAATGCCAGTAGAGCACATCCGATCTACATACCATCGGACCTGCTATACATCCAATGCCTATTAAAAGTTAATGTTTAATGTATGCAACGTTGTTGATAGGCTTTGAACTTTGTTTTGTTCAATTCATCCAGTTGCTGTTTTGAGCTCTCATCTTTTCATGGAATTCATGCAATTTAATTCAGCCAATGATGAATTGATTCTCATCCATCATTCTCAACATCTTTTGTTCAACAGGACAACTACAGTACTACGTGTATTTTCTTTTTCGATCGGCCTGTTTACGCTTCAACAGTCTGGGCTAGCGCAGTGCGCAGACATGGCTTTTTTTTTCCCTTTCAACGAAGAAGTACGTCCTAATGTTACTTATTTGTTATTTTACAAGAAAAAAGAAAAAATCCTGAAAATAGTCAAATAGTCTATTAATGCTCATTATTCTATGGTCTTCACGTTATTAATATTTGCAACGGAATTAAAGTTCGATCGAGTATGGTGAAAATGTACATCTGAGTAGTAAAACATGTTAATGAAAATGTAAGGTACGCCTATTAAGTTGGGAGAGCATCTAGAGGTGCACCAATCCCATTAAAAATAACTACTGGGTGTCGAGGATCCCAATTATTCCGGCCTCTTCTTAACTTCTCGACACTGCCCTGTGCTCTCTCACTCTCGGATTGATCTTTCGATAATACGGCCTAATTAGCACGACCTAAAAAAACAGTATTTAAATTCTCTTGTCCCTACCTCTATCTCTTTTATTTCTTCCTTTTTCTCATTCTTGTCTTGTATTTGCAAACATCATCTCTTACTCTCTCACCTTTACACATACTCTCACGCTTTTACTACTGCTAAAAATTTGTTTTGTACCAAAGACAACATCTTTTTGATCACGCATGGATTCCGCTGTTAACTTCGTCACCGAGGCTGCAAAATCATCGGGCTTTCTCCGCCTTGTTCTTAAAGCCTTTGAGCGATCTAATGCACCAAAGACTGCTCTTGGTCTCTTTGTTTTCTACTACATTGTTAAGTATAGAGACAATGCCATTGGCACCCGACGCATTAACCTTCCTGGACCCAAGGGTCTACCTCTCATTGGCAATCTCTTTCTCTTTTTAAGAACACCTGGAAGCGAAATTTCAACGCTGCATGATCGTATGCATGAAAAGTATGGCTCAACATGGACCTACAGCTTGACTGGAATGGGCCGCACCATTATGGTGAACGACCCTGCGGTTCTCGAACACGTTCTCAAGACGAACTTTTGGGCATACGAGAAAGGCCCCATCTTGCGCGAGTCCATGGAAGATCTCTTAGGACATGGCATCTTTGGTGCTGATGGCCAGGTAAGAATGGATTCCACAACTCACAATGCTGTGGTTCCGACCTTAGTTGTTGCTACTGTTGTTACCAACAAACTGTGACCTAATTTTTTTTTGTTACTGAATTTCTACAGCACTGGAAATGGCAGCGCAAAATGGCTAGCCATATCTTTAACGTGAAGGCATTCAGAGGTAAACAGATACTATGATAAGAAAGGGAAAGGGAAAGGCTCTTGAGAAAGGAAGATGAGAAAATGGAGTGCCCCATTACTAACCGTCATTGCCACCAATTCTCCAACTTCTAAAAAAAAAAAAAAAAAAAGATTACACAAACAATGTGTTTGTACAAGAGTCTCATATTGTTGCCAACTACCTTGATACGATCGCAAGAAAAGGGACTGTCGTCGATATCCATGAACTCTTGCTCAAATTCACACTTGATAGCTTTGGCGAGTAGGTTTACTTGAATTTTCATGTGTCTGTCCACAAACGATGTGGTACAAAAAAAAAAAAAAGAACGGATACTTTGTGAGCAAAAAAAATTTACACAAAAATTCTTCATTGTTTCATAGAGTCTCTTTTGGACAGTCCTTCGGATGCCTAACTGACCCTGATCAGGAGGTTGTGTTTGCTGCTGCCTTCGACCGTCTGAATGCACAAGTGAGCGAACGTCTTTTCAAAGGGCCTTGGAAAGTGGTTGAGTGGTGGACGGGTGCCAACAAACAGGTTGAAAAGGATAAGAAGATTGTCACCGACTTTGCACTAGACATTATCCGCAAGCGTCGTGCAAGCACTTATGATAAGCCGCAAAAGGATCTCTTGCAGCTGTTCATCGATCTTAAGGACGATGATGGCCAGTCTCTATCGGATGAAACACTCAAGGACAGTATCCTCAACTTTATTATTGCAGGACGTGACACGACAGCACAAGCCCTGTCCTGGATGTTTTACCTAATGTTCCGAAACTCTACTGATAAGGACGTCGCATTCAAGTTACGGAAGGAGATCGAAGAGGTTCTTGGCGACCAAGAACCCACATATGAGACCTACAAACAGATGAAATATGCGGAAGCATGGTAAGTTACCTGGTTTGATTTCGGGTTCCTTTTTTTTTATAAAAAAAAAAAAGATACGTGCTCTTTCTAATGATGTTCGGCAAATGACCCTCCTATACTCTGCGATTTTTCCATTTGGCAAATTACATAGCCTCTATGAAGGTAAGCAGTAGATGACTATGGACGAATGAGTATAATGGACAGCCCGTTGTCGACCAATGAATCTTGCTCATCTAATGAATATTACGGCATCATATTTTTCTTCATAGCGTTACGACTATATCCTAGTGTTCCCCGCAACCTAAAAGTCTGTGTTGAAGACGATGTCCTACCAAGTAAGCATTGTTTTTTTTTTTTCTTTTGATGTGTACTGAGGACTTCGCACTTACTATACAATATTAATGTTAATGTTTTTTTTTTTTTTTTTTTTTTTTTTGTAAAAAAAAAGATGGTGTTGAGATTAAGAAGGGTGAATTCTTCCAATGGTCACCATGGACCATGGGGTAAGTGTTTTTCTTTTATCTAAACTTTAAAAAAAGTGGAGAGTATTAAATTTTATTAATTTTCTTTCCAATTTCTAGTCGTGACACTGCCATCTGGGGTCCTGATGCTAAAGAGTACCGACCTGAACGCTGGCTTCAGGGAGAGAAGTTTTCGCCCACAAAGTTCCCAGCCTTCCACGCTGGTCCTCGCACTTGTAGGTCACTCAATCTCTTCAGTTTCGGATTCTAGTACTTATAATCAACATATGTTAACTTCATTTATTTTTTTACTAGGCCTTGGCCAACAATTCGCAACAATTGAGGCCGTCACCCTCATGTCGATTATCTTTAGGCGATTCGATTTTGAACTTGTTGATCCAGTGAACGAGCCTGCCTATGGTGCAGGCCTTACATTGCCTGTGCTCAAGGGATTGCCAATCCGTGTGAGACATCGCAATGCTGCACAGACTCTCTAAACTATACGATAATACGTTTTATAATGATAATTGGAGGAGAAAGGTGTAATAAAGGCACATACTTAATTTAGTTTGCGGTGATCTTCATATTGTTATTTGATTAAAATAAAACATATTTGTTAGTATGAAACATTGACGCAAGAGAGGTGTGTAGTACAGAAATGAAATGGTTCTTTCGTCATTTGACAAAAGGAGAGAAAATGGAGCATGGAAGTGCAACTACAGTCTTCATCCAACAAGCCGTAAATTTTTTACGGATTTGTGGATTTTCACTTCTATTCATTTCAATTCAATAAATATATCAAACTTTATTTCTTCTCATTCATTCATTTTCACTCATTCTGATTCACTTCCTTCATGTCATTCAGTAAATCGCGATATTCGTTAAATAGCTCCAATTGCCTTTGAGCTGCAACCCAGCGTTTCAATAGCAGAGGGTCATCGATTTTGCCCCAAGCATCCATAAATCGCTGAAAGTTTTCTTGTAGCTCCATTTATCGTCGGACTGGATGGAGGTGACTCGAGCTCGTCTGATAGCCCTTGGGGATCTGAGTCAAGAACACTGGATTCGTAGTCAACACCATCTTCGTCATCGTCTAGATTATCGTCCTCGTAGACAATATCATCTTCATTGTATGGACGAAGCGATGCTTGTGCTTTTCAGATGTCGTTATCATCTTAACAGCGTCGAGGATCGACTCTGTAGGCCCTTCACAGTAGTTCATAGTGAGGTAGTTGAGGACCCCGATATCCTTTTGCTTGGTGATTTCTGCCGTTCCTCGCAAGCGGTTATCAGTCACATTGAGATCTATTAAAACACACAAGGTAAAATGGTTTTTTTCTTTTTCCTTTTCCTTTTTTTCTCTCTAGAATGATAGAGATGCCGCCTTACCGAGGTCTCTTTCAGCAGCGAACCACTCCAGCAAAGCATCTTCCGCGGGTTCCATGTTTCGATCGAGCTTGCGTTTGACTGCATGACTAGCTAGGAGGGGTAGCGAATTCACGTCTTGAATATACTCATTTTTTCGGCGATAAATGTCTATTGCCGTGGAAGGGCTCATGCCAAACCTGCTCCAATGGAAGAAGCAGAGACTTTGAACCCTTTTGCTCGTAGTTCATCGACGGCTTCAATGAATTTCACTTTGTCGGCTAAGGAATAAGACTTGTGCAGCCTGTGCTTCTTGAGTGCATGTCTCGATCGAGAAGACTGGTTTCTAGGCTTTGTTGGGTTCATTTTTCGAAGCATAAGGATGGATGTGGGAAGTGAATGTGAAAAAAAAAAGTGGTTACGCAAGAACATCGTATAAAAAAAAATAAAAAAAAATAAAGTTTGATATATTTATTGAATTGAAATGAATAGAAGTGAAAATCCACAAATCCGTAAAAAATTACGGCTTGTTGGATGAAGACTGTACACACTAGTGCTTGAAAAAGCTCTTCAAGTGCAAATGTTACTCTGTTGCAATGTCCATTGCAATGTTTTCATTACGGCCAAGGACGAATGCGATACCGCGGCATTGTGATGTAATCTATTATTCAACAAATCATATTATATATTTTATTTTACAGACATGTATTACATGATGGAGATAAAAAGATATCTTGCAAAGCCATGAGCCTGAAAGCTTCAAAAGACTGCCAGAGCCAAGAGAAGATCACGCTTCTGTTTCATATGATGATGAGTTATTGCGAGGCTTAGGGAGTGCAAACGCCATTTTGATAGCATTGAGTGCCTCAAGCTTGGCAGGATTTGATGTTGCTCCCAATGGAGTCGAGCTACTACCTTTGGAACGAACCTTAGCCTTATCAAAGACAAGTCCTGATGATGGTGTAGATGATAAACTAGACCCAGGGCCGTTCAAGATATCTCCCAATTCTTCAACACCTTTACCGGTCAGCAATTTTCGCCTCTTTTTAACTTTGTTTATATTCGACTCAACTGCATCCGTCACGTTGACTGGCGTATTCACTGCAATAGGTCTTGTAGGGTTTGAAGTCGATGCTCCTGAAGAAGGTGCCACAGACACTGTTGCTGAAGCTGCAGATATCTCTTTTGATATTGTTGCTGTTGTCTCTGGTGCTGATAGTATTGTTTTTTTTGTTGTACTAGATTGCGGAATGGTAGCCTCACCTTCCAGTGCCAGAACCTTATTTGATAACACTGTCTTTGTCTTCCTGTGAGCTGGTTCGAAAGTTATGCCAGATGTCTTCTTTGTACCCCCTCGATTCCTGGGTGCAGCAACAGTCTTTTTTTGTGGCGGTTCGAAATCACTGTCGGAATTGTTGTCATTTGCCTTACGGAATTTATCTGGTGCTCCTCTTTTTGACCGCGCTAAAGGCGCAAATCCTTTTTCTTTGGCATCTTCTTGTTCCTGATCTTCTATAACATTGCTCGCTTCCTTAGGTTCCCCACGTTGAGACGACGGTCCAGCGTCTGCCTCAGGTTCTTGCATCTCTATATCCTCATCTGCGCTCTGGCCTTCATTATGTTCGTGGTCAGCAGCATTATGACCGTCATCATCGCCGTTCTGATTTTCCTCTTGATCTTCGTCCTCGTCCTCACTGCTATCCTTACTTTTATCAGACGAACTGGATCCGAATGTGTAGGTTACATTCTCAGCCGCATTCCTTCTGGCTCGAGTTCTTGAAATAGGTTGTTTGCTCTCCTTCAACGTCGTCTCTTCAGGCACATCGTCATTACCTTCAGCATCACCATCGTCCGATCCTGATTCTCGGTCTGCTGACCGAGTAGATTTTCGTGCTGGAGCACGAGGACGCTGTGATGTCCCGGGTTGCTAGTTATTTATAAAAGTTATCCGTCAGTTTAGAGTACATGGCTATACAGGCAAATTATTCGATTTCTGCTCACCTTCTTGCTCACGACATCCTGTCTTGTTTTCCTCTGATCCACCTGAGCCTGGGTTTTTAGTGCATGCTCCATCACTTCGAAAAGCTTTTCTTTCAGCTGCCCAACTTTTTTCTCCAATTTCTGTTTCTCGCTTTCTAATTTCTTGATATTAGTGCTCTCATGGGCATTTGCACTGGCTCGGTCGCTCTCCACTGACGTTGCTCGGTCACTCTCTAAAGACGCTACTCGACTCTGCAAGGTTGCACATTGTTCAAGTAGCCGATGTTTCTCTAAAATCCACTCAGGTGGCGCTGTTTTTTTGACACTTAAAGCAGATACTTTGACTTTGAGTGATGCAATCTGATCCAAAAAGCCTTTCTTTTCCTTATCCCAGGTATCTCTTCCGTGTTTCAGACTATTTCGGACTCGTGCTTGATCCTGTTCCCAGTCAAGGACCTGTTTGTCGCCATCCGTGCTCGCCTGTGCAAGTTTTTGCTGATATCAGTATAAACAAAAGGATAAATTAATGTAAATATCCTTAGCATTCAGGAGATTCAAGCGCATTCATAACCAAGTCATCTATTGTCGAGGAATAGATAAATAAAAAGGCGCCATACTTTTAGAGAGTTATTTCCCGCCAAAAGTTCCTGCTTTTCATATTCCCAGCGCTGTTTCTCGTCCATATGCAAGTTCTTGGCAGAGTTGGACAGATCAACCACTTTAGCCATTTCCGCCTGAAGCTTCAGATTGGCTTCCTCTGCTTTGAACAATTTCTGTACGTACTCCTCCTGAGAAGCTTTCATGGCCGCTATCCGGATCCAGGCATCTTGGAGTTGTGTTGATATCTGTCTCGCTTGATCCTGTAACATAGAAGAGAAGAGAGAGGAAGGAGCTTATTAATGCCTGCCAAAGGCTGTCAGGCAGCCTCTTTTTTTTTTTTTTTTTTTTTTTGCAATTATGTTCAGGACCATACTCTGACTTCGGTATCTGAGACCTGAGCCTTGAGCTGCTCATTTTCTTGTTCCAGGAAGTCTCGTTCATCAATGACAGTTGCTATCAGTCAGAAACGAATGAGATGGGTGAGTCTCAAATCAAATGTGTTATTATTTCAAGAAAAAAAAAGGCTTGACCGTTCTTGGTCCTTTGAAACTGACTTACAGAGGTCGATTTCAAGCTTGCGAGCCTTTTCTTTGAGATCCATGATTTCAGCTGCCTGCTTACTAGCGTCCAAGCGGGAACTGGCTTCCAAGAACTGAATACGCTCCTCTAATTGAATGACTTTGTCCTCGAGTCGGTCTTTTGTGTCTGTCAACTCTTCGAGCTCGTCACGAAGTGACTGAATGGTGGCTACGTCACTTTCATCTCTATGGTTCTCGTCATCAGTGTCAATTTCGCTTGCAGTAGCGTTCTTTGAGATGGATTTTGATGCCGCTCTATGTAATGCTGCTGCCTTTGTTTTATCCGATGATGATCCCTGTCGTGTTTTTCTAAGTGATGTTGGAGTAGCTGTGTTGTGACGTGTGCTGCGAGAGGCGCGTGTTGTTGTCGCGGAACTCATGATACTATGCGCCTTAATTCTTAAAACGAATTATGCTCTTAAGGCTCAGTTGTTTTCGCAGGAACCGCAGCGACAAAAGATGCACTTTATTTTTCTAATTCAGGTCCCCGATCTACTGGTAGGAAGGGCTTATGATGAGGGAGATGAATCAGTGAATTGTTTGGTTTAAAAATATGTATGACGATTGGTAGTGATTGGTTCAAAGACTCTTTTGTTCTCATCTCATGGCAAAGATATAGCACGTGATAAAAGGTGTGTAGAGTGACAGCATCAGGAACAAGGGGCTTTATTTTTTGGTTTAATTGACAAATGATTTTTGAGTAACATGGACATGGCAGAAACATTATCATAAACGTTCATGAAAAAGATCGATAAAACGTTTGAAGAGAGATATCAAAAGATTTTGATTTGTCCATGCTGACTGATTAATATGTGCTACGTGGCGCCTTCCTCTTAATGATAGCACGAAGAAGACTTCGGTCTCCCTCTGTAACCCCTCTCCACAAGTTGTCATCACCATAAGCTTTATTTTATTTTTCTAAATCTTGTTTGATCCGACCAATGGCTGTACGCCAGCGCTTTTTTGATGAGGTCCCATCCACATCGTAGATCCATCTTCTTCTGTTTCACACAAAAGACAAAGACAAATACAAATACAAATACAAATCCCCTTTGCCCTGTTTGCCCTTTTCTACTTTCTTTCCTCTCCACATTCTTCCACATACACTTTTCTCACTCACCCTCTCTCTCTTTTTATCACTTTAATCCATTCACTTCTCTTGTTCTTTACCCTTGCCTGCTTATTGTCCCGTTCCTTTCTTCTTTTCACTCCTGTACATATTCTGTTAGTCCATTTACTAAATCCATCACCATGAAGAAAGCCTTTGTCTTCCTTGGTCTTCTTGCTGCTATCACGCTAGTCGCAGCTGAAGCTCCTGGTGCCCAGGCCGCTTTTAAGAAGTCCGGAGAGAATGTTGCTATCCCTGAGAACTTTGCGTTCGATTCCAAGCCTATTCTTCAGGGCGAAAAGCACCAATTTCAGGTACTGCTTATAGAAGTTAATTGATCAATAATGATACTATTTTATCAGTCTTTAGAAAGCCGTTTTTGAATATTTATCTTTATTCGTTTTTTTGACAAAAAATAAATAAATAAATAGACGGAGGTCTCACGTTTGATGAAAATTGTCATCAACTCACTTTACAAGACACCAGAGATTTTCTTGCGAGAGCTCATCTCCAACGGATCTGATGCCTTGGACAAGATTCGTTTCAAATCTCTCACCGACCCAACGGCGTTGGAGTCTAATCCTAATCTCAATGTGACTATTGGCCTGGACAAACAAAGACGGATCATCACTATTACTGACACTGGTATTGGTATGACCAAGGAAGACTTACAGAAAAACCTCGGAACTATTGCAAAGGTAACGTGAACCTGTATTCTATTGTTCCCAAATGCAAAAAAAAAAAAAAAAAAAAAAAAAAAGAAGATCTATTAAAACTGGATGATATTGATGACATTTTTGTACCTTCAGTCTGGAACATCCGAGTTTTTAGAAACTATGTCCGGTGACAAAGCAGATATGGATCTCATTGGAAAGTTTGGTGTCGGCTTCTACTCAGTCTTCTTGGTTGCTGACAAGGTCCGTGTCACCAGCAAAAATAATAATGATGATCAGTATATTTGGGAATCGACTGCTGTCGATGATTTTACTATTGCCAAGGACCCTGCTGGTAACACTCTCGGCCGTGGTACACAGATTGCCATTCATCTCAAAGAAGATCAGGATCAGTACCTGGAAGATAAACGCATCAAGGATCTTGTTACAAAGTACTCTGAATTTATCAATTTCCCTATCTATCTCCGTCGAACAGTATCCAAGGCCGTCGAGCCAGAAAAACCCGCTGAAGCCAAGGAGACTGAGAATAAAAAAGTCGATATTGATGACGAAGAGGCTCAAGTCGAGGATGTCAAAGATGAAGAGACAAAGGACAAGCCCGCTCCTGTTACTGTCACATATGATGAGGATGAGCTCATGAACACCAATAAGCCTATCTGGGTTCGTGATCCCAAGACAGTCACGACGAAAGAGTATGAGGACTTTTATCCTGTCCTGACGCGTGAACATGGTTCCAAGGCCATGGCTTACACTCACTTTAAAGCCGAGGGCGATGTTGAGTTCAAAGCCATTATGTACGTTCCTGATAAGGCACCTAAAGATCTCTTCCACATGGACTCTCGTCATAATAATGTCAAGCTCTATGTCAAGCGGGTCTTTATCACAGATGAGTCAAAGGAATTCTTACCCCAATGGTTGTCGTTCTTGAAGGTGCTTGTCGACGCCGAAGATGCACCTTTAAACGTCTCACGTGAAACCGTACAATCCAATAAAAGTATCCAGTCGATCAGGAAGCATCTAGTCAAGAAGTTCTTTGATATGCTCAAGAGCTTATCACAGGATGAGGAAAAGTACACTAAATTCATCCAGGAATTTGGCACCAGCCTTAAACTCGGTACTATGGAGGACAGAGACAACGTAAAAAAGATTGCTCGATTCTTGAGATACCGTTCCTCGAATTCTGACAAATACACGTCATTCGAGTCGTATGTTTCTCGCATGAAGAAGGGCCAGAAATCGATTTATTACGTGATCGGCGGCAGCGTGGATGAGATTAAACAATCTCCTTTTGTGGAAGCTCTTCTTGCTCGTGGGTATGAAGTTTTGTACATGGTGGAGCCTGTAGATGAAGTCGTACTCACACAGTTGGGTAACTTTGAGGGAAAGACTTTCCAAAATGTGGCCAAATCAGAGTTGAACCTCAATGATGAGGATGATGCGGAGGCACTAAAGGAGCTTGAAACAAAATTCTTGCCATTGCTGGACTGGATGCAGGCCGCATTGATCAATGAAATCGAGAAGGTACGCGTCTCCAAGCGTTTGACGACTTCACCAGCTGCCTTGGTTGCAAACGACTTTGGCTGGACTGCCAACATGGAACGCCTGATGGAAAGCCAGGCAAAGCATACCGACAACCCTATGCATATGTTCGCTAAAAACCAGAAGAAGATTCTGGAAATCAACCCCGGTCATCCACTCATTCAGAGCATGCTCGAGCGAGCTAGCAAGGATCCTAAGGGCTTTGAGAATGATAAACAATTCCAAGATATTACAAAAATCCTTTACGAGATGACATTGGTCCGCAGTGGATACGCTCTGAAGGAGGGTGTCAAAAACTTTGCTGGTCGTGTCGAAAACATGTTGCGTATTAGCTTGAATGTTGATTTGAACGCTGAGGCCACGTTTGAAGCGCCTCAAGCTGAAGACAGGGACGAAGAAGAGATTAAGGCAGAGATTGAACAGCGTGAGGACATCCTGAAGGCTGATGAACTTAAACCAGGAACGATGTCAGCAGAAGAGCTTAACAAGATGCTTAAAGAATTCACTGACAGCACAAATCCACCCAGGGCCGGTTATGATGCAAATAAGGATGGAGAGATAGTCGAGGAAATTATCGCCAAAAATGAGGAAGAGCTGGACTCTGAGGACTCTGAGGGGATCAAAGCGGTGCATGATGAACTTTAAACCCCTACGAAGCCATAATGCCAATAGTAATAAGAAATAAAAGTATATAAATATAAAGTACAGTTTTCCGGACGATACACAGTGGAAATCGTCTGGATAATTTTAAAGTTTTACTGAATTGACCAGTATTTTAATTTTATAAAGTATACATATTCAGGTGACATTGCACTTATTTCTTCCCACGTATGCACGAAAATGGTCCGACCAAATGTGCAGTTAAAGAAAAAATAAGTGCAATGTCATCTGAGCAAATATATTTTATAAATTTTAGAATACTGTTCAATTCAGTAGAATCTAATTTTTTCCGATAGCAAATCGTTCGGATAATCAAAATTTGACTATAACATGGATCTAAAAGAAAACTTGTTTATTGTATGGGTGATGTTTATTCTACAGGGTGGAAATCTAAACAGCTGGGGCAGCATCGGCATCTCCGTTAACTTTCTCCTTAGTGTCAGCGCTATTCGTTAACTTGGTATCAGTATTGGGGGTTGTCTTTGTGGCCTTCATCCACTCCTCTTCGATCTCAGAATCAGAGTCGGAGAATGAATCAGATGCATCGTCACCGCTAGCATCTGAATCGCTATCACTACTACTCTCTACGGTCTCACCTGCTGCAATACGTGCAGCCTTCTCTTCCTTGGCCTTCTTTTCCCGAGCCTGCTTCTTGGCCTTCTTCATTGTACGGCGTTGGCGCCGCTTCTCCTTCTTTTCGGTGAGCATTTCGCGTTCATGTGCTAGCTCAGTTAAAAATCCTGGAACCTTGTCAAGAATGGTCTCGGGCTCATCTCGATGGAGCATAAAGAAACCCTGGAGTTGAGCTGTTGTCACCGAGTCCTCAAATGTGATCTTCTCGCAGATTTGGTCTGCAATTTCATAAATCTTGGCGTCATATGCGTCCTTGCGGGCCTGTTCCTTTGGATCAGAATCTGCTGCTGCTGCTGCTGCCGATTTTTCTGTAGCCTTCTTATTCCTGAAGCGGACTGGAGTGGTAGGCTCATTAGTTGCTTGGCCTTCGGAAGATCTGCTTAAAAAGAATTTTAGGAACATTCCTCGAATCTGATGCTTATCAGCATAGTCAAAGACAAGCTTGCGATCACAACGTCCAGGACGAATCAAAGCGGGTGCGAGCTTTCGGATGTGATTGGTGGTCATAAATACGACACTTCCTTCCTGAGCAGTTATTCCATCAAGGGCATTCAAGATTCCTGAAAGTGTGACATTGTTGGATCCTGACTGAGCCTTTCCTGCCTTACGCCTCACTAACGCCGCATCCACATCCTCCATGAGCAAAATACTGTTACGGGGGGCATTATTCAATAATTGATCCAGCTGTTGATCATTGAGGCCTGAGATACCCAGGTTAACAATGCAAACAGACATGCGCAAATGACCAGCCAATGCCACAATAAAGGACGTCTTTCCTGTTCCTGGAGGTCCATGGAGGAGATAGCCACGGCGGTATGGCACACCACGGTCATGGTACCAATGAGCCGAATTGCGAAATGTGCTAATATCTATTATTACAGTTGGTAAAATATTGTGAATATTGTGTTCAAAATCTCATCATGTGAATAAATGGCCTTAGTTTATTGCGCTATTAATCAACCTTACCTTCCAAGAGTTCCTCTTTGAGACCCTCTGCAAGAATCACAGAATGAAAAGCGCGAGGGGAGCGGGTTGATGAATTCGACCAGTAACTGTCATATGGCTGCGAGGTGTAGATGGTAGTTTTGCCCTCCTTTTTCTTGTATGACTCTTCCATCGCATCCTGTGGTAACAATAGGTTAAGTTTGATGTCTTAGAACAAATAATTAAAAAAAGGCCCAATAACCGAGATTCAGATGTGGCTAAAAAAAAAAAAAAAAAAAAAAAAAAAAGGAATATTTTTGCTTACTTGGACAATCATTTTAAGCCGAGAGATGTCCCAACCAAAGGTTGAGATGGTTAGAGACTGTTTCTTTTGAATTGAGGCCAAGATACGAGATTGCTCGTTATCTGCACCAGCAGCCTGTTCTGGCCGTTCCTGCGACACATTCACCTTGAAGCCCTTGTGATAAAGGACATGCGATCCCATGCCTGGCAGGAACAAGAGTCGGGGGCGTTCATTTTGACGAGAGTCATTATTGCTGCGATAGTATCCTTGCTCCTCTTCATCATCATCCCAGACGGCCTTGACAGTTAAGTGACGGACTGATTTTGTGAGAGGTCGCTCAGCAACCCATTCTTTTAAAATTGAAAAGTGAAGCGGTCAGCTAGAGAAATTATCATCGCCAAGCTTTTTTATTTCTTTTTTCTTTTTTTCTTTTTTTTTTTTTGCCTTGTGTTACCTGATAGCCATTTATAGCAGTCGTCACCTTCCTGCACTTGAACAGACACATAAAACCATGATTGAACCTCGTAGTAGTACCGGGTGATTAAGTCCTTGAAAAATGTGTAAAAACTTCCAACAATCATGAGGAAGAATCCGGCCGAGAGAACATCGTTGCCAAGCACTACATACACAATGAAACAGATAAAAGGAGTTAAAGTGAATATGAAATTCAGATACAGTCGGTTTCATTGACAAATATCATAACGTCACAGTATCGTATCCCAGGAACAAAGGAATGTATGGTATGGATGATATACCTGCTTTTACGACTCGCATGGCAGGAGGTGATAGCGTAGCCTCGAAGCGAGCCCCAGATTGGACAACATGATCGAGGACCGCGGCAGAGGAATTGAGAAATGTGCCAGCTTTAATGACAAGCCAATCCATAACGAGCTTTTTGTCAATGGAGTAAGTATGAGACGAGGAAAGAAAGACAACGGTAATGAAGGAGAATGATGGAGGGGTACAAGCTTAATGAAGGTGATGGAGAAATGAGTGGATAGAAAAATAAGAAGCAGAAGAAAGAAAGGAAGAAAACTCTTTATTGCTTTTATTTATATTCTTCATTTTTCTTTTCCTTGACTTTCATTGCCACGACATGGGCTCTCTGCATGTGCTGCGGTGCACTAGTTTGTCTCTGCGCCACCAGTCTTGCTGAGCTGATTCAAAAAACTCACATGGGTTCATGGAGTATAAGACCTCTCTAAAAGATATTACAGTCTAACCGACGACTAGCCTTTTAAGGGGCTCTCTATTATAGAGGGCAAGGTCAAGCAAATATGCATAAGGCTGCTGCATGCGGTAAGAATCTATAGATGCAGAAATGTCTGTACTATAGACGGGATAAAAAAGAGTATACGTAGATGATCTAGTTTGGAAGAATGAGGCACGGTACATTAATTCCATGAAGCAGCGTGTGATATACAAACCATGGTATAAGTATTGAACAAAAAAAACAGCACCAGTAGATCTTGGATACAATATTGAAGTTAAGCTGCTACCATTGTTCTTTGACAAATATAATGAATATCGCAGACAAAATTCCCCTTCCCACCTCATAATCATATTCCTGTTGCCCTGCTTCCAAGTACAAGCACGTGGATCCTCATACGCGTGGAATAGATGCATATTTGCATCACAATCAAGAATAAAGGTTTACAGTGTGCTATTTAGTGTTCTGGTATGAAACACTGGAATGTATTCATGCAAAAACAATGAACTTCCCGCGAGAGTTCGGCAATTCAAGCAATTCAAGCGCTATGCGACAGTGTTGCTCGTACCTGAGAATTACTTCCCATCTTTTCATGTTCTTCCTATGGCCATTTATTTTTTTCTTGGTTGATCAAGACTTTGTCCTATTCTTCTTTCATTCAAATCTTCATTCTTCTCCATCAACTTTCGCATTCCTAACGCTTTTTTTCGTTTATCGGTTTGGAGCCCAGCTTACTATTTAATAATATTATGCCAATAGTCAACTTTTACGGATAAAAGAAAAAAAAAAAGAGCAATGACTTCTCACATTATTCCAATGAATCCTCTCCAGGAGAAAGATCATTTGCACCATTTCCGGGACAGCTCAACGTCAGCACAGCTGACAAGGGCATCCATGATACCACGTGTCAAATTTCAGGACGAGAATAGCAACAATGTTTCAATTGTCTCAAATCGCCTCCAAAAGTCACGGCTACCACTTCAGAAACGTGTTTCGGTGCCCAGTGCGGGCATGGATGCAAGAGCCTATGGTATACAGTCATCCAAGGACTCTTCCATGATCCAGACGGACCTTGTCCTAAGAGAGGTCACCAACACCAACACCAACACTAACACCAAAAAGGTAATGAGACAAAACCTCTGCATAATCTGCATATCCTTTATTTCTTTCACAATTCTGGTGAATGCTTTGTGTGGTGTTTTGTTCCTCTGTGCTTACAATGATTGTCTTGTAACTTGAAAATGTTTCGAAAATAGCAGCAACCGAATCATGAATTTACAGAGTTGAGTGGAAAGTTAAAAGCTATGGCTGTGTGTGTGGATCCTTCAGAGACAGCAACTCTGAGACCTCATGCAGCACATACACGTCTTCAGTCAATGCTACCAGCTCTATCCGTACCTAGAGTCGTGCCAGCCCTAACAAGAGTTCCGTCCGCCTCAACTACCGAGCAGATGAAGAGACAAGCCAATTCATTGTTTTCATCGGGATCTCAAGGAGCTTCACGATTCGGCTTCATAAAAACAAATATTACCAACCTCAAGAAGTCTTCCATCACTACTAGCGTATTCGACAAGCGTTCCACAAAGTCTGCCGTACCTGAACCTACCATTTCAATGCATTCAGGTGTCCAGACCATCAAGCGCAATTCAAGCTTCAAAACCATTGCACCAGCCGCTCCCAAAATGAGTGCCACTCAGCGACGCCGCACGCAAATCCCCACTTTAAATCGAGCTAATTCACAGACTACTCGCCGGCTTGTGCCTACCACGAGTATGGTCAAGATGCACCAAGGTCCAACTATTCCTGTTGGCTCAATGTTTGACTCGCAGCCTTTCCACGATGCGAATATGCATATTGATTCTAAAAGCGACCACGAGTGCCTCACGTCGCTGATGGACACTGACGCTGATATTTGGTCCAGCCAAGATGACTTTGATACGGATCCAACTCTAGTTACAGAATACCAGGCCGAGATATTTGCTTACAAGAAGGAATTAGAGGTATGGGCTAATAACAAACACATGCTGTACATGCTTGGTTTATCTTTTACGAGCTAGAAAGTGCCATTTAACTAAGTATTGCCACTAAAAAAATGGACATAGATAATCCATCTTCCTGATCCGAATTACATGAGTAGACAACATGATCTAAGCTGGAATTATAGAGTTCAGCTGATTGATTGGATTATTCAAGTTCATGATCGTTTCGATCTGCTACAGGAAACCATGCATCTCTGTGTGAACTACCTGGATCGCTTTTTATCCCGAGTTGTCATTCCTGTCGACCAACTTCAGCTGGCTGGTACAGTTGCCTTACTGCTGGCCTCCAAATATGAGGAGATTCAATCACCTGCCATTGAGGTATTGTCCCACTTGGGTGGAGATGTCCACGCGCCAGCGAGGATACGTGAAGCAGAAATTGGGATGCTCAAGGCGCTCAACTATGACATGGGAGCTCCCGGGCCAATGAGCTTCTTGCGGAGAATCTCTCGTGCGGACAATTACGATGTTGACATTCGTACACTTGCTAAATACCTTATCGATGTAACTTTGTGCGATCATCGTTTTATTGGATTCCCATCGAGTATGATTGCTGCTGTAGGCTATTGCGCTTCCATGCGACTATTATTCCGTGGAGAATGGACAGCACAGCATGTTCACTATTCCGGATATACTGAGCCCATGCTAGCTACTGGTATCAATATGCTACTCGTCATGCTGGAGCAGCCTACTCAGACACATCAAGCCCTGTTCAAGAAGTACAACGATGAGCGATACATGCATTCGAGTCAATATGTTCATGGTCTTGGCCACAGTATCCTTAGATCACTACACAGCAAAATCCTCGCTCACTAGCATCACCGAGACAGCATTACGTCGGACAGGTCTTTCTCTCTTTATTTTGGATACCCGGAGATACCATATAATGTAATTCTTAATTTATAGTAATATCTAGACATAATTATGTACCGCTAATATATAAAATGTATTTCTTAAGTATTGTATTCTCTGCGTTTTATGACTGAAGATCCATATGGTAGAAAGAAGAGTGTTTTTTTTTTTTCATCCAGGAAATGAAGTAGAGTTTGGAGGGCCGCTAATCAGATCCAAAACAAAAGCATTTATTTTTATTCATCAACGTGGTCTAGTGTACAAGGTGTGAACATGTCGTGAAGGAAAAATGTGAAAGAGCGTTTTGGACAAAACGTAGTTTGTTTCTCTTTCTCCTAAATTATTGAAATGTTTAATAATCCACTGCTTCAATCTAGATACACCATGAAGTACCACAACCACCTCTATGAGAACGAATCGGAGGGCAACTATGAATATTCCATTTAACGTCAAGTGGTATTTGGCCCATACGACACGGTTTTCAATAGACAAAACAGAAGTGAATTTTAGAATATTTGACATGCGAATGGCATTTCATGGTATAGAAACACAGGCAGGCTATAAAAACAGGTAAAATAATAATAGTAATAATAATAAAAAACAACCAATTTGGAAAGGGAAAAAAAAAAATACAAACAACCAGAAAGAAAAGAGTCCTTAGACTGAAAGTATTAAAAAATGAAGTGAAAGAGAGTATGTACAGTCGTTGTTCCACGAACAAATGTAGGCTGAAATGATAGATGAACAGAACTTGCGATGCTGCTGTCAATCCAAGTTGATCCTCTCCACAGCTGAAAAGAAATGTCATCCACGAATAAATTTCAGTCATCGAGGTAATTAGTACCTATGAAATCATGCAAAAAATAAAAATAAAAATAAAAAAAAAGGTAAGCATCAAGAGATGAACAGAACATTTTTTTTTTTTTTTTTTTTTTTTTTTTAAAAAAAAAAAAAAAAAAAAAAAAAAAAAGGTGAAGCATCGCTGCTTACGTCAATGACTCATTAGGGCACTCATCCGTATAATGCTGTCCATATTCTTCACAGTTGTCGCAGTACTACAATGATATAATAGGGTATATCGTCAATACATCTGAAAACGCCTATCAATTCAAATTTCATAATTACAAAATAGATTCGGTATAACACTATGTCCCACTTACAGGTCTATCGTCTTCCAAATCTGCATTGGAGAATAGTGTCGATGGCGCTTTGGGCTTGCCTCCTCCAAACACTGCTGTACAGCTGATCAAGTCATGTCCCTCAACTTCACAAATTTCACAGAACAGTATCTTATCTGTGCTTTCAGCGGCTGTCCTTGCCTTATCATTTGAGAATGACGATTTCGTTGCGCCATTCAATCCTGAATGGGCGCTATAAGAGGATGTGAGACCGTTTGTAGGCAAGATAGGCGCTGACCCATGAGTTCCATTTGTAAGTTTGGCCAACTGAGATTTCAAATCTGCAACTTCCTTCTGGAGACGATCAATTTGCTTCTGTTTGTTCTCCACCTCCTCCTCAAGATCTGCTTGGTGGAAGATCTTACTCTCGACCAGTGATTCTAGATCAGTTAATTCCTTATTCAGCTGGCTGATCTCATATGATTTTGTACGGTCCAACTCAACATATCGCTGTCGCATATCTCTCATCTCTAAAGCATGGGCTTGTGTCAATCTATCCAGCATCGCTTGTTTGTCCTTAAGCAAATTCTCCAGTCGAATTACAGATGCGGACTGGTTCTGTACCGATTGCTTCTCTGACGGTGTGGTTGTCGTGTCTTTGCTGAGGATTGCGGCATTGCTCAAAGCTGCCTTGAGTTCTTCTTGACCAATCAATGGTAGATTTACTTGTGTTTGTTGCATCAAATCCAATCCTGTCTTGTCAATTCCTTCTGCCTCCCCGATAGATGTCATTGCCAAACTTTCAGAGTGAAGACGTTCGACTTCATCCATGAGCTTCAAACACTCTGTTTCGACATGCTTATGAGCTTCCATGAGGATGTCATGTTCCTGCATTAGTTTCTTATTATCACTTGCCACAGCCGCATTCTCAGCAGTTAGTTCATGGACCATTTGCTTCAATGCAGCTATTTCTTCCTCTAGCTCAGCCCTGTTTAGGACAACTTCCGAATCTGGAACGCTTGAAGAAGCTACTCTCGGAGCAGACGCTGACAGGGCTAAAGCTGCTTCAAGCTCAGAGACTTTGTTCAGGAGTTGTTCGCGCTCCTCTTCTAGAGCAGAGATTTCTGCTCTTGAGCTCTCCATAGCACTGATTCGGTCAGCAGATGCCTTACTTTCGTATTCCTTCTTAAAATCTTCAATCTGCTTCCTCAGTGTCTCTCGATCTGCTTGTGAATCAGCCAGCTTCAAACTAAGATCTTCGATCATAGCAGCCTTCTGGATCATCTCCAATTGCATAGCTTCACATCGTTCCCTCCATTCCTCCACGGTCAGAGCAATGGCCTCTAATTCCTCCATTTTCTCCTTCGTCTCCGACAGACGGATTTCCAACATGGCCGCAGATTCAGCAACCTTAGCCTCCAAGGTCGATCGTTCCTGAACAAATGCATTTTCTGCATCCTTGAGGCGCTGCTGAAGCTTTTCAGTTTCAGATTCTGCAATTGCCTTGAGCGCCTTCAACGCTGTCTCGTTAGCCTCTAATGCTTTGATCTTGGTAAGATACTCTTCCTCCTTTGTCTCCAGAGTTTGAATGTCATCTCTCAATGATGTCAGCAGAGTGATGTTGTCAGCAACAGTCTCTTCTAGACGCTTCTTTTCAAGTTCCCAAACTTTGCGCATACGGTCAACTTCTTCACTCTGTATCATATCTCCAATATTCTGCAATTCCAACTTGAGGTCGGCAATATCTTGGTCACGTTTCATAATCGAGGCCTCATGTGCTTTTATCTTCTCTTCAAGTGCCCGGGTAAGTTTCTCGCTCTTGATAAGCGACTCTTGCGACTCTTGTAGCTCCACCTGTATTGACTTGAGCTTGATTTCAGCTTCGGCTTCAGCTTGACGATGAACCTCAGCCTCTTTCTCCTGTTTAGATTGTGTCTCGATCAATTGAGCTCTGGTTGCATCGGCCTCATCCTGCACTGTAATGAGCTTGGACTTGGTCTCTTCCAATACGGTCTGTGACGCTCTCTCTAGTTCAAGCACCTTAGCCTGAAGACTGTCCCGCTCGTGCTCAAGTTCCAGGTATTTAGCTGCGCTAGCGGCCATGTTCTCTTCATTGGCCTGGTTGAGCCTCTGCTCTTCTTCGGCACTTCTCGTCATAATATCGGCCAGTTTAGCTTCGAGTGTAGCTGCTTTCTCGTCTGCTTCTTGTAGACTCTTTTGGAGCGATTCAATCAGAATTTGCTGTTCTTGATTGATCGAGACATTCTCGGTGGTAGTGCCATCAGTACCATTCTCTTCCATTTGCTTGATCTTCTCCATAAGCTCCGTCTTTTCTTGGATGAGAGCTGTCCTCTCCTTTTGAGAGCGAGCAGCTTCCAACCATGCCTGTGTCATCTTGTCAGTGACGACTTTAAGCTCTTGATCTTTAGCAGTCTTCTCCTTATCCCATGTGGACTTCATGGCATGGAGATCCTCTAGTTCTTTAGCAAGATGCTCTTCGATCCCCTCGCGGCCCAGAGTCTTGCTCAAAAACACACGTTCCTCGTATGAGAGATCCTTCTTCTCTAACAGTTTAGTGGTCTCTAGACGTAACTTGGCTTCATTCATTTCTGACTTTAACTGGTTATTCTCAGCCATGGCGGTTTTAAAATCAAGCTGGAGCTGCTGCAGCTGGAGAGAAACGTCGTCCGCAGGTGAATCTATGGTCTGAATAGCTGTTGCTTGGTCCAAAAGGCTGGATCGGCTTTCGCTTGGAGACAAAAAGACACCTGGATCTGGCGTCCCCGAACGTGAAGAGAGACCTCTAGACGTTGAAACAGTTCGTGGAGTGGGCGACGCTCTGGCTTTTGCACCGTTGGTGCTCGACTGTGATGTGACAGAGGATGCTGAAGAGGGCGAGCGGGAATGTGTAGTAGTAGATTTAGCATTGAGTGCGGCCAAGGTTGGCTTTCCTGACGGCTGCGACAGACGTGAGCCAGCAGCGGCGACGCGGGCTGTAGGCGACGATGATCGAAGCTTTGGAACAGGCGAGGGGGAGTTGGCTCGTGCGTTAGCCGCGCTTTGCGAAATTGTTCTGGAGGACGTGGGAGATCCAGCCATACCGCTTAGAGCACGTATAGTTGGACTAGATGCTCCAAAAGATGGCCCAGAGGCTTGTGCTTGTGCTTGTGTTTGTATTTGTGCCTGTGTTGGTCCTGAGTAGGAGAGACGTGAGGCATTTGGTTGAGGTACATCATTGCGCTGTTTCAGCTGGCTGGCGGTCATACCGATATATTTTGATGCCCTAGAGCCAGCAGAGATCTTGGATACTGCCTGTGCGGCATGATTGACAGATGATGTTGGTGGTAATGAAGCCTCCTCTTCCTGGCCAGATACAGGATGAATTGGAGTTGTGGTATCAAGCGAAGGAGGAAATATTAGCTCTGATTTCGCGATCTTGGCTGCCAGTACAAAAATCCCGCATTTTGGACGGCAGTGGAAATAAACAACACTGAAGGTGCGTTTCATCCAGTATAATCAGAATATAAAAGAAAAGAGAAAGAAAAAAAGTATATCATAGTCTGTAAGATGATGATGAACGAAGCGTATAGACACACAATCTCACCTTTCAGCATTGATTGCGGCATGTAAGTCTTTCAAGTTGTTGGTGAATAAGGAAACAGCAAACATTTAACTCACCCTTCGACACTTCCATCGTTTTTGCCTGTGGGTGTATCGAGCTCAATTCCTGCCCAAGTACCCGACTTGAAACTGGTTGGACCCAAGAAGCGCAAGTATCCTGAGAGTCCCATGCTTTCTACAATAACACGGTCACCAATCTCATAGTCATCGAGCGATGGAGGCACGATTGCAGATGATTCTGGGATGGTTGCGACTGGATTGTTTCCCGGCGTCACTCCAGTAGACGCTGCAGTAGAGGCTCCTGGTGGTCGATGGGGTAGAGATTTCATCATGGAGGTTCGCGTACCTGCTGCAGCCTGACTAAAGGCTGGTGGAGTAATCCCCGGCCCAGCAGAAAGACGTGAGGCCTGCAATGTTGAACGTGACCCTGCGGGTGATCCTGAGCCCGGGCGTGTTATTCCGACAGGAGTGGTGGGAGAAGGCGTAGATGATATGGTGGAAAGATTAGGATGCGAAATGGACAACGGGGGCATTCCAGAATAGGAGACAGGACGACTTGTGTTGGAAGTACTCTGCGAACCATGATGGATGTTGCTATTATTTGCTTCTGACTGCATGCTAAGGCGCGTAGAGCTGCCAAGCCGACTGATCTGTGATGAAGGCAACCTTTGCGTCGTGGATGAAGGTTGGGCTGTGGGAGACGCTCTATCAGAACTACTTGCGGGACTGTTGGGTCGTTGGCTGTGATGAGTAGTAAAGCCAAATCCTGTGATGTGAGACGTAGTTGAGTAATCTGCTCCTCCTGGATGGGCTCCTGATCCTGATAGACTTGATCCAATTGATGTTCTGGTGGTATTGGCAGGCGCAACTGCTGGCGAAGTAGTTGGAGTAGTTTTGCGGACAGGATCAATCAATCCAGGACTATGAAACGTGATAGCTTCTGCAAGAAGGGCCTGCTGCTCTGGAGACATGTCCTTGAGAGTCTTGGACACTGAAGCTCCATTAGGGCTAGGCATGAAGGAGCGGCGCTGTAAGACACTGCCAGGGGCAGGGATGCCGGTTAATGATGCATGTCCACCTGCCGAGGGCGGTTTTGGCAGCTTAGAGTTGGCCTGTGGGGTCTTTGGGGCCATGGCTGACGATGCAACTCAGCAAGTGAGAGAGAGAGAGAGTAGGAATGAATACGAGAGAAGGAGAATCGGATTGTAGAACTAGGATGTGAAGAAAGGAAAGAAAGAAAAGGAGAGTGATGGAATAAAAGAAAAAAAATAAAAAAAATAAAAAAAATAAAAAAATAAAAAAAAGAGTAGGAAATGGTGGCCAAAAAAAAAAAAAAAAAAAAAAAAACATCCACAACACAAAATGAACAAAATGGAGACAGATGGATGTATTCTCAAGAAACATGCTACAACTTAATGTCTCCTGATCTTCCTCATGTATGCCACGCGGACAAACCCGCATTAAGATTACCAATTTGATCAAAACAAATAAAACTAGATCTCGCTTCCTTTCTCTCCCTGCCCTTCTATCCTTTTTAAAATATAAATACACACAAAGACATTTATATTACATTTGCAACTACATTCCCATGAGGAATAGGAGAGTGGTTATTGATGGCATTGTCGACGCAAAAAAGGATATACCCCTTTCTCCGGAATGGTCCTTCAATGTTTTTTTTAAACTCATTGCCCCTTTTTCTTAGCATTATTGTTTTTTTTTTTTTTTTTTTTTTTTTTTTTTTTTTTTTTTTTTTTTCCCACTTTTACGCCTTTCAGGTAATGCATGGAATAGCATGAGATGCACGAGTATAGCATCGCAGTTTAACCTACAACAGGAGAGATTTAAAGGAATGGTCTAGTGAACGGAACTCTTTTTTTTTTGCTCTAAACATGAAAAGAGCTTAAAATAAACCTCAAAGCATTTAGGCTCCCTGTTTTACAATTCTGCGTGTCGCTTTCAGTAAAGGACAACTGATCCGCGCCTCCTCTTAAAAAGAAAGGCTTTTAGACATTCGCTTTTCATTCATCTTTCACCTTTCACCGCTGCCCTTTTTTATTTCCCTACCTCGACAATCAACTCAATTTTCAATTTAATATCAAGTAATTATGGCTAACAACCACGAGGAAGACACGGAATGGAACGATATCTTGCGCGCCAAGGGTATCATTCCTCAAAAGGAGAATCAAATAACAGAGGCTGACATCATTGACATGATGGACGAGGCTATCGCTAAGCGTAATGCCAGGAATTATGAAGAAAAAACTGTAGATGAGCTTGATGAGCTCTTAGATGAAAACAATGAGGAAGAGGAGCGCATGCTAATGGAGTACAGGTAAAGTCTATGGTCAAACTGACCAAATTGACATTGATTTCTCTTTTTTGTCTTTTTCCAGCCCGAGATATGACCTTGACTTATTTTTACTTCTAAACAACTTTCAATGGGTAGACAACAACGATTGAATGCAATCAAACAAGAATTGTCAGAAGATAAGTTTGGTGAGATCCAGCATATTTATAAGACAGATTTTGTCCGTGAAGTTTCTGAAGCAAGCAAAGATGTGTGGGTTGTAGCCTATCTCTACAAAGATTCGTAAGTTATTCGTGTGTTGGGTAAAGAAAAAATCGCAGTGAGCTTGATGAATATTAAACTAAATGGCCTTTAAAATTGATGAACAATTAGTTTGCCAATCTGCAAGTTAATGAGTGCACACCTGGCGACAGTAGCAGCAAGGAATAAGTCAACCAAGTTTGTCAAAATCATTGGTGATCAATGTATCCCCAACTACCCTGACCGTAATCTTCCAACGCTATTAATCTATGGAGAGGGAGATGTCAAGGCACAGCTTGTTGGAGCCTCACAACTTGGAGGTTTGAACATGAAGCCTTCAGGTATGTCTTTGTTAGTATCAGTTGTTTTATCAAAGGAAACAGCAATAACGTTGGATCGCTACTTATTCTTCTACATGTTGTAATTTGATCAATAGATATTGAGGCATATCTCCGTCGTGTTGGCGCTATCAAAAAGCCAGAATCACAATCGAAAGCATCAGAAGAGGTATTAAAAAGCTATCCCATGCATCTTTTTTTTCTTTTTTTAGAGAACATACAAAAGATTAATATAATGAAATGTTACTTCTGTTATGAAATTGTTAGACCAAACAATCATCAATCCGAAGCTCAGCAACAGCGGCTCTTAGTGATGATGACGAGTATGAAAGTGATGATTATTAGGAACTTTACAAGACAAATAAATAAACCTTCACATAGATTATGTAGACTACATATATACAGCACATGAAAATCAATTTGAAGTCTAAAATCATGGGTGTGTCCAGGGAATGTCTCAGCAGTCACAAGAGCTTGTTTTTTACATTTTAATCGCCCTTTCAAATACACAACCACAATTCACTTGTCACCGTTAACTTTTTTGCCTGCTCCAACACAAGCGTGCAGATATTAACCATACTCTACAGAGGCCTGGGAACATCGAAAAGTGTCCATTCGGCGCCAGATTCAATCGGCCTTACGCAAAAATAGCGAGCATAAAGCCGAGTTTGACCTCAAATCTTCTCGCACAAGATCAAATACTAGCTTACAAACCATTCCATATGACTTGAACAGGCGGGATATACAACAGCCTCAACAGACACTTGAAAGAAGTTACAGTACTGCCACTGCAACTAATCTCATCCTACAGCAAAATGATTACAACAAAGAAAGCTCAGTCGTGCACATTCCTGCGAGTAAAATCAACTGGGAGCTAACTCAAGATGAATCTCAATCAGTTGCAGATCGTAAACTTTACGTATATCAGCAGGGTGGAAGTAGATCACATATCCCAAGTTTAGCTCGATATCAGGACGTTGAAAGTAAAGAAAAGACTACTGGATTTTCGAGTATAGACTTACGGCAAAATCATCCTATTACTTGCCTTATTAAACATAAAAACTCCAGCTCGAATACAAGACGATATGAGTCCCTCTATGAGTTACAGTCCACTACAGACCAACAGCATAACCGCATACATGAGATGAGGGATTCCAGCGATTCGGGACAGTATACCTTTGATTATAGTTCTACACACTCTTCCATCAACAAGAAACTCCATCTTAAAGGAGCAGACCATAATCAAAACACCAAGCATACTACTACCGGAGAGGGAGAAAGAAGACTATCGGAGCTCGAACGAGCAGCATCTGGAGATGAAGACGATAACAGTAGAAGATCACAGAAAAATGCTCAGTTTGCCAGGCGAGACTCCACACTTCTAAGCACTGACACGACTACATCTCCAGTCATTACACAACTTCAGCGTTCAAAACTAGTGTCTTCTAAAATCCTAGCGGAAGATCAAGTAGAGATGAATCAGATAAAAAAGCCTATTGCTGCGGAGAGACTCGAGCGAAGAATACGGACCCTCAGAGTCCCCAATCCAAAGCAAAACCCGTTAAAGCGACAAGGATCTACAGGAGTGAGCAATCTCCCAACGGCTATCGAAAGTGGCCCTCAAGATGACCCTGCGGAAGAAATTACTACATGTAAAGAGCGGATGAATGTACATGATCCAGGAGCGAATGAGAGCGAACTCGAAGACTCCTTGGGAACACAAGGTACTTCGCCATGGGAGACACAAAGCACTGAAGAGAGATCAGCCGAATCGTCCACAGGGTATAGCAGCAGCAACTCTGCGCTGCCTAGACAAAAGAGCACACAGCAGCCTGAGATGCAACGGCTGGACTGTAGGAAATCATATTCAAGCCTTTCGAGCTCGGAAAACATGACTACAGGAAGAGAAGTCGAATCAACTCAGCCACTAAAGCTCCAAGACATTAGCCAAGAGGTCAAGTCTATACGAAAAGAGCTCGAACAGTCCAAAGTAATAACTGTCATAACCTCATATTTATATTCGTCTACAAATCTCTGAAGAGAATGTCACTGGAGTCATCTTACTAATACTTTCATCTGAACATTATTTAGTTTGAATCACAGCAGCTCCGGCATTGGATAATGGAGAGATCGGATTCACATCACCATCAGGAACAGGAGAATACGCTCTATCCACATCGTGCTCATCGTAACTATGCTCGCAGATCACGGCATACATATCAATCTCCATCATGGAGACACAATACACGACGTCTATCGAAAAGCAAAGAGAGCTCCGAAAGCGAAGAGTCCCATCGTAATGGTGACGTGATGCGCTTACCTGGTGGAAAGGCTGTTGAAGCTTTTAGGGGCACCCAACGCGCTAATAGCACGTCCCCCACAGCAGAGAGTCGATCCAGTGTGGAATCTGAATACCGAGGCCCTAATATGCGGAGTTCGCTTGCGTTTCCATTAAATCATCCTCATCCTGTGGATACGAGAGAAAGATATGCGACGCAAGCTGCAAGCTGCACTAAGTCCATATGTGCTAAAATGCCGGGCTGGACAGCGCGATTTCTTTTCTGGATGGTAGTGTCAGTGGTGATGCAACTCGTTATTATGGGTTTTTTATTTAGGTAAAACAATGGACAATGACCAATAATTCAGATGTAACCCTTGTGTTTTCCTAATTTGTGCTCGTACTCAAACGACATACTATCCTCCTATAGGCCTCAATTAACACAAACCCATCAGGCTGATATGAGAGAGCATGCTTCGAAGATTGTCAGGTATAATAGGAGGGACTATGTCCCTAGTCAGGTTGGGTTCTACACATTATTAGATGATGGATTTGGGATGGAGACATTAGCTTACTGCCATGACCTTTGGGAATTCCCCAATGATGCGCAAACTCTCGATCACTATCATCAAAGCAATGTTCGTTTTGCATTAAATCGAGCAGCTGAATGGTTGGCATACACCAATTCAATCTGCAGTAATGCAATGCATTGGACAAGAGATACGTGGCATCGTATTTGGAACTGGATCTGGGGCCATCGTCCAAACAAAAGTAATGATGCACTAGACTGGCTCTACAAATAATTTGTCCGACATATTGGGGCTGTTTCCTTCGTAGCGCCACCAATCCATGCTCTCTTTGACTTTTTACACCAATGAATTAATAAAATAATTTTGAGTTAAGCCTGACCTAATCTGAAGCAGTGTCTGGCACTCACCATTATGCCCTCAACCAATTTTCTATCGAAAAAACAGTTGAGAGCATTGGGCAACCATCAACAGTCTCACTGGCACCGTTGTTGCCCATTTCTGCAATTTTATTTCTCTTTTCTTCTTTTCTTCTTTTCTTCTTTTCTATTTGCCTTTCCTTGCCCCTGCACTCTCTTCACACACCTTTGTGGTCTGTCGCTTATAAACGTTCTCATCTTCTGCTACAACTATATCACCTTCTCCATTAAAAATCATCTATCTTCCCGCTCTTTTCGCACAGCTTCCGTCGACGCTATCATAAATAAACTTCATATTGCCTAAACTCACCAATGGCACTCCCAAAACCTCTCAAATACCTCCGTGTGATTCTACACACGTTTGTGGGCCTCATTCTCTTTATTTTGCTTATCGTACCCACACTCATCTATTCGCTCTACCTACGCTTTACTGGACCAAAACATGTTCCTTTTCACTCACACTGTTTTATCCGAATTGTATATTTGGCGGCAGCCATGTTCCCATACCAATGGTACCATCCAGCATTGGCAATCCGTACAGTCCTGGTTCCTGGCGAGAGGAGCATGGTAGTGAAGCGTGACACTTGGAGGGCCTATTGGGTAGGTACACTTGAGACTAAGAAGATCCCAGCTGAGACCCGAGGAGGCGATCCTACCTGGAGAGTGTCACTCAAAGGCGTAGACATGATTATGCTATATGCTCATGGTGGAGGATTTGTCTTTGGCGACGCTGAGATGTACAATAATATCTTTTGCTCTTGGGTACAACATTTCAAAACTGTCCATAATAAGACCCTGCGCATCCTGTCCGTTGATTATGGTAAGAAAAATCTCTCTTCCTCTCTCTCCCCCTTTGTTCCGCCATATGCATTATCATTATGTGATGCATACGAGTGTTCTATTGTCTCTTCTTTTGATCCTTTAATTGCTCTATTGCTCTCCCTTCCTCTTCACATGTGTTTGCTCTTTTTTTGTTCCGATAATCTGGCATAAAAGAATGTGTTCAGTATATTCAATCAGCGACAGGGGATATTACACAGTCTTTTTTGTTGTCTGACCATGTGGAGGCGAAGTTGAACTACTTTTGTTCATTGGTTATTGAGCTCCCGAAGGATGTTGTGGATTGGACATAGAAAGCAAGATCAAAACGGCTCCAATTTCTCCTCTCTCCAAATTTCACTCTCCACTTTTTTCAAAACACGGCTCACTGGCATTCCTGTGGGAGAAAAGAAAAAAAGAGAGCCTGATCATGTCATCAGAGGAACAAGAAAAACAACAGAAAGAGCACTTGATGTTAAAGAGACTTTTAAAGTGAACAGTTGGAGGGACAATGCGTAAATATGCCCAAATTCTGATTCTGTTCACAAAATTTTGTCAACAATAACAATAACAAAAATAATAGACCTTGCACCTCAGAAAAAGTTCCCTTTCCAAAGAGACCAATACTTGTCTGCATATCGTTTCCTGGTTCATGAAATTCGCTGGAATCCTCGCAAGATCATCTTTGGTAAGAAAAGTTTAAAAAACATAAATTGCTGTTTAAGATTGCCTTTTTTTTTTTTTTTTTTTTTTAATAATGTTATACTTGTCTGTTTCTAGGTGGAGACAGCGCTGGAGCAAATATCCTGTTGAATGCTTGTTATGTTCTACGTGAGGATCGACTTCCACCTCCTCGCGCTTTGCTATGCATTTCTCCGTGGCTTCGGTTGGATGCTGATGAGATGACTTCACCTTCTATGGCTCACAATCGCAGGACCGACTTTATGCCTCCACAGGTGTTCAAAAAGATTGCACGTTGTTATGCAGGACCCAAGGAGATCCATGACCCCCATGTTTCGCCCTTCTACGTCAAAGATCATTCAAAGTTCCCAGAATTAGCCATTATTTATTCTGGAGGAGAAGTTTTGAGAGACGATTGTGCACGCTTTGTGGATCATTTTCAGGCAACAGGGGGTCGTGTTACATATCACTACATGGCTGAGGGCATGCCTCATGTATATCCTTTACTTCGAGAACTGTCTGGCAAAACACTAGTCAAGGATGCAGAACGTCGACTGATGGAGTGGATCAACATCTTGGTGGAGGAGAACAAACTCTTGTTCGAACAGAGGAAGCGTACCAATGCAGCTAAAGCAGCAGTATCTGCTAACCCCTCTGTCACCAATCTCAATCCGACTGTCGACTCTAAAGAGGCTATTCTTGATTCACTATCGCCTAAAAGCCTAGCAATACCTCCAGTAGACCTTGAATATGCTCAAACACCTCAGATATCTCACGCGACTCGTATTGTGGCAGCTCAACCAGTGATCACAGCACGGACAGAAAGTGGAACTGCTTATCCCATAGAACTACAGGGAGTTACAATCGTTTCTGAAAAGAGGTCAGACGGCTCATATGCCCCATCTGATTCAAATTCATATTCAACTTGTGGCACTCCACCAGTGTACCAGGGTGGAGACAAAGAAGAGTACTTTGACCCAGAGCGTCAAGATAGCTCCGATGATGAGGGAGATAACGACGATGTCTCCGTTGAGATGCTTGTTGTTGATAATAACTAATGAAAAGACGAAGGACTGTCCTTATTTTGCACACTCATAACACAAATATACAACTAATGACAATTGCACGCTTAGTGATACCATCCAATATCCCCCAACACGAACATCTACATACATCCTTAATAAAGCGCTTTTTCATTTTTTTCATTTTTTTTTTTTTTTTTATCCCATTAGTAAAAGATAGCAAAGTAAATAAGGAGTTAGAAAAGGCACACTTCTTTAATAAGGAAAACGAGCTTATGTATTATGAGTGTCCTAAATAATGAGTAGTCGGACAGGCAAGGAACCATCTTTAGGTTTGATCAACGCAAGCCAAATATCGGTTCAAATCGAAGCTGGGATATGGCTCGCCTGGTGGACGGGGTCCTGTAATAATTACTGGCACTATTGTTTTGAATGAAGAAACGAGTTAAGAGATTTTTCTTTATCATGATCAAAAAGAATAGTGTTTTTTTTTTTTTTTTTTTTTTTTTTTTTTGACACTTACTCTCGACTCTCAATTCATGCTTCTCCCCACGAGCGCCCATCCTGACTTGCATGATAAGTTTGAGCATATGAGTTTTGGTGATCATATCTGATCCAAATGTGGGCGTCACTTGAGGTACTCCTGGCAAAGAGACCACAATGGTTCTCTGCCAACCCTTCCTTGCCTCTGGGACAGGCCACTCGTCCGTCACTGGGAATGACATCAACTCCTTTGAATCTGATTTTGTCCCGCCACTGACCTGTAATCGAGTATATTGTTTCAATTTAATGACTGCACTCACGACACTGACTGGGTGCTCTGTAGGCATAATTTTGATCGTGACAGGGACTAGTTGTTGTAGATACAGGACATTTGAAGGGACCACGCAGACATAGGGGACAACGTCCTTGAGTGTTCCATTAAACCGTGTCATTGTTACTGGAGTATTTGAAAGTGAAGTTGAGGCCGAGGAAGAATAGTGTTTAAAACCCAAATGGTCTGATCTCGAACAACGTTCGAGGAAGGGAATTTGCGAACAAGCGTTGCTCGAATTCGATAAGTCATCCATGCATACATTCCTGTGAAGGACGAAGGGCTCGCCTTGGGATCGATTGTGATATCAATTGGACAAGAGTATTGACCAGCTTGGACAGCGCCTGGTTTTGGGTGTGGAAGTGCTAATTGAAAGACCTGCTCAGCATACATTTTACGACCTCTATAATGATATGTTCTCTTGCCTCTCTTCACTAATTTTTTTAGAGAAAAAGGAAAGGTCTTAATGTTTGAACAAAGTTTAAAGCGCTTAACCTTTTTATAGTGTCATCTCTAGTCTACCGCCAATATTTACCTGCCCAACGAGCCTCTGCTAGAGCTGTATAATGAATAATGATATCTTCACCTTTACAGTCGTAGTTGGATTGGAAGGCGACTGTGCCAACGATCCTACCTGGCGCATCGTGCGTACCAATGATGAGTGGGACGCCGTTTGGGCCACTACCCGAGGTAGGGATAGAGATAGTGAGTGACTTCTGTTTTTTCTCTGGGGCTGATGACATTTTTATTATATGAGAAAGTGGTTGAAAGCGAGAGAACGAAGCAAGTGCTTGAAAGCGGATATGGTACAAAAAAAAAAAAAAAAAAAAAAAAAAAAGATAAATGGAAGAAGTCTGTAAGTATATTTTTTATCTTGGATCGAAGTAGCCTATTTGTCTTCCTTTTAAATGAAATCTAAACATCCAGGAGCCCCTCTTCTATTAAAGTTGTCTGTTGATGCCGGAGTCAGTGCATCAACTGCCAAAAAAAAAAAAAAAAAAAAAAAAAGTCGATTCTACTCTTTGATAAAAAAAAAAAGCTCTTTTTCATCTCTCAGCTTCAGGTTGCATGCCTGGAAACAAACCACCACCTTTTTTTAAAGTATTGGACATGAGAGCTCACCACAACATTGGAAAGAGCCAATCTTACGTTGAGAAAAATATTAAAGGAGCAAATGTCATCATCTGCTACAAATATATTTAGGGAGCAAAGGTTGATTGTTAACGTTCCAGACTGTAGTAGATTTTAGCGAAATGGCAGTGTCCCATTTGCCCTGCCTCACCTCCTCTTTTTCAAGGTGTTGTGTGTTTGTAAAATGACATTTAATCTGAGTCATCTTTATGATTATCTAATACATTTAGAAACAACAACCGTTGTGCGTACCATATTCATTACTAGTGTGATCGCTCCATAGGCTTGGGCCAGATGCACTGTTCAGGATGTTGTAAATACCACATTGGTTGTAAAGACTTAGCACTAATGCTCTTAGAGAGCTTGAAGAGGCGCGATCACTGTCGATTCCCTCAAGGATTTCGGTGCTCCAAAGCATTTGATTAGGAACATTCCACACCACTGTTGAGTTGTTGTTAGACTTTCTACTCTCAAGCATCTTTAAAAAAAGAACAAACAAGCAAACATTGAAAAAAAAAAAAAAAAAAAAAAAAAAAAAAAAAAAAAAAAAACGACGTAAAAGACTCAAGGTTAGAGTGCATAAACTTTTAAAACAAATATGTTAATTAGAAACTAAAATAAACGATATCGCCTTTTTGGGTTTCTTCTTTTTACCTTTGCCGCAGTAGCTGTGCATGGCCACAAGTTTGATTCAAAATTAGCATTTTCCGACACTAACGCCTCATTCCCGATGACCTGCTGCGCCTTGTTCAGACTGAGTCCCAAAACTAAATTGTACCAATCGTTCCTTTGCCAGATATCATATGAATCAGGTATTGAGTTGCTGGGCCAAACTCCAACTTCACAACGACCAACTACATTAGCAATCCTGATATCATGTGAGCTTGTTAAGACTTCAGCCACTATATCCTTTTTCTCTGGGCGATGAACTTTATCGCAATTCATCAGAGGCTCCTCTTCCCAGTTAAGGAATGTCTTTTGACCTTGCTTTGAGACAAGTTGGTCCAAGGTACCTTCATACCTTTCCTTGGATTTGGGGATGTTGCGCTTTATATATTTGATCATGGGATCAACACTACCCCGGCAATTGATACTGACTTTATCAAGTTTAAAATAAAGATGCTGTTCGTTGAAAAGATGTAGCGCCTGGCCATGGTTCCTTTGAATAACTTCATAGGTCAATAGAAGGCTCCGACTCAATTGCTCGCTTCGAGATTTTGAGTAATAGCAACTGTAGTCAGGATAGCTATCAGAACATGCAATAACTTTTGGGAAGGTGCTAGGCCATGACCGTGCATGATCTGGCATATTGATTTCCAAATCGAAACAACTCCCATGATTGGCATTGTATTGGATCAGTTCTGGATAGTCGTCATTAGTGTAGATCAAGCTACTGACACAAAGATCCTCCTGAGCAGTGTGGCTGAGTGGTAAATCCGATATCCAATAACCTTCTTTTTGTTGCAATTGGATGTGCGAGGGAGTAGGAAAGGAGTGGGGATCAGCATCCCAGCAGGAGAGGCTTGGTTTGTTCATGACCATGGTATCAATGCGGTAGAGAGCTGTCACTGAAAGAGGATTCCTAATAGAATAGGCCAACACCCTTCGGCGTGGGAAATGCGATTGACCATGAATATGGGTAATCTCCTTTTTTCCTCCATGCGTGTTGTTCGTCACGAGGTACGCTAAGGCCCCTATGCTTCCATAATGGAATGTCGTACCGCAAAAAAAAAAAAAAAAAAAAAAAAAGATTTATTACATTTGACTTTTCTATTGTAGTCTTCAAAATAAAAAAAAATAAAAAAATAAAAAAAAAAGAGAGAGAGTAGATTTGACCAGCATTTTCTCGATCGTATAATGTGGTTTTAAAGCAGGTTGATTGCTGCTATGGTTTGCATATTTTTTTTTTTTTAGAAAAGTATGTAGAGTCATTAGCTTTACCAAGATTGCCAAAGAATATCCTTGGAGCTATCCTGTATAAAAGCATACGTGGGGAAATACTCGCATTGTGCCGTATCCCGTTTGAAAGAGGTACTAGGGACTTTATTGATTTCAAAAATGAATAAATGTCTATTAGTTCAGCATATAGATAGCTCATATTTGATGGCCTTTCTTTAATAAGTAATTAATTTTGCACTCACCACCAGTGTGCAATCTTAGAGTGTATGCTGATGCGCCCGCTTCAACCTCGGATGAGGTGAGTTCCAGCTTAATATCTTGAATTCGGAGCCTTTCTCCTTCCTTGACCAGCAATCTAGGGTCAATAGAGTTTTGAAACCGACTATTCAAAATCCTATTTCGAAACCGGGCCGCGAGTTGAGATAATTGTGGATTAATGTCATTTGGAAGCTGAAATCTGGAGCGATTGGGGGGTGGGATGATGTGCTGTCTGTGATATTTAGTCACTGGCTTGGGCCAGAGATAGGCGGTATCAACGGTCGATGGTTGATCAGGAAAGAGAAGTAAGGATACTAGAAATGCATTGGAGGCAAATGTGATAGCTGCTGAGATGGAATATAGTCCTGCCCGAATCATTTGTTGGTTTTTTGTCTTTTCTATCGGGATAAAAGGATAATGGGGGTTTTTTTTCCAAAAAGAAAGACCTGAGAGGTTTTGAGAGCAAAACCGAAGACAGTCGAAGAATGGCAATGTATAATACTGAGAATATACTTTAGATACTAGAGAAAGAAATGTGTGTGAAAGACAGTGGTTGTCGAGTAAAAGGAAAGAGGAAGGAGAAAATATATAAACGCGTCTATAATGCCCGCCTTTTTATTTTTATTTTATGCATCGAAAGGCCATCTGAGGAGCCAAAGGGAGAAACACATTTAGGCGAAGCAAGATGGGGAGGTCAGAGCGAACGATGGTGTGATACGATAATAAAAAAAGAAGAGGATCGGGCACAGGTTTTTTTTTTTTTCTTTTTTTTTGTTTCGTCAGGTTGCATGAATGTAGAATAGATGATTGAGGTATCCTTAAGAGATTCCCTCTGTTACTATAGGTTGCCGCCAAGCGCGAAACACACACGTCTCTTCTCGGTCCATTGAACGCGCCTTATTTGGACGTCACATGGACGGTATTGAGCTCAAATTTTGTCCCCTTTCATCAACTCCATCTGTACACATTCCCTTTCTCATTACCACACTCTCACACTCACCCTCACCCTTACTCTTATTTACACGAGAACTGTCTATTATTGCTTAGTCACTCGTCTGTCCAGTAGTCAAGGAGAGTTTCTTTCTTTTTTGAGATCCTGGTAACAATGGAACCCAAGCGTGTCATTGTCACCTGTAGGTAGACATGGAACACCATCTTGCAAAAGAAAAATAAAATAAAATAAAAAAATTCAGCAACATATCTTTAGCTTAGATCTTAGTCTTTACTTTTTATTCTGTCTTTCCGCCATTTGCTCATTATTACTTTTTCTTGTTCGTTTTGTTTTTGAACCACAGATTGCGATGAGAGCGGTAATTGGGCTGGTATCGAAAAGGACCTTGCAGCAAGGCTGCCGTTGCGCAACTTGGTTTGGAAGCCAAGTAACAATAGGACCAAACGGAATATCGCCATGCTGGACGTGGAATTCAAACGTTTCACACCTGAATCCTCTAAGAACCTACCGCCAGTGACTCTGCTGCAGAACCCATACCTCAATCTATATTTTGTCAATTGCGAGGTATTTTCTTAACCACATCTCTTTTCTCGACAATTCATCAATTAGATGTTAGAGCTATCTAATTAGTTCAGTGTTGGCTTTTTTTTTTTTTTTTTTTTTTTTTTAACTTTGAAATGTTAGGATAATGAAACATACAGGACCACAGTTAAGCAGCAGATTCGGGATTGGATCAATCTTATCACATCAAAGAAAAATCAGGAATGGCTCATTGTGCACATTAGCAGTCAGGAGAGCGCAAGGGCTGCAAAGTTCTTGAGGGCCTCTGTCCTAGATAGAATTAAAGCCGACTTCAACACTGGCAAACGAGACAGGTAATTAGCGACAATATATTGCACTCAGGCACAGAGCATTGATCCTTAAAGAATCTAAATGCCAGATTTCTTTCTTTTTTTTGTCTCAATGGATTCACATCGTTATAGGGTTGCACAAGTCAGGATGGCAGATACAGAGATGTCTGAAATGGAATTATGGGCAGAATTTACAGAAAAGATGAAAGAAGGAATACTGACAAGCTTTGATCAACATGTTCTGACCTTTGAAGAAGATATTCGTCGCTTGGACTCACAGCGACAAATGCCCGGATGGAATTATTGTACATTTTTTATTTTGAAAGAAGGCCTCACCAATGCGTACGAGATGATGAACTTGCATGAGGAAGCTCTACGACAGTATGATGAACTGGAAGCTTCATTTTTCCAAATCCTTCGAGGTAGGCACTTGCCAGCTTTGGAGTCTTTCAACAATACTTGTAGTAGTATATTTAGTCAAAATGGCAATTCTTGTTGATGTTTTTTTTTTTTTTTTTTTTTTTAAAAAAAAAAAAAAAAAAAATTAGATAATGCGCTTACTTGGTATGGGAAGTTTGGCGGGATGCAGGAAGGAGACAATGACGCTAATTTACTGGACCTCAACAGGAAGCCCTATAGGGATTTAATAATGCAGAACACTATCTCAGTATTTGATTTCAGGACATATCTGTTTGGGCGACAATGTAACTTGCTATTCCGACTGAGGCGGCCAGTAGAGATTTGCCATAGAGCATTAATCTTTATCCCATCATTTGCCCGTACTGTTCGAGAGCATGTGGTATGTGCATAATGACCTCTATACTTTATAACTAAATCATTAAAGGACTAGCTTGGATGATTAATAGAGCATTATACCTGTCCCTTCGTAGCTAAACCTCACAGAGAATTTTCTGGAATCATGGATTTACACAGCATGTATGTCTATAGTAAACGAATGTGACGAGACTATCCCATTATCCACAGATGATCCTCACACGATGGTCTCGCTGGACGGCGCGAAGGCTGAGCTTCTGCAACTGGCGCGTCAACAGGTAGCTGTCTTGGATCACGCTGAGTCTAGTTATCATTTCAATCTTGGGTGAACTAGACATTCAAAGAACGGCTCTAACCTATTTCAATCGCATTTTAGCTGGACAAGCTTGGCATTCAACATGGACGACTCCCGAAGGAGTTACCTTTCACAATGTCTTTGGGCTACGATAATACTGACTCACCAACGCCAGAGGAAGTGGAAAAGAGACCAATGCCTAATGAGCTTCAGGAAGCCGTTTCATCTGATGAGACATTTGACGCCGTATACATGGTATGGGTGACTGACTGGTCTTTATAACGAAATTTATTAGTATTTATGCTGCCTAATTGTCGTATTACTTAATTTAAATATAATCCAGAGCGTTTCTGCAAGAGCAATTAGGGGTTATGATGGGAGTGGACGCCGCCGTTCATCATTACTTTTACATGGTGATGTGGCTGCTCTTCAATAGTAAGTTTGCCTGCTAATGAAGGAGATACAGAGCATAACGACTTATAAACAGTCCCTAATGCTGTTTTGGATATAGCTATAGGAAAAAATATGCGGAAGCTGCACGGATTTTGGAATCCATTACATGGCGATATGGACATAATCACTGGACAGTACTTGAGAATGAATTGGTGATCAAGCATGCCAAGTGTCTGAAAGAGTTGGGCGAGACAGTCAAATATGCTGAGGCATGTCTAACACTGTTGAGAAACATGGATGACCTCAAGGACGAAGACAAATTGTATTATTCGAACGAATTGTTCAGCACAGTGACATCCAAGGAACTGAAGCAGGAAATACACCATGAATTTGCGCCAATGTTCACAGTTAAGGTTGTATCTGTAGTAGACATTCTTCAAGATGACGATGGCTCATATGTTGATGTCATGATTGAGAATAAGTTACCCAAAGTAAATCCATGCTCCGTGTATCAGCGTATCAGCAAATCTTTTAGTGGATCATTTGTCCTTTTTAAAAGGCATTAATGGCACTTTAATACATATTAGGACATTGAATTCAACAAATTATCAGTAAGGATGGTGAGCGGTGAAGTCGATGAGCTGTGGTTTACTCTCCGCCATGGGATCATGCATCCTGGGAAAAACACATTCCGCGTAACATGCGAGGTAAGGCAACGATTTCAGCAGAGTATGCATGAGGCTGCCTTGATCTAGAGTTGAGAGTGAAATAGCTGATAATACTCTTGTAATGGCCTTCTCATCAATGTAGACATCAGCATCTGGGACCTATGTTCTAGAGAAAGTACATCTGAAAACCGGGAAGTTGGTGTTCTGGTATGACTTTTTGCAGGAGAGCAGAAAACGCAATTTCCGAGTTGACTCGCATCCAAAGGCATTGAGGGCTACTATTACACGACCTCAGGAAATGGAGCTGGGCCAGACAAGCACATTTGTGGTTCATGTGTCAAGCGGGCGTAATCAAGTTGCAGAGGCTAGCCTTAGTTTGTTCTCTGTTTCTGATGGTATCTCGCTACTCAAGGCTCCTGTACTGAAGTATACTAAGGTGACGGCTGTTGAAAATGGAGATTCCTCAAAGGGTGAAATCACTTTTGAAAGCTACGAAGTCATTCCGTTGCCCGTATTTGGCCCCAACGAGACCCTGGCCATTACTGTTCCATATGAGACGCACCAGACAGCGACAGAGCATCCGATAAAAATGGCAATCCATTACCTCACACCTAACTCAAAACGGCATTCTTTCAGACTTACAACCAGTATTGACACAGTGCTTCCATTGCAAGTCTCTCATTCAATCATCTGGAGGGACGATTGGTAAGGATTTCAGTTTATTTTCTCTTCAGGCAGTCTAGATTATTGTAATATTAAAGATATTAACCATGATATTCATCTTTTCTTAATCCTTGATATTACCTCAGCCTCAATTTGAAACTTGACTTGACATGTACAAGCTTTGTCCCAATTCGCATATTAAACGTTGACCTTCACCATCCTTCTCGGATTAAAGAAATCAAGCAGGCGCCATTTGCAGGGGAAATGGTATTAAAAATTTCGCATTAACTCCATGCATTTTCAACGAGAGGTTGATTTAACATAAAACACTATCCAGACCTTGTTCCCTAGACAACATGCTACCTTCGTCTTCAAGATATCTCGCTCAATAGATGCAAAAGGTACGCCATTACTGATTGACTTTAATCAGCCAAAGTCCATACCTTAGGCCTAACATACTCCTTTGATTTTCCTTGAACACAAAACTAGATGCAGATTTGCCGGCTCAGTTCATTGTTACTTATCACAGCTTACGAGATGGTACAGTTTACAGTTTACATTTTACGGAGAATGTGCTTAGTCAACAGAGTTGTTTATTTCTATCTTTAACCCACCCTTTTTCTTCCTTTTTCAAACTACTCCTGATCTTAGAAGTGGAAAAGGCTCTAACTTCAATTGTCGAGACAGACTTGGCTAAAATGCAACTTGAGCAACACGCGCTTTTCCTTACATCACATCTTAAGAGACACTTACTCAAAGGAATTGATTATATGGCATATGGTATATCGGACCAGCTGGAATTGCCACCATTAGATGTTGGTAGCTGTGAGACTATCTTGGCATATCATGATCCTAAGATCCGAGAAACCCTGATTAGCATCTTAAAAGACCTCTTCTCAGTAATTTTTTTTTTTTTTTTTATTTTTTTATTTTATTTTATTTTATTTTATTTTTTTTAAAAGGACTGATTGGAGATGGTGTTTGTATACCGACCTTTTTTTTATTTTATTTTATTTTATTTTATGTAGGATAATAAGCGATTTGATTATGATCAAATCATGACATTGACTTCGTCCAACCGACCACTACAGATTTCATTCCCTGTACCGCTTCCTACTTCACAATTGCTGACAACAGTGGAGACAGTGGTAGATGATTCACAGGAGTTGACTGTAGGTTCACCAGCAACATTCAAGCTGGTAATCAAGAACTCTGCGTACTGGAATCCAAACAAAGACAAGGATCAGGTCAATGATTTCTATTATGAAATCTTGGTAGACTATGAGAACTGGTTGTTATGTGGCCATAGGAAACGACTGTTCAGTGCAAAGGTGAATAGAATTGGCATGGCATATCATGACTAGAGTATAGAGTATTTATCTACCTTTTACATATTTTCATTAACCTTTTTTTTTTTTTTTTTTTTTTGTTTGTTTTTTGTTTTTGCAGCCTGGGATGACTACGACGCACGCAGTGTCACTGGTGCCATTGAAGACAGGTCCGTTGCATGTACCCAAAATCCAGGTGACGAGTGCGACGAGCAGTGTGTATAACCAGATGGCGTATGTAAATGAGGCGGAGCAAGTGCTGATTAAACCAAGGACTACGACGTCCACCTTCTTTATTGATCAACAACGGGGCGTACATATTTCAGGCAACATGGTAGACCGGTGAAGTAAGGGATTGCTCATTATCTCATTATCTGAAAAGAAGGAATAAAACGTGAACCATCCAATGTAACACTGTTGCCACCATATCAAATCATATCACGAGGGCATGAGGCTCGATCAATAAATAGATCTGTACAACCTCCTCTCTCCAACAATTGATGCGTGTTTCTCCAGGGCTTATTACGCTCTTGCCTTCGCCTCAATTCTTCCTCATTCTCAATTCTCATTCTCTCTTTCTATTTTCTCATTCTCTCGCTTTCTCTCCCTCTCTCTTTCTCCCTCTTTCTCCCTCTTTCTCCCTCTTTCTCCTCTTTCAACTCTCTCTCTCTCCATTAGCTCATTATTTCCTCTTCAACGCATTCCGCAGCTTAGTATTAATTGACTCACCTGTCATACGCAGTACAAACTTCAACCCCATACTAAATTGCTTCTATGGACCAGGATGACTTTGACAATTTTGAATTCATCGACTATACAACCTCTGGCCCATGGGAAAGATTTATCGTCCAAATTGAGGACTGCCTAAAGCAATGGGGTCTAATCCACAATAGTTATGGTGTTTTCAACCCCACTCTCATGCCAACCACACCTACAAACGATGTTCTTAACCTAAACAAAGAACTCGCGCTGGCCATTGATGGGGATCAAAAGGATATACTACAGCACAATCCCAATCTCAATACGACTACTACTCCTCTTACTGCCACAATCCTTAATCCCGATATTAGTAGTAATAACGGTAGCAGCGGTACTAGTGGTAATAGTGTATACCAGCACAACGCCATCGTGACATTGGATAGGGACTCTTACGTGTTGTCGTACAGCTATCACCCTGCTAAAGCTAGAATGGCTGTTGGTGTAGAACAGATCGATCTCGATTTCCTACCAACCAAATTGGAAGGCCATGAACACCATATATTGCATCGATGGACAGCCTTGACCCATATTCTTATTCTTGCGCCTGCACCTACCGATACTGCGGACGGAGACTCGAGCTCATCAGTTATTGTTGATTTGGGAAGTGCCAAACTTCTTCTATCATCATTTGCGATCGCATTTCAAAATACGGGTTGCAACATCCCTGTCTTTGTACCGACTGGCCACCCGAAAAACAAGACCTACACAGGCCTGTCCATTCAGCCGCTGCAATTGAGTACACAGCAACAACATACTTTTGGCAATGCTATCGAGCTTGGATTAGAAGATACTCCAGAAGATCAGGCGATTGAAGTCAGGTTCAACACCGTGGTGGTATCATACCCCCCAGCACAGTACACCAACCTGTCAGGCATTCTGGATCTTTTTATTGAGCGCATGGGTATTGAGGATGAGTATGCATCCCATGACAGTTTTAACGCAGGGAGAGACGGAACAAATGATGATTCCAATAATGGCTACAGTCGGGAAGTCAAAGAACAGATTTATGTGTCTGGATTGTTCAGCTATCAACTCGAGAATTGGTATGATGATGACTGGCGGCAATGGACCGATGCAAGTATTAAGAACGATGAAGACAGTGACAATGCTAGTGGTGACGGTGACGGTGATGATGACGATGGCGATGGCGATGGCGATGATGATGATGATAACGAAAACGACGAACTGAAGCAATTGAGTAAAGACATGAAGCGCTCACCATTATCAACAGTAGCAGTATCGCCAATATCAAAGGTCCCAGTTCTCCCGCTTGGACCTATTCATGATCCTCTCAAGACATTCCATCTAGTGGCAAGGTTTGGTGAGTTATTCAATCCTTGGGCTCTCAATTGGTGTACATCGCAAGTTCCAACTATACCACAATTTGACTAATTTTTTTTATTTTTATTTTTATTTTTTTATTTGTTGTACTTCTTTAACAGCATCAGCACCTAGTACAGTCTATTTGGACAGTAAAAACTTTACAGACATGGAAGCAAGTCAGGCCAATATCTGGACTCTGAGAGTACAGCTCAAACGTGAAGACTATGGGCTGCTGAGTGGAGTCCTTGAGGAAGCAATATCATCGTGGCAGAGAGATGTCTCTAATAGTGGTACGGGCTCTTCGGAAAGAAAAGAGCAAGAGTCGGAAAAGGAAAGACACTCTTATACTTCTTTATTAAGGAAGGGTGCACAGTTTATTCAAGGAAACATCGCAATGGTAGACGTTACGGATGTTGAGACAATAGTCCAGACACTTTGCTCAAAGACGTCAGCATCATCATCAATGGTAAATCGGCCTTCAATTAAGAACCCAAAACACCAAAGGCGGAAATATAGAGACGTTATAGAAGGACAGACGGTACGAATGGTTTCTGCAGCAGAGTTGGGGCTCCATTTTCGACACGCTACTACAGTACCATTTGGATCGCTTCTATGGAAAATGTTGCTGTATCTTCTAGACGTGATTTCACCCAATTCAGAGATAACTTATCCAACTTCTTTCATGGGTTTTTTGAAGGCTGTTTGGACAGAGCTTTTGGTTGAATTCACAAACCATTGGGAGGCTCGAGAGATGATACCATTGGTCCAGGTTTATGGCGAGAATACATATACCTCAAGTAGATCCGATTATAAACCCAACAACGAAGGCGAGACAGCAATCGATGACAAACCCCTTGAGTACAATGGTGATAATGATGATAATGCAGCCAACAACAGAACACCTACAATAGATTTACGATTTAACCTGATACATCAAAAATTGTCAATGATCAATTGCTGTATCGCTCGTGAAAATGCAGAGCGTCAGCAAGAGTCCACGACGGAAATCGACACTAATATTCTCGTAGATGATATGTCTTCGTTGTTCTCGAAAGCCTCTTCGACACCGGTATCAGCAAAGTCCACACCAGATCCAGTTGTTTTTGAACTTTTGGATACTACAAATGAAGCATCCCCAGAAGATCAAGAGTCAAGGACTAACGTTGAGGAGATCAAGGATAACGATCAGTCTGTTTTAGACAGGCAAACGTCGCCAGAAGAAGACAATGATACGAGTGATATAAGTAAGGCGGAAGATCCATTGATTGAGGGCCCGGATGCACTGACATCAGAACCGACTAGAAGCACGGTGGATGTACCAGCAGCAATAGCGCCGACAGGTTCTTTAACTGCTTCACAACTATATGAGAATGAAGTTAAGAGAGAAGGTGTCATGAGCGCATTCAATGACCTGACTCTTTTAGAAACGGGGGCACAGCTCTTTGTTCCAAAACTTCAGGTAAACTTACTATTTCCATTGCCAATGCAATTCCTTATTTTTGTGTTCTTTGACTGACTAACTTTTTTTTTTTTTTTTTTTTTTTTTTTTTTTTCGTGCCATTCGTTGCTTTTAACAGGAACCTGGTTATATGACAGAAGACATGATCAAGCAGCAAGAAGACATCTTTGAAGGTCTTGGATCTTCATCTGATGCAGCAAAGATACGAGCCCAGATGCAGTCTGCCCAACTCATCTCTGGTAAAACGAAGCTACAGTTTATCCATGTTGATTATAAAAAAAGTATGTTGGACGCACAAAATTGACCATGCATCTTGAAAAAAAAAAAAAAAAAAAAAAAATCAAATCAAATGTTAAAATAGATATGAGTGCATTTAAAGCAGCAAATCCTGGATGTGTGCTAGGAGATTTCATACGGTGGCATTCACCCAAAGACTGGAACGAAGGAAAACGACAAATGAGTGCCCGTATGGCGGATTCTGATAACATTTGGCAAGAGTTTTGGAAGGTTCGTTTACTAACAATGATCTTTTTTTTTTTTTTTTTTTTTTATTTGAAAATATGATCTTATGCAACACGCTTTTAACTCTCTTTTTTTTTTTTTTTTTTTTTTTTTTTTAAAAAAAAAAAAAAAAAAAAAAAATTGATGTGAAAATTCTCCAGAAATCGGAACCTATCCCTGCAAGCAAACAGAAGCCTTTATTCGATCATCGCCAAGAAGCAGAAAATGCATTGTCGTACTTGAGCTCACTCTCTGGTACTGAGATCTTTTCCCAGTAAGTCACCAGTCAGATGTATTGCTTGCTCTCTCTTTTAATGGATATAGTAACTGACCAATTTACCAACTTTTTTTTTTTTTTTTTTTTGAATCTGTTATCCTAGGCTTCTTCCGACAATTTTTTTGATCGCCTATGATACTCTTGTTTCACACCCAGCATCAAGTGTCAGCCCCAAAGTTGCAAATGTGATCCAAGAATTGGCGCAGGAACTGACTGATCTCGATTGGTGCAGCCTCAAATCATCGGACAAAGACCTTGATCTCAAACCAATCCTTGCCAAATTTAAAGAAGTGGAATTGGTTATTGGCCAGTACCTTGCTATGGTGAGGAAGGTAAGAAGAACTAGCTAGTTTTTTTTTTTTTTTTTTTTTTTTTTTTTTTTAATAATCAAAAAGAAATATTTGCTGCTAAAAGTTCAATTTGATTAAACGTGTGTTTTTTATTATTATTATCTATTACCGATTTAGTTCCCAAGACAACACAGCTTAGTTGAGCGACTATTAGAAGGAAATGAGACAGTGGTTGAAGATGGATCAGAGCGTGATTGTGTCTTTAAAGCATTCAGATTCAAAGGCAATAATAGCCCTGGGCCATTTCCCGACCCTTTGTGTCGTGAATTTGTGATTGAGACGTTCGATCCTACATCTTTCCATATTGCATCAACATCGATGGAGTATGTTACGGGAGAAGAACAGCAAGAGCAGCAGTCGGGAGCCAGCTCTGTTGGTCCAATCTCTGGTGGCGATCTACCGGGTTGGCATGCACGACCTCTCCAGCGTCGAATGTATGCTTGCTTCAAGAACTTAAAAGTCCGGATCGTGGAAGCTATCGCAAAGGATGGGATGTTTATGTAGTCAGAGCTCATTTTGTATATATATTTGAGTTTATAAATCTTACAAACTAATAATGACACTGATTTACAAAAGCTGGGGTAGCATTACTACTTTTTTTTCTTCTTCTTTAATAGATAGTCATTTGAGGTTACTATCGCTAAACTTTTTTTTTTTTTTTTTTTTTTTGTGATAAATGATTGTGCTTATGTTTATGTTTGTGCACCAAAGAAAACAAAGAATGAAGAAAAAAAAAGCAAATGCAATGGTACAAGTTGGTATACTTTGGGTTGAGAGAAAGGAAAATAGGATAAAAGAGATACTACAGAGATAAAAATACAAACTTTTTCGCAAATCGTTTGATTGCGGCACAAAAAAAAAAAAAAAGACCTTTTTTTTTTTTTTTTTTTTTTTTTTTTTTAGTTATTCTTTTTAGTGTCGCCCAGCTCGAGGACTAACAAGACCGCTTGGAATCCTAGTTGGCAAAGAGGATGTTGGGGTATGAGGACGAGAATAGATTGAAATTTGGCTACCACTATAATTGGAGCCAGCACTCAGGGGCGAAGGAGACATGCGTCCTGCTGTCTTTACAGTTGAAACCGAAGGGGCTACCAACCGTGATGGTGCTGCAATACCCGAGCGAGGGATTCCGGTCTTTGTTCCGGCTTTGGCCGAGGATGGTGACTGAGGAGGAGTCAAAGTTGAATAATTGGTCTCATATTCCTCGTGATGTTGAAGACCGTTCGACCCATGCATAGACAAAGTCCTTCCACCTAGTGTCGCTGACCTTGGACGGGCCAAATGGCTGGTTCCAGCAGCACTGGAAAGTCGCCGGCTAGCAGGTGTGGTGGGTGAGATCAAGTAAGAAGAGCTAGAGCTACGATCAGAAGGTGCGCGAGTCGGACTAGTAAGATGATTGGGCGAAGTGAGCACACGCTTGGGACTCGTGGAGGAGCTTGCGCGTCCTGTGCCTACGGATCCGCTCTTTGGAATCGATGATGGAGCTGGAAGAAGTGATTGGCGATTAGCAGTGGTAGTGGGTTTTTTGAGACCACTGGGCGACGTAATCTGGCTCTTTGCGGTTGCTGTTCCGGTCTTGACAATACCAGAGGCGGAAGATGGAGGACGAGAGGTTGATACAGCCACCTTTGTCGTAGTCTTGGCGTTCGCGGTTGTACGACCGGGTGGCGTTATTCCGCTGGTTCCTGGCTTGGGAATCGAGGCTCTGGCAGTCAGGGCAGAGGATGATCCAGCTCTGGGCGCTTGCAGTCCAGTTTTGGGTGTCTGAAGGCCACTCTTGGGCACCTGTGATCCAGCTCTGGGAGCCGGCAATCCGCCACCAGGACGGACAATTCCAGTTCTAGGAGCAGCAGCGCCTGATGATGGTCCTGTCTTTGGTTGAGCAAGCATGGATCGCGTTGCAGGTTGAGCGAGTCTGGTAGAAGGCGCCTTGAGTCCTGATGTGCCTGGCGCTCCTGGGAGACGAGAGGCGCCAGGGGAGGGCAGCCTACTAGAACCACCTCTATGGCTGCTGGAGTTGCTGTAGTTACTGGCATTGCTGCTGCGGTCCGGCGACCGAAGGCCAGAGGGCGAATCCATGAAATCAACCTCTAGATCGAATGGGTTCCTGCCATCTGGGAACTTGGAAGATATACTTCCATTTCGCGATCTCATGTCGCCGCTCAATGAAAGACCAGAGATCTGCTGAATGGATGTTTCGACAGCAAGGCGGGAGAAATCTTTAAGTGTCTCATCATGTTCCTCGTCCTCTATTGAAGAAGCCTATGATCAAAAATGATAAAGAGAGAGAGAAAAAAAAAAAAAAAAAAAAAAAAAGAGGATCAGCAATGATTGAATGATTTTTCGCTCCATGCAGCCAATTTTGGCTTTTGCTTTGACTTTGCGCGAGTTAAAATTACCTCTGGATCCTCCCAGAACTCCTCAACGTTTTGATCACCATAATGATTCATGTCCAGCTCAGATTCTGTGGTCATCTGCATGCTTCCACCAGAGCTTTCGCTTAATCCATATTGCTATTGTTGTGATATGTTTATATTACCAAAATGTCTCCAGGTGAGTAAAGTGCTTTTTTTTTTTTTTTTTTTTTTTTTTTCATTTTAAAAAATAAAAAATGAAAAATAAAAAAACCTCTTACATTTCGTGTGGCTCGCTGCTCCCTGGACCATTCGACTTCATCGCCCTCCTCCAACTCGAGTGGGCATTCTTCATTGATGTCAGATCCCTCTGCAATAAGGGCATCAAGGTTGACGGAATCATTACTAGTATGAGAGCTAACGGAGGAAGAGCGTTCACGAGGTGCCCAGGCACTGATAGAAGAAGATGAGGATTGTGTAGACAGACGAGAATCGAAGGTGGTGGTGCTAACACTGTTATAGCTGTGAGATGAATATGGTTCCACAACGTTAAAAGTGTAATTGAAATCATTGTGTTGATGATTGTCGTTATCGTTGTAGTTGTAATCGTAGGTGTGAATGGTTGTAGTCGTCAAGTCCATTGATAGATCCGCAGGGGTATGTATAGAGCATTCAAAAGCGAAGCAAAAAAAAGAAAGAAAAGGTTAGTTAGTGATTTTAGTGTCTTTTTAATATGGAGTGCAACGCTTCCTTTTCTTCCTTTACTGATATGTAAAATTGCTTTGCCAAAGAAAAGAAGGGTGGTAAAAAGGGGGAGGGTGATTGATCCAACACGTTGTTCAACATCAATACTAGAACAACCACATTATGCTTTTTTTTTTTTTTTTTTTTTTTTTGATGACTCCCCCCTCTTTTCCTTTAAGGACCTTTGGCTTTTGTATTTTTGTAGAGGGGGGAAACAAAGAGGCATTAATGCATCATGTGTTTATCGTCACAAATGCAGCATATGCACATGCATATGAAAACACAAATCTAAGGACCATATAGTGTTGTGTTGTCATTAAGCAAAAGCAACATTTTGCCCAATCCAATGAATCAAGGCTCCCAACCGTAAAATGATTTTAACAAAAGGATTATAAAAACATTAAAGCAACATGCCTTTGATTCGATTGCATTGACAGTCGCAAGTCTAGCATGTCTATTGGCATGGATTCTGACCGCTTCTTCTGCAATCTCGCAGAGCTGCGTTTTGCTCTGGCCATCAACGATGCCCGTAACTCGGATGGTCGAAGGTTCATGTTCAGCTCTGGCTCCTGCTCATCTTCTTCATGATCATGGTCATGATCATGGTCTAAAGGGATGATAGTGCTCTGATGATAGGGATCCTTCACATTCTGTATCCCGTCCTGGATCTGTTCACTTTCCCCAAATTCAAGTGGAACAGGTGACTGTGACTTTGATTGTGGTGAGACTAAATGAGACATGGACGAGGAGGTGGTGGAGGAGAATGAGGCTGAAGAGAGATGACGGCGTTGCTCAGCAGCGTGGGCTAACCAAGCCTCGGGAGAGGTCTGAATAGTAGCCAGAGGAGAAGGCGAAGCTGAAACGCTGTTCAAATGTGGATGGCTGATATCGTTAATGGAGTGAGAGGAGTTGTTGGAGGAAGGATGGAATGGAGGAAGAGAAGAAGAGGAAGAAGAAGAAAAGGAAGGGAACCCATGTTGGGCCTGAGTGGCTATAAAGTCTGCCATGGATGACCCAGAGGATGAGGGCGAGACTGAGAGTGGAGGAGAGAGAGGAGAGGGTAGCGAGGAATGCTCAGGGATGATGAGGTTTTTAAATGTTGTGTTGGTACGAGGTAGGCTGTGGAGGGACTGAATACCAGGGTCGTTCAGGATTCTATTGTCTCTGCTATTGTTAATGTTCTTGTTCTCGTTAATTGTACTGTTGTGGTCGAGGCGAGGAGTGCTCAGAGTGCTCATTGTGCTTTTTTTTTTTGTTGTTGTTGTTGTTGTTAATGGCTATTAAAGTATTGGGGAAATCCGAAGCATTATTATTCTTATTATTGCAAAGGATACAACAATTATTGGTGTGCTGCTTGTGGAGGAAGTCTGTAAATTGTCCTGACGCGTATTTGTAGATAGGGACCTGCATTCAGAGAATTCAATTGTACATTTAGAGATAAAAAAAAAAAAGAGCTTCAGCTTGTTAGACTAGGATCCATTACTGTTAGGCTGTAAGAAAGAAAGAAGAAAAAAAAAAAAAAAAAAAAAAAGAGCAGATAAATTATACGGATAAAAGTAATAAAAATATATATTGAATGAAAAGTTGTATGAACAAAATGGAAACAAAGCAGAGCCGTACAAAAGCGAGGGTCAGGAGTATGGAGGAGAAAAAAAAAGGGTTATATTTGGAATATAAAATATAAAATAAACAAAGAGAGATACAAACCTAGACAAAAGTAAGGGATAAAGGCATTTGTCTTTAATGTGAATGAACAAGAGACGGAGAGGGAAAGAAAGAGGGAAAAAAAAAAAAAAAAAAAAAAAGAGATTCTTATTTATACGAGAAAGAATAGGATTGGAACCAAAAAGTAACACACACAAAATGGTTATCTAAAGAGGAAAAGATGAACCGTGCCCCAGCGGCCCATACACAGAATGATCAAGTGATTTACAACAATGGATAGTTTGCAGAGACTGTGGAGAGAATGAGGATCACATCCAAGGTGGATCGTACCCAGACAATAAACAGGTGGAATCTTTATTGTAAGGGACGAACAAAAGATACATATATAAATATATAAAAAAAAGAGCCAAGACCAGACCATGCATGCACCACCACCGTTTGGGAGGATGATTTTTCATTTTTAGAAATGAATAAAACGTAAAGGCAAAGGCAAAGGTAAAGGTAAAGGTAAGGGTAAACGGAAGAGAGAAAGAGAGAGTGTGGTAAAGAAAGAAAAAGCAAAAGCTCTTGTGTGTGTGTTCATTTGGTCATTCAACGTTTCAAAGTGTGTGGGGATCTGAAAAGAAGAATCGAGAATGCAAAACTCAGGGGGGGAAGTAGAACAAACTGTTTGAATTGTTCTTGTTGCTGATGATAATGATCATTAGAATGATCAGAGCTTAGCAAAAGAAAAGAAAAGAAAAAAAACTCACCTAAGGCTTTTGATCAGGTTATCTATCGTTCTATGGTTGTTTATCTATTTATTCTAAAGGCTCTTTTTCTTTCTTTCTTTCTTTCTTTCTCTTTCTTTTTCTCTTTCTCTTTCTCTACTGTGTAGAAATAGCCTCGAAAACAGGTAAAAGGAAAAGGCAAGCAAGATCAGTAAAAGGGCTGATGGGAAGATGAGAGAGAGAAGAAGAAGAATGAATAAGAATGAGAATGAGAAGAGGAATGAGAAAATAAGAATGTAAGGAATGAGAAAGGGATGAATGAAAAAGAAAATAGAAAGAAAGTTCACCTACCATGGGCACATGGTATGGGTGGGTATGGATGTGAAATATGAATGACTACATCCTTATTCTTTATTCTACAAGTTAAAAGTTAAAAAAAATTATGTCCATCAAGTCTGCGCCCTTTTTTTTTTTTTTTCCCTTCTTTTTTATTGTCTTCACACGCATGCCCATGCAATGCCAACACATTGGTCTATGTACAGACTGTACATGTAAATAGTTTGTGCTTGCACTCCGCTAAATTTTTTTTTTTTTTTTTTTTTTTTTCTTACTGCATGGAGGATCTTTCGTCAGCAGAGCAAGGTTGCCCTGACCATGTCCATGTGTGTGCTAACGCCTGTGATTCCACTCCCTTTTGTTTCCCCCAATTTTTTTGCAGTTGCACAAAATAACATGGACATGTACAATAATACATATTTAATCTACACACACAAAACAAAAAAAAATGGACCCGGAAATATATTTAATATCGAATGGACAGGATTGCAACAAAAAAGATTATTAAACTGAAAATATAGTTGATCGGTTAATTGTCCTACTTCAGATGTGTATGCTATTTGTCCACTCTTGAACTAATCGTCACTCAATAAATCACTTGTCCCAATAGACCAATGGGATTGACATTCTTCTATCATTCATCCTACCCTAGTCTTGACATCCTCTGGAACATGTTGAACCAAATCACCGTCTTTCAGACAAATAAACGTATAAAAATATAACGCGTCTCCGTCCTACTTTTTTAAATAGGGCTCAGTTGATAGTCTGATGGTCCTTGTCGTCATTGTCGAAAGCGTGGTTGGATTTGCTCACTTTCATTTCCTTTTGTGTACCTACATACTACTTTTTTCTTTGTCCTGGTCTAATCAAGTCAAGCACATGTCACTCTGTGTTTGCACATCTTCAATTGTTATCCACAACAACAACAACAACAACGGTCGAAAAAAAAAAAAAAAAAAAAAAAAAAAGAGGGAGAGTGAAAGAGATAGAATCATGTTTTGATCCTTCTTTCTTTCTCCCCCTTTATTTATTTTTTTATTTTTTTCTTGTCCTTCTTTGACCCCCCCTCTTTCTTCACGCGCAGGTTAACAAAGACTACAGTGGTTCTGCATGCACCTCATGTCAGTGCGGAAAAAAGAAAACTAGATGGGCTGTGTTCCACTGCCAAAGCGCAGTAGACCACCCTCCTTCGCAACTGCAATCACTGCAGGGCCTCCTCCAACGAGCCTTGCATGAGCTGGTCCATCCAGATCATAGCCAACATATTCCCGTTCAACCTGAACAATTGATTCTCTCACCGATCGAATCTCATACAGAGCGCTATCATCTATTACATTGCAAGTTACATGTATATATATTAGTTAGCTCTCGTTAGACAAATAAAGCTGCATAAATTAATAAATATAAATATTAGAAATGAGCATTCAAAATGACTGAAACTTCTTCCTCTTCTTTACACTTCTAATTAACATACCAGAGCCAACAATCAAACGTGGACCGCCATGTTCTAAAGAGTCAATTGATGGGCCAAAAATGAGGCTTGAGATCCCTGCAGAGCTATGCTGAAACCTATTCAGCATCTCACTAATAATAATTTCCATAAAATAATTAGTCTATCAAAAATAATAATAATAATAATAATAATAATAATAGTAGTAGTAGTAGTAGTAGTAGTAGTAGTAGTAGTAATAGTAGTAGCAGTAGTAGTAGTAATAATAATAAAATAACAATAAATAAAAAAAAGCTCTCTTGGACTACGGAAACAGAAAAATAAAATAAAATAAAATAAAATAAAATAAAAATAACTCGTAATTCAAACTATACTTACTTTGACTTGCGAATATCAAATAGCTCGACAACGCCATCTGATGTTCCCGTTGCAATCAAGGAATGCTGAGCAGAAAACGCGCAAGCGCGAACTGGTGTTTTGTTGTATGATTTTCGATTAAATGCCTATTCAAGTATGAACATAAAAGTTACAAAGCATAGGTGTTAATTCTCAGTAAAGAAGTTTCGCTAAAAAGCCATGATACAGGGCCGCGATCATGTTCTTACCTCCTCTGAGGCCCGTACATCAAGACCATATAAAAATCCAGACTCCGAAGCCGCAATGACCAGCTTCCCTTCAGTACCTACTTCTCTTGGATCTAGATCATAACAACTCAAACATACTATCAGCACAACAGAAACATTTCAAGCACAAAATAGCTTTATAGGGGTCAACATAGAATCTTACATACCCAACAATAACTTTGAGTCCAGTGGTGTTCTCCAAGTGTCTACAGCTATAGCATTAATCTTTTCTTTATGCTGTGCAAGCGTTCGAATAGTTGATCCAGATGCTATCCAAAGAGCTCATGTCAGGTCTCGCGATATTTCATTTTGTTTAATCTTATTTTGAAATCAACATTGCTTTGTTTATAGAATCAAACTTACCAACCTCCCAAAGCTTGACAGTTCCATCATTCGAAGATGCTATAGGGGATCGGCATATACACCGAGCGTTGGGAAGTTTAGCTTTTTGTTCACTTGTATTCACTACAACGTGTCAACGTTCCAAACTTTATCTTACACAGGATATTGCGTCCTCTATCGACAATGGCGGTGTCCGTGACGGCTATTTTTGGAGAAACGAAGAAGCCAAGAGTCAATTTTGTATTTTTCATTTTTATATTCATGAACAACAACAGTCTTTCATATCTCAGCAGCTCTCGCTTACGTTTAACATGACCCCTCATAGTAACAGGGCAGCTTCCATCCAATACGGACCAAATCTTTAGCAAGAAATCGCCACCTCCACTGAGGACAACTGTTGATTGATTATATGAAAGGACACAAACAAATTGTAAGAGCTTTATCACTGCTGTTGCTGCATGTATCCATCTCCATTGACCAGTGCTTTTCCAGAAAACTATAATATAAATGTATATATTTCCTTCATACCTTGTCCAGAAGGAAAGAATCGACATGTGTTGACGTATTGAATATGACCCTTGAGCTCTTGCTAGTTGATAGTCATGTATAACGGCGTGTAAGTTGGAGAAATAATAACAAAAATAAAAAAAGATAAAAAATAAAATAAAAAAAAAAAAAAAAAAAAAACTTTTGTCTGCGAATACAGTTCTTCATATGCATAGCACCCATAGCACCCTTACAGTGATACGTCCTGTCTCTGATTCTCCGATTCTGATAGTTCCATCCTCTGTTCCAATGACAAATAATGCTCCTTCTGGCGACACATCCAGTGAGGAAATCTGTTCTCGTTCAGAAAGAGTTGTGCAAGAGTTTGGTAGGAGTTAATATACCTCTGAGTACAATACATTCAAGGAAATTAAATATAAAACAGCGAGACAGACTAGTTACCTTTGCAAAGTTGGTTCTTCTGCCAGTCCCATATACTTCTATCTCTATGTTTTCGTATTCAGGGATTTTGACCTTGAAGGAATACTAAAATGAGATAGCAGTGATGTTCTTTTCATAAATATAAGCTACGATGATTTACTAGTTGTTCGCCACCTTGCGATATCCTTTGGATTGTCAAATCAACTGTCAAAAAATCTGAATTGTGTACGTTTGTAATCCTTTCAAGTTCGATACCGTCATGCCCAGTAAAATGCACTTTGTGGTCTTCAACAACAGACACTTTTGCAGATCCATGGATGGAAGGAGATCCTATGGAATATGGCAGGATCAAAATAAATAAAAAAAATTATCATCCTTGATTCAACGTTTTTTCAATGGTGTTATTGTAAGGCATGATCTAACCTCTTCTATAACAAGAGATCCAAAAGGTTCCTGTGCTGTTATGTCGGAGTACTTCAGCAATCAAGTCAGTCCAGTCTGCCTGAACGGTCACTTGCACCAAGGGTGTAGGCGGGTTTGCGTCGATTCCCATGTCTCGAGTTGTTGATCAATGTTGAATGCCGTGAATTAGCAATGACAAAAAAAAAAGACTTGAGTTTATCGAATATTATTCCCCCATCCCCTCGAACATTTAACGTGCGCTTGCGTGGCTCACACAGCGCATCACTCAATGTATAAATGAAAAATGGTGACTGCTTGGTTTGAGTGTTCAAAAATGTGAAAGACAAGACAAGGGCGAAGCATTTTTTCACACACGTGCGTGAAGGATTCTTATCATTTGGATTGGGCAAGAAGCTTTTAGCATTCCGCAAGAATGTCCGTGAAACTCCTTCTGAATGCCACATCATATCCTTTTTACTTTAGATCTAATACGGGCGCTATTTGTATAAAACATGTATTATAGTATTATATATATATATATCTGTACTTGACTAGACCCTTCCTTTGTCTTTGTCTTTTTTTTTTTTTTTTTTTTTTTTTCATCGGTGCATGTTTAGTGATATTCATCTGTTTTGACGAGTAACTTTAATTACTCCGGATTCAGTAGAAAGGACATGGCTGTGTACCGTACTGATGACATGTCAATAAATAAACAAACCCCATCTACTCCGCTCTCAAAAAAAAAAAAAAAAAAAAAAAAAAATGATGCGGAGATATTATAACAAAAGAGCATAATAATAAAAAGTTGTCACCAAGGAAGGGCAGAATCAGATGGAATGAATGTATAAAAGGAAGATTGATTCCACATCTTGGATCAGCGGGCCGCTTTCCGTCTTTTCACCCCTTCCATACCTAAAAGACGATTCATACATTCTTCCCTTATAAAAAAAAATATACAACGCAGAACAAAACAAATCAGAAGAATTATTGACTACAGACATGGCTGACAATTACAACCAAAACAGCAACAACAACAACCTGGCATTATCAGAAGATAAAGCAGAGCTCGATCAGTACCAAGTAGATGACGAGTCCACATATGCTCAGCCGTCACCAGTAGCGACTCCTGCTACATGGAGGGAGCGTTTGGCCACCTTGTTCACTCGTCGTGTCCTGACAATCGTACTCTTGGGTCAATTCTTGGCCTTGTGTATCACTGCAACGACGATCCTGACCACTGAACTGGCGCAGACCAACAATATCTCCATCCCCACTACGCAGTCCTTCCTAAACTACCTTGTCCTTGGTGTCGTGTATACCACCATCACCCTCTTCAAGGTGGGATTTTCGGGATGGTGGGAAATTATCCGACGCAGGTCGCTCTATTGTAAGTAATACCCATTCTTTTTATTTTTTCTTTTTTCTTTTTTTTTTTCTTTTTCCCTAACTGTTTCTACTCTTAATACAATTAGATATCTTGTTTGCACTGATTGATGTCGAAGGCAACTACTTCATTGTCAAGGCGTACAGTTATACCTCGCTTCTCTCAGCCATGCTCCTCGACGCATGGACAATTCCTTGTGTCGTGTTATTGTCCGTCTTTTTCCTAAAGATGCGTTTTGTCCGCTGGCATTATTTGGGTGTCTTCGTCTGTTTGGTCGGCATGGCTTTCCTCATCTGGTCTGACATGAGGGCAGGCAAGGATTATCCTGGCACTGATTATATCAAAGGAGATCTTTTCTGCCTCGTTGGAGCCACCTTTTATGCTTTCTCCAACGTTGGGCAGGAGTACTTGGTTCGTCAGCGACCCATGTATGAGGTCGTTGGTCAACTCGGATTCTGGGCTACGATCATCAATGGTATTCAGTTGGCGATTCTCGAGAGGCATGAACTGAAAAGCATTACTTGGACAGGTCCGATCATCGGCTACATCATTGGTTTTGACATTGCCATGTTTCTCCTCTATTCGGTCTCACCCATTCTGCTCCGTCTCAGCTCCGCTACGTTCTTCAACCTGAGCTTGTTGACAAGCGATTTCTATGGCCTTCTCTTTGGTCTCTTCCTCTTCTCAGCAAAGATCAATGAGCTCTACCCTATCGCCTATGTCCTGATTTGTCTCGGAATCATCATTTATAATATCTACCCTGCTCCTGCACCCAAGTTCAAGCCACGACTGGCAACACAGCATGAGGAGTCTGAGGCGCACTCACACGTTTAATGATGCTTTGCTTTGGTTGCTATTGGATGTTCATGTAAAACGTTAATACAGATCTCCAGGATTCTTCCGTTAATTTCACCCTCCCCCCGTTCAGAGCCCCTTCATGAACAAATAGAGTTACTCGGATGTTTGTCTGCGTTTATACATATTACTACGAATAATAATAAATATATAATAACAATAATAAAAAAAAGAGCACCATATTCTATCGGAAGCAAATACTTTCGCCAAGGACAAGTTACTTTATGCTGAGAGTCATTGGTGCATGAGAAAGTAAAAACACCCATAGCTCCACATGCCAAGTGGAGTTTATAACCTTCAAGTATCATGAATAGTCAAAGTAGATCACAGTAAAAAGTTTCCACGTTCGCTCTCGGAGAGCAGCAACCTGGGATTATAATCATTAGCGAACTACTGCTGACGCGACGAGCTTGAATATTCTATAGGGAGAGAGAGCTTTGTTGTAATGGGAATTAGTGAAGAAAATCATTATTCCAGCTCTGGAAACCAACAATAAGACTCTACAGTTAATACAGTCAATGACCTGTTTAATACGAAGCTACGAAGCTGCATGTGCTTCCTGTCATGATGACAGTGTGTGCACTGGGCTTCTCGGATCGGCGCCCCTCCCCCTCCCACACTGATGTTTGCTTAGATCTGTGGAGCGTTATTTCCTTTACAAGCACATGCACAAGATTGTCGCTCGAGCCAAGACCTAATTTTCAAAGAGTCTTGGCATAATTTAATACCTTATTTGCTCACTTAGTTTCTTCTTCCTACATTCTATTCTTCCATTCTTCCATTCTTCCATTCTTCCATCCTTTTTTCTACATGCATCTCTAAACAACAATAATAATAAAGCATTCCTTTTCTTTCGCATTCATCCGTTCATTCAAATTACGATCAAACGTCTTACTCCGAAACAACTTCTTAAAAATAAGGCACACACAAATACACAACCAAAAGACTATGGACGAACCAGATAGTAAATTCTTCTCCCGTACACTTGTCATTGCTGCCTTCGCCCTCTTTCTCTATTTTGCTCGTGACTACCCGCAATGGAAGGCTCGTAGACAGCTTCCTCACACCAAGCTTGAAGATCCAAAGCCTGAAATTGCAGCGGAAGCAAACACAGAGCAAACCAGCAGCAAATCATCCTCCATTTCAGATCCTACGATAAAACCAGCTGAAAACGACTCACCTCTTCCATCAGAACATCTTGTAAAATCATTATCAGACAAATTCTCTGTGAGGTGGATCCCCTATCTACCCTTTGCCGTCATCTACTTGGTTCTCAAGGCTATTTGGGATGGCCTCCGGTGGTTCGTTCTACACTCGATCTTTGCTGTAGAACAGTCAGGTGTCCACTTAATGGTCGCCATTGAGCATGCAGCACATTGGTCCGTGAACTCTGGACCAGAGTTTTTCAAGACAAAGGTACTCGCTCCCATTCAGATCGCAGTGGTAATCATCCAGAAGTCCCCAGTCGTCGCAGCAATTGGGATCGCGTTGGAGAAAACTATTTTTCCAGGACTTGTGCGAATGACTGCCTCGTGTCTAGAAGTAGCTGGAGTAGCTGCAGTCAAAGCCTTTGGATGGGTACAAACTATTCTAGAGCCCACTCGGTCTGCACTCGAGTGGTTCGCCATTGAGTGTGTCTATAATCCATTGCAGGCGCTCTGGTCCCGTCTATCAATCCTTTGGGTGACTTTTTTACAGACTGCAAAGATATATCTCCACGAACTGGCTAAAGATGCACAGGACCTCGGCTGGGCATTGGTCAAAATTGGGACCTGGTTGTGGGAACGGACACTCAAGCCTCTGGGTACAAAGTTTTATACAATGGGAGAATTGGTCGTTCAAGGTTTGGCACAATTCTTGCCATGGCTTGCATTCCACATCTACAGTCGCTTTCTTTTGCCAATAGGCCAGGTCGCACAAGATGGATTCCGAATTCTTCGATCCCATCCAACACTTTTGGCGGGAATCCACGCATTGCTCTTGACAGTCAAAACAAAGCTTGGGGACGCCCTGGAAAGGCTGGAAAGTGTTAACTGGCTGATTCTTTTAGAAACCGTCTTGACACAGGTAGTGAAGACTACCTACAACTATACGACTCTTGCCCTTCAGATGATCTGGCATGGTATTAGTGTTTTTGCGGTAGATATAGTGCCCAATGCTTACAATGATTTGATGACAGCACTCGAAGTGGCCCGTCCTATAGTTGCATGGGTGGTAGACAAGTTTGTTGTGGTGATCGCAACTCTATGGCGTACTGTATACTGGATTTCCATGACATTGACTACTTATACACAACCTGTCATGGCGTGGCTTCACGAGAGGATTGGCGCACCAACTGTGAAGATATGGGTGACAACTATCCAGCCAGTGTTGGTTCATGCAGCCATGGCAACTATTACTCATACCAAGGCATTGACGGATGCGATCTTGAAGGCTATGCCCATAGTGGCAGCAACAATGGGACCCGTATGGGATGGTTTTATTAGGGCCGCTGAAGTTTTACAGATTATGCTCAGCCAGGTCGGCGCTAGAGTTGTTGTTCTATCTGGAAGCTTAGGCGAGCGTCTTCAGGAGCGCGTTAAGGCGATGGGTCCACAATTTGAAGAATTCAAGACACAGACAGGGCGGATAGTTGATGAGGTCGTACTGGCAACATCCAATTTTATGATGGACTGGGTTAAGAAGGAGAAGCGTGATTAACAGCAGTGCAAGAAATTACATGATGATTCATTAATCAATGACAAATAAAGAATTCATTTTTCAAAACGACGTCCACTTCAGCTCATAGGGATATTAAAGTCCAATTCTCCGATGCACTCTCTACTTTTTATTTTTTTTTTTTTTTTTATCGTTCAATATGGTGAGGGGATCGTTGAAGACATCAAATGATGAGAACCAAGCTTTCTTGGAAGATCTGACGTAACATCCATTGGTTTTCGTCAATGAAGAAGAGTTCACTGGTGCACCAAGCCCAGATTTTTGTTTCACTCATGAACTTGAATAGTCGAATCATTAGGTCTTTCAGGTACAAGGGCTTGGTCAAAGACTTTTGTTCAAAGTTGTCAAAGCTTACAGACTCCATGATACCGAATTCGGCTACTATCACTTAAGCTTTTTAAGTTAAACCGCTGCTCTTGAATGAGTGCTTTTTTTTTTTTTTTTTTTAGGAAAAAAAAAAAAAAACTCGAGCTTTTTGATCATGATGTGTTTACTGTAAAGACGAGTCCAATGAAGTTGGTGCGGTATGCTCAAAAGTACGTTGCCATGATCCAGAAGCAACAGGCAGAGATCGCTGTTGAAGAATCTCTCTGAGAGTCAAACCATCACCTCTCAGTGGAAGGTCGACAGGACAGGAACGATGAACTGCCACAGAAAGTCGTTGGTCTAGCAAAAGCTTGTGGATTCGTAGGCCAAGGAAGCGCAGGACCGTCTGAGGGATGAGGCCAGGATTGAAACGAAGATGAAGTATGCAGACAGTCAGTAAAGGTTAGTAGAAAGGTTTGACAAGAAAACTGGCAGAGTTAAGGAAGAGCTCTTGGAGTTGTACAGTTTATAGACATTCCAAAATGTAATACAATCATAAAGCCTTTTTTTTTTATTTCTCTCTTTCCCAATCTAAAATGTAGGCTTGACTCCACCCAGAGCCGAAAAAGTGTCAAGCCCACACAAATTTCATTGCGAGTCTGCCCAAAACGATGACCTTTGCCCTTTGAATTGATGGAGCGGCCGTTTTACCTTGAGCCGTGGCTGCTTTGGCTTGCTCAGAATCTAAAGGAAAGTTTGGTTTTCAGGACTCAAGCAATGTGCTATGAACAAATCAAAAGGCAATGTCTGAGCTTGGTCACGGGAAGGTTTTGACACATTTACAAAATGCAAAGTACATGTAACATGTATTTTGTTCACAAGAAAAACTTACCTAGAACCGTTGCCGCGTGCGACAAATTTATTCCCACAGTGTCTAATGAAGACCCATTAGGAGCTTCATTTTATTATTATTATCAGCTTTTCTAATCAAGCATGAATTAGCATTATTGGAGTCATGTCAAGGGTCATTGCTTATAGGGTTGGAGATGTTTGAGGAGTCAATGGAGGCAGTTCGAAATATGATTAAAGCAAATGAAGTGTGTGCAAGGATTCATACTTTGTGAAGTATGGAGCTACAAAAACCTTTTTGACAAGGCATTGAACATGAAAAAGGTCAAGATTGTTTGAGTGGGGTATGCATTAGGTGCATCGAAAAGACAATGATATCTTTCGGGATTGTTCTGGGCCAAGGGGGCCAATGAGTCTTCGTATTCATCTGCGTACAAGACAAATGGGAAAAACTATCAAAAAGAGGCCGTTTGGTCTCATTCTCTGTCCTTTTTCAGAGAGAGAGCTTGCTCTCTTCCTTTCTTTCCTCTCTTCTCCCTTCCTCTTCTGACTCATTTTCCCATTCTCTCTTCCCACGCTCTCGTCTCGACTTGTGTCTTCACTATCTTTACAATGTCTTCTTCAGATAATAAAACCTATGCAGTTAATATTCTCGGAGCAGGTGTCTCCGGTCTCTCCACAGGACTTGCCCTTCTTGAAAAAGGAAACTACAGCGTCAAGATCATTGCTACACATCTACCTTCCGACCTCCATATCGATTATACATCTCCTTGGTAATAATGTTCATTGTCAAACTAATGTGCTTTTTATTTTTTTTTTTATTTTTTTTTTTAAAAAAAAAAAAAAAAAAAAAAAAAAAAATATTAAAAATCTTTCTCACCTTTGTTGGCTAAATCCTGTGTTGTGGAAAGGGCTGGAGCACATTGGAGATCTTTTGCTGACATTGCGGATCTTGAGCAACAAGGTAATAATAATAATAATAATAATAATAATAATAATAATAATAATAATAATAATAATGCTGAACAAGGTAAAAAAAAACTCACGAATTACATTTCTCGGAGGAGGGAAATGATAAACATTTTAGAGCTTGAAGAAGCCACGTACAAGAGATTTGAGCATCTAGCAGAAACCGAGCCCAAGGCCGGTATCATGTTTTTGACTGGACACGATTATTGGGATGTCAAACCCAAAAACTTTGAAGAGCCATGGTTCAGTCGTTTTCTTAAAAATGTATACAGTAATTCGCCTTCACTTTCAATCGCATGTTATGGAAGAATAGAATATAATCCTCATCCGCCTTGATTTTTTTTTTTTTCCCTTGCTTCGTTTTAGTATCGACACATTCCAAAGGAAGAACTTCCATCTGGTGTTGATTTTGGGACTACGTACACCACAGGTCAGCATATGGCGATTGATGTGATTATCGCCACATTCTTATTGCGTCTCAAGTCTAGTTTCGATACACTGACTAATTGTTGCTGTTGCTATTATCGTTACTGCTATTATTTGGAAAACCAATAGTCTCCATTAATACGCCCAAGTATTTACGCTATCTGCAAGACCAGATCCTCGCTCGAGGTGGTATCATTGAGCATGGCACTGTACAGAGTCTCAGAGCTCTAGCTCAGGTCCCACACAGCGATAAACACCCCAAGGCCGATATTATTGTTAATTGTTCGGGCCTAGGAAGCCGTAACTTACAGGGCGTGAATGATCACCAAATGTTCCCCACTCGTGGGCAAATCTTAATTGTCAAGGTCCCAGATGAAATTTGGCCGAAAGCAAAGCAATTCACAATGGAACGATATGCAGAAGGCAGTGCCTTTGGTGTTGGCACTGTCACCTATGTTATCCCCAGAGATAATGGTGAGATTATCTTGGGCGGCACAACGGATCATTGGGACTAGTAAGTTGTACCTACTTAAAAAGGAAAAAACAAAAAAAAAAAAAAAAGGAAAATCGTTATACACAAGTTTTTGTCTCCAGTTCTGAATAGTTTTTTTTTTTTTTTTTTTTTTTTTTTTCTCTTTTTCATTATTTGATTATCCGTGCTTTAGCCAAGAAGCTCCATCAGAGAAAACAGCGAAAGCAATCATGCAACGCGTTCAGGACTGCAGACCTGATCTGTTCTCCAAGGCAACGGTTTTACGAAACTGTGTTGGCCTCCGACCCAATCGACGCGGTGGCGTCCGAGTCTCTGCAACGGCCGAGCAATTGGACTGGAACGAAGGCTGGAACCCCTCTGTTCTTGTAGTAGCACACAATTATGGTCATGCTGGATTTGGATACCAGGCCAGTATTGGATGCGCCAACAAAACGGCTAAGTGTATTGAGCGTTCCCTAAAGAATCTGCAGACCCTTAGAGATGAAGCCAGGACTATGGCAAAACTTTAAAGAATAAAATTACCTTAAAAAAAAAAAAAAAAAAAAAAAAAAAAACCACCATTCAATTCTAAGCTCTAGAAAATATAGAACTTGGTTTCTTTTCTTTATACACAATTGCATATCTGTTTGTTTTTATTTTATTTTATAATATTTTTTTTTTATTGCAAATCATTCTACAAAAAAAAAAAAAAAACTGCATTTGGCACAGCCATATGTGTTTATACTACGTTTATATGGATACATTTAATGATATCCTCAGTCTGAGGTGGGGGGAGGGGATGAAAGGCGCCAAGAAATCAGATCTTTGTTCCCATGAGCTCAGCTCTATGGTTGAAAAATAAGACTACAAGGATCATCACCTAATAAAGCGTTGGGATATTAGTACAAGCGGCGGCGAAGAGTGGCGGAGCAAGCAGCGCCCTTGACCCAGACGGCAGAAGAGCCAGGAGTCTCTCCCTGGGTCCACCACTGGGCAGTGTAGACAAAGCCGTTGTAGGAGACCTTGGAGCCACTAGTGTAGGCAGTCGAAGCAGAGAAAGCGCTAACACCAGAGCACCCACCAGGGGTAGCGGTGGCAGTAGGAGCGGTGGTAGGGTTAGCAGTAGAGGAGCCACATGGGCCATTGTCAACCCAAGGACCACCAGCAGTGGGGATGTTGTTTTGAGACCACCACTTGGCAGTGTACAAGCGACCATTGTATGACACCTGAGCGTTGGCGTTGTAGGTAGCAGTGGCAGACCAAGCGGCAACACTGCAGGTGTTCGAAGGCAAGGTGGTAGAGGTGACGGGGGCAGAAGAGGTGGATGTAACAGTGGAAGAAGCAGTGGTAGTGGAGGGACTAGTTCCGTCGATCTGAGGGATGACACCGGAGCAACGAGGGGTATTGGCGCCAAGAGCAGCCTTGCAAATCTGTTGAGCAGCGCTGGTAGCATCAACATTATTGGTGCTTCCGGCTTTCTTGTACAACTCCCAGAAGAAACCTCCCTTGGAGCCCTGGACAGCAAGGATGCTGCTCAACTCGGATTGAGTCAAGGGCAGCTGGTGAGTGGGATCGTGATCAGAAGCAGGGTAGGCAGGGATACCGATCTCGTAACCGACGTGAGCGATCATACCATTATCAGCATATGACTTCATGTAGTAGTTGACCTGTTGGCTCAAGCTGCAGACACCAGTGTCAGGGCATTCGTGGTATTCTTGGTTGTTGGACAAATCGTAAGTCATGACGTTGACGCCGCCTCCGTTCTTGCCGGTAGCCATGAAGCTGTAGACCTCGGGGTACCACTTGTTGACGTTGTACCAGATATTCTTAAGGTTGCCTCCCCACCAGTTGGTTGAAAGCCCTCCAGCAGCAGAAGCTGCAGTGGCGAGCATCATCGAGGGCTGGATGGCCTGGATGTTGATCTGGACATCACGCATGATAGCAGCGTACTTGTAGACAGTCTGGTGAGAAGTCCATGGGCCGGTCGAGGCACCCTTCTTGTAGAAATCAGCATGCCACATCTCTTCGTAATCAATATCAACACCAGCAAGGCCGAGATCCTTGCCCAAGTAAACTAGATCCTGGTAAGGATCACGGTTAGTCTTGACAAAGTAATCGCTACCGGGGACCAAGTTAGTGATCTTAGTAATAGGGTCAGTCCAGGAGTGTCCAGGGATCATCTCGGGATGGAAGACAGGAGCCTCGCCACCAGCTTGAGCAATGACATACTTTTGAGCCTCCTGCCAGGTGGAGGAGTTTGAGGGCTCAGGGAAGATGTCGAAGTCAGCCAAGACTGTATTCTCGCTCTTGGGTTCGCAGGTGTAGCACCACATGTTGGCTTCAGTGCATCCAGCAAGCGTTCCTCCGTGCTCCTTGATCTTATAGTAGTTAGGGGTGCTGGTTCCATAACCTCCAACGGAGTAGTAGGTGTAGACGTACTATTCATTTTAAAGATTGCGGATCGGAGTGTTAATAGATCATGTTTTTAAAGAACGAGACACAAATGGACAGGAGGGAATTGAGAAGAGTAAACTTACAGGGAAGCATCCATAGTTCCATCCTCCGACAGAAAGGAAAACCTCAACGCCGCCGGCCTGGAGCTTAGTAACTTTATCCTTGAGATCAGCGAAACCATAGTCAGGTGTGTTGGCATAGTTCAAGCCGACATGTTCAAGGGTGTTGGAACCTGGGACGTAGACCATACCGGGGCGAGCAAAGGAAAGGAAGATACGGTTAATGGGCAATTTGGCGGCGTTGTCAGCAAGGGCCTTGAGCTTAGCAGGACCGTTAGTGGGGTTGAGAAGAAGGTAGCCAGCAACGACGGGGGCAGCCTCGACCTGCGAGCATGCCATGACCAAAGCCGAAGCAATGGTGAAAATAGCAGATGTTAAACGCATTTTTTTTTTGTGAGTGTTCACAAGGAGGAGAGAGGAGTGTATGTAAAAGAGAGAAGGAAGGGAGGAGAGAAGAATGTGCCGGAGAGGATGTAGAAAAAAGAAAAAAGAAAAAAGAAAAATGTACAGATAGATGGATATTTATACAACATTCTGGGACGATGTAGATGCAAATGTGGCAGAGAGGAACGGTTTCCCTGACATGCGCTGAGGATAATACCAAATGTTCTGTGCACCGATTACTTTCTTTTTATCGTTTCAATATCCACTGTTAGTTGTGCATGCATATTTGTTTACATTTTTGAATGGCCAAAGTTCAGGAACACAGGAACAAATAGTGTAGTCAATAAGCATGAATATGAATAAAATAAAAACGATTTGATTTTGGTTTTGTTGATAGTTCATGGATAGGATGACTAAGGTACAGGTACTCTATGATAGCTTCCACAAAACATGATCGATTCAGTACAGACTCAATAAAAAGGGCCACTTAATTATTACTGTTTTACTGTTCATCTTTGATAAATCTCAAAACTATCCAACTATACGCTTGTCTGCATGCCACTCGCCTCCTATCAATGCTACAATTGGCTGCAGTCTGATACTCTCATCCAGTTAATCAGGTCAACTTCTATTATCACTCTTACAATGATTTGTACCTTTTTGGAGATGGTATCAACAAAATATTATCTGACATATGATATAAGGTGAAGCCATACAGCCTATTTAACGTGTAATACATTTATTACCATTGTTACGCTGTGAAAAGTCGGGTGGAGCAAAGCACGGTAAATGTCCTACAGACCCTGCACAGGGAATTGGCGAAGTTGCATCCTCGAGGATGTGCGGCAATTAAAGTATATATACATGTATATAATATATACATATTTGTATGCAAATCTGTACGCAAATTTGTATATATATATAATATAATACGATGTTGTATATCCTTATATTTGATTGTACCCCCGTCTGTTCTTTTGGAAGTTTATCTGTTCATTCTGTTTATTCTGTTAAATGCTTGTGTTCGCGAGGTCTTGATTCATGTTTAGAAAAACACCTCATATCAGGGATAAGATAATGCAAGATTATAGAATGAGGGAGTGGGAAGGATAAAGGCCCGAGAATAGATACCGCTTCTGCGCTGCTGATTAATACGAGCCTGTGTGCAAAACATAGACTATAGCTTGGGAAGTATTATTTTGCTCAATAGTACGGTTAAATGTTAGTTTTTCCAAAGTAGGTTGATTCTGTCTTCATGATCTCAATAAAGCATTAACCAGAAAGGTAGAAAGGCTGTCTCCTCAATCCAGAAGCCAAAGGCACCCAAGGCAACTCATGCAGTCTTTTCTCTTTTTTTCTACTTCTACTTCTACTTCTACTTCTACTTCTACTTCTTCTACTTCTTCTTCTTTTTCTTCTTTGTTCATTCAGGCCGTTATTTTTCTTTGTAACAGATAACTGAAAAGATCTGATGGGGGAAAACCAAGCATGTGTTATTTCGACTTCCCATTTTAAAAAAAAAAGAGAACAAATATATCGGAACAGCTGCAGCTCATTTTTTAAAAAGATAAAACAGGCTAATCACACGCGTGTGTAACGCGAAGCAGGGTGTTTGTTGTTGACAACCTCACCCGCCAATGAAATGCATGCGATGTGGGATGCAGATTATATTTCACGGACTAAAAACTGTTTGTTGCACAGGGCCCCATGCATGTTCACTCTTTGGTCTTGTCAACACAATCGCACGATCAAATTAGACTCTTCTACACGTAACCTTACATCCCTCTTCCGCTCTTCAACTCCGACTTCCCCACAATCATCTCAATCCCTTCTCTCTCTCTCCTTCTCCCCCTGAGTTCAGAACATGGAGACCAAGAGTTCACCTCTTCACACATTCTGGTTTCTTTGTCAATAGTTTGATGTAAAAACAGAACTCAGCCTCACAGTTGTTAACTTGTCATGACAAGATCATTCTTCTCTTCTCTATTCTTTGGCGTAAGTTGAAATCGGATTATAAATGTAGGTTTTTATTTATTTATTTTAAAGGGAAAAAAAGAACAAAAACAAAATATTTATGACAGAGATAAATGGCCATGTATGCACAGGGACTAAATGGCTTCTGAGCCCTGACTTATCAGTAAGATCAGATCAGAAAACACAAAAGGATATGTGCCTGGTTTTTAGATAGTTTGCAACTCTATTATATACCGTTCTCATATAATATATATATTCTATAAGCATCCTAGACCTATTTAGGACTTGCGCCTTTCTACACATGCGATGTCATGACCACTAATCCCTCCAAAAGTAGAAAGGAAGAAAGAAAAACAGAAAATAAGCTTTCCTTTATCCATCACAAAATGCAATAGCATTTTTCAGCTTCTTTAGTTTAGAAGGCTGGCTCTCCAACATCGTTGAGCATCCATTGGTTGATGAGAAGGGTTCTTTACAACTTTATCCCTTATAGCTCGATTAACTATCTACCTTACCTTATGTTCCTTTAATATACATGTGCACAGTACGAAGATGATGTGACATGGCAGCATCGGCATCAAAAGTACATGTACATGTACACAAAAATGTGCATGTGATCTTCACCTCCCCAAATTTGATAACATCATAAACCACTTTCGGATGGGATGTAGTCAATTAGAGCTTTGAAGGGAGCTAAGATGGCCAAAACAGCTATCCATCTTGTTGCTTACTATCCATCACTCTTCTGTGCTAAAAAAGGATAATAAACAATAAACAATAAAGTATAAATATACTGACAACGATGGTCCCACAATTAATTCCGTTGATACCTAATATTTATGAAATGGATGCTATATATTTGGTGAACTACCGCCGAGTGTTTGTGTGTATCGATAGAGTACTGTTTCACTTCTATGCCTGCACCCTAGAAGGTCTTTTTTCTTTTTTGTGATTGTATTCTGTGTATTGGGCCAACAAACAGATAAGGCAATCGCGTTGCACAAACGGAAAAAGTGCTTCATTCTACTAAAGGGCAGACTCTACCGAACAGCCACAATGACCTCAACATGTTGGCAGTAAATAAAAAAAAAAAAAAAAAAAAAAAGTGGACAGTAGCAGAGGCAAAAGGAGGCCATATTAGTTAAACACAGATACTTGATATAAACATTGGAATATTGGAGAGAACAGAATCATTACATTTGATCATTAGGACCATACATTGTTGGTTATAGAAAGGATAAAAGAAAATGATATTCAACCATAAACACTGTTTAAAACTATCATATTTTTATTATAATTCTAGATTACTTTCCAACCAAGGTCATAAATCACAAAAGGATATCTCTCGTCACGGCCACTAACAAGCCGCATGAACCTGAATCCTTTTGCTTCATGAACCACAAACTTACACTGTGTCCTCCAGCCATAGTCTTCATAGTATGATAAAATGGGTTTCTTATTACGACTATCGCCCCCATCAATGTCCTGGCCATATCCATGCTTCTCGAGCTCACTGGCATCAAACACACGATGGTCCAAAGGCTGGTTTAGGAACGCGCGCTCGACATCAAGTGACACTTTGCCACGATAATCCGGATTCCGTACTTCTTTGCAGTTATATGTGAACGGAATGTCCCGCTAAGTAAAATCGCAGAAAAAAAGAGGTCAGCGACATTGATCTTTTAATGTTAATGTTCAAATTAACTTCATATCGACTTACATATACGGCATCACCGCCTGCGACTTCAAGCTTGGCATGTTTAATCCATTGATCTCCCATTTGATAGAGAAGCCTGTACTCAATCTTACGGTCCACTGGTAATAACATGTCGATTCCAATATAATCACCCTGAACAATAGAGCGAGTGCTCTTGTACGCTGTATCATCCATCCCATCAACAGCATGACTGAAAGGATGGCGAACATAAGGTGTCGGATCCTCATATTGAGTATGGATCTTTTCATTCTCCTCAATATCGATGTAAGGACGATACTTAAACATTCTGACGTCTGGGAATGGATTCTTATTAGAGAGCACTAGGCAACGATCGTCGGCGCATGGTGACCGTACATCGCGTTCCAGATATGTTGGATGCAGCTCTTCTCGCTCAAAATTAGGGTCTTTTCTTTTCAATGCTTCCCAAACTTTCTGCGCGGCTTTGTGCTATCGCAAATGGCAATAGTAAAGTACGTTAATGACTGACACAGCCGAGCTGTCGGTATTGATGCCCTCTTTTTTTTTTTTTTTTTTTTTTTTTTGCAGTGCAATGCTATGCAATACATTATAGCCAACTCCAAATATTCATTACCATATAAAGCTTGTTTCTAGTCTTTCCTTCCGAGCCTTTGCTAAATGCCACAACATCCTGCGCTGGATCAACCAGCTCTTTGAGATAGTTCTCCAATTGGTATGGAACCTGGTTCAAAAAAGTGGAAAAGTACATGTCTCCATATGCAAACTCTAGAGGATCCATCTCCGTTATGGACGATTGCTTTAGGAACTTGACAACACTTTCGCGAGTTGCCATGGCCCCTGTTCCGAGCCAGGAGAAACATGCATGCATGTTGACCTCTGTATCGTCCCCCCAGGTAAAAAAGAAAAATAATATATATATAAATATATTTATATAAATGCTCCAGCCATGAATCAAAATACTCTTTCTTTATGCAAATAACAAATGATATATAAATGTCACCTACCATCCTCGAAGAAGCACCAGCGCCAGTTGGTCAAGGACCATACATCCGAGTTAGTATCAGTGTGCAGGAACTGTGGGAACCGTAAGAAGTTGGCATACATTGATCGGAGATAAAAGATCTTCCAATCATCGTCCTGGAAGTAGCAGTATGGAGAAGAAGCCATTGCACATGCCATGTATCGGGCGACAAAGAACATGTTGTTGGGTGAATTGAACACACGCACCTTTGGACAATTAAACATCTATTAGAAGACAAGGACATACATACAAATAGCCAATGGAAAGAAAAATAAGGAAAGCGTTGGTTGTGAGCTTTTTAAAATTCTATTATGAGCCTGGGAATTGCAAAGCAATGATGCATCGGCCATGATCTTCATGAGAATCAGGCTCAACAGATTGTGAAAAGGGTCCTTTTCACATTTTCTATACAAGCATAGCAGTCGCACTAAACGCACATTCCATGAAACCAATTCCACTAGTTTTGTGTTATCAAGTCCATTTGTCCCAGATGTCCTATTTGTTTATGGTATATTTGCAGCGGCCATGGGTATTTTTTTTTTTTTAAAAAAAAAAAAAAAAAAACGACGCTCCTTTTCCAATAGCCCTATGTCGATGGTAGTGTTGGACTCGCTCATCCTGTCTAAAGTGCCCGTATCATTCACTTTCGTCCTCTGCTCCTGCTCTAGATATGAGAGTAGATGATAGTTTGAATTACCTTCTCTTCAAGGTGAATGTCCACTTTATTGTTCCAGATCATAATCTCCTTGAACATTATATGAGGGCATAGATGATCCACAATCTCCTTCAAAGAGTCCAAACGTGACCAATTGAGCAGAATCGCCGTTGTCATATTTGTCCCCTCAGTGGGCCGCAGATCCAGATCAGAGATATCACCACGATCGATCCAAGTTGGGGGCTGCATCGGCTCATTGGGATTTCCACGACCGTCCCTTGCACCAAACATCAGACGGAAGAGGAATGAGTTGATAATAATGATTAGCCAGAGTACGAGTGCAGCAAGTGGCAACAAGACTCCGAACCGAACGCGGCGGATTGTTCCTGTAGCATTGTGAAACACGCCATTGGACCTGAAGAAGCGTCGTACTCTTGCAGTAATGGAGCGCGAAAAGTGATCCAGATGATGACTATGGTGATGTATGTTGATCTTGAGGGCTGACAAGAAATTTGAGCCAAACAATCCTCCTTTACTTCCAAGTCCTGCTCTCGTACCTGTTTCAAGTCCAAATCCTGCTGATGGAGCCCCTATCGGTGTTAATCCTGAAGATGGTAATGCAAAAGAGGTGTGGTGACCATGACTAGCGGAATGATGCGAATGTGAATATGATCTTGCTCTGGACTGTTGAGTAGAGTCTATACTGGTGGCAGAGGTACTGTTGGAATGGACATTGTTGACAGTAGTAGCGGTAATGTTGTGTTGATGCTGGATGGTTCCATTTGTTGATGTATGATGGCTGTTTGTACTTGTGCTTGAACTGTGATGGTGTGACATCTTTGACCCGAAGCCTCGTTCTGGATCCATATACAACCACTACTTTTTTTTTTTTTTTTTTTTTCTAGGGCTTTTATATCCTGAGTGAACTGAAAGAGTACGGTGACAGATGACGAGAATAAAAATAAAAAAAAAAAATCGAAAAAAAAAGTAGAAAGAAAAGGGCGATCAGTAGCTTGGTCCAATCGTGGCGACGAGATGAAAGAGAGTCTGAGGCAGGACAGGAAAGGGCAGTGTTTCTGGAAGAAAAAGATTTCTTTTTACAACCCAATAGTTCAAGTCGTACAATTCATACAAGCCTGTCCAATTGGATCTCTTTCTCCTGTCCTGTATCCATTTTAGACCTTAATTTTTTCAACTCAGTAATGTTCATTGTCATCTTCGTGTTCAATATCAGCTTTTCAATCCTACCTGAACAAGATTGTGTGGAGCGATGACAATTATATACTATATAAATGTACATGTACCTTAGTTGCCCTATTTTTGTCGGATTTATATAATCCATTGATTTTTAAATACAAAGAGTAATAAGGTATAAATGGCAAAAGTAAGAATCACTGATAGACTTTCCAAACCCTGAAGGCCGCCGAATAACGTGGCATCCGCAAGAATGTCTGTCCAATTATGAAGAAAAATATTGCAAAATAAGTGGTGGAAGTGGGATTTGAACCCACGCCTCTCTCGAGACCGCAACTTGAGTGCGGCGCCTTAGACCAACTCGGCCATCCCACCATACACTGATTGTGTCGTAAATCTGCTATTTACGTATCCTCTTCTTCATTATTTCCATCATCATTCAGTACTTTTATCATTATTTCCTTTATCAATCCTAGTATTTAAATCACTTTGGCTTAAGCCCAATGGCTGAGTAGTATACTCGTCAGGGCACCCTCCTGTCTAGCCCAGGGGCCGGGTTCGAGTCCTGGTTAAGGCACATAAAGTGAAGCAAACATGTGCCAGGTCAGGGATTTGCTTGAGTTTTTATACTTTCTCTCCGAGACAGCCTAGTGTTCTCCGCTAAGTACGACGCCATGGTGATAGGAACGACGGTGATGAGGAAGAGAGAGAGCACACACCAGAGTGGTCTGTGCAGGACATTTACCATGGACTTACGCCCAAGTCCATTGCTCAGAGTTGGAAAGTTGGCTTCAAGACAACAACAAGGATAGCTACATATATGGCAGGGCGCTTCGTCAAGGCCATAGAAGAATTCGGTCGTACAGAGATCTGGAACAAACGGTGTAAAGTTACTGTTGAATGGGAAAAGGCTCGTGGAATCACTGCTATGAGCAAACGCGCTAGAGGACGCAACTGTGTTGGGGAGCACAGACGTAGTAGCAATGGTTTCCTTGTCCCTTCCCTTAGACAAAGACAGAAACTGAATGTGAAAGGGATCTACAAGATTGCGGATGACCGAGTCCGGGACAGTTACCTTGGGAAAACCAAACTAGACGTGATGGAGCGGGCTAGGTGAAATGGGGTTTTCGATGACTATGGATAGCGGATAATTTGTCACGTTGTGCTTCAGGCCACGTCGGGAAGGTGGACTTTGAGTACCAACCACGGCGGTCAGGGTTTATGAAATCATGGATGCAGCGGCTCTTGCCGTTTGTGCAGTAATAACCGTTTATTGACTATAGTCTCTGGAGCATTTTGTTCATAGAGTGTAGAAAATAAATCCCGTGGCCCTGAGGGCCCTTGTTATAAAAAAAAAAAAAAAAAAAAAAAAAAAAAGAGGTTGAAGACAAATTAAAAAAAGGACGAAGATAACAGGCATGTACGGACTTGTAGTGCCCTTGATGAAACCCATAGTAACAATTGGAAGAGACTTTGTTGTGCATAGATCGCTGGGGGTCGTGCACGCACTACACCACTTAGTTTGATAAACGAATGGAGTCCTCTGTTCCGCATAGCGCGATCTATCACTCGTAAAGTGATTCACAAGCTCATTGGCTTACCTTGAGCAGCAGGCTAGGGAGTTTATTTGGAAGCTACGCTCAGTGCTCCTATTTGAACCATTAGATACTCGAACCATTCGAATAGGAGCACTGGCTACGCTGTAAGGAAACCATCGCCAAGGAGAAGGGCTGAGGTGTGAGCCCGAGGCAGAAGCGTGCTCCACACACTGGATTAAGAGGTAACTGGAGCAACGGATATGGATTTATGACAGCAGAAGGCTTTTATCCTTGTGGTATGGCAATGGATGCGAATCGTAACAGATGCTGTCCAGGACCTATGCTTGAGCCATCCGCCGTAGACAAGATTCTGTTGTAGAGATTGTTAGGACGATTCATTTCCTGCGACAGTATGCTTTCGACGTTAAGCACGGTGCTGCGCCGTGGCAATAGTCGTGCAGCACCCGAAGGATTTACCGGGGGAACGTGACTAGACCTATGGTGACTGTAAATCGATCCTCTCCAGAGGATGGGGGACATCAGTTGTATGGCGTTGTTCGTTTAGATAGACAAATTGTTATAAAAAAAAAAACGCGTAAAATTCTTGCTTCCAAAATTGAGATAAATTTTACCTTCTTGAAAGAATAAAGGAAAACTGTACCCCCAGCTCAAAGCACCCTCGCGAATACCTCCTCTATTCGGAGCCCTGAACCTCATCCCCCGTCAAGATTCCCAAAATCTTGATCTCCCCGTCGACTGCTAATTCTCACTCCCCCGCCAACATTTAGAGCTTTTTTTTTTTTTTTTTTTAATGGATGGCTATTCTGGGATGTCCTCACCTCTCTCTTTTAGAGAAGCTTATCACTGACGCTATTAGAGCGAATGTTACACCTATCCTTCTCGGAAGGGTGGTACCATGCCCATGCAACATGTAATAGAAGACAACAATATGCACCAGATAAAAAAGAATAAGGATCCTTTCAGTATTTATCGAGATAGAAAAAGTCTCATCGGCGATGATTTGAGATTTTCACGGCGCCGTTAATGGGCTTTTTGTTGGTTAAATGCTTATCAAATACAAGAAGTTCATTAGGTAATAGACGTATAATCGGCAAAGACCTCTCTAAAAGAGAGGCCAATAAAGGGATTCAAACTCTACCTAGTTACCCGATTTGAAGCGAGAAATAGCATTAAAATATTGAAGGGGATGAGGATTGTAATAATTAAAAATGGATAATGGGTAGCATTATTCAATTTGGCGGGACTTGTTGTTCTTGGCCTTTGCTGGAGATTGATTGCCTGTGATAGAAGATTTAGAGATCCTCGACATTGCTTGTCAGACGTGAAGAGTTCGTGGTTTATTTATTCTCTCGTGCCAGACGTGTAAAATTCTTTGATTCATTTCCTCGTGCCAGACGTGTAGAGGTTGATTTATTTTCTTTTGGCATTATGAGTGCTGAGAGATAAAATGTTCTTATGCTTTATTTTTTTTTTTTTTTTGTGAGAAAATGAGCTGTGCCACAATAATCAAAGTAATCAGGCGCGTAGTTTTTGAAATTTTTGTGGTGTATAAGAGATCCATGTGTCTCGTTTTCTTTTTTTCTTTGCTGATGTTGGTGCTGCAGAGCCCTCTGGTGATTGAGTCGTCGACTGCAGAGAAGACTGATGGAGCTGAGGTGTGGTTAGCAATGATGCATTTGGTGGATTGGGTACCACCAGTAGAGAAGGAGCAGCCAGTGAAGGAAAAGCTAATGAAGGATGAGGACTAGACATCCCCTGAGATGATTGCTGTTGTTGGCATTGATTGTTGTAAATATATTGCATAAAGTTGAACGTATATTGCTGATATTGGTATTGTTGATTGATCTTGACAAGATACTGCTGTAATTGTGCTCCTATCTGATGTAGCTCGAGCTGATGCTGTTGGTACAGCCGTTGCTGATGCTGTTGCTGCAGTCGTTGCTGTTGCTGTTACTGCAGTCGTCGCTGCAGCTCTTTTAATTGTTGCTGTATGAGTGGAGCGTTGCTATTTGAACTCCTCCAAACTTCCTCGAGCCCTTCTGCAATCTCAGGAACCATTGTAGTCAACTTTTGCGAAATATTAGCCTCAGGACCCTTCACCACAACAGCGTTCATCTCTTCTTGGAACTCCAAGAATAAAGGTGATCTGAAGATATCATCCTCCAAAATCCTGCTCTGTTGGTCATTGCTAACAGCATCATGATAGCGTAGTCGAGATGCAGCATCTTGAAGTATGATTCGCCGGCATCGTACAAGCAGTCTCAGAAACCCGGACGTGGAGATATCAAGTTCCGAATAAAGGATTGTGTTCGAAGAAGGTCCAGCTAACTGGTTGGTTTCTACTGCCGTTCCAGGTTTTGACGCAGCAGAAATGTCGGGCACGATGTTTGGATCCACTTCGTCCATTTCCCTTAAGCATTCATTCCTCCACCACACATTGTTTTTTCCAAAGAAATCTTCAATCCAAGGAAAAATCATTAGCTGGAGTGCCTTTGGTGGGATGACAGAGTTTCGAGCGAGGAAGAAAGGCTCGTTATAAAATCCTGCCATCCCAAGTGCAAATTTCGAAGGCAAACATGGTAAATAAAAGTTTTCCATGCGACCTCGTTCTGCGGTCCACCGTCCTCCTGCCTTAATGTCCTCCTAACTTATGCCTAGCCTATGAGCCTCCATAGTGCCGGCATGGCGACCTGCATGAGTCTTCCGAGGACTGTTAATATTGTGCAACTCGTAAAGAGTATCCACAACACGATAAGTCGATTGAGGGACGAGCCTTTTTGTCGGATCATCATCGCCTGGGATGAGCTTGAGTCGAATGAAATCAGGGCTCTTAATTGATTCTACAACATCTTCAATTTGAAGATTCTTGACTAAAGTATGCTCCGAACCCTTGTGATGAAAAATGAAATTACGACCATAGAAAGCAAGACAAGAAAACAAAAAAAAAAAAAAAAAAAAAAAAAAAAGAAAAGTGAGTGATTATCGTCCGTCATCAAATAATCAAAGATTACACACACACACCTTATTAAATAATTGACCAAAGGAGTAACAATTGGGAACTTACTTGCCAAAGCTGATACATGTAAAAGGCAAAGGCGCTGAAGGGGCATCTGCGTATATCTGCATGTCGCAATGCACACGCATACCAGTTTTCATTATTCTTGTTGGTCTTGCCCTTGTTGATTTTGAAGATAAGATCAATGGCTTGCTGCCCCCTTTGAACCTTTTGTGTAATGATGTTGCTGAAGCAATCCGCAAAGCTAGTGTGACGAAGCTCCTCGTCTCGAAGCAGCATGTTGTGGCGTGCAGTTATACAAAAGGCGTCGTGATAATTAGTATCATACTCTCGCCCTCGCCTCTTTGGTAAAAATTTATCCTTCGTCCAAAGGCTTTCCAATATTTCATTGAGCTGACTGAGAGTGTAGCCATCTCGCATTAGACAGTCCGCTACATCGCGTTCACCCGATTGAGCGACTTCGATATAAAGTCTTACTATATGCTGTTCATAGATAGCCAGGAATGTGCGCATGTGGGACGGCGAAAGATCTTGGTTTACATCTTTTCGCAGACTTTGTAACCAATGGATTCGACATAGAGCTTTTTTGGCCATCTTTATAGCTTGAAGACCAAGTGGTACCTCTACCAGCTTTTGGCTATTTTCGCCCACTGAAGCTGCGTCTAAAACTACATGAGAGGCAAACGAGGGGTGTATGGAAAGGGAGGATATTTTAATAAAGTAGTATCTATTAATAACTCATTAACAAACAGATCAAAAGCCATTGCTCTGCTGTTGTGTACTTTTGACGAGATCAGTCTTGTCTTGAGTTGAAAAGCCCTCCTCGGGGGCAGCAGGCTGCGTACGGAGATCCGCTCCTACCCTGATGTGCTTGGTTATAGTTCGCTTTAAAATAACTTCTTGGAAAAAACTAATGATTTTGTCCTCCGAATCCACCAAGTACAATGCATGGCCATCTTCACCTGCATACCGACCGCGATATCTCTCGCGAAATGCCTGTTTAGGACATTTGGGCAAAGTTACAAGGATATTGTCGATATTATAACCCCTCTTTGAGATAGCACAACAGACGAAAAAATAGTCGGTTTGTTACCTTCCATAGATTAAATATACTCTGATATGAGGAAAGTGTATTTATTGATATTTTTGAAAGATTCTTCGTATCTGCAATGAATTGGTCCTCTACACTTGGACGACCCTGGCCCTGACACTCGGAAGCGTATTGCATAGATAGCAGTGCGTCGAGCGGATCACATCTCTTGAAGGCTGGTTTGGCAAATGGAAATGGACATGCCTTTTTGGGCTGGCGCTGCACTGTCTGCAAAGGGTCCTCCCTTGGACGCTCTCTGGAACGCCTAAGTAATGGTAGTGATGGTGGTGTTGTTTCAACGTCTGGAGCCAGTGCAACTGATGGGACATTGGTAGGTGCCAGCGTCGTAGGCGCTGTGGATGTTGTTGCTAGGCTTAAGTCTGACAGTGATTGCTCACATAAAGTTGGCATTGGCTCCATTGTGTTGTGTGTAAAAATATATATATATATATATATATATATATATATAATGCTGACCTTTTCTTTAGGAATAGAACAGAGAAATAAGAGTAGATTGCTGTGCGTTAAAGGTTCAATACAAAAGGTGAGAGTTGTAAGCAAGAAAGTTTTAAAGAATGAAAAAAGGTTTGTGCGTCACTTGATTTTGATTGATTTTGGTCGTGTTTGACAGTCCAACAACCAAGAAAGGCGCGATTTTTGTGATTTGCTCGGTTTACATCACGTGCAAGTATTTTTATGGGAAAAGATATTTGCATGGGCCGTACAAAAAAAAATTTGCTGCTCGCACAGTGCAATCTATCTGGGAGCAGTACCAATGATTTCCTCCACGACAGAAACTGAATGTGAGAAATCTACAGGAGCGCGAATAGTTGAGCCTGGCACAGCTACATTGGGGAACTAAACTGGATGTTAGGTGGAATGAAGTCCTTTGACTATGGATAGTGGATAATTTGTCACGTTGCGTAACAGGTCACATCGGAAAGATGGATTTTGAATACCAACCACGGCGGTCAGGGCTTATGAAACCATGGATGCAGTGATTCTTGTCGCTTGTGCCGTAATAACTGTTCATTGACTGTTGTGTCTGGGCATTTTGTTTATAGATTGTAAATAATAAATTCCGTGGCCCCGAGAGTCCTTGGTGTCAAAAAAAGGCTTTGATCTCAATTTTATAGATATTACGCTTTATTTAATTCCTCATACTCCGTGGATCCTTGTTATCAAAAAAAAAAATATATATATATATAAAATAAGATAAGCATATTAAAAAAAATATCATATCCACTTCCTGAATAACGTCATTAGTATGATCTACAGATGTATTCGGGAAGCGGTCCCTGCGATCTGGCCCATTTCAAAGCCTTAAAGATCCTAACCTCGTACTTTGCTGCGGAGTGATGTGCAATTGAGTTGCGTTTAAAATGAATGGTCGAAAAGTGTCGGTGGTGAGAATACTCCGCCCTGACCTCACGCACTGGGCCTTCTGCGGCCAAAGATGACCCCACTGAGTAAGCACCCTTGTAGAGGTAAACAATCTTACCCCCAAGGACCAGCTTCGGCTTATTGAAAGCATGCAGTTCCCCGTGCGTTCGCTCCAAGGCCCCCATGAGACGGCTGTTGTTGCTTAATCTGCGGGAAAACGAAAATAGCTGAGGTGGTGATGGCAGCGGTAGTACGGACTTGTCCCCTTGATACGCGAGTTCCGAGGCAGCTTGCTTGATTAGCGTTTTTAAATGATCCGCGGTTGTGTAGCTCAACCGACACACAAGATCATTCTCGTTTACAAATGCGATCTGGTTATGTTCAAATTCTGTAGCCAAGTCTGGAGAACATACAGGAGGGGGGGCAAACAGACGGGCCATAACTTGGAGCTTTTGGCCTTGCTCACTACTCAGTCTTGCTCGTACTTGGGGCTCTGCAAAACGGTCTTGCAATAATGAGCATAAAAGGGAAGCTGTCCCTGCTCCAAGCGAATGACCGATACTATGGATGCCCATAATAGAAATAAAATATTTGATGAAAAAAGATAAAGAGAAAAAGTAAATAAAAGAGAGTAGAAGGACCAAGACAAAGGTCAAAGAGAGCTGCGACATACCAATACACTTTGGAGAGATTAAACTGCCGCAATGCTTCCATGATGGTATCAAAGTGATTGAATATAATGGACCGTGCGTTTTCCATCATCCCTTGGTGCACAAAGCCACCTTTGTAGCTCTCACATTTACACAATAGATTTGTTACAGCATCTGAGAAGCTCTGTAATATAGTCATTAAGAAGACAAGTTCCCAGAGTTATGTATTGATTCAAAACAAGTGTATAGTTTGGTCTCATGCCTTCCAATCCTTAAGCACTGAGGTTGAACTTACGGCAGTACCGCGAATGACGACACAAAGAGCACCATGTCTGGGGTCACGTATTATATAGTAGCTTGCAATCCCCACAATTTTACAGTGGTAATGCCACGCAATCATGTCTTCCTTCTTCAAATTAAAAGCCTGCAACACATTCTCAATATCTTTGTCGCGATCTAAGGATTTTGTGTGATTATATCTGTTAATGACTGCGACGATGTGTTAATGTTTAAAAGTTCGCTGTCAGTCCATAGAGTTTTATACATACCTGTGACATTTTCATGATAACCTAACAGTGACCCTGTAAACGTCCCATAGGCTGCAACCGCCATACGAGCACAATAGTGAGCATGTTCAAGCATCTCGATATCACAGAACGCCTGGTAGCTCTTTGGTCTAATGATGGAGGCCCGATAGAAAAGAAGTAAGGAGGCATGATTCAGGAAGTTCATTCATCATCAACTTTTTTTTTTTTTTTTTTTTTTTTTTTTTAAAAAAAAAAAAAAAAATAATAATAATAAGGGCATACATTGAGGATGCTGCAAGGTACTCTTCTACGGCCAAACAACCATAAAAAAGTTCGATCAGAGAGAGATTCCAATCACGAAAAAAAGATTTGCACAGAGCCTTGAGGCTCATCATTGCGGAATTGTTCTTATTGATAAAAAGGCGCATCCGTGCGTCTTCTTGGTTTCCAAAATAACTTTGTGCTAATGTGTGGTGGTGGATTAACTCATAAGCGCCATATTGATATGATGTTATTTGGGGCTTGAGTTCAAGCTGCATAGTAGCTCGAACTGCGATAAAACCAACTTGAGATGAGCCTAGGACCATGCGGAACGGATAGGAGTTTATTACAGTCATTGTGTCATTTGCGTACGATTTTGGCTCTAGTGGTAACTCGATATCGATCACGTAGTCTCTTAGGCCAGAAGACGACGGTGGGCCATGGTGATCGCCAGCAATATCTGAGTTTGCTTTGGTGTTGTATGAATCTTCAATCGTTTCCCAAAGGTCCGCAAGCTTTAAATAGCCCTTGCCTACAAAGACATTCTTTTTTGTTTTCATGACATGATAAAATAAAGTTATCTTCACATTATCATAGTATGCATCATGGAGTTGTAACGGGAATTTATATGCATAGAGAGCATGGTTGGCGGGATCCATTGTCGGGGATGTCATATACGTCCTTTGAGGTGATTTGAACTCGATCACTGAAGGAGTACCATGTTTCGCACATGAAACGTTTCGGACTTGTAGCAACAGTGCTCCTATGGTGCACCAAACATTAGTTTATGCTTGACATACTTTTTTTTTTTTTTTTTTTTTTTTAAAGAAAAAAAAAAAAGAGAAAGAAGAAGGAAGAGAGAAGATCTTACTTGGCTCGACTACCAGCAACGATATACGTAATGAGGATGGAAAGATGGTATAGAAAAGTTAGTAAGGGGGTCAGTTTGGTACTCATCCATACTGCATCAAGGCTGCGATAGCCATGCTTTTTTTTTTTTTTTTTTTTTTTACTAACGTCGGAGACGGTGGTTGGAGGATTGAGGCGAGGAAGGAAGTGAGAGTTGGTTCATATCATGTGGCCGACAAGTGCTGGGCTCGTCAACTATATCAATAACAAAGATGTATGCATAAGTGGTCCGTTATTTTATAGATATAAAGGACATTGGTGTTCATCGAACACATGCCTGAGGCCTTATGGGGCTTGATTGACCGACAAAAATATGGAGGACTGTCAACCAGAGTGACATCCGTATCATTGCGGTTGAGTGGTGGACAACTCATGTTGTAGACAATATATAAGGAACTGAAGGAGAGAGCAAGTCAAGAAAGAAATGAATGCAGTGGGAAGGATTCAAAAAAAGGGGGATTGTTTATAAAGATGCGGAAATGTCTTCGCCAACGAGGGCAGATGATGTGCCGAACAATACATCAAAGTTGCACATTTCGCAGAGACAGGTTCTCTCCTTTTTTATTTTTTTTAGTTGCGGGCGAAGCGAATAGCCTCGAATGCGTAATGCTCAACATGAACCTCATGAGCTTCCATTCAGCGTGAAATTGGAGCGTGAATCTAGATCCCTTAGAGAATAGGGGAGGAGGTCTCCTAGATAGTTTTTGAGGAGACCTCTTTATCCGCAAATTGAACACGGAATCCAACGAAGGGATAGTAAAAACCCATATAAATGGCTGCTAATTACAACAAGCAGCAACAGCCGCCAGAGCAGCGGCTACCACATAAGCGTAATGACCGCTTGACAAGCATGCTGTCAGTCCTATTCCCGCCAGGCTCAAGTCCTATAGGTTCTACGGGCGTTGGCGAGCGCTCAAGCGCGCCTATGGCTACTAAAAGGCTTCCCATAATTTTTTTTTTTGTTTTAATCAACACAACACACTATGATCACGTGACAGGACCTCCACCGTTGTGAATTTTTTTTTTTTTTTTTTTTCATCACAACTTCTATCTATACCCCTGTTTTTAAACAGTTTTGAAGATTAAAGAAAGAAAAGGAGGAGCGATGAAGAGTCTTCAAGGACCAAAGGATCTAAAATCCCCGAGCCAACCAACCTACAAATTTATTGTATTGTTGATGGAGAAGCGACGTCGTTCTCAGTAGAGATTTTCTCCGACAAATCGGTCGGGATACTCTACTCGCCTGCTAGATTTGGTGATATCCCACCAGAGAAGCTAACTCTCCACAAGGTTTCCATCCCTGACAAAGGCGAGGCCAAAGCGAACTATCCATGGTTTTGTTAAGCGACCACAGCGAGGTATGTATAATATTTGGCTCTCTCAGAGCGTTGTTCAGCATCGAAAAGAGGGAATCTAATGTTATTGGGTTGTGATGTGGCACTGAAGAGAGGGAAGTTGTCTAATATCCCCGCATGATTTCTTTCAATTTGGTTGTTTTTTCTATATAGAAAATATCACTGTCTTCAAATCAGAACCCCCCATTGGCGCTTTCTCAACCTTTCTCTTCGATGGTTCGTCTATTCAATTAATAGCCAACCATTTACACCTCTTCGAATATACAATTTTTGCTCTATTCGATGCTGAACGAGGCAGGCTGATGGAGCTTCGGTTCTTATCCCAAATCTCCCCATCTTGTCATTTAAGTCTTCCCCCATGTACACCAAAAATAATTTATGTTGTATAAAAGTACGCACAGCTATTCTCTGATAACAGCATATTCTGGAAATAGCTGGATAGCCACTGCCAATTTATTTTAATTTTTTATTCAGATCCACCTAAGCTAAACTATTTAACCAGGGGCAACTTTGGATTCGTCTCCATAAAAAATATGAAAAGTTGCCCTCATGGTCCGTGCGCATACTCTACCTCTTTGCTGACCGGGTTTATCTATCCTTACACTAATACATTCTTTGATCGCAATGCTAACATCCCTGCCATTGCCACCTCTTTCATTTTTTCTAGAGTCATCGAATAAGGTTCTCAAGATTGAATGAGGGTAATAATCCGTTTTCTGTTGTGTAAATAGATTGGTTTGATGATTAGCCATGTGTTATGGTACTGACCAAGTGTGTATGTGTACGATGATCATACATAGACCCACGATATGCTTCACCGCTTAAAAAGAGGCGCATTCTTGAACGATGGAGAAAGTACAGGGCTTCCGACGGTAATATTGTGGAACTGTCGCCTGCTTGGTGAAAAATATTTTCAGATATATAGTAGACAGTCGAAAAGTAAGGGAGAATAAGATGTGGGTCCCACCACACCCATGGATTATTTTATTCATTTCTGGTAGAGGGGCTTGTACCAGATAACTATAAGACAACATGGGTTCTCATGTCAAAGATTTGTCGCGTCTTAGTGTGACGCGTTATTGCCACTAGTTTCTACTGCTAGTTTTATTTTTTATCGTACTATTTCAGTTGAAATTTCTCTAGTGTGTTTTTTAGGATCTTTCCTAGTTTTTTAGCCATTGCATATTGAAATATGCAACAATCTCTACCATCAAGCGTCGTACAACGACTCAAAGCTGGGAATTTCACTGGAGACGAATCTGAAGAAGCACCATTTCATGCACTTATTTGTGCTGTGCCGAAGCCGATAGTACTCAAGGCAACAGCATCAATGGTGGCAATGAGACCTCAATCGTATTGAAATTCGATGACTACAGAGTTATTAGCAGGTCAGAACATTCTCTTGGCCCAGGGAAAGATAGTTTTTTTGGCCCGTGGCTATCAGAGATATCCTCGATTTGATTTCATGATTGGACCAATGTTCATTCAGCTTTCTATCAGTTAGTTTGGAGACCACAACATAAAATCAAAGGATATAAGGAATGCGTTTAAGCGGCCCTACAAGGATATATTCGGCAATGTTTATGACAATAGGAGTCAGATTGAGTGTTACTTGGATGAACTGTATGGTGGAGAGCACAGAGCTGAAATGAATGCCAAGGATAAGTTTGATGTCACCAAAAACAGATCCAACGACAGGCCTTCAAGAGGTTGTTCCTGGATTCCGGATCTTCTACATTTGTGGCGGAGATATCGAACTGAAGGATCACGGTAGCCTCGTTAAAGAGTTAGTTGATGTGGCACATGTAAGTCTCAAAGAGCTCAAGGACGTGCTCTTTGCAAACATTTGTACAGTCATGCCTCTCTAATTTTGATATTTTATCAAAAATAGAGAAGCAAGGTATTCAAGGTATTCTATCCAATTCAAAAATATATTTAAACCTCTGTAATTTGACCTGACTTTTATTGTCGCTGTCGTGACATGACATTACGATATTGCATTACTCCATCCTTCTCACTCCAAAAGACATTCTCAAAAATCAAACAAGAACATCGAGAAATAGTTCAAATTACAGAGGTTCAAATATATTTTTGAATTGGATAGAATACCTTGAATACCTTGCTTCTCTATTTTTGATAAAATATCAAAATTAGAGAGGCATGACAGTAGATAGTGTTATCAATAAAGGAAGCAATATCCTGGGCTGCAAAATAGCTGTAGATAGAATGCCTCTTGTAGTTCCGATAAACTTTCAAAGAGTGTATAGCAGAGAGAGAGAAACACAATAGTCAACAATAAACGTCCTCAATATTTCTGATTGAAGTGACAAATGAACATAAATGTTCTCTTTCCCGTCTTTCCTCCCTCAGCGTGGCACGCGCAGAGCCCTCATATAATAACAAAAAAAGAAGTTTATTCTCCACTTCTGCGGAGGAAAGATGGACTTACTTATTGGTCGCTGGTCTGACAAACTAATCATGACGGATAAGACCAGTGCTCCTATTCGAACTGAAACTTTGTCAATTATGATGTTTCAGATTAAAATAATAAATATCAATTGACAAAGTTTCAGTTCGAATAGGAGCACTGGATAAGACTATATCCTGAATAATCGTCATTTCATTGTAGACTGAAGAGATTTGCAGGCCTGGAGTGTTGACAAACGATGGTTGTGATGGCGTTGGGGCTGTAGTGGTGGTTGCACTGACGGTTCCTCCAACAGGGGTTGTAGGGGTTGCTGCTTGAGCATCTGTGTCGGAGAGATATTGCCTTTCCCTTCTAGACATGAAGACATCTTTGAAAATGCTCCTAGTCGTCGGTTTGACTTGTTTGCCATATTATCAGAAATCCTGATGCGACAAGGACGTGTCAACTGCTGGGATATTGGGGGGAAGAGGGGGTTATGTGCCTGAAGAAAAAAAAGAAAAAAGAACTGTATTTGTATTTATTTGCAACACTTGAACTGGCCATTCAAAAACACAAGTAACGCAAGAGTGTTCATAGAAAAACGCGTCGCACAAGAAGATCCTGTGCATTCTCCATTTACGGACTGCAGATTTGGGTAATAGGATTAATGAGCCAAGAGTAATGGAGAAACTGGGAGTGATGATGTAAAAAAGATTCTTTATTGATCACCAACATTGACCAACTGGGTTCGCGTCATACCTCTATTACTATGCCAGCTGTAGCCCTATTGAGTATCCTTTCTTTTAATCCCATTCAAGTTTTCCTTAATGGAAGCATTCGAATTTCATTAGGCTATAAGCCTCACTCCTTTCTAGCGTAAGTGGTGCATTCATAGAACGTGATCGAGGTTTTCAAGTAGAGTCAAAACTCGATACGCCTTGCACCGTCTTGTCAGACATCCAGATACCCTGCATTGAGGGTGTTTACTACGTGGCCTCTCATCGATCCGCTTCTGATATCCAAGCTTCTCATTGGATGAAAGTATTGACGAGTCAGCCGCTTTATCTTTCCCTTTCTTTTTGAGCTGATCGTCCAGCCCTTCTACAGCACTTTGACCACAATGACCTCATCATCGCCAGTACCCTGGTTATCTTCAGCACCTATAGCAGTGACAGTAGCCATAGCAGGGTTTGAACTTCCAATGTCTTTTTTTTTTTTTTTTTTTTTTTTTTGCATTTTGAGTTCTTCCCTCGTCTTTGTTCATTTTTACGGCGCATGAGTTAGACACAATCTCTTCTGATATTTATTTTGTCTTCTTCTCTTCCTCATCTCTACTATATTACCTGTGCTATTGATCTTTTGTCGTGTCAAGTTTTATTAGGCGCAATATGTGCAACGCAGGCGAGAAACCCAATATTTTTAGCTACAGTTCATTTCGGGGCAAAAGACGTGTGGCATTATCCCTTCGCCCGTAACAAGGACAAACTTACCATTATAAATAGGCTTGAAATCCAGCAATCTATGGGCATTGTCTCGAAATTTTATTTCGACGTCGAAATAAATGACCGAAAACTAAACTGCCATAGAGCTCCCTTGCTAATAAACGACTGCCATTTGAAACGCTTAAGTCAAAGCACGAGGACACTTCGCTGTAGATGCGCACAAATTTTACACCAGTGCCTCCTGTCCCCAACCCCTCTGCGACAGTTTTTTAGAGGCGGTGTACCCCTGCTTTAAATATTGCCGGGCATGTAAGGTATTCTTCGACCGCGACGCAGTAGGAGCGGAAAACATCGCAAGAATCGGTCTTGCTCAAATTGAGAGGCAGGAGAGGCCTGTAAAGTACAAGCCCATGGAAGAGTCCTCTGCTCCGGCCGCAAAGCGCGCACAACGCTAGACACAAGTACTTAGGTGCCGGCACACCCACAAAAAATTTGTAAGTTCTGTTTATTTCCGTCTCCAGTATCCTTTCTACCTAATCTTTTGCCCCTGAATTTCTGGACTAACTTTAAAAACCTTACAGATCAGCAGATATTGAGTCGGAATTGGTGGCGTCAAATCAAGTGATGTCAGCACGCCCGTCAAAAAGTGGTGGCGCACACTTCAGCGCAGGAGACAAGAAAGAAGACGAAACAAATAAACACCTCAATCCTTTTGTATTTCTCAATCTTAAACGTAATTCTCATCTGCTTGCATATAATAATCCTCATTCTTTCTTTTTTCTTCTTTCTTCTTTCTGCTTACATACTCTTCATATCCTCACTCTCTGTCTCCCTCTCTTCCTCCTCTTCCTTTTTTCTTTTCTTTTCTTTTTTCTTCTCCCCTCTTTTTTTTTTTTTTTTTTTTTTTTTTTTACCCCATAATATCTTAAAATAACACACATTGCTGTATATCATAATCACTTCAATCAGCCAACAGTAAAATATGGGTGAGGTGAGCTCTACTCAAATGATGTGCATGGCGAATCATGCATCCGAGCATATTAAACCTAGATGTTTGTGCTCTGATTATTCCATGTAAAATGTTTTTAGTACTAATCAAAAATCCATTTATTTCTTCATTCTGTGTCACATTCTGTGTCATCAAGTTCGAAGACCTCAAGAAGCTTGGTACAAAGCATACTCGCGCCACCGAATCAGAACTTCAAAAGAAAAAACAACAGCTTGAATATGAAGAACTTCAACGTAAGCAACAGGAAGAAATCCAGCGGAAACGAAAAGAAGCCGAGACTCGAAAGTTACTCCGCGAAGAATTACAGCGGAAAAAACTAGAGGAAGAACAGCGTCAGCGGGATGCCGCAGCCTCACAGAGGGCAAAAGAACGTGCCAAGCAACAGGAAAAAGAACAAGAACGAGAGAGGCAATTACAGGAAAAAGAACGGACTAGGAAACAACGTGCCAGCGCCAATGGTCCTACTTATTCGTCTTCACGTTCCAAACCAACATATTCAGGGGTATCGTCTCTATCAAGGTCCCTTGAATCATCAAAGGCATGTTGAATTATGTTGCTTCGATAAGAGGGTGTCTTGACCTTGTTTGATGGCACTTTTCTCTTCCCCTCTCCTTTTAAAAAAAGCGTTGATTAAATAATTGACTTTTTTTTTTTTTTTTTTTTTTTTTTCAACCTTTATTGGTTCTTATTGAATCCAATAGTCTTTGTCCAAAAAAGCAAATTATTCATTTGAAGACTTACAAAAGATTGCCATGTCCAATGGAACGAGAACAGGGCGTTCTGGATCAAAGACAGAAAGCAGAGCTGAGGATCGGGACTACAGTAGAGGCGGAGACAGATATGACGATAAAGTTAATAGTCGTCGGGCAGCAGCAGAGAGACTCAAAGTGAACCGAGGCATTAGCCCAGAGCGACCACTTTCAGCCGCACAATCCTACGCAGGAACAAAAATTTTAAAAAAACGTAAGTTGTCCACACTCTCATTCGACGTTTTTGAAAAATAAAATAGCGGTGGCTATTTTTTTTTTTTTTTTTTTTTTAAAAAGTCCTCTCTATTGTATAGTTATTGATAATTAATATTCTATTGTTTCTATTAGCCCCTGTTAAACGAAGCACAGCGCCAAAAAGCATGTTCCCTACACCACTCAGGAGTCCTGGTATGGGCTTAAATCATGTACGGGACGCTGGACTTAAAGCTATCCGTGATGGACCGATTCCTCTCAATACAAAAAAGAGAGATCTTCGTACCATAGACGAAATCAATGCAGATTTAATTGCGAAAAATGGCCGACGGGAAGAACGCGATAGACGGATGAAGGCGATCGAAGAGGAAAGAGAACGTATGCGGCAGCAACGTGAAAAGGCACTTCAAGCAGCTAAATATTCAAGGGCACTCATGGGTGATGATGTAAAGGAGACTGAGCGGATTTACAAGGAGGTGACAGGTGGCTCAAAAACTGCACGGAGTCCACGGTCTATGAGTCGTAGTCGTAGTAGGAGCCCCAAGAAGAGAAGCCGTAGTCGAAGCCCTGTACGGAGAAAGAGGAGCCTCAGTCCTGTAAATAAGAAGAGAAGCTATAGCCCAGATATCAGGGACAGGAGCATTAGCCCGCGAAGAAGGAGAAGTGTCAGTCCACCTGTGAAGCGGAAAATGAATAGGGATCTAGGTGACAGAGAACGCGATCGTGATCGTGATCGTGAAAGGGCTATTGGGAAGAACAAGGCTAGCAATGGCTCTAGTCGACGATACTCTTCACACTCACCTTCTCCACGACCACCCTCTAAGAAACGAGTGAGTCCGCCTCGTGGTAATGGGCGTGGAAGAGGACCATTTGATGATGAAGAGGAACTTGATGTTTCAGGCATTATTGGGTCCATTTTTGGTACACGGTATCAACGACGGGCAGCGAATGAAGATCTTTCTGATGATGACATGGAAGCTAACGCGAGCGAACTTTTCCGTGAGGAGAAGCGAAGGTAAATGCTTGGTATCTGATTAATTGACAAATGATTAATGGATTTATTGGTTATCAAAAAGCACTATGACTAACGTTTATAATGTTTTTATGACCAACGATGAACGGCGTTTTCTAGTGCACGGATTGCGAGGGAAGAAGATGAGAGAGAGGCAGAACTAGAGCGCGCAGAACTAGAACGACGCAAGCGCAAGCATGAGCGAAACCGAGGGTGATATGGAAGACAAGTTTGATGTTCTGCATCTACCCGCTTATTAGAGTGGGATATTACATGCTACATATTCACATGCATCCACCTCCAAAAGCCGAAAATAAAAAAGCCAATTGCTTTCTCACGGTCACCATCATTTGATTGGGCCGCGTATATTTGTGGAGTGACGATAGTGTTGTTCGCATCCAAATACGGAAGGAAATAAAAAATAATGAGAGAGAGGCATATAAAAAAATAAAAACATTCATCTTTTCTCATCCTCAACTTTTTACATTCTCATCATACTCGTACCATGCCTTACGATCCTACTTCTCTTTCTAACCTTGACGAAGTCAAGACCAGCCACATTCACCTCAACCTGGCTGTTGACTTTACCCAAAAGATCTTGACTGGCTCAGCTGAGCTCGATATTGTAGCTATTGCCGACAATGTCTCCAAGATCGTTCTAGATACCAGCTTCATTGCAATTCACTCTGTCAAAGCTGATGACAAGGCTCTAAAGGTGTGTTTTAAACTCGCGAGGATCAAGCACATCAAGTGTTCGTTTTATTTATTTATTTTTTTATTAATATACGATAGTATAATCTGGAGAAGCGCCACGAGAAGTATGGTTCTGCCTTAGTCATTGAACTTGAACAAGCCCTTTCTAAAGATAAAATGGTCAAACTTGTGATTGAGTACGCGACAACATCGGAGTGCACAGCGTGTCAATGGCTGGAGCCTAGCCAGACGGTTGGAGGCAAGCATCCTTACCTTTTCACTCAATGCCAAGCTATTCACGCCCGCTCCTTGGTCCCATGTCAGGACAGCCCCTCGATTAAGCTGACGTACAGTGCCAACATTAATGCTCCTTTGCGTGCGGTCATGTCTGCTGTCCCCATTGGTGAGGAGAAGCAGTCAAATGGAACAACAACCTACAAGTTCCAGCAAAAGACTCGTATGCCTTCATATTTGATTGCTCTTGCAGTTGGAAACTTGGAAGGTCGGGATATTGGCCCTCGTTCGACTGTATGGACTGAACCCGAGGTGATTGAGGCTGCTGCATGGGAATTTGTGGACACGGAGACGTTCATTCGCACAGGGGAGGAGCTGTTGACGCCCTATGATTGGGGCCGTTATGATCTCTTGGTCCTGCCTGCATCATTCCCGTATGGTGGTATGGAAAACCCTTGCTTAACCTTTGTCACGCCCTCACTCTTGGCTGGAGATCGTTCTTTGGTCGATGTAGTCGCACATGAAATTTCTCACAGCTGGATGGGCAACCTCGTCACAACCGAAAACTGGGAACACTTTTGGTAAGCAAAAAAGGCAACGACAACAATATTATAAGAGCCCCCAAAAAAAAAAAAAAAAAAAAAAAAAAAGCTCATGTGGAGGATGGCAATAAAAGAAAGATGGAACGTGGGAAAAAATAAAAAGATTAACATTATTTTATTTATTTAGGTTGAATGAGGGATTCACTGTATTTGTGGAGCGCAAGATCCTCGGTCGCATGCAAGGCAAGGTGCACAGTGAATTTAGCGCTATCATTGGCTATAAAGCGCTAGTAGAGAGTGTTGAGCTTTATGGCAAGGATCACCCATTCACTGCCCTTCGCCCATGTCTTCGTGGCGAGGATCCTGATGATGCTTTCTCATCTGTTCCCTATGGTAAGCAATATAAAATAACAAATGGATTATATATTTTTAGAGTGTGCAGTTTGCTCTCTTTCCTCCGCTTTTTTTTTTTGTGATACTAACATTAATGAAAATATTGATGGGAACAAAACCAATAATAGAGAAGGGATTCAATTTGCTTTACTATCTTGAAAAGCACTTGGGCGGTGCTGAGGTCTTTGAGCCTTATTTGAGGGCACACGTTCAGGAGTTTGCTGGTCGCTCAATCAATACGGATGACTGGAAGAATTTCCTCTATTCCTTTATGGAGAAGAACTTTGGGCAGGAAAAGGTCGATCTCTTGAACAAGGTCGATTGGGATGCATGGCTCACCGGAACAGGCATGGTAAGTTGGATCAAATAATCCCTGGAGCTTGTTATTGCTACTGTTGCTGTTATTCAATGGGTTATTTGTATTAATATCGCAATCACTTTTTGTTTTATTTTATGGTGCTCTCTCTTTATTAGCCTCCTGTTGACAACAAGTTTGATGATACTCTTGCCAAGGAATGCAATTGCCTTTGCAAGAAATGGGATCAGTCGCGTAATGTCCCAAAGCCCACAGAGTTCTCGCCCAAAGACATTGAGGGTTTCTCTTCTACCCAAACAGTTGTCTTCTTAGAGCGCGTGTCTGAGATTGAGCCCCTTCCTCACTCTCACTTGGCTCTGATGGATGAACTTTACAACTTGACTCAAGTTCGTAATTCAGAGATCAAATTCCGTTGGCAGATGATTTGCCTCAAAGCTGACTATGAGAAGATTTACCCCGAGGTGGTTGCCTTTGCCACAACGATGGGAAGAATGAAGTAAGATCATGTATACAATATCTTTTATCTCTTGCGAGGCTTTCAAGTGAAATCAAGAATTGTCTAACCTCCCGTCCTTCTCTTTTTTATTTTATTGTAAAAAAAAGATTCTGCCGTCCATTGTTGCGATCACTGTATCTTGCCAAGAATGGTTCTGAATTGGCAAGGAAGACGTTTTTGGAGCACAAGTCATTCTACCATCCTATTGCCGCTGCTATGATTGCTAAAGACCTCGGTCTTACCAAGTAAAAAGTAAAAAGATAGGAAAAATAAAATATTCATGTTGTAATAAAACGAAATTATAGGCGTCGAAACTAGCTCATGAATATCGTATATACATGTAGAGTTCTTGTCCCTCCGAAAGACACAAACAGCTTTGTTTACACTTCCACGATTTTTTAAAGTCTTTACCATCAATTTCACATTCTGAATGGAGCCATCAAGTGTCTTTGCCATTCAGTTATTAGAGACACTACCAGAGCCAGAGATTGCCGAGATTCAACGGCGACAGTCTGACATGTAAAAAAATAGAAAGAGCTGGAATTGATTTCTTTATTCATCCATGTCTTCATTTTAGTCATTTTGGCTCTTTGAATTTTTTTTTCTTAACGTGTATGAATATTTGACTATTGATTATCACATTATATAGGAGTGTGTCTCTTCAAAAAGCCAATTCATCTCTTTCAGCGCTGAACGAGTTCTCGGCTGTTAAATGGGCGGGTCTTCATCCAAAATTCGAAGCACATACAAAGCTAATCAAGGAGCTACAGTCGGATCTGGACTATGTATTTCGCAAGATCCGAGCAATCAAAGCCAGCCTTAATCTACCCAATATAGACGACGACGACGAAGAAGAAGAAGAAGAAGAAGAAGGAGAAGGAGAAAGGGAAGTAGAAGAACAAGGAGAAGGGGAAGAAGAAGCACTAGGAGGGGGGGAGGCTTCAGAAGAGCGGCGTGGGGAGGAAGAGGAGAGAAGAGAAGCATCGAAAGATTCTGCAAACAGCAAGAAATCTTGATTTAAAAAATAAAATAAAATATAAAGTATACAAATTGGTGGCAAAAACCTTTTTCTTTTCTTAAACATTTTCATTCTCATTTCTTTATTCATGAACCAAAATGAATGAGCATGGTGCTCGTGTTGGTAAATACTTCATGTCTTGTCCACGGAAAAAGACCTTAAGGCCCTGAACTATTTGTGTTAACATTCGTATATTAACATTGATGTATACTTTTTTTATTTTTTATTTTTATTTTTTTTGAATAAATCTAGTCTTGAGTGATGTTATTTGCGAGTTCCGTAAGTTCTTGAAAGTGATCTCAACTGCATTTATTGCCTTTGTCAATATATAGAGACTGACTTCAAGGATTATTCTTTCGTTATATTTCTTTAATTAGTTGAGGTTGCCATCCATTTGATTCTTTTTGTCCGTGGCATATATCCACCAGGTATATGTTTGTATACATATATTTCTTTTTTACAATAGGACGATCATCTGTGCGCACTGTACTTATCAAAAAAAAAAAAAAAAAAAAAGAGCTCTTTGAATCAACTCAGAAGTATGGATGCCCAATACGGACAGCAAGGCACCCAGGCCTTACATCCTATATCCAACAAATCATTCGTTCCATCAAGGCAGAACTTCAAAAGGTTTGATAGGGCATGGAATGATGAAAACTTTTATTTATTTTCCTCATTCTAATTTCTATTTTTTGAAATTGGTTAATATCCTTAGGGTACTATCCATCGGATATGTATTGTAACATTGGATTCTACAGGACAAGCACTCGATCGGTTTGTGTTCGAGATGAGTATGCTACAGGCATTTGAGGGAAAGGTCCTCTCTTCTGCTCTCGCTCAATTGGACCAAGATCAAGATGTCGCTATGAATAATGTTGCTGCTCCAAATTCAAAGAACAGTCGAGTCGCTTCTATGGACGAAAAGGGGAAAAGTAAAGCTACTGATTATCAAAATGACGACCAAGCAAATTACCACGCCGATATTGATGATCCAGAAATGGGGGAAGAAGGGGATGATGAAGAGGAAGATGGTGAAGAAGCTCTTCTTTTGCGTAGGGCCTTAGCGCATGGAAAATATCGTCGACAACGACAGCAACAACACCAACAACAACAACAACAACAACAGCCATACCGCCCACAGGAGCATGGTGAGGTACGGTTTGAGAGCCTTATTACCTTCACGACCAATGTAGAAGCATTACTGAGAGCCATACTTTTAAAGATCAGTATCTGCGACTCTTATTTAAAGCCTGTGGTCGAAGGTTAGCAAATGTGTATAGGACAATATTGATTAGGTTCTTCAAATTGGAAAGCATTTCGTTGATTTTTTTTTTTTTTTTTTTTTTTTTTTACCTCTTAGATGCTTCATTTACCGTTGTTATCGAGATGAAGAACGCAGGAGTGGGGCCGGATGCCAAGGTACTAACTGGTCTCTATTGGATAAAGAAGATTTTGAAATGCATTATAATTTTTCATGGAAAAAAATTTGATCCGCTTTTTTTTTTTTTTTTTTTTTTTTTAAATAGCCAGAGTTTCCTTGGACCCCAATTTGCGATTCTGTCCCTGGGGAACGTTCGAAACTCTCAACGATACCTGGAAAATCCTCTCCTCAACGCAGGATCATACCCGTCAAAACCATTAGTTTCGCCGATATACAGGTAAGATGGTTATATTCTGACAGGTTGAAATGCTTGGAATAAGGGAAACAGTTTTTTTTTTTTTTTTTTTTTTTTTACTAATAGCCGATAAGGATACTAACAAAAGTTTTTTTTTTCTGTGTATGTGTTTGTTGCTTTGTTTATAGTTGGAGTTATTTATCGAACAGTTAAAAAGCTAACATTGAGTCATAATAAAGCATTGTGCCCTTCAAAGCCCCCTTATCCTTATGTTACTTTATGATGAATAGACATTATGTTGCGTTTGCTTTAAAGACGAGCAATCGGTATATACGTGTATTTTGTTGTTGAAAGAAGCAAAAGAGGGAAAAAGCAAAAAAAAAAAAAAAAAAAAAAAAAAATAGAACGAAAAGTGCTTATTCTACAAAAAGTGGATGAGGTAGCTCCTTTACTGGCTCCTTGGCTGGTTCGGGCCCTGAATCAGCTTTCTCTGCTACAGTTACTGCTGCAGCTATTCCGCTCTCGATGGAGACACTGCTTGCTGGAAGAGTGGTCGTCAGATCTGGCGTTGCTGAACGCTTTACTGTTGAGGAGTTCGACTTAGATGACAAATGAGAATGACGTGTATTGAAGGATGGTCTAGAGTTGGACGAAGAGGATGATGAGCCGTTTGGTGGTGATTTACGGGCTCCCTGTTGCCCAAGGTGTGCATAACTCTGATGTATCTCGTGCTCCAGAGTCAAGTCTGCAAGGCTATGTTTAGGACTTGAGGAAGCACTATGGGTTTGCGCATAAATGGCTTGTCCGCCCGAGATCGATCGCATCTCTCGATCAACAGTGGTTCGTCTGCTATTGCTACTGCTCCGACCTAGAGTCGCGGCCCTGTACTGGGGGCTTGCGGAGCTTGGCCGCATCTCTTTGAATGAAGAAGGAGAAGTCAAATCTTCGCCAAACGAGTTTGCGGATGATGCTCCAGAGACTGCAGTCGATGCATACCAAGTATCGCGAACATTCATTGTCAATCTATTGAAGGAATCCACAAGGCCACCGCTAAATGCCCCAGTGAGTGCTGCTGGAAATTTGGATGTGATGTTCTCAGCACTCTTTTGCCAGGAGTCCTCCCCTTCGATCGTTCCTGCCGTTGCAAAAGCTTCTGGACGTGCGGTAATATTTTTTGCTCCCGCCCGTGGTTGGCTTGTTATAGAGCCTGAACTAGCACCTAGAGGGTCAGAGCCTGTGAGAATGTCACCACCTATTGAGGCTATGGATTCTGCATAGTTTGCTTCCAATCCAAGCATCTCTGGAGTCATGCGCCCTGTCATAGGATTATTGATACTCATATTGTCATCTGGTGCATTCAACTCTTCATCTGTTCTCCCAAAGAGCTTAGCCCAGTATTTGATATTTTTGGAATCTGGAAACAATACTCCGCCATCACCAGCACGATCTTTATCAGCACTCGGTTGAAATGTCTTGCTCAAATACACATCCTTATCAGAGTTGATGAAGTCCCATACGGATGCACATTTGGTTGTAGCCATATATTGACGTCTTTCCCGTTCACAATTGAATAAAAAATTACCAAACTGGCAAGAGTAGACGTGGTAGTGAAGCTGCGTAAGGAAATACTCGTTGAACTCGAATCGAGTGGGATTTTGGTGCATGATCTGGAAGACACAGTCGAGAAATTGTTGAAAAACAGGGCTAGTCTCACGAATGTGTTTGTTGTTGTAGAACTTGCTCTGAACGTTCGCAAATGTGTTAGCAGCAGCATTAGTGGCAGAGAGTGCCACAAAATTTTTGTCATTGGAGAGATGACCACAACGATCCATAAATTTGTAGCCGAACGAACACCACTCCTTCTCGACCAACACCTGGAATCCTCGAAGAGTACGATAGAATGGGTCAAGACAGATCTGAGCCACCGATGTCAGCTGTGCTGTTCGATCCCAGCCATCAGAACAATGTACCAGGACGTGTGAGCTACTGACGTGGATATTTTTGACGATCATCAGCGCCCCTTCCATGATCGCCCCAATATGCTTTAACCATCCTGATCGCTGGAGTGACGCCTTTGAAACTGTGCCTTTTGTGTCGATTTCTTGCAACGCTATAAATAGCGAAGTGAGAAAAATATTAGTCAATCCGTAAATTTGCAATGATCAAGTTGTTACCGCGATGAGGCTTTCCAATTATTGAAAAGAGGGCCAATACCTTCAACAAGTTTGTTTAAACTATCACGCATGACATGAATGTTATCAATCCCAGAATAGACTTTTTTGCAATTCCTATAATTTTCCATGTTTTCCGTACCAGCTCCAACTGCGGTATTAGCGACAGCGTTTGCAGTTGGGCGTGCATCAATAATGAGGTTGGTTGCTGTACTCCCATATACTTGATGTCCCGGAGGAGATTGAGGAGTATTGGTCAGAAAAATTGCTTCAATGAGCTTCTCATCCTGTATAGAGCGGTTCTGTTTGAGGCCAACCATTGGCTGGCTTGACCTAGTGATAGAAGCCTTGATTGGCGTAATGTTTTTACGCTTAGCCAATCGCTCTGTAAGGAGTACACTACAATCCTTTCCTGGTATCCATGGTGGTTTGGAACTGTTTTTTTTTTTTTTTTTTTTTTTTTCTTAAAAAAATCGCGATGCTGTTTATCTCACCATGTTATTCCAGTGTAGATAGCTTAATGCTGGAATCCTGGCCTTGCTTCTGTGCTTGGCAGCGTAAGTCAGAACGGCATCACTGATTTTTGAAGGTACCACAAGTACACGCGGGTATGTTGGTGAAAACTGCGAAGGACATTCAAAGTAATGTGGACGAATTGGCTCAGTATCAGTTCATTTCATTTCATTTACTCAAATGAAACTCTGTTGAGCTTACAGTGAAGGTTTTGTTAAGGTCGGAGAAGCGCCATTGCTCGTTCCTTGAAGACACACCCATACGCTCATATTCCACTAATGGGTCGTAGATTTGCCAACCATCTTTTGTGGAGAATGGAGGTGAAGGTGTGTAGACAAATGCATACAGCTGTTCAACTGAGCCTATGAGTACATGGAAAAATAAGAAAAAAATAAAATTTAGTGGTGAAGAAAATGACGACTCTCGGACGAAGCCAGGTTCTGTAGTTTATGGGCTTGTGAATGATAAAAGTTTACTTACTAACACATGTCAGACGTTGTATGCTCTCGTACACATCCGTAACGTCTCTCTCTGTCTGGAAGTTGAGTGTGATGAAGACAAAATTATAGCACCGAATATGGAGTGGCCAAGTATTGTGTACTGTAGGAAGACTCTTTTCGACAGTGTGAATGGTCGGATAAGATATCTATCGAGCACTCCACGTATTGCATATCAAACAGTTAATAATGACTTTAGCACAGGGAGCTTTGCTCGATTCAAACAGCATGCATTCATGCATTCTTTTTTTTTTTTATTTTTTTTTTATATTTTATTTTTGTAGTGTCCCATTCTTCCTTTTGTCCAAGTTGAGCTTACCCAGATCTCCAGCTCCGGATGTCCAAAAATCAGGTGGTGGGGCATTAAATGTAGACTCCCGATATATGTCGCCTGTCCTTTTTCGAGTTGAACTCCATTGACCTGTTGCACATTTATTTTGTTTTTTACATGGTGAAAATGTTTGTTAATACATTGTTATACAAAATAACGATCACGAGTATTACTTTGCGTCCTTGAACGAATCAATTATAAAAAGTGACAAGCATTGAATGGGAATGAATAAGAATTGAATGTGTAGTATTAGCTTTACCTTTGCGACCTTGATAAGGTCCATAGCGTCTGGTTTATCCAGTAATGCGTTTCTGTGCATGGTATAATAAAATAAGGATGTATTTGTAGGAGATTTTTTTTTTTTTTTTTTTTTTTAGTTTTGGGAAAGGAGGAGCTAAAAGGAAAGGAAATGAAGTGAAGTGGAATGAAATGAAGAAAATGAAGAAATGAAATGCAATGAAGTGAGATGAAGACAACAGCTTGGTCCCTCCTTCGTTTTTTTTTTTTTTTTTTTCCTGGGGTGGTCGTATGGGACAGTTACAAGTTCAAAGAGGAGACGTCGTTTTTCTACAATTAACACGTCCAACAATTTCTTTTTGTTTTGTCACACTTGTGCAGATGTACAGGTGCATGTACGCACACAATCTACCATATCCATCCAAAATGACACTTTTCCTTCTTTCCACTCTATCATGTAACAGTGTAATACATGCACAACACTTTAGAGTAAGAGACAGAACAGGAGTATGGCTGCAAAACACCTTCACAAGTAACAAGCCAAGTCAAAAGGCACATGGGGTCACGCTGCACTGCACTTCTTTTTTCTTTTGTGTGTAACCCAGAATAAGAAAAAGCCAAGGAATTTGAAAACGTGTAAAAAGCGTCATCTGTTCAGCTTCCCTTACGACCAACGTCTATTCTACATTTGTAATTTCATGCCAGCCAATGCAACCAATACAACTAATGCAGCTAATGCAACCAATCCAACCCATCCAACTCCATCCCTCCTTAGGCCTTCATCCTCTCCTCAACAGCACCAACACCAACAAGCTCCACAACGTTCCGTGACAATATCACGCCGCCAATTCGGCCCTGTTCCTGTTTCTGCTTTACAAGCTGCATCCTCCCCTAATCTTGTCCCCACCAATACTGCAAATCGACATTCAACTCCAACTTCGTCACAACCAGAACCACAACCCCCAAAGTCACCACAATCAACCCCTATTTCAACTTCTCCTGCTCCACAAAATCCAAATTATAACATTAGTTTTCTCAATGGAACAGCTGCACCAACTGTAGCCTGTCCTATCTGTAGTATCACACTAAGAAACCTTGCACAGCTGAACCATCATCTCGATACGATCCATCCTGAGGAGCCTGACGATGTAAAGTCAGCTGTTAGTCAATTCTTCAGGAATGCACAAAAGGTTTTTAACCCTATCACCAAATCTGCTACAACCACACTAAGGAAAATTCAGGATTTGGATCTGGACTCTGCAGCATCCGGTAGTAGCCTTGCTGGCCCTCCGCCCCCTGGAGGGTTCCAAGGATGGACCGATCCACGAGCAGAAGCTATTGTCACAAAACGTCACTGGGTCCGAGAATCAGATCAAGATGAATGTTTCCATCCTAGTTGTGAAAAGAGACTCGGTATCCGATATGGACGCCAGCACTGTCGGAGGTATTACAATGGAGATTTTATTTTTTATTCTTTATTTTCGTCCTGGCTGGATTGACAAAGATCTTTTTATTTTATTTCTTTCAATCGACACTTACTTTTAGATGTGGCAACATGTTTTGTGAGAGCCATTCATCTTTTCAGATCAAACTTAATGCACAGGCGAAGCATGATCCAAACGGGCTATGGTGCAGGGTGTGTGAGGCTTGCTATTTGATTGCCAAAAAAGAAGAGGATGGCATGGACTCAGGAGGTAAAAATATCATCAATAAAAAAAATATTCACTGGCTTAAATCTCATGCTTATAAAATTCATGAAAAGGCTTTCTAATGTTCCTTTTTTTTTATGCACTAAAACCACGTTGGATTTCATTGGATATATCAGGAGTGCAGCGCAATTTGACGAAACAGTTTTTGAGTATTCGGATAAAAAATACAGAGAAGAAACAGTTGGAGGTCAATCGACTGGAAAAGAGGATTGAAAAGCTAGCACAGATCCATCGACAATATGATAGTGGAGCATCATCATCCCCAACTCTATCTGGATCGCCTACATCCACCATCTCATCCATATCATCTGGAGCAGGCTCTGTACGTGCCAAAGGCCTACTTCGTTCCGTCACGTCGCGCGGACAGAACTTGAAAGGTTTGTTCAGAGTACCAATTTAGATCTATCTATGCTTGTTCGCTTGAAGGATGAAACCTTTGATCCCTTATCACTTTCAATAATCAAAAATTCATTCAAACTTAGGCGCTGAGCAAACGGTTGTCAATTGGGAGGACGACTCAGCAGTTCCTGCATGTTATATATGCTTGTATGCCAATAGCAATAGGAATTCATTGATCGCTTGACTATGCAGTTGATAATAAGGATATATACTCACTAACTAGTGCACATTTTGGTTTGATCTCCTCAGATCGGTGTTTACTCGATATGGCAACAGGAAGCACCACTGTCGACTATGTGGACGTGTTATTTGTGATAATTGCTCAAAGGCTATACCACTGTATCTGAACATGTCAACTTGTAAGCGAGTATTATATGGATGGTTGCCCACTTTATTTTATTTTGTGTATCTATTAATATATAGCGTAATTTACAAACCGCTTCTTTATTCTTAGACCCTGATAGTTCTGGCCCTACTGGACAAACCAGAGCATGTAAGGAATGCGTACACATTGTCTTCAAGCGACGGGAGCATGCAGCGGATCAAAAGCGACCGAGTGCTGTCCTCAAATATTATGAATCCTTAATGCGGCTTAAGGCTAGGATCGATGTTGCATTGCCTCGGTTTCAGGAGATGATTTCAGCTCTTGGGTAAGTGATATCTTTTATGGTATGGGGACAGTCCTCCATTTCTTTCGGATACGATCATAATTTGTGAATATTCATTGTATTTATTAAATGCTATGTGTTTCCCATAAATATGTTGCATATTTAGCCATAAAGTAGATATGCACCAAGCTCATCCGGATTATCAGCTTGCAGCAAAGACCAGGAAGGAACTCTTGGATGATTTCGCGCTTTTTGACTCTATCAGTAAAAAGATCGCCAAGATGCCTGCACACACTCAGCATCAGAAGCAGCTTTACAACAATCTTTACTGGTGGGCAACACAGTATTTGCAGACGAATATGTTTCCATTGTCAGTGATTCCCAAAGTGTTTGGCAACGGAGGCAAAGACGTGAAGCAGAAACAACTTTTAAGTGCATCACCTTCTCGATCATCATCTTCATCCCCCTCGCCTTCTATTTCATCATTGTTGCCTGAAACAACACCTCAGGATAATGAGGCTGCGATCGAGAGCCTTGCACTGATATCGGTGATGGAGGAGCAGCGGCGGCAGATTGAATCGTACATTGAGGAGGCAACGCGTAAACGACGGTTCGATGATGTAAAATCCCTTCAGATCAGTCTAGAAGAACTTGATAGAGAAATAGCAGCGATCCGTTCAGGAAAAAAACGCACGTTCTGAATGAATCATCCTATGCCAAAAATTAAAAAATCCAACCGAAAGTTTGAAACCTTAAAATTTAAGGCTGTCCATTGTGAAAAAGGATATGACCAACTGCAACTTTTTAAAAAGATCATTCCATATCCATTAATCCATCCATTCGACATTCAACAAATACATTTTGTTACATTGGTGGGAGCAAAATTGGGCAAAATTCTGCGGAAAGTTCAATCACAGGAGTAGGGCTTCGTCATCATGAGCACCTCCAGCGACGGACATCGGACGGTGCGATCGGATGACCACCATGTACTCCGTAAGCTCTTTCTCATCTTATGCTAATGAAGCACCAGCAAGGTTTTTTCTTTTTTAAAAATAATAGTAAAAAAATAAAAATAAAAAGCATGAATCTTCGAATGAAGGAGGCAAACTAACATTGTCGTTATAATACAATCTTGACTCGGATACCATTTGACTGGGATATATTTTCCGTGGAGGGATGCAGGACAGAAATACAAATCCGTCAAGTACAAGCTGAGTCAAATGGAGGAACAGGTATCTTAATCTTGAAGTAATAATAACAACAATAATAGTAACAACACTCATAATAACATTCATAATAAAGACTAATACCTTTTGGGGCGTATTCTTGGACTCTTCTTGATATATTTATTTTCTTCAAGCTCGACGATGTTCACGATGAGCGTAATCACCTTCAGGAAGTAAGTGTTCATGTTCATTTATCCTTCGCCGAGCACTTCCAATATAACGGCATCTTTGATATTCTTCTCGAGACGCTATCGCATCCACTAACATTTGTTTGGTATTTTTTTTATTTTTGAATGTTAGATAAACGATGAGCTTCATTCTCGTCTTTCTAGTAAAGAGAAGGAGCTAGTGCATACACGTAACTTACTGGAGAGCAATCGGAATCATGGTATTTATGAGCTCTGAAAAAAAAAAAGAAAACAGGCTTGATGATCGATAATCAACTATACAATTCATAGTTCTTTTGGCTAATCATCTATACTTTATTTATTTATTTACATTCAATGGCAATGACGGCCACCTTGCAGGAATGAAAATGGGTGAGGATGGCAAGGAAAACACACAGGCGTTTGGGGATTTCAAAAAAATCCTTTGTTTCATAGAGGATTCTCTCAGCTTTATTCCCCCAGTACCCGAGCATGAGAATCAGCTTTTAGGGCGAATTGCCACAATCATGACACATTTACGGAGTAAGGAAGAACAAATAGTCAACCTCACGAGGGCTAATCAACAGGTATTGAGAAGAAAAGAAGATGTTACTTTTTTATGGTTCCTATGTTTGTTGTAGTCCATACGAGTTTTAATTTTTTTTTTTTGCTTTATCAAACTCAAGTTAACACAACAGATCGAGAGAAGAGCTGAGGACAATGGTGCACAGCCAGACAAGCCACCGCGGGAAAAAGTGGAGGCAGTCCTCACGCGAGTCATGCAACAGCATGAAATTACAGTCGCCAAACTACAGTCTGAACTAGAATCCGCTAAAAAACAACTTGAACTTACGAGAAACATTGATCCACGCAATACACGGGAAACCCTTGAGGCTAACCTGAGCGACGCACGGACACAGATCCAGGATTTGCAAGGAGCACTCGCACGAGCGGAGCGCGGCAAGAGCGCGGCTATGGCAAGTAAGGATCAAAAGGCCCTTGAGGTGCAAAGACTGCAAAGGGAGGTCGATGATATGCGGAAGAACACCAAGGCGAAGCAATATCAGATCGAAAAACTGTTAAAGGAATTGGCTGAGATGAAGGATCTCTATAACAATGCCAAAACTCGATCGCTAGTTGAGGACATCGACAAAATCCAAAAGTTAACAGCGAGATTAAAGGACGCGGAGAGCCAGATATACAAGGCTAAAAAGGCAGCCTTGGAAAAGCAAGAAGAACTTTCATCACTCCAGTCAAAGTATGAAAAGCTACAAGATGAGAAGAACGGATACCTGAAAAAGCAAGGATTGCTACAGGAGGAGCTTGCGGCTAAGGATCTGGAATTAGCAAATGCTCGTTCGACTTCAGCAGGGTTTGATTCTTCTGTAAGGTCTGCAGAACGGGAACGCGATGCTGCTGTGAAACAAGCTTTGCGAGAAGCGGCTGATTGGAGTGCAAAACTGCAGTCGTCACAATACACCATCTCTAGTCTAACTAGTGAACGCGACTTTTTGATGAGCGCACTAGCGATGGCGGAAGAGCAACTTGCAGAACAAGCGTCACAAAAACAACAAGAGTCAAGTCAATCTCAACAAAAGGACAACCTTGTGGCTTCGCTTCAATTTAAACTCGAATCTGCAGAAGGAAAGATCCAGGCGCTACTGGAGCGTCAATCGGCTGATCGTCAACTTTTGGACGATCATCAACAAAAGATTCGTTTCCACGAACAAAGGATCGCAGCATTACAAGTAAAAGCGGAGGAAGCTAATATCGCAAAGAGGAGAAGATCAGGTGAGCTTGGACAATTCTATCAGATTTTGGATGCAATCAATGAGAATTCAGAAAACATTACAGCAGTACCGACGACTCGAAGTCTTGATGACGATCTTAAGAGAACTCAGGTTAAAGCTGAGGACGGAAGTGGAATACCAAGTGGGCCTCCTGATTCCAAGGCATGGCATCAGGCGTCAGTGCAGATACAACAAATGATAGGGAGCGGGCTAGAAGAAAAAAAGTTGGAAAAAAATGTACTTATTGATCAGATGCGTCAACAAGAATCCAAGATTGTTGATTTAGAGAAGAAACTTGAAGAAGAGAAGGAAGCGCAGGCGAGAGTACCAGAAATGGGCGCAACGTTGACCATTGAGGAAGAGGAGGAGCTGAGATCAGACTTAATTCGCGCACTAAACAGGATTGATGCATTGGAAGAACAGCTAGCGTCACTCGAAGAGGACTTCTCGAAGATGACCCAAGTCCACAGCAATGTGTGCACTGATTATGAAGAGAAGAAACAGACGATTTCGACATTGATGCATGATGTGACGTGCAAGGAAGGGAAGATTGCCACGCTTGAGAGAGATCTTATGCGTCGAAAGCAGGATTTGGCAGTCAAGACAGCAGAGTTGGTTGATTGCAGGACTAAGCTGCAGGAGCAAGAGTTACGCGCTAATTTGCTAGAGGAAGAGGGCAAGAGCCTCCGAAATCGGGTAGCAGAACTTGAAAAGATCAAGGCAGAGCAATTGGAACAGCTGGATGGGCGTGAGAGGGCTCTAAAGCGTTTAGAAGAAGCTCGCAAGTTATACGGACAGGTGGACAAGTCGACTATTGATCGATTGAAAGAAGAAAAGGCGGCCAATGAGAAGCTAGTACTAGCAGAGCTGAAGAGACTAAAAGTACAGCACGAGGAAGAATTACAAAAGACTGTGACCGAGTGTTCGGAGAGCCTTACACTCGCACAGACGAGCCATGACCGTATCATGGAGTCATGGCAGAGTGAGGTAGCTGATGTCCAGCGCCAGCTACGCGAGCAACAGGCCCATGTAGAGGAGCTGGAGCAGGAAGTAGTCAGAATGGCTCAGGAGATAGATGAGCGGAATGTAGTGATCACGGGCTACATGGCCTTGGTGACGGACAAAGATGGTAATAAGAAACGATGTTTGTCTTTTTTTGTACATTTCTCTAGAGCCGCTTTGCTGACTAAACTTTCCTGTACTTCGACGTCTTTCGCTTTACACCTGTAGACCAGAACATGCTTCAAGAAGGGTCCGAACTGTTCCAGAGTCTCCTTAAGCAGTACCAGAATGTCATGCAACAAAAACAAGCGCTCGCTGCAGCCATGCAGGATCAACATAGCATTATGGAACGATATAATGCAAACATGGAGGACCTTGCGAACCGCGGTCAGATGTATCTGCGCCAAGGTCAAGAACGTGAGCTAGAACTAGCATCTGAAAAGAAGGCACGGCTCAAGGAGCAACAGGAGTACAAACAGCAGCTTGCAGCAAAAGATGCAGCCATCGAAGCATTAGGGCAAGAGTTGAAGGAAAAGACAAATGCTTCGTCGCAAAAGGAAGTATCACACAGGAATAGGAGCACATCACCTTTGGCCCAAGCTAATGACTTTTAACTTGCTTTCTTTTTTATCTTCACTATAATCATCATGGCCATCATTATGGTCTTTTCTTTTCATATTGTATTTCTATGCTTCTGAATCAATCTTTTCGCTTTCTATTTTCTATGCGCTACCAAATGTACTATAGTTTTTTTTTTTTTTTTTTTTTCCAATCCTTTCATCTGTTTTGCCTTTGATTTAAAAGAGATGGGAATTACTGAACGTCATGCTAAATAACACTTTTATTAAAAGTTAAAAAAGGTGACTGAGATGTGGTATCATTCGTGTAATAATGGGATAGGGGAATCTTCTCGAAGGGATGTCAAAAGTTCCTGGGCTTTTGTAGCCGACACGGATGGTGTATTCTGATCCACGCGATTCTTGCGCCGTCTATCGCGCCTTGACGCTTCATTGTCGCCTCCATTTCGAAGAGTTTCTAGCAGGCTGTCCATCATACCCTTATCATCATTACCACCTTCAGGATCATTAGAGCCTAAAATAATAATATAGAAAATAGCTTGTGAGTATTCAAAGTCCCATCTAGTCTCGGCTCCATCCTGAGTCGAAAAAGTGTCGTCACACGAATTTCAGTTTTTCCTTTTTTAGGTCAAACATCATTCTTTTTTCTCCTCAGACTGGATAGGTAGGTTCGAATCCAGTTAGAGAGGGAAGCTTGCATCTAAACGTGCAAGCTTCCTCTCTGACTGGATTCGAGCCTAGAGGAAAGCAGAATCCCTGGGTATAAGAAAGAAAAATGCTTGTTTTGTATATACCTTCGCCTTGGACTTTAATTCTATTCTTCTTGACCGCCATTTGTTCTTGTCTGGCTTTGGCTGCTGTCTTGGCCTTTTCTCTTTGGGCTTGCTTCTCTTGCTGCTTTTGATTATCCTCTCTGGCCTTCTCGAACGACGTAGAAAATGTCTTGAAGATTCCAAAGAACTCATCAGGTTTCATATTAGTAGAGTCCTCGCCATAGAACTTGACGCATTGCTTATAGGCAGCCTCCATATCCAACATTGAAGTCTCTGCCTTCTGGAAGGCCTTCTCGGCCGACTCCATGAACGGATGCATCACTTCAAAGAATCGATCTTCAGGTGTACTCTTGTAGCCATTCAAGTAGTGTGTATTCAACTCTGCCTTGATTTCCTTGATCTTGGTCTTGAGGTAGTTGAAATCCACTTGCAGATCCGGCAGGGAGACTGGAAGTCATTTAGGGCAAAAAAAAAAAAAAAAAAAAAAAAAAAATTGGAGGGGAACTTAGTTATCCATTCTTTTCCTTCCCCTTTTCTTTCTTTGTTCTTATATCTTCGCCCTTACCGTTGCACGCAGCTCCACAAGGAGCAATTTCCTCGCGATAGCTCAAAATTTCAGGCAACGTGTTTTCGGTGATATTGGTCAAAAAATGAAGCAAAGTCATGTTGGGCGCGTTTGATGCCTTGGTGTCAACCAGCTAATGTTATGATGTATTAATATACGATTTACCAGAACTTTGCCAAAAAAAAAAAAAAAAAAAGCTTTTTGAAGGAAAAGAGCGATGATAAACTCAAGTCAGGCTACCTTATTAATGCTTGCAATTTTGAAGCCAAAGGCTCCTCCATTATGATTATTGCCGTTCATATAGTTTCCAAGCATAAGGATCAAATTAAGAAGCTCTTTGAAATGCTTGGCATTCCTCAGACTCTCAGATGCCATGGTAATTGCAGCGATAGACTTTGATCGTCATGAAATATATGCATTTGTAGTTTGGAGTTAATATTATCATTCACATAGCTTTTTTTTTTTTTTTTTTTTTTTTTTTTTTAAATATATATATATATATATATTTACCTCATTCACACCGTCAATAAGCGACGAAAATGTGACCTTGAACTTGAGGGCTTCCAATCGTTGCTGATATCGCTCAACCTTGAGCATCTCCACAAAGAATGCCTCGGGCCTACCAAGTGTCATTTTGACCTCTTCAGCTGCATCCTTGTATTCCAACAATTTGCCAGTCTAATACAAAAAATAGATATCGAATGTTAAGTCCAAGTCAATGGTGATAATAATGATACGTTAATTAAACCTATGGTCAGAGAAGTATCCATTCTTTTTTTTTTTTTTTTTTTTTTTTTTTTTTTTACCTCCACAGCATCAGGGACAAACTTTAGCAAGTTGCTCAATTGAACAAGAGTCATAAATTCTTCATCCATGCGCAAAATTGCACGTCGAATTTCTGAGTAAGTATGCTTCATTCCCCCCAGCATGATATTGACTTGGTAAGCACGACGTTGGTCCAAAATACAGATCTCTTGAGCCTTTTTCGATGCGCGTGGCTCTATTGAGAACAAATATATATATATATATTAGAGGACCTGACGTGGAAAAAGGAACTTTATACCCCTTGATAGACATAAAAGTGTTATCCATTCTTTCACCTTTATATTCAGCCACCTTAGCTACGAAGAGTTGTTCCATTGTTCCAAAGACTCCACTCTCACCTAGTGCCTTTTGTAGTGCATTCTCATCCACTCCGCCCGAACCCCAGACAGTATTGTCCACGTTCATGTAATTGATCTTGTCCCACTGGAGAGCCTTCAATTTGATGGCTGCCGTGGCGCCCTCCTTCTTCTTGTTCATGCTGACCATCCCTCCAAGCGGAGGCGGTCCACTGCCGGGTGGTGGAGGTGGGCCTTTCATGCCTGGAGGCGGGGGAGGGGGAGGGGGACCGCCCGCTTTGCCAGATGGTGGTGGTGGGGGAGGAGGAGGGGGAGGGGGAGGGGGTCCTCCTGCCTTGGGCGGCTGACCATTCACAGCTGGTTTGGGCGATACAGGTGCTGATGGGTTGGAGGATCCAAGCTTCTTCTTCTTGGCTGCTAACATTGCTGCCAAGCTTCCCACTGGTGGTTCGTCGTCATCCGAGTCATTTTCATTACCATCGCCACCATCTGGAGCTTTGTTTCCTTTAAAGGCCATGCTATTAAGTAAACCTCCTAGGCCACCTGCAGACGCTGGTGGAGGTGGAGGTGGGGGTGGAGGCGGAGGTGGGGGCCCACCAAGTCCAGTAGGTATTATTCCAGACATTGCTACTTCTCCAGTAGTTGCTGGAACTAAAGCCTCTGTAGTCGTTGATGAGCCTTTGCCTAAAAGAGGGGGCGCAAAGAATAGGAACAATAATGAGCACACCTAATCATATCTACGTGCTTCGAGATAAGAAGAATAGCAGTGGTGTTCTACCTTTAGAGGCCCTCTTGTCTTTACCAGAAGCAATAATACTGGTCAGCAGCTCTGGTGGTAACTTCGCCTGACCCATGTATTGGTATGCGTTCATCTTCTCCAGATCTTTTGATAACTCTGGGTCAGGTGGCGCCATGGATTCAGGTAGATGGTTACCATAGCGTTTCTGCAGGATGGCGCCCTCAAGCTTAGTCTGCTCAATTAACTGCCGGAGTTTGTCTTTGTCGATCACGGGCAATTCGCCATCCCCCTTGCCATTGTTGCCTCCGCCACTGGTACCAAATGACACACCTATAGGCATTCCTGCTTCTGCCATCAACTTATTTGAGTCCTGAAGAGACTTCAACAAATGTTTTAGCTGTGCATCCTGAATTGCCAGTTTCTTCTGTGTTTGAAGCTCAACATCATTGAGTTTGGCCTGCAATGTCTGAATGGTATGCCGAGAGAGTCGAAGAAGATCTTCAAGCGAATGAATGTTGGCTTTGAGCTGTGAGACCATACCATCTGTCGTAACAAACAACGATAGAAATGAGTTTTTAGATTCATTTTGCTCATTTTAAAACATAAGGTGCCGTATTCTTTTTTTTTTTTTTTTTTTTTTTTTTTATTTCCTTACCGTCCTTCTGCCCAACTTCTAACTCAAGTTCATTCTTTCGGCGTGTGACGATTTCCAATTCCTGTCTCGCAACCTTAGCATCCTCGAGTGCGTGGGCCAAGCGATCCTGATCTATTAGTTTGCTTACAAGCTGATTCACAGAGATACCAAGCTTTTTATCAAAGTTATCAGTGATGCCTCGTCGATCGAGAACAATGTTGGTAACAACTGAATCCATCAATTGGAAGTATCGGATTCTATTTTTTTTTTAAAAAAAAAAAATAAAAAAAAAAAAAGTTAAGAACTGATAAAGGATGCCTGTTACAACTGCAGTAGCAGTTTTCGAACCATGCATATTATTTTTTAATGGTATACAAAGCATCGATTTACCTCAGATCTCCTTCCTCACGAATTAGAAGCATGTGTTGAAGAAGAGACAAGAAAAAGTCGTACGCTCTACTGCTTTCTACAGAGCGAAGTAAGGCCTGAAAGACATCATAGGGATCCGACATATCATGAAGAATCCGATGGTTGTAAAACTCGACCATGTCTTCATGATCATTCTCAGCTTCGTCTTCAAAGATATTAAGTTGCCTGTCAATCAAGTCATGATTTAAAGTCCTCATTTTCTAACAGTTTTTTTTTTTTTTTTTTTTTTTTTTTACCGGTGATTAATAGAAAAGGCTTAGTTAGTTTCTACGACCGAAGGCAGATTTTTCCTTTGACACTATGCCTTAAGTGATATTTACAGAAATGATACGGGTTAATCCACTTGTAGTTAACTGGCTTCTGAGATTCATTCGTAGCTCGATGTCATCTACTACTTGAAGGAGCGCATTGATAAATACGACATTTGAGAGCTATGGAATCATGAGGATTGAATAACACCATTCTCGAGTTAACATTATTAATGTGATTCAGAAACAAAAAATTTTCAAAAACGAAAATTGAAACAAGTCTACTTTTTTTTTTTTTTCATCCATCAAAACTATTAATTTGTCTCATACCACGTATTCAATCAGATGACTGTCCAGAGTCCCTGCCTTCTTCAAATCTTCACTCATGCCGACCATCGTGCCAAATCGACCACGTCCATCGATCGTGTTTTCGAGAATACGCATCCATGCATCAAATCGTGCGCTCTCCTTCCAGTACTCCATTACTTGATCAAGACCCTCAAGAACCAATTTATGGCCCATAGGAACTTCACAATAACACAAAAACGTCAGTACCTCAACTACGAGCTTTCTGGTCTGAAGTTGTGGTGATGTGATCGAAAAACACAGTGAAGTGATGCATAGGGACTGTTTTATGGCTTCCTGCGCACCCCAACGATTATTCAGCAGCGCCTTCAAGCATTTCACAATCTCCAGTTCCATAGCTAGATCAGCATCGCGTCTATTAGACCGTAATGAATTGAGCTTTAATACTATATTCACAAGAAGAAAAGTTCAAAAATAAAATAAGATAGAAATAATAATAATAATAATAATAAAAAAAGCTAACCTTGCAGGGCGACAGTTGAGGGAAGAAAGAGCGTTGCAGAGTGCTTGTTGGCCACGATTCTGAATGAACGTCCGGACCCATCTTTCGGAAATTTTTAAAAGACCAAATCCGGTTAGAATTTTTTTTTTTTTTTTTTTTTCATATTAATGCAGCACAGCCACAGATAAAAAAAAGGTACATACGAAATAGGCTGAGATTTGAGTGACACAAAGAGTGCCAGTAAAAACTTGGAGTCTGTATTCTTTAGATCGACATCAGACTGTAGTTTGCGCACAAAGTACTCTGCCGATGACTTGTCAATAAAACCTTCTTCTCTCTTCTTGGCCTACATTGTTAAAGAGTAAAATGGAATGAATAAGTCTACTAATTTTTATTGCTAAAAAAAAAAATAAAGGCTTGCCATTCAAATTTTTATTTGTCCCTTTTTCAGCTAATACGTCTGATCAGTTAAAAAAAAAAAAGTAAGATTATGAGGTTGTTTACTTGTTGTGTATTTTACCTTGGACTGTTCTTGTGATTCATGTTGGAAAATAAGTTTCCACTTTTTCTCAACGCTTAGACCAATCATGACTTTGCGCTGTTCTAGTTCGTGCATGCCCAAGTTATTCTATTATCATCGTCATCATTTGATTCAGCAACGTATTAGAATCGATTAACAGAATAAAAAATGGAAGCAATAACAGATCATCCATAACATCTAAACTCTTGGTCAACAAGAGTCGGTGACGCGTCTTTCAGAAAGTCAATAGCAGAAAGCTTTTTTTTTTTTTTTCTTTCAGTCAATTAGTTTAGCTCCACCCTTACTCACCATAAAATCTAGGAATCGATCTTCAATCTCTTGGTCTGTTTGCGGACGCGCTAGTGAGATGGTATCTGCTCGACCAGTGTCACTGACAGAGTTGGATGATCTGTGAGAGCGGATGGAGTGAGTGTCATGATTGGGATGGCTGTGGTTGCTATTGTTATTGTATGAGCTAGAGCGATCCATGGAGGAGGAGGCCCTTTGGTGACCGAAAGAAAAAGAAGAGATCAAGCTTGGCTTTCCGGATGATGTGGGGATCGCAGTGGTTGTCGGATAGTGGGAAGACTGACTGCGCCCGGGTAATGAAGCGTTACTATTATTACTGTTATTGCTACTATTACTCTTGGAGATGAAAGTGTTGCTGATGTTACTATAAGATGCAGATAAAGGAGCTGGCGAGTAGGACGAGCGAGAAGAATAGGAAGAAGATGATGAGGTGTAGGTAAGTGGACGAGTGGAATAATCTAAGGAATGCCCTCTTGAAAATTCCTTGATGCCGTTATTATTAGTAGTGTTACTGAGACTATTATCACAACTACCAGCATCAACGTTGATGTTACCAATAGATTGAGTGCCACTATTGGTATTGCTTTGGTTTGAATGGGTATATTGAGCAGATTGAACTGATCCACTGGGGCCACTACCGGTATAAGTGGTACGTGGAGTGTACTGCTGATAGGTCTGATCGGTGCTAACCCTTGGTTGATATGTAGTCCTAGGGACAAAGGGAACTGGGGTGTGATGCGGTAAGGAAAGACCACCTCCAGACGGTACTTGGGCGGCGTTAGATGAATTAACGTTGACGGCAGCAGCAACAATCGAGGAGCTTTGAGAGGAAGATGATGTGGATATAGGGGCGGCGGATGAAACGGAAGAGGCAGTGGAGGAAGAAGAAGTCCTTGAGGACGACTTTTTCTTGCCCAGGATCTTCTCCATGGCAGATCGAATTGATGGAAGGTGGCAAGACCAAATGGAGCAGTGGGATTGGGAATCAAATGACTCTAGTAATCAATGCTCAGGGCAAGGTGGAAGAATCACAGAATGAGAGGTATAGTTCGATAAAGAGAAAGGTTGACGGACAGACACTTAGGCAATATTGATTTGAAATAGCAATGATGGCGACGACAAACGCATGAGCAATGGCGCTTTTGCCCTGGCGCTCAGCATCGCAATCGCAGCCAGTGGGGCTTCTTTCCCGCAGTGCAAATGATGTGCCAGGCATACTAAGAATACCATGTCTAGACTCGTCGTAGCAATTAACATCAGCGCCCAACCACAGTTTGAGGTGGCGATGTTGGGCTATGCTTCGCTCTGCGCGTGGTGTTACGATCTTATGGCACATTTATGAAAAAGGAGCCTGTGAGGTTATTCCCAATATCTTATGATGGCATCCACTGTCAACTTTTCAGCGATTGAAGAACCAGCAATCGTTGAAGAGTTGACCCTTAGATGAATACACGATGAGATTAAAAGATTGTCCCCAACAGTCTTGAAAAGCTAGTACCGAAACCACTGCGATTTCTTTAAGTCTGCTAGTTTTAACACACACACGGACGCATTACTAACTTTCGGTAGTGAAAGTGTTTTGCTGCTGACTTCAAGACATAAGATGTGGAAGGTACTTCATAAGGATCAATATACATATATATCATTGGCAACAAAGGGGCTGTAGAAAAGTAGACGGTAAAGGAGGTGGAGGACTAATAAGAAATGGAGGACAGAGGTGGTTCCAGCAATTCAAAGACTTTAATTTGGTGCTGCTCAACCAACATTGAAATTGTTCTATTCCTCCGTCACTGAAATGTTTGATTGGTGGTGGTGCTCACTCCATTCTCAAGGAATTAAACAATACAGAGACCCTACTGCTTATTGCTATAATATCATGCAAAACTGCTTGCGTGTTTTATTTTTTTTCACTATCCCAGCGGCGACTTTGTATTCTTTGATCTTGGTAATTGGGCTGCTGGCTTTGAAGAACATTATCAATCATCAATATCGTGATATTGACATCAGAATTATGACTAGTCATTTGAGCAGTTATAGGGGTACTAATTCGAATATTCAACTCTTTGCAATCCCTTGGTTCCTATCAGACCTGACAGCTTTTATTAAAGCACATGGTCCCTCGATGCTACAATACGTATATTGTAAAACAAGCTTTCTCCCTGCACCAGATACACTAATACGCGAAACTGAATGATCCTCCACTTTTTTATTTATCTATTTACTACCTTAACGAGGACTTGCCGCACCACCGTGGATGTTGGCTGCATTATATCCTTTGATTTTGTTAGAAGAACTGCTAGCTTAGGATAAAATGATCCATTACTATTATTGAATATTGGTAAGAGAAGTATACCTAGTCATTTAGTTCTGGAAGTGAAGATCTGGTAAACCAATCCTTTGTTTTCTATTAACTCTGGCCCGCTTATATAAAAGCCCATGTTCCATAGATATTCCAATAGGTGTATCGTAGAGCAAGCTTACTCCTTGAGGTAGACTGAAAAATAAGAGTTGCGTTAAATCATGTTACTTTTGCATTATTTTTCATTTGGTAAATCAACCAATAATACCCTGCCTGGGAAAGATAGTTCAGGCTTCGAGCTATCGAATACTATGACGTTAAGCAATAACGTCGAGTAACGAAGCGTTGACTATAAAATACCCGTAGTTCGCTTTGGCACCATAGTCAATTTGATAGGAGTTATATGTCTCAACTTGATATTGGCTTTAGATGGAAAGTTGATGATCTGAAATTTAAGTATATGGCCCGGCGCCACATCCCCTACAAAAGCTGATACTTAGGTCATAAAGTTAGACTGCTGCTGTCGATATCCAATATCAAAACCAAAAATGCCATATGGTTTTTAACGCTTCTAACATTGCATACCAGCCTCAGGGAGAAAGCTTGTTCTACAATGCATGTAGTGAAGCATCTATGGAGCAAGGGCCTTTATATAGGCGGGTCAGGGCTGATAGGAAGCAAAGGATTGATTTGTCCGACTTGCACTTCCAGAACTGAGTAAATAGCTAGGTATACTTTCCTTACCAATATCACAATAACGGTGATAGACCATATCCCTAAGCTAGCAGTTCTTCCACCAAGCTCAAAGGATACCATTCAGCCACCGTCTATTGCAATGTGACAAGTCCTCGTTGAGATATTAAAAGATTTACTCAATTTTGCGTGCTGGTGTATCAGGGTATACGGCCCATTACAATGAAGGCGGGGATGGTGAGAGGTTGAATATTGGTTGTAAAGGCTTTAATGCCGCAATCACATCCCCAAAAGGTTGGATGTAAGTGAGATAACCTCGTTGGAGGGAGAAAGCTTAGAAGACGTCTGGAGAGACTTCCGGAACAGATGAGATAGTTCCATATTAAGTTCGACCAGGCAGGAACTTATTACTTCTGCCGAGCATCGGGTGGTTTCACGAGGGACCACACGATGCTTCCCTACACCATTTTTACGTTCGTCAACCGCGACTCTCTTAAAAAAGGGGTGGACACGCGGCCGTACAACTGTTCAGCTTAGTGAGGGCTGAAGTACTTAAAAAAGGAGAGGAGGCATTGACAGAAAGGAATAAGGTGGAGTCTTTTGTGGAGCTGTCTGAGGGCGGCATCGCTATAATCCTGCAAGGAATTGTAGTTTTACTCAACAGCAAGAGCGCTATAAAAGTGCTGGGTAACATGGGCCTCAACAAAGAACTAGAGAACCTTGCTCAACAGTCCCCGTCATACCCTGTCACCTCAAATGATGAGGCCACCAAGTTTGTAGAAGAGATGTTTGAAATAAAGGCTTAGCAATGTACACTTATACAGTAACACGCAGAACTGCTTGAATGTTGTAGTTTTTTATTTATTTATTATACTATCCCTTAGAGAACCTGCGTACCGCTATGGTGTTGGCTGCATGGTACCCTTTGGTCTTGGCAGAAAAACCGTTAGCTGAGGTGAACATGATCAACCATCAAGATTGTGATATTGATGGTGAAAGCATCTATTCAGTTCTGGAGGCTAGTTTTGGAGTATTCAATCCTTTGCTTTCTATTAGCTCTGGCTTGCTTGTATCTGTCCAAGCTATAAGTCCTGTGATTATGTACATTTGCACTGTGATGGGTCTTCACCTGCCTCTGCTGCTGATTCTTGGCTCATTTTTAATTGAAACAGAGATAGAAGTCGGCTTGCTTACCCTAATGGCTTGGCTTTTTCTCGTAATGGCAGCATCGACGTTTGATTTTTTTTATTTCCTTCACTACAACTGTAACCTATTTCCATCAATCTTCACATCGCCTACAGCTTTTTCAAATCAAGGAGATGTGCTAGAAAAGGGGGAAAGTAGACGGATGCACCCTCATAAAGGTGACTAAAGAAAACCCACACCCGATCATATCTGCTAAAAGTATGACAGGAAATGAAGACCTTGGAGTTCAGTACTTCTCAGGAAGTGATCATTCAGATGTTCATTTACATCTATTTGTTGGATTGACTCTGGGGATTATTGGTTTACAGGCAGGTGCTTCCTTTGCAATGTCTACATCCTTCATTATTTTGAAGAGAATATACTGATTTCTCCTACCGTTTAGCATTTGGGAGTTGGATTAAAAAAGACCAAGTCTTAAAATGTTTATTGATTTCTTTAGGGCTTGAGAAGAGTGGTTCTACAAATAATAATCAGGTTTTTTAACATTGATTCCATATTCTCCAAGCGCATCAGAAAGATCCTCCATCGTCAAGACCGTTTTCTTTTCCTATCCCAAGATATGTTAGCAACAGGTTAAAAAAAGGTGAAAAAAAAAAGGTAAAAATAAATTGTATTTTTTTTTCAGGTATACCTTTCCGGGGGCCGCGCGCTTCTGGCTTTGCTGGCGTACTTTGCAGTATTGAAAAGCATCTGTTGCAATATCCGAGATGAACTTTTGGGCCGCCAATGCCAACAAACGTTTGCTTAAAAAAAAATAAAAAAAAATAAAAAAAAAATGTCTAAAAGTCAATAAACCCAATCTCTCAATATGCTGAACTTTCGAAAGCACTGCCATGGCCAACTAGCATTCGCTATGGGCATTACATTCGGACATCATCGCAGTCGAATCCTGTTCGGCTCAGATAGTAATCTGTCACCGCATCTGGGATCTTTTTTTTTTTTTTTTTTTTTTTTTTTTAAAAAAAAAAATATGCAGTACGTTAGTATTTCTAAAAGACTGATCGATAGCAATGAAGCAAAGGGGTTTGTTACAAATATGACGTAACGTACGATCGGGTTATAGTTTTCCATCATGGGTAAGAATTCTGCCAGCGTCCTATCTTTCCGGTTCAGTTCCTCCTCCTTTCGTGATTGTAATGCTGCACCCACAGCCAAGTTGTGTTGAGCCACAGAGGCAGCTGGTCCTGATGCCGATAATAGTGAAGTGGGCAGTGTTGATGTCTGTTGCGCCTGAACTCGCGCTTGAACCTCTGCCTGGACGTTTGATGATGGTGGCGTTGAGACTGACGTTGCTGGCAGTGTTTGTGCTTGGCCTTGCTTCTGCTGTTCTTGAATTGCTGGTACTTGCTGCTGCTGGTTCTTCTCAACTGTCTGGGTTACTTGTGAAGATGGCGCTGATGATGCCTGTTGAACGACTGGTGCAGATGTAGCAGCTAACGTAACAGGCGCCGATGTAGTTCCAGACATAGAAAATGTCTCGGATGAATCAGCATTGATAGCAGAGCCTGCTGCTGTGGGTACGGATGCTGTAGCAGAAGATGGAGGTTGCTCAAGAGCAATGACAGAAGAAGTAGTGGTGGGATGTGGAGGTGTCGAAGTCGAAACAACGCCGCTCATTGGGCTAGGCGCGGAAGATGTTGTGATATGACCGCTCGGATTGGATGGCGGGGTAGAAGGAGCGGAGGGCATAGATGATGGTTGCTGCGATTGTAGTTGTTGTTGCTGTGCATCGAGAGGAGCTCCTGTCGTTGTTATGGCTACAGGAGACTGCTGTGCGTGGACAGGAGTGAGATTTGAAGGTGTGTCCTGGTCCATGGATGCAGCAGAGTTCATATGAGTATCAGAGTCTTCATGCGTCTGCAGGAGAGGGGTACCGGCCTCGCTAGCTTGAGAAGGATGAGGACTGTCCATGTTGGCGTCCTCAGCAGTGCTATGATTCGGATTAAAGCTGTCAGACATTGTAGTTCAGTTGATTGCAAAAGTGAAGAAGGGCTCTTTATCTCTCAATGTAGGATGAACACTGCTTTGAGATTCTCTGTTGAGGAAATATAGCCCTTGGTGAGTGATGGATCCTTTTTCTTATTCCGCAAAACTCAATGGATTCCTTTTACGTCCTAATGCTGTCCTGTTCCCTTGAAGACAAGGAACTTAGAAAGGTAGGGGTCAGAGCATTTTTTATTACTTCAACCGATTGTAAGGCTGCACAAACCTAATTATCTATGGGCAATTAATCCACATCTTTAGTCTGAGTTCTTAAGAAAAATATCCCCTCTAATTGATGATTCAACCAATAAGGTGGCTTTGCAAGGAAATAAAAAGTATAAAAAGAAAGGCCAATCTCCTCCACTGACTCTTTTTTTTTTCTCTTTTGTAAAATATTCTCTTCTCTTTTCTTCTTCCACTTGAGCACGACATGGCATTCAGCGGAGAGGGATATCGTTTGGGCGATGAGAACGTAGGAGCCATTGGGCGAACATCTGCACATGATAGCAAAGGGGTCCCCTCACTCAAAGATATTTGTCTCAGCACTTTGGATCGCTATATCGACTGTAGAGTATCATTCATTTGATTACCGTTGAAGTCTGCTCTGAACTATTGATTTACTACAACTCTTTCCTAGTAGCTGCACGAGACGTGCAGACGTGACATTAAAGTTGAGGCTTTTATTAAATATGCACTCATCTCCCTCTTTTTTTTATAGTGTTGGAGGATATTGGAACAACCCCATATTATCTAATTGAGAGTATTCTTAGGAAATGCAATGGTAAAAGTATTTAATCATTTGCGGACTAATCTCGGTTATATCTTTATGAGGAAAACAATAAAGAGTGCCGTGAGGGTTGTGATTGGTGAAGATTTCTCCCATTCCGCTCACTTTCCTCTTCTTCCCAATGCTTCTATATTATAGTCAAGCAACTCACTCGAGTAGAACTTCATACAGAAGTAAGATAGCAAAAAGTCCCATATCTATTTCTTATAACCACAATAAAGAAAAAAAAGATGCATTTCAGTTAAAGATTATACTAACACTTATCTTACATTATTTTTGCTAATTAGGGACTAGATGAATACACAGATGGTAACCTGTTTGTTTGAAGAAAGATTCTTCAAAGGCCACGGATGAGAATCTTACCTTTTTCTTCTTCTTCTCTCTTTATGCGCTCGGTCTATTAATAGAGCTTTGGTATATTCATGCCAAAAATGACTTTAAGGCTGTTCGCGAAGGCTGGCCTGAATATGATGAGAGTGGAGAATGGCGGTCCAAATACCAAGTAACAAGAAGTTTTTTTTTTTTTTGTTTTCAACTTCGCAACTGCACAAACAGCTATCGATAAGCAGAGCTCTTAGCATTGCAAATTTCAATAATTACTTTTTTGTAAAAAAAAACCCCTTATAGGCCATGAAGCAGGAAGATGAAGACAGGTTGGAACGAAAGCGAGCTTTACTTAGGCAAGCATACTCACAGCATGACAAAGTGAAGCAGGATCGACGTGTCATCATGGACCCAAATCTTCGACTACCAAAAAAGGTGACCAAACCTTCGTTATGGTCAAATACTGCGCCAAAGAAAAAATCGTTGTTTGAGAAGGCGAGATTAGAAGCTAGAAGGATGTAAGACCTCTGCGTAAGAAAAACAAACAAACAAGCTGCGTATTTATTCAAAGACAATAACGGTATTTCAACTTGGTCTTCTCTGAATATATACTCTTAAAAAAAAAAAAAAAAAAAAGCACACAAATGTACAATAGCTCCCCATACCCATCTCCACGGAATCGGCCATCTAGTTCTATCAGCAGCAAGGGAGGCAGTAGCAGTAACAGTGCCAGTAATATCACCAGCTCCCGCCGTATTTTGGCTCCAACTTCAACCCCTGTGACAACCACCCTCGGACCAGTTACTTCACGAAATGATCCTGTACTTATAACACATGGAGCGGCAGTTAATAGCACCTCTTCATCAAATGCGGCAACGGCGCTTGCTCCGGCGTCAACCCGTGGCAAACGTTACTCGTATAAAACACGCCCTGTTGTGTATACATCTTTATCAAAACCACTTGCGCAGACCCAAGACATCAGCGAAGGATTCACAACATCACCTTCATCCATTCGACCTACAACAGCAACAACTTCTGCAAATGCCTTTGCTCACAAGGTCCCGATACCATCTGTTTCTGGTGCAATTGTTGATTTTTTTAAGGAGGTATGGTTCAGATTGGGTAAAAATTCACCTTCAAAAATAATTGACAGCATTTACAGCGTCACGGCCCCTCAGGTCTTTATAAGCAAGTTTCTTCTACTTGTGTAATAATTTGGCCTGTGTTTCTCCACGCTTATTGAAAATAGATCAATCCAACTCATTCTCAGCATATCACCGCCTCAAAGCATCATCATGTGCAAGCAGATTCGCGCTCAAGATCGCCAGCATCGCCTACCTCGGCTGCAGAGCCGCCATCGGAAACTATCCAGATGTTGCGTGAGGATGCAGGCACAGCTTCCCATTACAAGAGATCAACGGAATCTTCGAATAGAAGGCGAGATCGAATACTTGGTAAAAGCTTGAAACTAAAAAAAAAAAAAAAAAAAAAAAAAATGTACATCAAAATTCTGTCGCTGAATTATGGCTTTACACGTATTCTGGATTAAATACAGCTACTGCTACACGTCTGGAAGGCACCAAGGCCAAAAAAGGGCTTGAGGGGCTTGAAGACGATGACAGCGACAACTACAACATTGAGTACAACGATGTCCATAGAAAGGATTTTCCCCATCCTAGAGTCAACCACCATACGCATACGGCTGAGCTCACTGCACCAAAAAAGAAGGACAATGATTCAAAGGCTCCAGTCTCACTCGAGGAAGCGGGCCGACAGTTTTTTAATCAGGTAAGGAAAAAGTAAATGGATATTTTTAACCCGATTTATCTGTCCAACAAGAAAAAAGGTGATGTTCAAAACTCATAAATCCTTTATTTATTTCCCAATATGCAATGGTAGTTGATAGGCAAATCAGGCTGAACGGCTTTCAAAGCTAGCAGCACGCTGCATTTCGCTCAAAAGATAAACACTACATGTACAAATACACGTGCTCACTTCCAATGCTGCCTGTCTTTTTTTTTTTTTTTTTTTTTTTTTGTAACTTTTTGTCTTTTCAATAAGGAAAGATTAAGGGAGAAATGAAGGGAGTATGCCAAGGAATAGCAAAACTCATACTCTAAGGTGCAAGGGAGAGGGTTGCTTCCTCTTTTAGCGTCCTGTTGCTATTATTTTTGCTCTTTCTTCTCGCTCCGTTCGCCAGGAGTGCAAAGTTGAGTGTAGGCAGGCATGGGCCTTGCGACTGTCGCTTTGTCTGATATAGCCAATGAATTGACCGCTAACTTGGTATTTCAGCATCAAATAAAAAAAAAAAATCTTTGAGAGATTCATATAATTACTTGCTCTACTTTACTTAAGTAATTGAGGACTAGTGGTGCCACAAGGAAGTCATTAGCATCTGCTAGAGGGGTCAAATCGATAGATGTTATTATAAATCCATTTTGAATGGTCATATACTATGTTCTTTCCAGTGGCTGGATGCCGCTCTTTTTTCAAAAAGAGATCGTATCGTAATCATAAAGTCCTCATCACAAAAACGAGAGGGAGAGATGCCGAGGTTGTTAAAGAGGCTGAGCTTATCATCCAACCTATGATCCTCCAAAAGTTGAAAGGACTCAGTATAGGGTGGCATGACCTGCGAAAGAAGATTATCGATCTCTTTATCTAAGCTGCTTCATGCCCTAAAAGGCTCGGGTCCCACAAAGTGATACCTAGCATCATAGGCTCTCCGGAAGTGCCTTCCAAATAGTCAAATTGAGTTCGCTCAAGCAAAGCTTGCTTACCATCAGCATGCTATTCTGAGAATCCATCTGCACATCCTTCACCTAGACTTGCGGTATCTATTAATTCACCAAAGTGATATGCTTGCAGCAGCTTCCGTCTGGAGGAAAATATGGACAGGATCAATTGATTATACACAGTCTTGCTGAAATCAACCTCAAAGTAACTGTCGTAAACGACTCCACTCAAAGGTTGTTACTAGAGATCTGGACAAGAGGATCATCCCTGTAGTCATTGACTGCCCGGATGCGAATATGCTCTTCGGCGACTCTCCTATAGCGTAGCTCGATCTTCTGCGCAGGATTGATGTGACATACCCTAGAATCGAGGAACTACCATGAACACCAGAATGTAGATCGCATCCGATCGCTGTTATCCGTCATGGATGGAATGCCGCTTAAAGATATTGCGCCGTGACTCGAGGTAATTGTTGGTGTCAATTGCTGAGTATGGCATTTCCTGTCTGTAACATTTTACCAAATGGTTCACGGATGCTCGCGCCTTCATCCGCTCCTTTCCATTTTGCTCTTGTTTGCCAAATTGATTTAATCCAGCTGAAGTCCACACGTCCCTAACAAAACCGGGATATTCTCTCCCATAAATGACGTCTTTACGGCAGGAGCCTCAGCAGTGCCTTGATCGCTGACCACAGAATTTTTGGCGGAAAGTAGACGTGACCAGGAGTCGAAAACAGATCTCTGCCATCTCTAGTCACAAACTGCGTAAGCTACCTGACAAGTATGCTATTCTCTGTGCTTACCGTCGACAAAGGCGCGACGGGGGCCCCAAATCCTGTACTCCAGCATCAGTGAGGAATGTCAGTGGTGTATTTGTAACTCGGCTGATTTTTTATGGTATGTATTTATATGACAATTCAGTTATTTCATACGTTTGGCTGAAGGACTTTCTTCACTTGACGAAATAAACACCAATCCTCTTATTATACGTATTTATTAATGTAAAAATATTGTTTCAACGCACAAAGCGCAAGGAAGATCCAATATCCCTCTAGACGCAGAATATTGAATGCGTAGATGCCATTACATCAGGACAAAAGCATTTTTTCTAACGTGAATATTGGACTTAGTGCAGTCGTGTATATTGTTCAAAGACATTTACATAGGAAGCTACCCGACTGTATCTTTAAGCAGGGAATGAGAAGTGTGTTACTCCTCTCTATCTCCGATTATCACTATTTTTCAGCCTAAATATAGTATTTCTGATGCTAAGAGGAGAGGCAGAGCCAAGGGAAAGCAGTGAGATAACAAAGGGCTTCAGTGTATCCTGAGCAAATGGCATACATTTTCTTATGCATTATCAGTCTAAGTCTTTTTATTTCAAAGAGCACGCGCTAATTAAGGTGCACAGACCATTCTCCAAAATGAATTTTAAATTGTTTATTGAGGAAATGGACAATGCAAATGAAAGAATAAAAGTTTTTTTTTTTTTTTTTTTTTTTTTTTAAAAGGGTCGTTCAATGACACCACGTACGGCGTTGAACCGGTATCCTCCTGACGCAAAGAGCTTACTTGTTAGGAACGGCTGGATATCATGGATCTCCAGAGATGTCGCCCGATCCTTTAGTTCTACCAACTCAATTGTAACCAATCGAATATCACTACGTGGATTCTTGATCTGCAGGAATCGCAGATGTTCCTTTAAAATATCGTTCAAGATTGAGAACAGCAACTCGTTGCTATCCTTGGCGAATGTCAGGTATTTATTGAATGCCCTCTTCAAATTGCGCATCACAGAGAACTTTTGTGCACTGAAGAATGATTCTAACATGACTCGGATCGCCATGTCAATATCGTCTGAACGAGCATATTCCCGCAGATGCATCTTTGCATGCGCTTCCGACATACGGATCATCGATTCCAAATGACGAACTGTGATTGGGATGGAGCCTCCAGCCAATGACTCTCGACGAAGGTCTGCATACAGACGAGCAATCTTGTCCTGGTCCATTTGGTGAATTTTAGGTTGAATTTTATCCCGAGCATACATAATATATTTGCGCAACATGTCCTGTGGGATAATCTATCAAAATCAAGACAGCAAGACAGGACAGAGCAAAAATTAAATTTTGTCGTTCTTAATCCAGATAGCATTGATGAAACAACTCATGAGGAGCACATACTGAACAATCATTTCAAAAATCACACTTACATCATCATCAGCCTGCTGTGTCATACTAAGCTGATCTTGTTCAGGTGAGAATTGAGGATGACTTCGAAGATGTGAATTGAGAACAAAGTTGGCCAGACGTTCATCCACAGTAGGATCAACAGTATCCTTGACAACACAAAGAACGTCGAAACGCGACAAGATGGGTTCCGTCAATTCAACATTCTCCGAGAATGTTACTGCTGGATTGTAGCGACCACGGATTGGATTAGCAGCTGCCAAGATAGAGCAGCGGGCTTGCAGTGTTGTAACAATACCAGCCTTAGAAATTGAAATACTCTGTTGCTCCATGGCTTCGTGGATACTAGTACGATCAGCATCGTTCATTTTATCAAACTCATCGATCAAACACACACCCTTGTCCGCAAGCACCAATGCGCCTCCCTCCAATGTCCACTCACGCGTAATTGGATCCTTTCTGACTGAAGCTGTTAAACCGACAGCAGAGGCTCCCTGGCCTGTCGTGAAAACGGCCCTGTGTGCAGTCTTCTCCACGTATTTCAAGAACTGAGATTTCGCTGTTCCTGGATCTCCTAGCATTAAGACATTGATATCTCCGCGAAGGCGATGTTTTCCTTGAGGATCCTTGGGTACACCACCAAACAATGATAAAGCAATAGCTGTTTTGATGTCTTCGTGGCCATAAATCGAAGGCGCAATACTTTTGATGATCTATTGATAATAAATAAGTATTAGCCTTATATATCTTAAGATCCCGCATCGTAGGTCATACCAAATTTGAAGTAAACCAAGGGCCTGCATTGATCAAAATATATTACCCTCTTCCCAATATTCTCCTCCTTTCCGAGACGAAGAATCTCTTTACGATCTTCCTCTGTCAATTTAAAGCTGGCGAAGACATCTTGCTTCTTGTTTATATAGTTGGCTTCCAGAATTGTAGCGAAGACAGGAAATCCGTTTGCTGCGTTGAGTGCCACATCAAAGTTATTCCTGTAAATGCCCGTAATTTCCTAAAAAGATACAGAGCATCTGTTGTATCATTGCAACTCGGGTGTAATGAGCAGATCTGACTCACGAGCCATCATACGAAACAAATGACTTACTACTTCTTCTCCTGGTTTAGCGCTATCAATGAGATCCCAGAGAAGGATGACCTCACGATGGCGAGGTAGACGACCTGCGGGGACTGTGCCTGGGGACTCCTGGAGGGTCATTTTTTGATAATTACGATAAATGGTCTGTTCAGAGTTGACTGTAAACGGCCCTTTTGAGGGACAGGAGGTGCAGCTGCCAATTGAAATTTCTGTCTGAGAATCCTGATAAAATGGCCCAAGAAGAGCCCCACATTTGACACAGTCATACTTTACGTATTTCAGTTGAGGAAAGACGCCCGTCCTCCGTGTGACAACTCCTGTAACCTGCACTAAACAGTTTAAGTTTGCTTGACTATTATTGTAGTTCAAAATTAGATAAAAGATTAATAACTTCTAATGCAACCGATGTAGACATGCATGGATTTGCAACATAAGTGCTTAAAGAAAATAAACCAAAGGAAAATATAAAAAAATACCGAAGATCACGAAGGGTGGAGACAATAGGAAGTTCTGTGATACGGACATGAATCTCTGAGTGAATTCGTCCATAGTCTGGATACTCCATCTGTACGACTTCAAAGGCAATAGCATCAAACATTTTCAAAATTTCTTGAGGAGCGTTGACAACAAAGTAAGCAAGAGTTGGCTTGGCATCTGATAGGTGACGATAGCTGACTTCTAAGCTCTCCTTGTTCGCCTCTCCGAGTGCTCTGATCAACGGGCCGTATACAGATTCTCCATTCGCATCGACATACTCCAATAAAAACCTCCTGAACTCTGACATGATGGTGCGGCGGGTTAATTCCTTTGTAACCCATTCTGAAATTGATAAGCCCTTATGATCGCTCAGTTGCTCAGGCCCCAAGATGACGTTAGACTTTTTTTTTTTTTTTTTTTTTTTTTTTTTAGAAAGAGTCAAAAGGTTAGTGGTTGCCGCTAAATTTTGACGACATGGCGTGCTCCAATCAAAGACCTCTAATCCCTTATACGCACCATATCATCCAAATCATCTTCCATTAAATCTTGCTCATAAACGCGCCTCCTACGGTGGGTGACGTTCAATAGATCCGTATCATCTATAATTGTTATGAGGAAGAAGGAAAAGTGTTAACCACAGTAGCTTGAGCCAGCATCTTCAAAAGGTTAAGCTTAATCCGAAAAACGTCATGCAATCCAAGATCATACCATCCAAAAATGCCTCAGGGATCCTTCCGAGGGCTCTAGCACGCTCGGCATCTCGTCTCGCCAAAAGCGCCTCTACTTCCGCACGCTGTCTAGGGTCCATGTGCTCAAATTCTTCATCGTCAATGTCATTAGGATCGTACGCATCGAGCTTCACATTCTGAACATAATCACTATACAGCAACAAGTATAAGATGATAAATAAAAAGAGTATGTTAACGAACTTAAACATTCCCATCCTTCTCCTCTTTTTTATTTTTTATTTTTTATTTTTTATTTTTACATCTGGTCATGTCGATTGCTCCGGTATTGTTGTATCGCCTTACTTTTCCATGTCAGACCCAAAAAGGTCTTCTCCTTCTCCCTCCAGGTCCTCATTCTCGAGGTCAGAAATCATCTCGTCTTCAAGTACGCCGTTGTCCTCCAAGTCAGAGGAAGGTAATGGAGGCGATGAGCCGAGGATGGGTGAACTCGCTGGATTCCTCGAAGGCGTAGTGACATCATTGTCATCTCGCTGGCGCTTGCGATCAGCCTATTAAAGAAAAAAAAAAATTAAAAAACTTATCCACGAGATCTATTTTTTATTTTTGTTATAGACATGAATGCTTTACCATGAAGATTCTAGTTCCTTGCTGAGAAGAGTAATTGAAGAAGAGAGGGACAAAAAAAAATAGTGTACCTGAAACTTTTTTTTATTACTCTCTCGCGGCTTCCACATTAAGTAAATTAAAGTGGCTTGACTTTGTGTTTGTCTCACAACAAAAGACGCGTCTCTCACGCACATGTCTTGGTTGGCGAAGCTTTTTTTATTTTTATTGTTTTTTTGCCCTTGCCTAAAAATGATAGATTACTCTCTTCTACCTTCACTTCTTTCTTCCCAAAAAAAAAAAAAAAAAAAAAAAAAAAAATAGATGAATCAACCAGCTTATCTACTTACTAACAGGTCTTATCAGCATTGATGTATTAGTTCCAAAATCTACGACGGTCCCAAGAAATTCGGTTATGGCAAAAAAGTCATTGTCTACTTTTACTCCTCAGAAATTCAATACTCCTTGTCCATTTCCTCCAGTTACAGAGCCCCCTCTAAAGGAGGTAAAATGTGGTAGCACACCAAGACTTCCAAAAAAGGTCCTGTCTTTCAAAAATACTTGAAGGATTCTATGGTCGAGTAGGCCTCTGTCATTGACGTTTATCACCAGAGATTCATTCAGTCTTTTGACTTTATTAAGAGGTGAACAGATAAGCCCTTACTACCAATGCTGTATTTTTCCATCTTAAAATATTTTACATTTAAAGTAGCTTGAAATGGACAGCTTTGTGACAACCTTGCGGTACACACAAAAGATGTCAACTTCACTAACATTCACAAGATCGCTTTTATATATTAATGAAGAGGCGACCTTCTGATTGTCCTTATCATAGCCTTCCAACTACTAAACAACTCAGTCCCATCCAATCTGTGCCCTTGCTCCACTTTTCTGTAAAAAAAGTCCTTCGTCTCCAATTATTGCATGTATGATTCTGAGTACTAGTTCTTCATCATCATCGAGTATGAGACGAGATTGCTTATGAGAGTTCTGGGATCTAACCTGTTGCTTGCTTGCGAGATGAGAGTGGCAGTAGAGGAAGAGGACAAAAGTAATAACTATAATTATAATCATCGTGGCGCAAAAGAAAATAAGCGAATAAGACATAGCAACCTCGCGTAAAAATCCTTAATATCAATCCACTGATAGATACGTTTACTTTTTTAAACGTTTGTTTACCTTTCAAGTATATTTATCTCACTGTTCAAAGTCTACAATAAATACTGTAGTGACCTATTTTATTTTTTTCTTCTACAAGTTGAAATCTTGGGAATCTTCCATCTTGATATCAGAAAGAGCGAATGTGAGCCCAGTTTCACGTCGTAAAGGTGGTTGCGCATAGCTTCCTTGACTTGACTCTAAATCAGACATGAACGAAGTGTCTGTGCCCAAGGAAGGCATAACTGGTTCTTGAGACTCATGCTTAATATGTTCACCTTCTGATCGATCGTCCATTGCATCAAGTTTCATCATTCCTTCAACGCTGTTCACAGATATAGGTGTTGCTTCTGCTGATGTTGTTGCTACTGCTGCCGCTGTTACTGTTGATGATGATAATGATGTTGAGGTTGGCTCGGATAGATGGATATCATTATGATCGCTAAGATCTTGTTTTATCAACGTTGATTCAATGGGATTATCATGCTGGAATACTTGCCATGATAGATATGTCTTTAGCTGAGCTCTGTGCATGTAATTGGTAGACGTGTGTATTCGAACATGAAAACAAATGACATCAATTAGTAGCCCACGGCTACAAAGCTTTCAAGCCAAGTTTTATCACGACAATTCTAAAGAGAGGACAGAGAGCAAAAGTCTTTTTTTTTTTGTCAATACTCATCCTTACTTCTTCCTCTCCAAGATTTTCATTTCCTCTGCCAGGATCTTCTCTTGCTCGTCCGGAGACAAGTCTGCACCTGGAAGATGGTCTAGAATATTTTGACATTTTTTAAAACTGGTCTTCAAATTGGATGAGAGTCTTCCAATCTCTTGAGCATCTTCTCCGGCCTCGATCTTCTGCAAGATAGTGAGCACCTGTGATAAGAATGAAAAATCTGAGGGTTGAAATCTTTGTTCTGCCTCCTGTCCATCACTCATTATAGTCTGAGAGGTCAGTGTTGACATTGCCGAAATGATGGGATGGTTGACTGCAATAACACAGATGTATAATCAATATTTTTGTTACATGAATAATGTTCAATAGTAGATATAATCACGTGTTTTACCATATTCTTATAACAATTCCGACTCTTGAACCAACCCTCCTTTTCTGTCAAACAGCTTATCAAAATGGCACTTACATTGCGATCGCTGTCTGCAGCAAGGCAAACCCTCAAGAAGATCAGGAGCATTGATCTGTGCATGGTTTGTCCACTGCTTTTTTTGAATCTGAAGTTTGTCAGAACTTAAGATTATTGAGACGTTTCAAAAATAAAATTTCATTTTCATAAATACAAAAACTTCCATACTTTTTTAGTTCCGAAATGCTCGTTATTTGACTACGACTACCGAAGCCAAGCACCGAAGTTTCAATAACAAGGAGAATAAGGAAAGCAAGGGAAAGAAAAACAAGTCTATCATTTTTAGTGGTATTCAACCTACAGGTCAGCCTCACTTGGGCAATTATCTCGGCGCGATTTCAAATTGGGTCAAACTTCAGGAACAAGCACATCATGCGAACGAAACCTTACTCTTCAGTGTCGTGGATCTTCATGCTCTCACCATGCCTCAGGATCCAAAGAAACTTAGAAAGGAGCGAAGAGAAATGGCTATCACATTGTTGGCCTGTGGTATCGACCCTAAGAAATGCATCCTATTTGAGCAATCCAAGGTAGTTTTTTTTTATTTTATTTTATTTTTTTTTTTTCGAACCCCCAATTAATTATTATTATCATTACTACTATCATGAGCAATAGGTTCCAGCACACACAGCTTTAACATGGATCTTAAATTGCATGACTCCTGTCGGTTGGCTCGCGCGAATGACACAGTGGAAGGTAAATAAAGGCTTTTTATTATTATCATTATCCCAAATCATACGGTGTTGATGAAATCAAGACAAAGCTCCATCTAATTCTAATTAAATTACCTCATACCTTCGATCATAACACCATCATCAATTAACACAATATTTTCAGTCAAAACTTGGAATCCACAGAGGTTCACAAAGTTTGGAAGATGTCAGTGCTACAGAGGGATTACAGCTCGGACTCTTTGCATATCCAGTCCTCATGGCAGCCGACGTTTTACTCTACAGGTAATAAAAAAAAAAAAAAAAAAAAAAAAAAAAAGCCTTCTAGTTCCTTTATAAATATCTTTTTTTTTTTTTTTTTTTTTTTTTTGGGATTTAGAGCCGACAAAATCCCAGTGGGAGAAGATCAAGTCCAGCATCTGGAGCTTGCCCGCGATATTGCTCAAATCTTCAATAAGAATGTGAAGAACGATTTTTTCCCCCTTCCAAGACCAGTAATCAGTATGTTTTTTTTTTTTTTAAAAAAAAAAAAAAAAAAAAAAGCTCTCACTTAGATCTAATATCTCCCCCTTGGGGACTCTATAACAATTGATTAGCCGAGACTAAAAGAATCATGTCTTTACGAGACCCCACAAAGAAAATGTCCAAATCAGATTCATCCAGCCAGAGTCGTATTCACCTGGTTGATTCACCAGCTGAAATTTCTTCAAAAATCAAGCGTGCTGTCACGGATTCGACCCGTGGTATCTCCTACGACCGACTCAGACGGCCTGCAGTTGCCAATCTGATCGAGATCTATGCTACTATGAAACATATTAGTATTGAAGATGTTGTTCAGGAGCATGCAGAGTCCACCACGGCTGTTTTCAAAGAAGCCCTTGCAGATGTGATCATCTCTTCTCTCAAGCCTATTCAGGAGGAAATAGCTCTTTTAGAAAAAGATGATGGGTATATCCAGTCTGTGCTTGACCAAGGAGCCGAACGGGCTTCTGAAATTGCTCAAGCTAATCTCAGTGAGATTCAGAGGCTGGTTGGACTTCTTTAGAATTTTTTTTATATATACTTCGAATTGAACCGCACATTGCATTTGTCATTAATAAACATTGCATCTCTAATTTTATCCATTCCTATTTTGTTAAACGACAAGATATATATAATTGATGTATCTTGCAAGGCAAAGGCCAGGGCTACTGAGCATGTCAGAGTGCTGCTGCAATGCTCTAGCATTGATTGTCAGCCTCTATTATGGAAGAAGAAGGAGGAAAAGACAAGGTAGCATAGGATCGTAGGTTAGGTAGAGCGCTACCCCGAGAAAGCGTATCACTGACCTAACTTAAAGTCTTCCAAAGAAATCTATAACAAATTGTTATTTAGTATCAATGATCTCTCGTCGCCAATTTAAGTTGCATTTTAAAGTACATTGGGTTAAGAGTCGCATGCATACATGGCATTTTTACTTCTGTAAAGCCTTGCCTTGACTAAAATGAGAAAGAAAGAAAAAAAAATTATTAAGCAGTAAAGGATCTCTGATGAGTAAAAAAATCAACCCGGCGGATCCGCAGCCAGTAATCAAACAATTAATTGGAATGGAGCCTCAACCCCAAATGCTTTCAAGTCATATACAAAGTATGGAGACTGCACAAGATCGACTCATTTGCCTCCCACAAGGATACTCAGCTTCCGATATACATGTCGTGGAAGTACGATCCGTCTGTTCTAGCGCAGAACGTGTTACTGCAACCATGGAAGAGTCTGGGCACACTATATATATGCCCATCATGGAATTTGATTTCCCAAATCCTGGACCGTCTAAAGAAAGAGCGTCTCAAGGCCACAGTGATCACGCTCAATTGGACAGGAGCGATATAGTATCGGACTATCCGAGCGGTGGGCACACCATGCCACTCGCTCTAACACGAGCAGAAGTGGGCTCATCCCTGCCACGGGACCCAAGGGCCCTGAACAAGAGCCTAGCATGGTGCTTGCTGGCCAAGAATATCGACGGCGCCAAGGCCTCTTGGAGCAAGGTCTCAACGATAACGCCGTGAAAGCAGTACTCGACTCGGCCTCAGAGACTATAAAGAGCCGAAGATATAACGATATCCAGAAAGGATTCACCAGTTGGTACGTTAACCCGCTAAGGCCAATCCAACAGCGATCACCAACTATTCTGCCTGGGGCAAACGGGCTAAAGGATTGTCGCCCCAGACGATCTTATTGTATCGAGCACATCTCAAAGGTCAATACCCAGGTTCAAAAGTACTCGAAGACGACCATGTATTCTATAAGTTTTTCAAGGTCCTTAAGGCCTATCAAGTTTGTCCTGCCAAAGATATAGAGATCAACATTGCGCCGGCTCTCGACCACTTCCGAGCTCTAGGTGACAACAGCACCATTTCACCTATGGACTTGACCAAAAAGTTAGGTATTAGGCATGTGTTTATTTGTTCGACCTAGCGATATCGAATGTATCGGCCTCGCGCTGCAAAGGAACTAGACAAAGGATACACGCCTACGTTGTAAGACCGAAACAGACAAGGCAAGGAGCCCACCAAGGAATATCCTCTCTCCTTTCAATCCAAACACTCGACCTACTATTATGTACCTACGGATGCTGAGTGAATAAGTAGCCACATCAAGAGAGTCATGCCTCTTGCATCCTTACCTCCACAAACTTGCATTCCTAAGGCGCATGCCGCTGGTTCCATGTTGGCAGGCCTCAAAGGTTCCGGCCTGGACAAGATTGTCATGCAAGGCAGATGGGCCACACAAGAGGTTTACAAGAATTTCTACTGATTGTCAAGTAGAACCAAGAACAATTTTACAACAACCACTCTTAGCTGATCTTTGCAGTCACAGGAAAGGGTCGCTGGACGATGAAGGATAATAGACAGCGAAGGCGACAAATAAAGTCTTACGCCCATTATCCGTACCAGTGTCCCTTTCCTGTCCCACCCACGGTCACCCATATTTGTGTTTGTCTTTGCTTTCGAAAAAGAAAGGTGCAGGACAAGATTACGAGATTGCAATAAAAAAATACATTGTTCTTTATTAGGTCAAATCTTTTGTCTACCCATTGGAAGGATATCTCTTGACTTCCTGTCACTTAAGCTGCCTAAAATAATTAGCGCGTGCAAGGATACCGCTTTCAGCGGGAGAGGACTACCAACAAGAAAATCCAAGTCATGGACAATGTAAAGGAGATACTGTTCTCTCTTTTCCATCAGCCCTCCATTCTACTTTACCCAACGCCTCTCTTTGCATTGATGAAACCACTAAAAGAAGGCGACGACGGTTTAAGAAAAGAAGGCTCAAGGATTGATGTATTAATATGATGCTTCTTTATTGTGTGGAATATTAAGTGGCGGTTTGCGAATGATGAGACGCAAATGTAATAAATGGGTATGTATGGGGAGAAGGTTAGGATGTAATATTATCTATAGAATCTGTTTGGCCATCTCAAAGAAGCTTCAAATGTTTAGAGCTGTCTTGTATCTCTATTCTCTCGCTCTCTTCTCCCAATCTCACCTCTGTAACTCTTTCCTCTGACTCGTTATCATCACCTTCGATCATTGTCTTTTCCTGTGACTCTAGAGGCTGTGTCGAGCTGACACTGATAATAGGAACCCCCTGAGATGCGCTGTGGGACGGTGTCTGCAAAGATTGTGCAATGCTCGAAGGCTGAAGCGCTGAATTAGTTGACAAAGGCGGTGATGATGGCGCAAATGATGAAATAAGTAACTCTTCTGCACAACTGGCTCCACTACCACCCGCAATTGCAGCTTCTCCGATACCTGTGTTTCTGCTGTCATCAAGTGCTCCTAGCTTCTCAACAGACAGTGCTTGCTGAAAGATCACACTCTTGGACCGTCTTTCCTTAGCAGTAGCCATGCTTGCCAAGCCTGGGATTAAAGGTTTCAGTCCATATAGCTGCGCTTTTTCAGACTCATTCATGGAAACTGCTTGTTCGGAAGCGACGCATGAGTGAAATAAAAGATCGCCTCCTCCCAGACCAGAAGGAGGAGGATTGACTGGAGACGGTGCAAGATAAAGTTGATCCTGGATTGTAATGGAAGGTGTTCTACGTGGCAGTACAGCCAAATTTGGGATGCTGAGCCTTGCTTGATGATTCTGCTGTACGAGGGATGGCTTGGTCCCAGCTTTGGTAGTGTTGGTCCCTACACCAACGCCCATACCAATGTCGGTACCAGTATCAATACCATCGCTTGTCCTTCGCACATGCATTGTATCTGATTCGGACAAAGATCCAATTTTTTGGAGGCTAGTTTTTTCTTCTAGAGTGGAGGAGTTATCCCCAGGCGTCCCTCCTCCTGCTGGAATAGAAGACATTTGCGACTGCTGCAATGATGGCTGTTGCTGCGAAGATGGGAGTGCAGACCCAACTGAGAACATGGAAGGAAAGCAAGCCAGAACAATACGAATTTCTTCTTCAATATTCTGCGTAAACACCTTGGACCTAGAATGATGAGCTGCCATCCTACAGTCTTCCTGTTCGTCGGATGAAGTGCCATTATTCTTATCTACTGGGTTGTATTCTCCTTTGGTAATGCTCATACCGTCATCTGTCGTCCGACTATCTAGACGTTGAATGGGGCTAAAAGAAAAAGATCGGGAGCGTGAGTGTGAATGTAAATTGGCAGTCAAAGGCCCTCTTCGATGATCTTGCGGGCCAGGGGATATTGCTTGTAGAGGAACAGATGCCTGAGTCTGTGGTAAAGGTGAAGTGGCAGTTGTGGATGGTGCTGTAATGACGCTTGGCTTCAGGATGCCACGGTCCTTCTTCGGTGGAAGCGGGGCAGATAAACTGGATGTGTTTGATATCACTGGCAACAAAGGTGTCACTCTATCAGCACTTCCTGAAGCTTCCCTCGGATTGACTACTGGCGCTAACTCATTTGGAGTACTCAGGACAAAACTGAAATCTTGGGATTCGTCTTCATTGCTGGCATGAGAGGAGCTCTTTTTGATTGGGGTTTCTACATTTGCATCGTTTGAGGTGCCTGTCAGCTTGGGTTTGCTCCCCATGTCAGATGTAGAAAGGCCCGGCACAGCAAGTGTCATAGACACCTGTGGAGAGAATTTCCCCTGGACAGGAAAATTTGCTAGGTGCAGTGATGAGGATCCAGATTGAGGCGCCTTGAGGGCTGCTTCTCGAGCTAAGAACATAGATCCGAATCCGGGGCTAGATGGCTGTCTTTCATACTTGCCAGGAAGCAAAAAGTGAGAATCATTATGGCTATGATTAGGGTCTAAAGTTGGAAATTGAAATGGCTCCCGTCGATCACTACGAGCCATTGATGGCGAGAGACCAGATGTAGGCGTTGCTATTGGTCGCTTTCCTGGGTACATCGGAATGCCAAACTCTGATATTGAAGTCGCCCTACCCGTAGTTTTTGCCAACATTGCCCGAACATTCTCCATAGACTTTTTTGCACGCTCAGTCAACACCTTAGGAAGAGTTTGCTCCGATTTTTGGTTCTCAGGCTCTGTGCGATAATGCCTAGGACTGCGAGCATGATGGATGGCAATCCGTGGGGCAAGTGTAGAGTTCTGTCCATCTCCAGAGCTAGTTTCTGGTATCGATATAGAGCCTCTTTGTCGCTGATGATCGATTGGATAAATGTGAGGCGATATTGGCCCCTTCATACCCTGGTTTGGCTTCTCAAGCACTGTTAGCGCATTCATTGACTGATTTGGCTTACTCCAACTCCTCCATTGCTTTCGGCGGTCTAATTTCTGCTGATATCTGATAGCTGCAAGATCTTGAGGATTTGGTGTCTCATCTATCTTATTATCGTTCCTCGTATGGAGAGGAGACGTCTTTGAGGAGGAACTGGGCCCCACAACAGACTGTTGGCCAGAGGGAAGTGCGACTGGAGATGGCCAATAAAATGCAGGAGAGTTCGGACCAGAGCTATTGGCAGATCGACTAGGATAGGAGGAGAACTGAGATTGCGGTGAATGATCCTGAAGGCGAAGTTGATCCAGCAGGAAGGGTCGCATCATGATCAATAGAGGGAGCTGGTTAAATACAATAGTCTCTGCAAAGGACCATAGCATGAAGCCGAGGGCTGTGGTCGGTATGTTTTCTTTAGGATTTGCTTCTGGCCATGGAGTTATCTCACTTGTAGAGCGAAAGAGTCCTCCTGTGAGCGGAGAGTGGCCCCCTAGTCTAAAATCAGATGTTCGTGGCGCGTCTACTCGCGGACTCGCAGGAAATGAGGTCAAAGGCTTAGGAGAGGAAGGGATAGATCCGCTAAAAGTACTTTGGCGAGCATGCTTGACCATCCGTACCTCTCCAGAAAATGAGCTTGAACTGAGTACGCTAGTCGAAAAGTACTTCTTGACGAAATTAAAGATGTCTATCCAGCAGCCGGGGTGATATGTCAAATATCGTTCACCCCGAACCATGATAATCCTCAGGGCGATGAAATCGATTATTAGACCTGGAGATGCATTTATTAACGGGTCAGGCCGTTGCTGCTGCGGTTGCTGTGTCAATGAATGGTCATCCTCTATGGTGTCTTCCTTGTGGGGCACAGAGCCCATTTTTGACTGGCAGGGTGTCTGTGGTTTGGGCACAGGGAATGCCGACATAGGCATGAATGGCTGTGGAGACTGCTTTTGTGGTGATAAAACTCCAGCAGCCTCAAAAGATGTTAATTTCCTGTTGGCGCGCGCAACGTTGAAGACTGGAGCAAGCAATCCCGCTGTCCGCGATGACCTTCTTAGTGTCGGATCATACTCAGCGGCTTTTACAGTTAGACCAAGCATCCTTAGCCAAAACTGCATTTCCAGGATGTCTAAATTATTAGAATGGGATCTCGTCTTAAAGCGCAAACACATCGGGACAATGATATAGGCCATTAATCGGGGTGTTGGCACTATATGTTCCAATTCAGAAATCGTATCGGTATCCGCATGATTGATCATGGCTAAGATAAGATCTACGAGGCCATTGCAGAACTTCGCCTGCGAGATATGCACAGAGTCCACCACCCATTCACTTCTGGCTGCCAGGGCTAGTCCAATGTTAATCACACGTTCACGGAGTAGAAAAGCCAACTCAGGGGATGCTCGGAGATACGGTCTCTCATTCTCTGCAATAAGCAACAGACCCTCTAGAAGCCCGGAAAAGTCAACTGATTTGTAATGCGTCCTAAGAGCGTTTGAAAACTGAACTATCAAATACAGCACCGCGCGACAACTCTGCTGAAGATCTTGGACTGGTATGATCACGCTCTTAATATAATCCTTAATCCACTCTGTGGTGCAGGGGATTTTGAGAGTAATATAATCCTTGATGATCGAGCGGATGATGGCAGCCATTTGCTGATGCTGATTATCTGCAAGTTGCCCACCTTTATCACAGAATATCTGGATGAGACACACAAACTCATGCTTGATTGCAACTCGGTCGTTTTGTGCCCAGGTCTTGCCCTTGATAGCCTGGGTTTTTGACGATGGACTGGGGGAAAGAGAAAATCTGCTCAAGCCGCACTTGGCATCACCTAAATCTTGACTTTGCCTTGGAGCAACAGTCGGTAGGATAATTCCTGATGGGATAAGAGGCCTGGAAGATCTTGAAAACTTTGCAAACACTTCAACTAGACTATCAAGCCCGCCAGTCATTAATTGAGGTTTCCTTTCAAGGAAGTATGGTAGAATATCACCAAGGATCCGAACAAACTGCTCGGACCGAACAGAGCCAGGATCAAAAGCAATAATCGCCAGAAATAGCTTTATCGAGTCTGAGATGGGAAACTCTCGCTTGTACAATAGACTACTGTTCTGAAGCAACTTTGAGTTCTTTGGGATGAAGGACGAAATCCAATCTGGGATCTCAAGTTGCGGACCGCCATATTTTGAGCTTTCGTGGAACGGTTCCGAAAGCGACTGCACCCCAAGGCCCTTTGAATAGTACGTGGTTCTCGGCCGGTCTAGGGCCTCCAGGAAGGTGATTAATGACCTAAGCATAATACCGGATTGTCCTTTAGTCATTTTGCGTAGCATCAGAGGGACAATTGCTCCAAGGCTTTGTAGAACAAATGCTTCTTGATGGAGCTGATAAAATCGATAAAATGCTGCGTCGATTGTGTCCCGTACCATAGGTATTGGTTCTGAGTCACAATAAATCTTGAACAAGGCAGGGAAAAACAGCTTATATCCATTCTTCGAGGCAAAGAACCGTCTTAAGCGAGTCACTGCAGTCACATACACATCTAGTGCCTGGCCCACAATCCCAAGATCTTTGCCATGGTCCAATAGAATTACATTGACTCCGTTGAAAATGTTCATGAGCTCCAATCGTTCAGAACTATTCTTTTCCATGCGCTGGATTAAGTTGAGGACAAAACAGAGCCAGGCTCGGGCACGAAGGGCTGATAGATTACAAAGATATCGATCTCCATGTGACGTATGTTTTATAACGTATGTACTTTCACTAGTAGCATCTGGAATATATTGATTGTCCTCGAGCTTGTGTCCTACAGGCCCTTGTGGTGTAATGAGTCGTGGCATTTTATTGAATCGGCCAATATTGTTCTTTATATCCTGAATTTCAGTCGGGAAACGAACAAGGAAGCTTGTCATGAATTGAATTTGATTGATATTGATGACCGCCATTTGAAAAAGCTGATAAGGTATGCATAGCCGTGGCAGAATATTGTTGGGATTAGAGAGTTGGTGCGGAAACATACTTTCAGGAAGGATATTGGATCGAAACCAAAAGCGTCCCATATTAGAAAAGAAGATGTCAACTTTGCTTCGCTTGAAATCCTTGTAGACGATATCGTTGGTAGAAGAGACAACATCGGCTAGCAACGGGAGCATCACAAGCATTATTTCCATACCGCGTGGCTTGGAACTCCTTTGATACCACTTCATTATTCCGAGGATGTGGTTGAAAATCGCAAACGCAAAGCCTGGAGGTAATTTTGAGCAGGCACTCAATAATAAATGAACTCGATGGATTAAATCTTTCAATCGATCCGGCCTTGCCCGCACAATTTCTGCAAAAAGCCATCGGACAAATAATACAGGCTCATTTCGGATGTAACTGGACAAAAACCTGATGGATGCAGAACGGACGCCAACCATTTCATCGTCTAGGAGATCGACGGTCATAATATTGAGTAAATTGAGGACTGGGATCATGACCGTCGCGTGTCTGTCCTTGGGAAGCACAGTGAATGTCCGTCCAAAGTTTGATTTGGATTCGGAGTCTTCATCCAGGTACCCCGTCCACAGAAGCATTAAAGGCGTTTGTACACGCTGCATCATCTCACGTTCGACTCGACCTTTTTCGCCCCATCCAAGTTCTTCAAATTGGATTCGGATATCGATAGGGAAGTTGCCGACACTCTTCAGTTCTGTAAGCCAACGTGGCTCATCCATCGTGTAACGATTGCTCCCGATCTCTGAACTCATGAATGGAACCTGGATATTAGCAGTTTGAAATGGACCTCGAGCAGACGGATCGATAACGAATGGTTGCATTAGCAATTCGTTTCGATAATCAAAAATGCCACTCAACCTTTCGACAGCTGATAGTCTTCTAAATGGGTTCTCACTATTAACAGTTTAAAAAAGAAAAGTCGAATGATCGTTAATAAGATCCGTTAAAAGAGAGCATAGTTTTTCTGGCTTGCAGGTAAATCTACCATGTCCATATAAACTTACTTTATAAGGTCGCGCGAGATAAGGGTATAAATGGTTTTAGGCGCTATGTCAGCACATTTTACAAACAGAAATACAGCGGATGCTGCCGCCTTTGGGCGAGACTCAAGGCAATAAGTATCCCATAGTGGCTCAACCAGCTGTAGATATTCGTTGACATGAATGACTGAATGAACTGTAACCAAAAGTTTCAAGGTAGCCACAGCCTCATCCATTTTGATATCTGACATCCGTTTAAGTCTCTTTGGATGAGAGTACGCCGCCTTCAGCTCAGTATGTCTTTCCATGGCTGCGGTAAAGTCCATCAATGGACTATGGTCTGTAGGTATCCTGCTTTTCCTGAAATTGGCGCCACTGATACGGGCTGAGCATCGGTCATTGCGCTAAAAGCCATAAAGTATGGAAGGATTATCGTTTAATTAATTTTGTGGATACAGATATGGTATTATGGACAAGGCTTAAGGTAGTGCCTGTTACTCTTTTTTTTCTATACCTCGCCTACTATGCTGTCAACGCTGCTATAGATGTGCTTGATGCGGAGACGCATCGTTTCTGAGATCCCAAGTGAGCCACTCTCCGAGTTCCCGGCGCCATGAACATTGTAGTTGATAGCCCAATCCAATACGCGAGGTAACCAGCCGGGTCTATCAGCAACAGTAATTTTGATCAGTTATGTGATAGGATGTGCAAATGGGTTAATAAAACAAAATTCATCCGAACAAGTCATAAGAACATACCTGTGAATCGTTTTACATAGCATACGGATTTCATAAAATATTAGGCAGAGCATCACCCGCATGGGTCTCGGTACCAATATTTTCTTTTCCTGAAGGTCAACGATTAAATTAAATATAGATTATTAAAGTCATAATTATTTTTGATGGTTTTCTTTTCTCTACTCCATGGATAAAAGCACAAGGGATAGAAGTAATTACTTTTGATACAAGGTACATGCCCAATTTCCTCTCAAGGTCAATCAGAAACATCTTGCCAATCTCCACTTGATGTTTATCTCCACTACGGGCCAGCTTCTTAATTGCATAGATGAATTCCAAGACAATAATACACTGACCAACAGTGCAGGACCCCCATTTCATCATTTGATTTTGTGAGTCAATTTTCGGCCGTTCATGCCCTACGTCCGTCATGGCAATCACGCATATCATATCTGCATCTCTTAAAAAGAGGTCCACTAAATTCATATGCATTTCCAGGCAAGAAAGAACACAAAGGTATTCTGTAACAAATTGGGTTGAATCCGAGGCTACACACGCGATCATCGGTTTGTAGAACGTAGGCCTGTGCAATACTGAAAGTTGAAGTAACAACTTTGACAACCTTTCATTTGGTTCTGGCTGATGGAAAACAAGTTTCTATTTTTTTTTTTTTTTTTTTTTTGTTGGTCGATTCGTGCATATTTCAAGGTTAGCGCAGAGGATCCCATGGATGACGAACAAAAAGTGATTACCCCAAATACACTTACATTAAAAAATGTACTGAGAGTTGCTATCAGTATTAGATTGCCTCTTGCGATGCCGGACCCAATAATTGCTCGATAATACAAATTCGTAAGACGTCGAAAGGAAACGTTTTTAACCTGAATGAACGAGGGAATGCACCAAGGTTAATGACAGTGATATTCAACTTCAATGAGCGCTCAAACAACTACAGGCAGAGAGCGTCTTTACTTCTATTTTGAGTTGTTCGATGATTGCATCTTGGTATCCACTGGCCCACAGATCGTCAAAGTATGCCCTTGCATGTTGCAAAACTAGGTTTGCTTGTTCATCAGAAAGGAGATCGAGAGCATGTGGAGACAATGTTCTAGCCTGAAAGGTTTCTCCACTGACATCAGGGCTGAGGGGTGATCGAGGTGGTGTCCTTAATACATTCTCTCTATCGCCATCTGTTGATAAAGACCCGCGTGGTGTGCCATCTTGATCATCTCTACTTATGCCGGATGCTTGTGCTTCATGATATTCGACCGGCATCCGATCCTGCTGTTGCTGAATTCCCGGATATTCAACAGAGAATATCATTAAAATGAATTTTACAAGACTTGTGGCTGTGTCTTTGTTGATAACCCCGGACAGACTCGCTGGTGGGAGGAACTCTTTAAGAAACAGTGTCAAATCCAAAATAATTGATCTGGTATCCTCAGCTCCATCAGTGTATGATACAGGTTCTCCTAAAACCAATGCGCTTGCAACCTGTCCAAAAGCTGCAACAGGCCCATCAATTGTTATTGGGTATTGAGGGTCTGACTCCACCCAGTAGTGCTGCACAGGAGCAAGACAACGGGAAGAGATAAAGAAAAATAAATTGGGTGATTAAGCTTCTCATATTTACTAAAAAAATAGCTAAAATGTTAGCCCTCAGTGTGCTTACTGGTATCATGTTGCAGATCAAGAAGCGAGTTGCATTTTGATCTGAAAACCGCATGCATTCTATCAGACACTGTAAAAAGGTGACCCGAGCGCGGTACTCTTGTACGGATCGATCTATGTTAGATGTTTCACTTTTAATTCCCAGGTCGCCAATGCGTATCCTCTCCAAAATCTCCGTTAAAAAAACTTGAATACGGTGATCCTTTGAATACTGAGGTAGCTTGGCTAGCTCACTTAGAAGTTTCGAAATTAAACCAAGCATTGCCTGGATGTTCTTGGGTATTAATGGTACTGTAGCCGTCAGGGCATTTGGGCAGAGTAGATCGCGAATGGTCTCAATGACTCGATTCTTAGTATGATGAGTTGATTCATAAAAAAGGTTTTCTCATTAGATCGTCTTTAGCCAGTATTTTTCAAAAATCAATATAAAAGGTCCACGAACACATGCGATCACATACCTTATTACAAGCATAAAGAGGCGACAGAAGATTAATGCTCCAAAGCAGATCTTGTAAGTCCTCTGGATCGCTTTTTAAGGGATATACTTGGCGCATCAGATCAAACAGGTTCAGGACTGCAGCTGCATCAGTATCTGTAGAGGATTTGTTGGATAAGGGTCACAAAATTAATTGAGAAAGGTCAATGCTGTCCTCAGTTTAACTATACTCTTTCTCGCCATGTCCAATAATGTATATATACGTCTTTTAAAACTGAAGCCAAGTTAGTGAAGCTACTTACGTGGCATAGGCTCTGAACGATCTGTCCGCAACATCTTGGACATAGTCTTTAGGATTTCAGGTTTGAAAGGTATCTCTACTGTGAGGCTCTTCCATCGATTTAGGATATCGATCATATCTTCTATGAAAGCTCTATCAACTGAACTAGGCTCCACCATTAGGCTATATGATGCTCCTGGGATCATTCCACGGGTGCCTGCGCCTATCCTTGCCACTGATCGGGATCGTGGCTGGATTTGATCATTAGCATGTCTCGCCAAAGCTTTTTCTATCTCTTTCTCCATCTTCCGAAGCTGCGTTCGTTGCATTACCACGGTCCTGAAACCAAGTACGCCTCGTATTCCCGTCGACACTGTTCCACCAGCTCCGGAGTTGTCAGTTGTCATTGGAGGGAGAGAAGCCCTGGTGGGTGCTTCTGTAGCATTTCCATTAATAATAGCAAGCTTTAGTGGGTTGCCTAATGGTGATTGGGACCTGTGAATGGCATCTGGTTTAGTCAAACTACGATTGTTAGAGTTGTTTATGTTGCTGTTGTCTATCGACTCTGTGAGACCTAACCTTGTGTAAGTGGAAGAACTTGGTCCAGCGAGTGGAGAGGATAAGTGAATATGAGCAATACTGTCGTTCCCGATCATCTTTTGCCGGACTCGAGCCCAGTTTCTATCTACGACTCTTGCTGGCTCTGGCCCCCTGGTAGTCATATTAGAAGTGGCGGTGGCGGCTGCAGAGTCTTTAGACGTAGTCATTGAGCCTATTGGTAAAGACATGATGGTCGAGGATAAAGTTGACGATGAAGACGTCGGTCTAGGTGTAGGTGTAGGTGTAGGTGTAGGTGTAGGTGTAGGTGTAGGTGTAAGTGTAGGTGTAGGTGTAAAGGTAGTTGTTTGAGTAGTTATTACTGGGCTTCTCGTACAATTTTTAGAGTTCTCACAACAATTAATGATTGACTGGTTTTCAATAGGAGCAGCCTGAGATATTCCAGTGTCGTCATGGTAGTGACTAAAGCTATCCGAGTACAGCTGAACATGACGAGAATGACTGGAATGATTCTCCTGTGGAGCTGCCATGTGTTCTGTAGTAAATGAGGGTTGAAACTGCCGAACAAGCTAAATGTAAATATATGCTGAATATGCTGAATATGTTGAATATGTTGAATATGCTAATTATGCTAACTATGCTGTGCGTGCATACTTTGAAGACAATTGTTTAAATAATAAAGATGTCAAATTATGCAATGGAGGCAAGATGCAAGGACGTGAAAAGGAGGAGGGAGGTCATTATAATATCAAACTGAGCGCCTGTTGTACATTTCGAAAGATGACACAAAAAGACCATGTTGCCATTGGTCATTAATTCATCCTTATCTGAGATGTGAGGGTTTCGAGGTTAATACCCCTTAAAGTTAATCTATTTTATTTAAAAAAATTGTACGACATCCAGACGATCCAGCTGGACAACGGAAATATCAGATTCAGAAATCCAAACCCCATTGGCTGAATTTATACTTGCACATTCTTAAAAATGGATCGCAAATCGTTTCGTTAGAAATAGAATCCAAGATGCTTTGTAGAAAATAATATATATCTTCAATTGCTTCGCTGGATTGCCTGGAGCAGGGTCGTTCATCAACCTGTTACAATCATCGCTGTAAGAAAAAAATGTTCCCTTTCTTCTGTCATTGCTGCATAGTGAGAAGCAAGATGGTTAGATTTCGCAGTTATCATCTACCCATTATCATGAAATGAATATTTACTCCATGTGGTAAACGCATAGCTTGCGAATTAACAAATGCAAGAAGCCACTCTAGCCCCCTACCCTTATCTTCGCATCTGTAAACCATCACCATCTTCATCATAGGGCATTCTGAACATTCTTCGACTTTATCGATTTACTATGGTCACGTGGAGCGTTTGCCACCAATCTCAAAAGAGAAGAAGCGTAGGAGTCTTTGGTTCCATGTTCCTTCTTTTGTTCATAGGACTATTTGAATACCGACTGTTCTGGTCCAGTCTTTTCTGTTTGTGTGCATTTATTTTGTGTGTCTCGAAGTATTTTATTGTCACAGTAGCTGGAAGTGGCCGGCTTTGTAATACATTTCAAGAACAGCATCTCTGCTCGATTCAACCACCCATCTTTTCAATATTATGTTATTCCTCGCGAACCTCACGATACCAATATTAAACCTACTTGGTCACAGGTCATCGTCCAAAAAACTTCACTCCGTCAACAGGGTTGTCAAGGCATCTCCGAAAACAACTCTTTCGTCCCAGTGACTGTGTCGCCAGAACGGAACATGTACGGCGCCTAGGCGCATGTCAACCCGATGATTATTTGGGCGATGTTCATCCTTCTACTATCGAGAACCATTGATCTGGACAGCTCAGTGTTCAACTCTGCACTAGATCCCAGGTCAGCTTAGCTCAGCTCAGCTCAGATCAGATCAGTTCAGCTCAGATCAGCTCAGATCAGCTATACTGCTCGGCACCGTGGTATTTGGTACAGGTAACCATCTGTGACAAACCTTGAGGGTCCAAAACTTGATATCATGGATACCTCGTCCCTCCGAAGGTATCCTTTAGAAACTTATCCAGTGATAGAGGTATGAAGTACCTCAGGAGAAGAATACTCTACATACTTCAGATTGTTGTCCTAGGGAATATGCTAATATTACCTCTGCCCCTCTTCCACAGTTTATAGCTGTATAAAAGTAAATGAAGTAGCACTATCATTGAGTGGTGATGAAGGGAGCCCCTCCTCTGCCTCTCTTTGATCGATAAAAAAATCCAAATGACCAGGACGTCAACTCTGACGGACATTTAACCAAACCTGATAATCCACACTCTGTGATTCTCAACTACACTATTTAACTAGGAAATAACTAGAGTAGGGCCTTCAGCAACGGTGAAATTAACGACGAGACGGAGACCGTGGCGTTGTCATTCATAGTTGTGAAGGAGAGCATCCTCTCAAAATCTATTGTGCTGTGCTTACACTATCACGGTCAAAAATGGGTCGTGATGACGAATCTACAGACGTTCTGTCTTCACGCCTATTCAATAATGAAAACACCAAGGATAGTAACACTACAGGGTGTATCATCGCTCATGATATATTATTGAGTCAAAAACTGCCTAGCTTCGACAGTGGAGGCAACTCACCCATGTTCTCGTGTTCTATTTATATTATACAAATAAATAAAGTTTAATATAAGGTGACAAGTTCTTCAAGTTCTTTGTAATGACTAGTTGATAACCTTGACTTTTATTTTTATTGCATTATCAACACGCTATCACTCAACTCGACTGTTGTACATTTGAAATTCGGGTTTTAGAGGCAGGAGTATGCTTAGAATGTTTGCCTCTTTTTTTATTTTTATTTTTCTTCGTTATATGCCAGGAGTATTGCCCTATTCATCGGAAACGGGGTGCCAGTCGTTCCCTAAAAATATAAAATAAAGGTTAATAAAGCAGTAAGATACTTCATTCGCCCTAGAATATATTTTTCTCTAGAGACATTTTTATTTTTTACTTTTTTTTTTTTAAATGACATACATCTCTTCAGTATCATCATCGTCTTCAGGTGCTGACCGTCGAACTGATGTCCTCTGCTCCACCGGATGCGAGGCCACTGCCTTTACGGCAGTATAAATGGGGCCATATTCCTGAAAATGATAAAAGAAAAAAGAAAGAGAAAGACAATTCAGTATTTACAAAAGGTGTTCGTCCTATAGTTTTTTTTTTTTTTTTTTTTTACCTCAAGCTGATGTCTGAACCCAGGGTTAGGATTCATACAGAAGCGTTTGTTCTGAACAAATCGATAAACAACCTCATACTCCATGCCCGTAGCCTCCATCAGATAGGCAACAACGAATGCTGGTGACCTTGAGATTCCGCTCATACAATTGACTAATACTTTTCCATTCTCGTGTAGGATAGCTTGGTCAATAAACTGTTTGACAGAGGGGAATAATGTGATGAGGTTTTGTGTTGCTGCATCCGAGATTTCAAGTTGAAGATATTTGAAATGATCAGGGTGATGGATTTTGAGGATTTTGGATTCAGACACATCCCACAGTGAAATGATGTGTGTGATCCCTGCTCGCTTTAGATCCTCCAGATTACGTGTGGCAGAATAAGGTCCTAGATAGATGGCTGGTAAGATTTCTTGCATCTCTCGCCGTTGTTCATAGCGCCATTCAAGGATGGGTGTGTTTTGACTAATGAGATGCCGGTACACTTCCAATTTGTCGGTTGCATTCTCCACAGCTTGGTCCATGAGTTTATGTGTATGATAAGAGTAAAAAAACACTTCTTCTTCTTGCTATGCGTGGTAAGCAAAAGCAAACTCTTAAGCCTTGGACTAGGATATGCTGGGTAGATAGGAGATTAAACAAGCTAAAGTTTTTGTTTTTTTGCACGTCTTGAAGTAGAGAAGGAAAGAGGTAAAAAACGAATGAAATAAAGGGGGGTGGAGAGGTACAAATGACTTGGATTCTAAGACGCCACTGTTCAATCCTGTGCGTCTTGATTCTCAAAAAAATAATGGCACAGACTCTGTTTGTCTATGGGTTAATATTATTATTTGTTTATTGGAAATACAACGCTCGATGCTGACAAAAAGCATGAAAGGCATCGCTAGAGTTAATGAGGAAGAGAATGGGAGAGGGAGGAAGTGAGGAAGAAGGGGCGTAAGTTGTTTACAAAACATGCTCACCGCGGAGCTTCTTCTCAGACTTCTGCATGATCTTCAAGAATTCCTCCAAAGTGATTCGACCATCACCAGAGACATCAGCCTCATGAACAATCTCGTCAACATCAGCCTATTTAAGCCATAAAAAAAGAAGAAAAGCTTAATTTCCTAGCAAATTCTTTTTTATCCTCATCTTTTTATTTTCATGAGTATTTTACCTCAGACAAAGAGCTGTTGCCAAAGTGCTGAAGAGCAGCGCGGAGTTCAGCGGCAGAGATGTTACCAGAGCCATCTTTGTTGATGTTTCTGAAGAGAGCACCATAGGCATCATCAGAAGTCTCTGCACCCTTGTGGTTCTTTGCCATCAAAGCAACGAAAGTCTTGTAGTCCATGGGCTGGGTGGGGATCTTGACATTCTTAGTCAACTCGGGGTCGTTGAGGAGCTTATTGTTTGGTATAATAATATGAAAGAGAAAGATAAAAAGTCAGGTCTACAAGAATTTTTTTGGACAGTATTACATTAGCAATCACTCTCTACTGCAAAACTATGGAGATGATGGACAGATTCTCCACATGAAAAAACTTGTAGCAAAGACATCGTAAAGAACCAAACGGAACGGTCTCAATGGAGGAATAAAATGAAATCTGAAGATTCAAGAAGGAAATATGAAGAAAAAAAAATTGCAAGTTCTGGTAGTGAAGAATTTGTCGAAGAGAGCAGAGGCGATGAATCATTTGATAAAGGAAAACAGACTGCACAAAACAAAGCATACAATAAGGGGTGAAAGTACGTGAGTGTGAAGGAGAGTGCATGTGTTTGTAAGGAACAGAGGAGTTGAGTGGATACCAAACATACAGCAATAAAGTCGGAAAAGGCCTTTGGCTGGATGACACCCGAATTAGTGGGGTCGAACAGAGCGAAAGCCTCCTTGTATTCGATTTCCTGACCGTGGGAGAGAGACATGTTATGAATGAAGCAAAGAAGAAAAAAGAATTAATGAGGGAATAAGAGGAAGTGAGAGATGAATGATGATGAAAGATAATGAAAAAAAGGGGAAGATCATTAACACACGTACAAGCAGTACATCGAACACGTACAAGTCAAATTTTATTTTTCTGAATCCGGACTATTTGTCTTTGAGGGATTGAAATAGAGTGCGTTTTTGCAGATGAATGGGTGCCTTTATTGATTTTTTATTTTCATATTTTTTTTTATTTTTTTTATTTTATGGTTCCTATTATCAAGTGGTAGATGGTTAACGATAATGCACAGGGCACGAATTGCCATGCTGTAGCCAACTGTGGATGCAATGACGATGGTATGTGCACAGACAATTCAGCCGTGCAACGGTTCGACCTACAAGATTTACAAATCACCTTCAGTTAGAATAAATGCTGTGAAATTTTTAAAAAAGGCAGAATTCTTTTTTTATTACCTGCCACAAACTCTTCAAAGCAGATGGCACATTCTTGATCTATCAACGGTGAGTCTGCTGCAAGTTTATAAACTTTTTTTTTTTTTTTTTTTTTTTTTTTAAAAAAAAATATCCAGTTAGCAATTAAGCATGTGAACAAATTAGTACTCAGCATATCGTCAAAATAGTTTTCTTACCGATATAGCGTACAGGTCCATTTCCTGGACCTGACTTGCCCTCTAAACAATCTTGCACATGGGCTTCTTGTGCTGCCTTGCCGCCTTCTAAACCAGCAAGGATAGCTCCACAAACAGGACACTCGCTCATGAGCGAGCCAGAACTAGCGCTACGAACCATCGGCGCTGGATGGAGGTTTGATGAGCTAGAGCTCCTCGAGGAAGGGTGTGACCGATCAGGTGCATAGCCAGAAGAGCTAGGCAGGTATACCCCATAACTCCTATCATTCTGTGATGGGTTGCTTATTCCACTGTGCGTTGAATACTGACCATTGTGTGATCGATGATAATGCTGTTGACTGCTCGAACTGGATGAAAAGTTACCAGATCCAGCACCAGAGCTTGATGCTGCCCCCGTAGATCGACCTGATCCCAAAATAGTGTAGCAAGAGTCACACACACGATAGCTCTGCGGAATGTTTCTCTGCAACGAGGCCTTATGAGAAAGATACGCCTCGCTTGATGAAGGATCAAACACTACCTCGGATGGATGCATCATCGAGCGGTGGCTGGAGCAGCGATCGCAGACAACGTGGCCACATCGGCGGCAGTGATGTCTTCTTAGCCAAAGCGAGAATTTCCTATGACATTCTCTACATTCGATAGCCTTGTGATCGGATTCCCATTTAAATTGCGGATTTTGAGCGGGTGGTAATTGGTATTGCTGCTGCGAAAAATGTTGGTATTGCTGCTGATAATAGTGTTGTGGTGCCTGCATGGATTGGACACGGCTTGAAGGAGCCCTATCTTGACTTGCAAACGAGGATGATGTTGGAAATGATGAAGAGAAGTGTCTTGGTAAATCTGAATGGGTATCAAAATCATTCCCCGGTTCTGGTCCAGATCTAATGCGAGTCACCGGAATCTGAGTCGATACTGATTCAGTTGCATTAGATCTAGAAGATGAAATGGAAGGTGTTGTTGATCGATGGTTCCGTGTGAGGCGGCCAATTGGGAAGGAATCGGAAGATGTATTAGTGGCTGCAGGCGACGCACTAAGAATTGGCACTGTGGACACTTCATGATACTGCGGTGATTGAGCAATGGGTATAGTGGACGATGATTCATCTGCTGATACTCCTGTCAAGTTCCCTACAAGAGATCTGGATGCTTCATGGTCACTGTTAATTTGCAGAGCCGAAAATCCCGTTCCAAGGTTCTCCTCATGGTTTCGGTGGTGTTCATCGTTTAAAGTGTCCTGTTCTTGATGCATCTCTGCGATACCTTCAGGAACATTGCTATACACATCTAAAATATTTGTAGTGCTCGAAAAACTGGCATCACTTGATGTTTCTGAGTGATTCCGATGGCCAAGGCGTTCATGTGAATCGATGAGGTCCTCTATCGGCTCCATATCGGATGGCCTTGATCTTTGCAAAGTCAAACTCCGTACTTCGTTAACCGATCCTGCATTGCCTGCTGATGATTGAGTTGCCAAACGTGGTGTTTCTAATTGGCGAGAGCAGCTATATATGGTATTCCGCTGCTCAGCTGCTTCCGCGAGCTCCTCTGCATGCTGAAGATATTCGCTCACCAGCGCTGTCGCTGATTGCTTAGAAGTGGGATCGTTATCGACTGATCATGATAATTACATTGGATTATCGAATCAATAATTTGATTAGTTGGTCAACATAATCTGCCTAATAGAATGTTAATTCTCTTTAAGAAACGGATTCAGCGGAACTCAACATCTTCGCTTAACTCACCTTTGATACCATTGAGCAATATCTGGATGGCTTGGCGATACCTAGCCAACTCCTGCGTCACATCTGTAAACCCATTATCTAGTCGTAATGCAAGGCTAGCTCGCCTTATATAATTGCCTGCCATTTCTTGATGAAAAGCTGATTGTGCTGAATCTGTATC